GGAAAATATGTTACTTAATAATAATATTAATTATAATTATAAAATTTTTAATATTAATTTAATTATTAGTTTTATTAATAAAAGGAATAGCGTTAATATATTTTATATAATAATTTTTTTTAAATTTTTTAATATTATTATTAAAAAAATAAATAATATATAAAAAGTTATATTTATTTAATAATTTATAAATACCGAATTTTATAATTATTAAATTAATAATAATTAAAAAAATATTATTAAAAAAATGTATAAAAGTTAATTATATTTTTAAATATTTTTAGGGATATAATTTTTAAACTATAAAAATCTTTATTATTTTATTTTAACTTTTATTATTATTTTTTTATATAAGTTAAATAATTTATTAATAATAAATAACATGGAAAAAAAAAAATAAGTAAAATATAAAAAAAAAAATTTTATATAAAAATTATATAATTTATTTTTTTTAATAATTTATTAATAAATTAAAATGTATATTTATTAATTATTTTATAATTATAATTAAGTAATAATTAAATTGCGTTAACACGGAACCGCCGTTATTATATATCCTATATTTTTTTTCTTAATTTTTAATTATATAATTAAGGATAATAATATTTATATTAATAAAACACAAGTAAATAAATTATTTTTTAATATTATAAAATAAATTTATAAAATAATAATTAAAAAATAATTATTAATAATAAATTAAGAACTTTATAAAATATATAAAATTTTTAATTTAAATATAAATATATTTTTATAATAAATTATAATATTTAGTTAATAATAATTATTTATTAATGAAAAAAAAATTTAAATAAAAGATAAAATTAAAAATATAATTTTAAAGTATAGCCTTCTTATAATATAATTTATTTTAAATTTTAATAATATATTTTTATTAATACGAATAAAAATGGGAAAAAAATTTTATAATAAACATTATTTAAAATAATTATAAAAATAATTAAATAAATATATTATTAATAAATATTATACTTAATAAAAGGAAATAAATTAAAATTTTATTACATTTATTAAATAATTTTATATTTACATTTAAACGTTTTTTAATAAAATTATTTACATGTTAATTTAAGATGGTATTTTTAAATTTATAAGTAATTATTTTAAGATTATTAAAATAAATAATTATAAGGTTTTTTATTTTCATAAGCTTTTTTAATTTTTTAATAATATTAATTTTTCGAGTTTTTTCCTTAATTTTATAAATCACGGGATTAATAAAAAAATTAATAAATTTATTTATTATATTAATAAACATTTTTAAAAAAATTTTAATTATAAAATATTAAATAAGAAACATTTAATAAAAAATTAATTAAAAGCCGCGAAAAAATTAAAATATAATTTAAATTAATTTAAAACTAAATAAAAAAAAAAAACCTATTTCATTATTATAATAACTTAATTATATAAATGTATACCCACATGTTTTAAATATTTAATAAATAATCAATGAAAATTAAAAGGAAAAAATAATAAATTATACCGGTTCGGATACCCCTAGAATTTAATCGATAAAACTTATATTAACCTTAAAGGAATCTTAAAAATTACTTGTTAAAATATTAATTATACCCATTAAAATAAAATTATTATCGTAATATTATATTATAACTATAATTTTATTTTTATTTTTATTATTATAAAAATATTAACATTATTATAATATATTATTAATTATATAATTAAAAATTATTTATTAATTAATTAAAAATTTATTAACTTAATTATTTATTTTAATTTTTTAATAAAATATTTTAAATATATCGATTTATAAAATTAAATTAAAAAAATATAAAATTTTATAATTAAAGTTTTTAATTAAATATTTATTAATTAAAAACTTTCCGCGCTTAAAATATATAATTATATATTAAATTATAAAATGTTTTATTATTTAAAAATGAAATAACGTTAAATATATTTTAATATAATATATTTTATTATTCGAAAAAAATAAAAACATTTATAAAATCTTACGTTTAAAATAATTAATAATAATAAAAATTTAACCGCGGAAAAAACTATATTATATTTCATAATTAATATTAAATTAAACTTATATTAAACTTATAAAAAATAAAGTTTTTAATTTATAAATATATATTTATATAATTATATTATAATTATTAATATTATATTAAAACTTAAATATTAAATAAAATAATATATTAAGTTTTATAACGATTTAAAAAATAAATGATTTTATTAATAAATTATTAAATAAAAAAAAATATTTACTTTAATAATAATAGGTATATATTTATTAAGTTTTTAAAATAAAAAAGTATATTATCGTTTTACTATTATTTAATTAAAATTATTTATGCTTTAGGAAAGGTTTTTATTAAAAAATTCCGGTACCATTATAAGTATATGGGAAAAACTTATTTAAAAAACGTTAAAACGGATTTAATTTTATAATAATAATTTTAATTTATTACGGAAAAATTATAAAAATATATAACGTAATAAAAAAATATAAATTAATTAAATAAAAATTAAATAAATACATATAAACGATAATTTTAATAATAATTTTTAAAATTTAAATAATATTAAAAAAAAAAAAAATAAGGAAATTAGGAATAAAAAAAAAATGAAAGAGTTTAATTACTTTATAAAAAGCGTTAATATTTATTTTTAAAAATCTTTTATAATTAAAGTTTTATTATTTAAACTTAAAATATAATAATTTATATATGGCTTTATAATTAATAATATTAAAAAAGTAAATAAAATATTTATTAATTTTAAAATAAATTAATATACGGATATATTAAATAATAATAACTTTATAATATTAAGTTTAATAATAAAAAATAACGTAATTATTAAAATTATTATAAGTAATATTAAAAATTAAAAAAATAAATTTAATATATTTAATATAATAAAGTTACGCGAAATAATAAATGTTATAAATAAATTAATTAATATAAATGTTAAATTTTTTAAGTTAATAAAAATAATATAAGTTTATAAATTATTAAAAATAAATAATAATTTAATAAATATATAATTAATTAATAAATTAATTATTTATTTAATGCGTATTATAATTAAATACGATTTTAATTAAATATAAATTAACGTTAACGCGGTTTTAATTTAAAGTAAAAAATTAAATTTTAAATAAATAATATCCTTAAATATTATATTTCGATATTTTAACGTAATTAATTATGCGTAATTTAAGAAAAATAACGATAATAATAAATAATTAAATAAACTTCCTTAATTATTTTATTATTTAAATAATAAAAAAAAAATAAAAAAAAACGTTATTATTTATATATTAATTAAAACCTTAAAAAAAAAAAATAACCGCTATTATATTAAAGTTATAATAATATTAAGTTATATAAAAATATATATTAATAATATAATAATTCATTCCGTTATAAGTTTTTTTAAAACGGTTAAAAAAATAATTTTAATTAATAAAATTAACGGATAAAAAAATACGGATATTTTAATAATTAATAAATGTTTAATAATATTTGGTTCATTTTTTTTAAAAGTTAATAAATAATTATAAGTTTTAAAAAAATAATTAAGTATAAATTTTAGCGGCATTTTAATAATTATGTTTTACGAAAATTTTTATTAATTTATTTTTATATAAAGGGATTTTTTATTTTATTTTAAAAGGTTTATAAATAAGGTTATATATAATAAAATTAAATAAAAGTTTCTTAAATATAATAAAAAATAAATTTTTATTTATTAATTTTAATTTAAGTTTAAATTTATAATATTTTTTAATTAATAAATGTAAATAATTAATATTATTTATATAGTTTTTTTTTACCGGTTACGGGATAAAAAATAAATAATTAATAATATAAATTTATTTAATACTTGTTTTACCCGTATAAATAATATTAAATTAAATAAAAAATTAAAAATAATTTACTTTTTAAATTAAATATATTATATAATTAATTTATAAATAATTTTAATATTTACAAGAAAAAAAAGTTAAAAAATATAAATTTTTTTATTAAATTATACTTTTTAAAAAAGTGAAAAATTAATATTATTATATATTATATATAAAATTATAAATAATTTTAAATTAAAAGTTTCGGTTTATTTTATTTTTATAAAGGAAATGCCGGTAAATATAATTAAAAATAATTATTAAAAATTAAAAATAATAAATAATATTTAATATATAATTAAAAAATTTATTTTAAATTTTTATTAATTAACTTTTTATTTAAATTATAACATGTTTTTAATAATAAATTTTTCGAAAATAATGTTATTATTATTTTTAATAATAAAAAATATACGTTTAATTAATTTATAAAATAATATTTTTTTTATTTTTTTTGTAAAAATTAACGTTTTAAAAAAAATTAATTATTTTTTTAAAAAAATTAATTTTATTTTTACGTTAACGTTTACGATAACGGATTTTAAATTTTAAGGAATAATATTAAAAGTAAAATTTTTAAGCTTTTTAAATTAAAAATTATTTAAAAATAATTTAAATTTTATTATTATATATATTTAATTATCCCGTATAATTAATTTAAATAAAGTTTACTTATTATTTTTTATAAATTATAAGTATTAAATAAATTTTAAATTTTCATATCGGTTAATAAATAATATAAAAAAGTTAATAAAATTAATTTTAAATATATAAAATATATATAATAAATTAATAATATAAATATAAAAAAATAAAAATTAATTAATTAATAAATGATTAAATATATTAGTTCGAATTAAATAAAGTTTACATTTTTTGGATTTAAAAAACTACCCGGAATACGGGAAAAGATCGGAAAAACCCCTAAAAGTTAAGTTATTATGGCATCCCGACAGGGTGCCCTCCAGTTTGGTATAGTAGTTGCTATAGGCGGCTTACGGCGAACCGGCTAGTGATAGCCTGATAGGGCGATTAGGTAGCCTCTTCAAAGGGCAACCTCCAGCTATTGGATGGGATCCATGTAACTGCAACATTTAAATCACCTCGTACTGGAGCTTCCACTTAATAAATCGATCCAATGCCTTATCTGTGTGTCACCTTCTATGTACTAGGTAGGTACTGAACTTAGAATCATGTAATTCAAAACCTTAGAAGTGAAATCTTATACATTACGTTTGTACAGAGCTTTGTCCAACTTTTTTTTTTTAAAAAAGCTGTGACAAATATTGCGCTTTTTTGACGCTAAATCTTATACCCTCAATTGTTAATTATCATTAATTCCTGATTCAAAGTCTAACATCTATCCTGTCTTTCATTCTACCGCGACAACCGCAAATCAAACTCGCATATCTGTTCATCACCACTGGTTACGGCACTTAAAATCAAATGACACCAAATTCATATTTGAAAGTCACTTGCCTAGGTACAGTGGCTGTCTCAGCCTGCTTTTTCCGTCTTGTATGACTATCATCTCGACGTCTCTCAAAGCTAACGTTAGTAATAACCGGCCGTATTCCATTCATCTGATATTTCAAACTCGATATGATGGCAATGTGGGCTGACTAATGGTAGTACTGCAACTCATCTCATCCCATCATATGACCGGGAGAGCCGATAGTCGAGATGCAGCAACAATTTGATCCGTTATCGCCTCCAAACATCTCCCATCCAGGAGTCGTGGCCACCGATATTACTAGAAAGTTTTCCTCTGCTGTCAAGAGTATGTTCTCATAGTCCTCCTATCCCAAGTCTCATACAAATAATCACTTGCTGACTAAAAAAGTAGCTTTGGCACCCGGTGAACTTGTTAAAGATGATCACTTCACGCTTTTCGAGTCCGTCGCGGCTCTCGAGGCAAGTACTCTGCCTATACTTACCTTAGTCTACAAGTTCTATAACTTACCTATTGACGGCTCTGCTAGGTCATGGACCCAAAAATGGATAGTGGCGTCCTAGCAGAAGGAGAATCATTAGACCAGGAATATGACGTCTCTCGCGACCTGCTGCCAGAAGAAATTCTTGGTATCATCGACCAATTGCTTTGCCTAGAAGTACGTCCTATATAACCCATCTAACTTCTATCGTAAATACGAGATGTTCTGACTGAGGTGATTATTAGATGGCCTGGCATCAGGGTTATCCTCTTTCGCAAACTCTCTTCACGAGCGTCTATATAGAGTCCCTCATGAAACCTCGCCCTACTAACATAGACGAGGCTGACTTCGTTAGAGACAGCCAGGGTCATGAGAAGCAGCCCAAATTCCTTTTTGTCTTACGCGCATATTGTCTGGGGCTCCTCAAGGCGTGCTGCTTTGTGAATGAGCTCGTCAAGGAAGAGCTTTACTACGAGGTAAGGATAATATGTTTTATATTGCACCATGTTTATTGAGAGTACTAACGAGGCGTAGGAGGAAGACTTCGTAACTAACACTTACGACCGCAACCTTCTTTTTGACATACCACTAGCATCCATCAACAGTTTACTGCTGAAGGCTCGCAGTGACCTTCGGCTAGCAAGCAATGATGTTCCTAAGGAGATATCTACTGCCCTTGAACTCCGACTTGAACTACGCATCGCTTTTCTAAGAGCTATCGACCTTGCAAGCTTGCGAAGAAACAACCCGGATTCGTTGAAGATGCCTTGGACGCAGATGAGCGGCCTAATCGAGCACATTAAAAAGCAGCACGAACTAGGGAAACCCGTCCCGGAGGCTTTTAGTACCAAGTTACAGCGGCGGCTAGCTAGTACCATGCCTCCGCGTCCCATGGTCCAACCTAGCTTCGAAGAAAGTTATGGTCAATTTAAGCGACTTTTTCAAGATGGTGTTGATATCATGGACGTCTTGAAATACACCGAACCGCAAAGTCTTTTAGTAAGTTGGTCGAAAAGCTTCTACATAAAAGAAATTACTAACCTTCTATTAGAATTTCGTTCTGCTATTTCAAGCACGAAAACCTCAGCCGTTAGTATATATAAGAACCCTACTTCAAAGTATGATCTGCAAAGATATGATCGTATTAGGCAGCTATAGCATCCGGCAAATACTCGACCATGACCTCTCCATTGTTGTTCTTCCCTGCGCGCCGCAAATAGATCGATCCTACGATGCCATTGAGGTACCAACCGATCCCCGACATCAGATCTCAGCGCAGATGGAAATCTTCCGGCAACGTGTGGCTGAATGCTACTTGGAAATCTTCAGAATATTCTGCCAGAACAGGTGTAGAGTCCGACGAACCCTATGCCATAACATCCAAGAATGGGAGATGCTGCAAGGTGACGTGGAAGAGATCGATCAGCTCCTCCAGAACGTCCTCGATGAAAAACCTCTCGCGATAACCGGGGGGGATCCTATCAACTTTTCGCTACCCCTTTCGTCTTGGGCCTACGTGTACAAGCTCAGGCAGATGGAGTGGATCGTCCAGCTTGGATTCGAGCTGGAAGTCTACCAGACTGACGAGCTTGCTGGCATGTACTGGTACTTGAACTACCTAGCTAAGACACGTGCGCAGCATGGAGACCGCATCAAAACGTTCACAATGCGTAGCTTAAACGAAGCGCGCGACGGTCTCGCTGGCTCTGGTGACCAGCACTTACCCCAATACACGGCCGCTAAAGACCGCGAGTATATGACGTCGGTGGCGTATCTACGCGTAACCATGCTCGATGCAGCTTGCACGTGGGAGTTCGCAGATGGTTTGTGCTGTTTGTATACGGCCTTACTACGATTGAATCTTATCGCCCCGCCGCAGCGCCCCTATAGTTCTGACACTTTGCGCTACGACCTGCGTATGAAGCCCTTCCGGAACATTTCGCTGCCAGCACTGCCGACATTCGACGAGTTTACACGTGCGACTCTACAGCCTGAAACCGCAACACACGACTTGTTGAAGTACGCCGAGAACGCAGTAGGCGGCGCACGAAAGGGGTACGAGGCCCTAAGCAGGATGTCGGAGGCGCAAGCTTTCAGCGCTAACACCCATGGTCGTTGGGTCGGTAACATCAAGGACTGTCTCAGAGCTGCGATTGCGGCGGGTGTTGCGGTGTCGACGCTTCAACGAGCGATAGAGCGGGCCGGTGGTAATGAAGGTCAAGGTCCATTAAATTTGGCATTGAAAGTCGAAATGCCAGAAACGGGCAAGGGTTATCATGATTGGTGGATTGTCCCAAAGCTGGTTCGTACGGCATGATACTTTTTATTGGCTTTAGGATATGTCTAATGGAGGCTACTTTCCTACGCACTATGCTACGTCTTTAGCTGAAGAGTAGATTCAGGGTTTCTGAGAAGTAATCTTACGGGCTTTAGGATAACATGACACCTAGGCCGTACTGAAGACGAAATTCTATTCAAGGGTATTAGTTCCTTGGCAACTTTTCAAGCACGTTACTCTTATGGTGATATACAAATGTCGTCTCTCCCTTCTCATCCTCCCTGTAGCTATTCGCGTATAATTTACCAATCGATTTCGTCAGCGTTCTTGCCTCGGCCATTCTTGCAACAACTTTGTCAATACGACAAGTCGGGCAAAATGGAATGGCTGAAAGACCACGTCCATCCAAGTCGTACAGGGTAAAGACACTTTCATGGCAGGTAGACAACACAATATGTACAATTTCAAAAGCAAAGTCAAACGTAATCTCTATGGTTTAAACAGAGGCTTCTCACCAAGCATCTGAGTATCTACGCCTTGGTGGCCTTTCTCGCCACAGCCCCTCGGAGCTTGATAGTCTGCTCATAGAGGACGTCCTTGAAGGCAAAGAGGAAGGCTGCCGTAAGGACGCTTTGCGTGACTTTGGGACCGATGCCTAGAAGTAATGTTGAGTTAGCGTGATTAACGAGCCAATTTAACAGCTTCTCAGGTCATAAAGCCAAACTTACCCTTGTACAAACCAGCATATCCCTCCTCCTTGATAACGCGACGGATGGCTTGCGTCATGCCCTCGCGCTTCTCGCCGTCGTCGGCTACATGCATCTGGCTCTTGACGGTAATGTACGGGTAGGTGATGGAGGTGGCGAAAAGCTTGCCGATGGCGCCTAGGAAGAAGGCGACGGTCGGGGTGACGTTATGCTTGCGTCGGCGCTCGTACGCGTTCTTCAACTGCTCGAACAAAGTGTACTGCAGGATGGGGTTGATAACCAGCACGAGCGCCGGCACGACGCCGCGGAACAGGGCCTGCGGGCCCTCGTCCCGCAGCAGCGCCATCAGCGTGCCGATCGTGGTCGGCTTCTTCTTCTCCACGACGGCGGTGGTGTCCCCGCCGCCGCCGGCCTGCTCCTGCTCGAGCTGGCCCTTGCGCGTCGTCATGCGCGTGTTGACGACCCAGATGGGGTTCGTGAGGATGACGGTGGCGGAGCCGGCGATGGCGCCGGCGATCATGGCCTCGATCGTGGTCAGCTTCTTGGAGGCGCGGCCGGCGCGCGTCGCCGCCGCTTCGAACGAGCCCCGCGTCCACTCGTACCAGTAGTAGTACACGAAGTTGGTCACGCTGATGCCGAAGACCGCGCTGTCGAGCCCCGCGTATAATCCGGCGACGCCCTCGCGCGCGACGATCTGTCGCACTGCGGCTAGGAAGGCTGTTTCGGCTCGCTTGGACTCGACTTGTGCGCGCGTCGAGAGGGTTACGAGGGGGTACCTGTTTGGAGGCGCGACGGGATGTTAGATTTCTCTTTTCTTTCTTCGAGTTAGGGGCTAAAGCAAGATGCCTAAAAAAACGATTGGTTGATGAGCCGTGAACGTACGTGAGGACCATTGAGAGGATGCCGCCGCCCGCGCCGGCGAGGGCGTGGGCGACGTTGTCGTTCTGGGGAATGGCGGGTTTCGACGACGCCATGTTTGCAGTTATTTTCGGGATTTCAAGGAAGGACTTCAGTTAAAGATCAATTCGTTTTGGTGGAAGAGGAAACCGCAAGTTCAAAGAAGAAAGTTAAAATTATAAAGCGTAATCTATCCCGAATGAACTTGCCCCTAGGTAAGCTTTATCGATGAGTAAATCCAGCATTGGGCAGGTTAGGAAGCCGAGGTCCGATTGCATCACAATGCGGCTAGAGCTCTCTCTTTTAGCGGGATGAGGCCCACTAATTCGCCTGAACCGAGTATCCCTATCGCTGTAAGGCACAAGGTCAGCATTTCTTTCCCCATGCTCTCCCCGGCTTTTGCCCCGCATTTAATTCGTCAAAGACTTTCTTTGAGTTCCGATTTTCACATGCGAGAGGGAGGCTCATGAAATTATTGTTAATATTCTTCTATCTTGTGATGCTAGACTGGATTATAAATATTGATAACTTATAATGCTTGTTATTTCATCTTAATATCTCAATTCAGATTTACCTATATATACACCGCATTCACCAAAGACTACTCCTACATACCACAATAAGATCTTACATGCCAACAGCTGAAAGACTCGATGCCACTTGACTTAGACATATATGCTTAGATAATGCCAGTCACATATCCTCATTCCTCAATTACCATCATTGCAACATTATCTATGTATAAAATACGGTTGTATGTTTCAGGCGAAACACAGCGAAGAGATCAGGGCGTGTGTCGCGATGCAAGTTTCATAACTGCAGGTAAAGAGACATTGATGATATGATTGATTGGTATTAGAATTTACACGATAATTCTGACGTGCAGGTTCTATAAATTATCCCACTATAATCTTACCTGAGCTGCCTGAGGTACATATATCTGTCCAATGGAATGGGCGGGACAGACAATTGATTTTCTGCATCTCAGGTCCCCCTTTTCTTCGATAATGGCGTTGGTAGTATCAGCTGTTGAACGCCACCCCAAAGGGGCAACCTTCACACAATTGTCATTTGGGGGCTATCACCAAATCACCAAATTATTGGGGAAATACTTGGGGGCTCCCCTTGGCTTTCCTTAGCTTCCCCTACAAAGTTCAGCAGCGAACGACAGAGTCACGTGGGATTGCATCCAAAAATAGCATCATGCAGGTGCAGCACAACTCCCGGTCCATCTAAAACAGCCGTGCGCTCTTGCTCGTGGCACCAGCCTCCGCCAGCGAAGTTTCTCAAAATAGAATTCGGCATAATAGGTATTGGCCACCGGAAAAGAAGAGGCTGTCACTAAGGAACTTTAACTTTCTTCTCAATAAGTTTCCCATTCACCTTTCGATAGAGGAAAGGCCGTTCTGATTCATATCATTCGAGCTCTACCTCAGCCAGTTAGAACCCGACATCAATTAACGGACGCCTATCCTACATCCTACTGCATAATAGCTAGGGGTTAATGTCTATCTGCCACTAAGACCACGCTTACGCCTCCATGAGCAAATCAACGGAAGAGCCAATTGTGTTATGAGATGAGAGGAGATCCCGTTACACACGACTTCTACGAGAATAAGGATACTTATTCGTTAGTTATTCAAATCACGGAGATCGCGAGCGCTATAACAATAACTTCGTGAAACTTTCAGCTTATCAAATCCGTCAGCCCGCGATACTTCAACCCACCTTACATAAGTACCTTTCATGCATTTCATTTAATATCCATGGGGATCATCGCATATCTCGCTATCTTATGAGGTTAAGATGGCTCTCTCTACTCCAACGAGCAACGGTTCCCGTCGCTTCAACCCGCTTCCGTCTCCCGGTAAAAATGAGACGCCTAGATCGGTAGGGATGGTAAGACCAATATTACCTCAAAAAAGCGTGACGACTACTTCTATCGAGGATGCCTACGTGAGTTTCATCCTCTACTGCAACCCGGCAGTGCCCTTGGAGACAGACACGTTCGCTCTCAGAGAAGCTTTTCGAACCCCACCAAAAAGCGAGGGGAAGAGCTTCAGTACGTTCACCTTGTTCGAACTCATCAAGAAGCTACACTCAAAGGAGCTGAAGACGTGGGCGGAGTTAGCCTTGAACTTGGGTGTTGAGCCGCCAGACCACGACAAGGGACAAAGCTCTCAGAAGATACAGCAGTATGCCGTCCGATTAAAGGTAAAATTCATTTTACTTCTGTAATAACTATAATGGTTCACTCGATAGCAGCATAGCTTACTCCTAGCAGCGATGGATGCACTCCATGCATATCAACGCCTTCTTCGATTATCTGATGGACAATCCGCACCCATACTGGACCCAAATTCCTACGGACCCGAACCCAGTCTGTGAGGATGGTAGAGATGGGGTTGCTGCCGAAGACGACATGGCTTTGCGCGCTTTGCTACCTCACATTCGACCTCGTCGAGGTCGAAAAAGACCTGAGGAAGATGGACTTAGTAAATCTCCGTCACAAAGACCCAGGTTAGAGTCTCCAGGGTTTGGCGGGGAGCCTAAAACCGCTCGTCCGGATACTCTAGATCCGTGGACCGCTCATCCGGATGGAAGAAACTCGTTCATGTTCCCATCAGTTGATCCAAGATCAAGCGTATTGCCAGAAGCAAATTCAGCCTTCCCATGGAGTAACGATGTTTCGCGCGAACCAATGTCAGCATATCCCCAGTCTGCGATGACGCCGTCGACTAGAGGGACGTTCTGGGGTGACACTACAGAACCTCGCTCGGCAATTAGTCCTAAAACCAAAGCTCTCGGGCGTCGCCATGGAGCAAAGGTCGTTTCTTCCGCTTGGAGAAGCGGCGGCGTATCTACAAGTGGCAGGCCCCGTGGGCGACCTCCAACAAATCGTCCCTCCGACGGTCCATTATCAGCAATCCCGGATGAACGGAGGGAATTTCAGGGGTCCCCTTTTGAACAGGGCACACCTCAGTCTAGCATAGCGCATACGCCGATGCTACCCCCCGAATCGGTACCTAAGTCAGCAGGACCTACCTCTGCGCCAACGTCAGCACCGACGACAACGCCGACTTCTGCTCCTGGCAACCGGCCTGCCCGACCGGGCCGTCTTTCTCTACAAGTACCAGAACGAGCCAGCGGCCCTGTCAGACTAGCGACTCCCCCACCTCCTGTTGTAATGGTAAACGGCAAGAGCCCGGTTAATGGGAACGGGACCAATGGAGGCGGTAAAGCGGCGGACGCCCCCGTGGAAGATGCGTTCACGGTGTTCGATCGCACTTCCGCTATGTTCACGGCCACATCGACCGACGATCACGGGAGCTCCGGAATGCATTTCGACCCTAGCGACAGCGACCGGACGAACTGCGACGAGATCGAGGCCATGTTTGTTGCAGATATACTTGAGGGGGCCTGGTATGATGAAAAGGGGCAGCCAGGCCCACCTGCTGGCGTCGACGAGGCAATGGCCTTGGTTAAGGTTGTCGTCGAGGGCATATCGAAACAAGCTCTAACGAAAGAGGCCTTCCTGATCAACCTCTCAGCGCTTGCGGGCGTTAAGTATCTGATGCAAGCGGGCAGCACCTCGGTACAGAGACTGGAGGTGGGCCCCGATTACACGAAGTACCACTGTTCTTGGGGTCTTCGTTTCGGCCCCGTAAGTGGGAAATTCCGACTCACGGAGACGGTTCCGCACGCGCGGTGGAAGAAGGGCGCTCAACGGCCGGACGAACCTAGGGGTGACTCCGATATCCCGGCCGAGGGCGAGGAGGCCGCGGAGTTTTGGCGTAGGAGATACGCCGACCTCTTGCGCGTCGTGAATAAGAGGAGCGAGGATACGACGCGGGTTGCTAAAGGAGTACAGGATAGCGAGCGGTCTTAGCGCGTGGGGGTTGGGCATTATACGGGATTAATTACGTCTTGTAAGAGTATATTCTACGGATTCATGATTCATGTTGAGTTGGGTTGAGGGTTTAAAAAGCCGCCGAGTTTTCATGTATATGTAATACTTTTTTGGTTCTGAGATACCCCTGATCGCATGTATTATCATATATTAGGAATCTAAAAATATTTCTGGTTCATGGGGTTGAGTAGGCTGGATAGGCTGGCTGGTTAAGAGGGTGTATATGGTATGTGATATGATATTTACCTTCATTTGTTTATGTTGATGGTATATGATTCACTATACGGTGGGCCAGTCCAAAGACGCCGCTGCAGTGGGCTGTATTTAACTACCTAGTTAGGTACCTACTGAAGTAACGCCTATTGTTCAGAGCTGGCTCATTCCAAAACCCCACGTCTCCTTGATCAAGTCCGCTGCTCTTTCGGCGAACGCGTACACAGTAGATTGGAGATTGGCTGTGCTGATTAGGGGGATTGCGCTCGAATCTACAATACGGAGGTTCTGAGTTCCGTAGACCTTCAGTGTGCTGTCTACAACTCCATTCATTTCTTTCGGTAACACTTTGACACAATATATTAGCGATTGAAGGAACAAGTCAACGATAATGAGATACCTACTTGCACAACTGCCTCCCAGGTGCCACATAGACGCCGCACTCTTCTGGATCCATTTCTTCGCGGTTTCTAGATCAGTAAGGTTTGAAGACGAATGCCTGCGAATGATGGGGTGTTTCAGGAGGTCAGTCAGAGGGCGTAAACGGGCAATGGTTTCGATGTAGAGCATATGCTCCGCGAAGAGATCCAGGTCCAACGAATTGGATAAGTAGTTGGGATTGACTATGGGAGCAGCCGATGTGTCGTTGGAACGAATATGGACGCTTCCACGAGAAAGTGGCTGGGAAAGCATGACGCAAAGAGTCAAAGTCCGACCATTTTCTTCGATCGGGCCACCCCATGGCCCAAGGAACGAGAAGTATGCCCCAGAAGCCTGCTTCGGGTCAAGAAGGGTCGCCTCGGCCACTTTGTAGTACGCTTGAGCTCTAACCTGGTCAGGATTCTCTCCCGGAGTGGGACGATTGTCGACAAGCAATTTGGTTAGTCGCTCTCGCCCTTCACTAGAGAGGTGTTCCATGATAGGAAGATATGCGTATGTGTACACTCCCATCGAGGTAAGTAGACCGGTCCGACGTTCTGCGAAGTCAGTTATGGCTTGTTCACGCACGGATGGGTCCAGAATGAGAGGGTCAAGCGTTTCCAGGGTGTCCACCGCCCCGTAGCTAATCGTGTCGATTAGATGATCATAAAGGTTCTCTCCAACTCCTGGGAGATCGACGATAGGGTCAATGCCGTGCTTTTCCAGGAAACTTGCATTGCCGATTCCAGAAAGCTCTAATATCTTGGGCGACTGAAGAGCACCTGCGGCAAGTATAACCTCCTTGTTACAGATGGCTTTTCGGCACTCGCCTTTATAGTTATAAAGAACCCCAGAAGCTACGATGGACTCCTTGCTGTTTGGGCCTTCGCTGTCGAAAAGGATCTTTTCAACAGTGGAATTTGTGAGGACCTCCAAATTCTTTCTCGTCTTACTACTAGCGTAGTATGCCGAAGCGGCATTGGTTCTCTCCTTTGTGACTGGGTCGACGGTTGCGAGGCAAGAAAAACTCCCCAAAGACCCGTTGATGAAGGGATCTTGTACGGTGTAGTAGCCATTGACGCGAAATGTGTCTGCCCAAGCCTTCCTTATGGGATGGGACGGGTTCCCGGGGAACGAGGTTGGAAGAGGACCGTGCGTGTCACTATGATCTGTCCATCCGTCAATGCCGAGCGCCTCTGCCAGCGAGCTGTCGACCGGAGGAGAAGTATAAGCTTTGGCATAGTACGGGCGTAGAGTCTCCCAATTCCAGCCACTATTCCCAAGAGACGAGCCCCAATGATCAATCACGGACGGGTTGCATGGAACAAACACCTGAGCATTAATGGCACTAGAGCCTCCAAGTGTTTTGCCTTGGCTGACCCCAATTGATCTCTCGTTGAGCAATGGCTTTGGTAAGTTTTAGTAAAGATATCCAAGACGAGTGATGTTATATGTAGAAACCCGATATGTACACACCTGTGGCTCAGTCCGGAAGCCCCAATCTACCTCAGTGCCCTGCAAAGATGTCCAGGAAGCCGGGGTCTTAATCCGTTGGTCTGGGCTGAAATCAGCTCCGGCCTCTAAGACGAGGACGCGTTGACTTGGAATTTCAGAAAGACGAGTTGCGACTACTAAACCGGCCGTACCACCACCTACAACGATGAAGTCATATGTATCTGGTGACATCTTGATGGAATAGTAAAGTTGGCAGTCTAAATGGTGGGCAACAAAGTCAATATTTGGAGCGGACGGGAAGAAACAACAAAAATATAGACTACAGCATACCTTGGGAGTGGGAATTCTATTACACCCAAAACTAAGGGGTTAAGCGCTAGGCAAACAACCATAAAGCCCCATATGCAGTTGGTCGTCACGCATCCTACGCCAATTCGGCGAAGCAACGACGCAATGCCGTCTCACGACAGTGAGAGATTTATGTGAGGCTATGTTAGAGAGGGGGCGGATGAAGGCTGGGGTTTACACCTACATAGGTACCTATTAGGTACCTGGATAATGAAAGCGAAGTTGCTTCCATAATAAAGTGCGACCTGTTGGTGATAATTTCGCATGTTCCTTATGCAGGTTCCGACCAACAGTATGTGGATTATTCTCAAAGCAGCCTTGGAAGGGTTACAATACAATATTGATATCCATCTTGCATGATGGATGGTGCTTGAGCAACGTAACTTCCATTTATTAATTGAAGGCTGAACCGACTGTGTAGCTATGGATGTCTAAGCTGCGATCATCAGAGTGAAATCCATTCGGCAAACCTCCACCTATGCCGTACGTACCTGGGTAGGTAGATTTTGTTTTCAATGGCCAACAAAAGAAGGGGTTAGGTGTATGAATGAGGCCTATTGTTATCAGTAATTGGTTTCGAAACACTTTACTTCAAGCCTCGTGCCCCCTTTTCCAATTGTAGTTCTCACACTTGCACGGGTTGTTTCATACAAAGGTCTTCTCTAGTGGATGATTACCTAGTTATTTTCTCGAGATTTCAATGTGAGCTATTATGGAGCTTACGCTGATTGCCATCCGAACTGCTATAGTGCTGTCAATTAGCACCACACTGGCCATTATCGCCGTTGGACTCCGCCTATGGTCTAGGAAACTGATGGGAACGCCTCTTGCGTTCAACGACTACATGGTAATTATTGCCACGATTCTGGCTCTTGGAGTATATTCAAATGCCATGATAGGTAATATATGCAAATTCAACTCGGTTGAGACGAAGTATTCGCTAAAACATGGGCGTAGAAGTCTTTACCGGAGGCATTGGTCATCATGTCAAGGATATTATGGAGAAAGATCCAAATCTGATTACTCTCTACTTGAAGGTGAATACCAGCTCGACGAGTGTTATTAAGAGTTGCTTATTGACCTTTAGGTTTACTTAGTCATTCACAGCTGCCCAGTTACTCTGGGCTGCCTCGAACACTTGCGTTAAGTTCTCGATACTATCATTATATATGATCATATTCCCAGGCCCTAGATTTGCGCATTGCTGCCGCGGCTTAATGGCTATCACCATAGTTTATTTTATCAGCGTGGTGGCAGAGTCTTTCGCCCTTTGCCATCCAGTGGAGTTCAACTGGTACAAAACTATTCCAGGAGCCTGGTGCGAAAATCAGGGCCTTTCTTACCTTATTGCTGGGATTACCAATCTAGTTATTGACGCATCTATCGTGATATTGCCAATGCCTATGCTATTTAGTTTACGCTTGACGCTGCTAAAGAGATTTGGTGTTGCCGGCATGTTCAGCCTCGGGGCGGTGTAAGTAATTCAATCAAATCAATGATAGCACAGAGACTGACTGCTAGGTTTTAGCATATGTGTATTGTCTCTCCTAAGGGTTTTGTGGCTTATATCATGGGACGTTAGTGACTTGACATATGGAGTTGGCTTAGGAACGATCTACTCTACTCTTGAACCAACTCTTGGAATCGTGAATTCCTGTCTTCCAGTCATCAAACCTTCCCTTAAACGGATATTTGCTGCTAATAGTGGTGATTGGACTAAGAAGGTTCTGAAGAGGTCCACAGCAACAGGAAGTCAAGACACCAGTACTCCGCCCGCCATAGGTCCCCTCAGTCATGGCTTCGAGCGACTCGACGACAGCATTCCCCTCGCTAACGTCCGCGCCCATACTCGAACAAACAACACTAGCAGGTGGGACAATACAGAGGATATAAACAACATCCTAATTACACGGGAATGGGAAGTGAATCGCTCTGTCTTAGGCCGCGGGGAGGGTCTTTCATATGGGTTATAAGCTATAGATCAAACGGCAGCGGGAAAGATACGGGACCACGGAATGGTTCAGTTCATGTACATATATTCGCTTCTTCGTATATACCTACCTAGGTAGGTATGGAGGCTTCCACATCTTTCATTTCACGAACCGACATTTTACCTTCGTACCCAAACACACAAACACAAAATGCACACATCTCTTAGGCTGGACACAATGATAGTCAGGTTGTTGGCGCAGGCGTATTCTAGTTGGGCACTTAGTATATTACCGCGGCCTAATGAATTACCTTTTACTCTAGGTCGGTGCTCTGAGGTTTAGGGTTTGACGCCGCTTATCTTTGACCTCTAGGTTAGAATAGAGAAATAAGACAATAGGGGCCCGCACATTCGTATCATAACTCCAAATATTTTTCTTAACTGAAACAACATTGAATGTCTACCTACTTCCTATATTATCTTGATAAACACGCAGGGTGGTCTTGCAAATTAGGATGAACTCTATAATTGTGGTATAGTTTACTTGAAGAGGGGTGAATATTGTGGTGTTTAGGCCAGTGTTTCATGATTCGAGGGAGATATAATTCAGTGTTGTACTTTCCAATAATGGACAGTACTAGATTCTACGTCAATAAAGAATACTTATATCGAATTTCCAAAGACGTGCAGGCCATCTTCTGTGTCCATTTTTGAACTTCTATTCCACTATGCCAATCGTTCCCTAGAAACAAGTCTCTTGCGATACAATACCTAGCAATAGCTTTATCACAGTATGCTTTAGGATCACCTCAAACTTACGTTTAACATGCCGGAGAAATTTGAACCAACACCGCCGTAAGCATCAAAAGGAAAGAGTTTTCTATTAACGACCATTTTTATGCTGATAGGTTTTATACAGTCGCAAATCTTCGGTGTACCGTTATGATTGCTCTACGGAAAAGGGTCGTCATGACACAAAAACACGAGTCAATCTCAACAATAACCTGAGTGCCAAGTCTGCATCTCCTTTCTCCTAGTACGCGCCACCCCAAGCTGACCGACTCGGTGGTAATAGGATCACGAACCCCTTGGCCGGCATCCCTCGTGAATATCTCCTAGATCAGGTAACTAGGTTTTCCGAGCACCACGGTTTGGCTAAATACATCCCGCTCATGCGCAAGGGTGCACTTGTTGCCCAGAATCCTGCCGCTTTCGAGGATATTTACGGGCCGGAAGCACTTGATAAGGAAGAAATAAATGCGTTAAGAAATGAGACAGAGCACAAGTGGAGAGTCCCTCGGCTTCTTTATCTAACAATCATCACTTGCTCCATCGGAGCGGCTGTTCAAGGATGGGACCAAGAAGGCAGCAACGGGGCCAACTTGTCGTTCCCCGCGCAATTCGGCATCGGGGGACAGACCGACCATGATATACTCCTAGTCGGCCTGATCAACTCGGCTCCTTACATCGGATCGGCTCTCATCGGTTGCTGGCTTTCAGATCCGCTGAACTGTCACTTTGGCCGGCGAGGTTTGTAAAATTTTCTTTTCTCTCCCCTGCCCTCTTTTCTATTATTATCCCAGTTTAAAAGGGGGAATGACTTAATCTGTGATAGGAACCATCTTCATATCTGCGATATTCTGCTTGCTCACTCCTATTGCGGGAGCTTTAACCCAGAACTGGCAACAGCTCTTGGTTACTAGAATACTACTCGGTGTTGGCATGGGTATCAAAGCCTCGACTGTACCCATCTTTGCTGCCGAGAATAGCCCAGCATCTATCCGCGGTGCTCTAGTCATGTCCTGGCAGCTGTGGACAGCATTCGGTATCTTCCTTGGTTGTTCTGCTAATCTAGCAGTTGGCCAAATCGGCAGGATTTCCTGGAGACGTATGTGCTATCTCATATCAACTTACTCTAACTTGGTGCTTTGTATAACTAATGAGTCCAACTTACGCAGTTCAGGTTGGTTCGGCTTTCATTCCAGCGGTTCCTCTTACATTTCTCATCCCATTTTGTCCGGAATCGCCGAGATAGTATGTCAAGAAAGGACGATATCGAGATGCTATGGAGTCGCTTTTAAGATTACGCAACCACCCCATACAAGCGGCTCGTGATCTTTACGCCATTAAAGCTCAAGTGGAGATAGAGGATGAAGCCATCGGCGATTCAACTTATGTCAAGCGGCTCATCCAACTTTTCACGATCCCTCGCGTCAGGAGAGCAACACTGGCGTCTTTCGTAGTCATGATAGGCCAACAGCTGTGCGGTAAGCCATCTAACTCGGGAGTATGAGAATTGGCCAAAGCCTGGGAATTAACAGCTATGATAGGCATCAACCTAATAGCATTTTATTCTTCTACCGTCTTCAAAGAAGCAGGAACTTCCGACTTCAGTGCGCTCCTTGCGTCATGGGGATTTGGTTTAGTAAACTTCATCTTCGCGTGGCCAGCTCTCTGGACTATCGACACATTCGGTCGTCGTTCGCTGCTCCTGTTCACCTTTCCCAACATGGCCTGGTCCTTATTAGCTGCCGGTCTTTGCACGCTGATCCCCAAGGGCGCCGGGGCTCACGTGGGTCTGGTAGCGCTATTCGTCTACGTCTTCGCGATCTTCTATTCGCCCGGAGAGGGTCCCGTACCCTTTACGTATAGCGCGGAAGTCTTCCCACTCTCACACCGCGAGGTTGGGATGTCGTGGGCTGTAGCGACTTGCCTCTTCTGGGCTGCTGTACTGTCAATCACATTCCCAAAAATCCTTGCGGCTACAGGTGTTCTTGTAGGTCCCATTGCAAAGTCTCTCCCTAAAACGCAGACACTTGGGGACGGCGCTCTAACGCTTAATTAGGGTGCGTTCTGCCTATACGCAGGATTCAATGTCACAGCGTTCGTCATGATCTTTCTGTGGATGCCCGAGACAAAGCAGCGCACGCTCGAGGAACTTGATTACGTCTTTGCCGTACCTACAAGCGTATTTATCAAGTACAACTCCACCAAGGTGGTTCCATGGTGGTTTAGGCGCTATATCCTACAGCGGAGTGGTGCTGTACTCGAGCCTCTCTACCACTTCGATGACGCTACTTCCAGCCCGTCGATTATAATAGTGGAGGACTATCTAACGGACACCAGCGATACGGGGGCCACAGTTGATTCTAAGGAGTACGTCGGAACGCCGGAAGCGCAAGTTAGTGCTATAGCCAGCGGTGCCGACGCTATCACTATATTTTCTCGCTCCGAGAGAGAGGCGGCTGCTGTTCGTCGTTATTCTTGGCACGGTGCTGGTGCCCACAAACACCCCGCCTTTGAAGATGAGAAGCTCACCTAAAAATTTTGATGGTATTCCAAGTACACTACACATTCGCGTTCTTCTCTAGACCTAAGGCTCATGTTATGCTCGTTTTTGAGGTTCTCGATGAGCAGCTCTGCTACCTGTTCCTGTCTACATACCTAGGTACCTAGTAGATAAGCAAACTAGTTTGTCACCGGTGCTAAAAGCCGAAGAACCTTCGAGTGTCTTCTTAGATGGACCTTGGCACGGAGCCTAAACCAGAAGTCATCACGATGTGAAAATGTGCTCGCGTGATAAAACTTGCGAACTCGAGAAATTCGTCAGCCGGCGCTATCGTTATAGCTGATAGAGCTGGCCTAGCATTAGTCTTCTCGCTAAACAGACTCGGGCGAGACGATGTGATGACGATCAGCAAATGTGGCTTGCCCCGGCGCGTTTTGGAATTCGGGCTGACGGCACTTGTCAGCCTTTGAAGTGTACAAGTGGATTCCCCTTTATAATGATTTTCATAAGCAACTGCCTTTTTATTCTTTCCCCCGCGCACAAGAACACGCAGTCTGCGAGTAAAGCTTGATTCTGTTATGCATTCTACCGATAGTTCGATAGTGGTTCATGTCGACATTGATCATCTAAGCCATTTTTGCCATTTGAATGGACGAGATTGCAGCTGAGATCTGCGTCATGGCCACTTTTCTAAGTTGATAATTCCGAGACTTCAACCTCCTCTCCCCTATCTTTTCATGATCGCCGTCGCAATTAGGAAGTGATCTTATTCGCTTCCGAGGTAGAGAGAGATGACGTTCATTGTACAAGGAAAATTGTAGCGTATTCTCTCCATAGATAGCAAGACGGTGAATTGTCAATCACATGCGTGTGAGCTGATCTACCCAAGGAAATCTCAAAAACGGGACGGAATGGTAACCAAGATCTCGAACATTCGGCCGTGGAGAACGAAAAAAAAAAAAAGCCCTAGGGCAATATCTCGTCCGATATTTTCGTCATAGTTGTCGACATTCGAGCTGAACTTTCATACCCTTGAGAGTGGAACGTGCTTCAACCTAGCTAGCTACGCCTGCAAATGCTCACAAAGAGCAATCGGGATAGACCTATTTTCTGAAACAATGACAATGACGCGGTTGGAAAAACTGACCTATTATTAGCCGACTTAACAAACAAGTCCCGGAGACTTCGAGGGTTAATCCCTTTGATAATACGAAAGGAGTGTTACTTAATAAAGCCTAGTATGAAAATTGTAGTGACTTAACTAGAATAGTGGCAACCTCAAACGCCTCTTCTTTTTTTCTCTCTTTTTCCTGCGAAATCCCTTAGCTCATACTTAGGTAGGGGTAATAATTCATAGCGATTGACCAACCACAACGAGCTTCTCAGTAGTTGGCATTTATTTTCTGCTGAAACGTCTAGATCGTCACCCCTGAATAACGTCGATGGCGCATTTCATTGTAGGAATCTATTTGAAGGTCAAAGCCAGCATTCCGAATTCCTAGAGTGGAAGGTAGACATTCTACCAGGCTGTCAGGGTTGAGTAGGCGAGATGATTGCATAGGATCGATAAGACAAACTGAAACAGTGTAAATGTATTGTTGTCATTGATACCTATTCATGTGATAAATGTGATCCGATAGGGGGGAATAAATGTCTAGGGAGGTATCTTGAAATTTACCCAGCAGGCAGGTACAGCCCTCGAGGTTAGCAGTCTAGCAGCCACATTGGCTCTTTCCACTTCGGCAACATACATGGATACTGTCCACAATTTGTCTCCAGTGTCTCCAGTTCTTTTTAGATCGATTCCCATGTGGACCCTTGAGGAAAAAAAACTACAGGCGGACTTTCCAACGCGTCAATCCTCCACACCTTGGAGTCTGATGGTACTAAATCTTGTACTACTATGTACAAGCTTTGACCCCTGCATGTATCATCCTACCTCGATTCACGATCTTTCTCTTTTTTTTTCCTTCTACTTTCCACCTCCCTCTTTTTTTTTTTTCGGGTCAACGTCTTTGAAGATTCCTTGGTCCCTATAGGCATAGTATATGCTTTGGATCTATTCTCCTTTATTAGTCAGTTGACTATCAGTCTTTCGTTTTGCTTAACCTCCATTCTCTCCCACAAATTCATACCCCGTATCCTAAACGCCTACGGTTAACTCCCATCTTTTTCTCTCCCTGTCGGATTTTTTATACAGCACCACCTTCACCCTTCCGATCGATCGCCTGGTGCCATCCTGAGGGAAGAATATTTGTGGTATATTATTCATTCACTTGTATATCCAGGTTTCCCCATTTTAAGGAAACAGATAAAGGGAACCGTCCAAGCCGCATTGTCGGGTCACATTTTGGGCGGCTGGATTACGTTAGTAGCTACTGCAGCTACATATCTCCCCCACCGTAATGTCGATCCGTTCTCCTAAAGGGTTCGTGCAACTGGGTACTTCAAGGCCTGATATGGACAGCGACATCCCCTTAACTCAAGTCCGGAGCAATGCCAGCTCAACCGGTGCTAGGAAACCCAACCAAGGCACTGCTACTGGCTTCAGCATGGAATCGAAGAACACCGAAGAAAATGAGAAGCGTGGCTTCTTCCATCGTGGTCGAAGGCAGGCTAAGAAGGACAGTCCTTCCGGGGAAAATGATAACCTAACTTCCGACGAGGCGTCTCTCAATGCCATGGGGAAACTCTACAACAAGATAATTGGCGCCTCGGTCGTCACGAGATATCTCGTGTATATCGTCCCCGTTGCGCTCCTCCTTGCTGTCCCTCTAATCGTCATCCCGGCGACGGGAAATAGGTACAGCATTGAGGTTGGTCATGGCCCGCGAACGAACGCCTTGACCGAGGCCGTTGCGGTCTACGCCCCTGGACCACAGCTCTTCAACCTTTTCCTCTGGATCGAGCTTGCGTGGTTGAGCTTATGGGTCGGCAAGGTCGTTGCCCACCTCCTACCACCCGTCTTCATGTTTTTCACTGGTGTTGTCAGTGCCGGAACCCGCAAGTATGCAATTGTTATCCGCGCTCTGGAGATTCCGCTCTCGCTCTTCTTCTGGGCCATGGCTACATTCTTTATATTCACGGGCCTTATCAACACGAATTTCAACGACGTTAGCTGGGTTATTGCAATTCGAAGGATTCTCGGTGCACTCTTCGCTTCTTCGGCCGTCTTCCTCGTCGAGAAGACCATTATCCAACTCATTAGCGTAACGTACCATCAGCGATCTTTTGCCAACCGGATAAAGGACTCGAAACGAGAAGTTTTCCTACTGGGACTGATGTACGACGCATCTCGACAGCTATTTCCTATGTACTGCCCTGAATTCATCGAGGAAGATGAGCTTATCAACGATAGTATCGAGATAATGCTCGCCGGCGGGAAGAAAGGTAGAAGAAATAAGAAGGGCGGAGCAGTCACGCCCATGAAATTAATCGGGAATGTGGGACGAATCGGCGACAAAGTTACCTCTGTGTTTGGAAACCTAGCTTCCGAGATCACTGGCAAGCAGGTCTTCAACCCGAACTCCGCCCACTCGATTGTTGTGGAAGCCCTCGAAAAAGCCCGAACCTCAGAAGCTCTTGCGAAACGTATTTGGATGTCGTTCGTTGTGGAAGGCAACGATGCTCTTTATGTGGATGATATCATCGAAGTGCTCGGCCCTGGACACCGTGACGAAGCTGAAGAATGCTTCGCTGCCATTGATGCTGACTCAAACGGCGACATCAGTCTTGACGAGATGATCAGAAAGGTGGTTGAGACTGGAAAAGAAAGGAAGGCTATAGGGAACAGCATGAAGGACATTAGCCAAGCTTTGGCTGTGTTCGACCAGGTCCTTCTCTTCATTGTCCTTCTGATCGTCATTTTCATCTTCCGTAAGTGTTTTCCAATAAACCTATCTTTTTATTTATCTACTTACATATTTCTGCAGTGGCTTTCTTCCAGAGTTCGTTCATTACCACGCTCGCTACTGCCGGTACGGCCTTACTCTCGTTGTCTTTCGTCTTCGCCGTCACGACTCAAGAATTTCTGGGTTCTTGTATCTTCCTATTCGTCAAGCACCCTTACGATGTGGGAGACAGAGTCGACATTGCAGGCTCGGAGAAAGAGCAGTTGGTCGTCGAGAAGATTTCCCTGCTTTACACTGTCTTCAACCGTATCGACAAGATGCAGGTCGTCCAGGTGCCAAACATTGTTTTAAACAATCTTTGGATTGAGAACGTGACCCGAAGTAAAGCTATGAAAGAAGTTATCGACATCAATGTTTCGTATGATACCTCCTTTGAGGATATTGAGCTTCTGCGACTTGAAATGGAGAAATTCGTGCGCGCGCCGGAGAATTCGCGTGACTTCCAGCCGGACATTGTCATCGGAGTGGCAGGCGTTGGCGACTTGGACAAGCTTCAGCTGAAAATTGCTATCAAGCACAAGTCAAACTGGCATAATGAGGCTATCCGTGCCACTCGACGCTCTAAGTTCATGTGTGCGCTTACGCTTGCCCTGAAGCGAGTACCAATCTACGCACCTGGTGGTGGCGGTGAACCGCTAGGCGGACCGACGAACCCATCATACTCTGTTGCTGTGACGGACTCGGACGCTTCTGCTGCTCGTGACAAGGCTAGCAAGGAAAAAGAAGGAAAGAGAATGGTGCCAACATCCTCAACGCCAGCCAGGAACCCTTCGACATCCAACAAAACCGGTGTCCCCGAGGAACGCGAGGCGAAGGCTGCCCACGATTTTAATGCCATTAACCCCGCAAAAGCGGCGGCAGATGAATGGGGCTATAATCGCGAAGAGTCCCCAAGGAACTCTCGCGAAGAGTCTATGGACCGACAACGTTCGAATGATTTAGATTCGATACGCTTGGACCTCCATAAGCGGGAGAGTCAGCGCAGCGGTGGCCGTCGTAGAGCAGGTGAAACTTTACCTCCGCAGCTCCCGGGCGAGAACACCCCAGGCTTTCAAGTAACTCAGCATATGGGCCCCTACGATGAAGAGGCACAGGTGGGCGGGCCAAACCCGTATCACACTGGAAATTCACTACACCCACAGTCATCCCTTCGAAACATCCAGTCAGCCGGTTCGGGGGCTGGCGGCCGATCCACGGGCGTCAACCGGAACCGATCACCGAGCAATCCTTACCAGCAGCGATAGAAGCGCGGATTTCCCGCACCTTAATGATTCATTCCTTTCCCCACGACAGACGTTTAGTTTATAGATTATGGATCTTCGATTAGAGGTGTTAGAAAGGGGGAGAGTCATCACCGTAAGCTAGATGCGCGGTGCCAAAAGATGGTGTCGGAAGTGCTCTGGCACCATCACGAATAGATATGCCGATATGGAATAAAGGGAGGGCCTAATGAGTTTCAGTCGGTACATGAGGACGATCGGAGCATCCTAGAGACACTTACCTAAGTTACAAATCGTATATTTTTATGACCAATGATTACTTTTTATCATGCTTGTGACATAATTACCTGGATTGAACGGGTTCATGTGTTCTGCGGCGTTGACATTCTTTTCTGCCTTAAGGTAAAGCGTTTTTTCTTTTTCATAAACATAGGTCTATAATTCACCTTTAAGATACGTGTCCCAATAGCGTGCCTGGCCCTACCTACCCTACCCCCGGTACCTCCCCCCCCTTTTCTTTTTAACCCCTATCGCACCAACTCCTTACCGCAAAGCCCACGTCTGTCCCTTGTTCCCGTTCCAGGTGACCTTGATCGCCAGCCCGCGCGCGTGGTCCTCCGGGATGGAAAACGAGATGTCGCCCGTGATCTCGGAACCCTTCTTCAGCGCCGTCGCCGTAGCAGCAGTTCCTCCTTCCTTGGCCTCCATCCCGTTCTCCTCCGCGCTTACTGCGGCGGCGGTGGTGGATTTGGAAGGCTTGCATAGGAGCAGCCCTTGCTTCCAGTGCGTATCGGGACCGTGCGGGCCCGTCGTGAAAGCGACTCGGTTCTGCGGGTCGAGGGACGCCCACTCGGCTGCGGACGCGGATGTGGCTACTGCGGTTGTGGTGGTGGTGGTGGAGGGGGGTGTGGGCGAGAAGAATATGTCGAACCAGATTAGGAAGCCGTCGAGGACGTCGACGTCGCGAGCGAGGGTTAGGGTGTACGGGTGCGTGAAGGATAGGTCGGCGGTTTGGACGCGGTATAGGTCTAGCAGCTTGAAGGCGTGCGGGGCGCCGGGGATGGTGGTTTTGTTTTCGGGGGTGGAGAAGAGGGTTAGTGGCGTGGTAGTGTTGTTGTTGGTGGTGGGGGTAGCAGTGGTGGTGGTGGTGGTTGATGAGGGGGGAAGGGAGAGCGGCCAGCTGAGCACGCGCGCCTCGTCGTAGATGCCGGCTTGCATGGCGCGCATGTCGAAGCCGTAGATGTCGCGCCAGAAGTCGACGGTGTCGGCGACGTACTGCGGGTCCGACACGGGCGCGACCCAGAGATTCGCGTGCGAGGGCACGAGCAAGCCGCCCGGCTTCAGGTACCGGTCCCGCGCGTACAGCACGGACGGCAGCATGGCCTCGAAGAGCAGGCAGTACCCCATCCACTCGCTGACGATGACGTCGACCTCGTCGACGGGGAGAGAGACCTCCTCCATCTTGCCGTGCACGCAGGTTATCACGGACGATAAGCCGTTGTGGAAGATGTTCTCCTGCGCCTTGGTGATGATGGCGCTGGCGTCGACGGCGATGACCTTGGCGGCGCCCGCTTTGGCGCAGAACATGCTGAGGATGCCTGTGCCGCAGCCGATGTCTAGCACAATTTTGCCCGCGAAGAGGTGCTTGTTGTTGTAGATGAAGTCGCGGTACGCGTCGGTGCGCACCGCGTCCTTGAGCATCGTCTCGTGGATTTCTTTGTATGGGGGGTTAGTTAATTAATTCTTCGCCTAATAAATAAAGGAGATGAGAAGCGGGATAAGAGGTAGGTATGTACTTACCAACTCCGGCGTAAGAGTCCCAATAGTACTGAGACTCGTCCACCTTCTTCTCGACGCCTTTGCCTTTGCCCGCCTTAGCTGCGGCGGCGGCGGACTCGGCTTCCGCTTGGTCGACGTCGCCCCAGCGCTCGTCGAGGGTCTGCTGCACGGCGACGCGGTAGCTGTCGAACTGCGCCTTGACGCGCTCCAGCTCCTCTTGGAGATCGCTGTTGCGCTTTAGAAGGTCGTCGACTAGGACTGCGTTGTCGCCGCCGCCCTGCGCCGTCGTCGTACCCGCACCCGCCGGGGTGAGCTCCGGCAGCTCGTCCAGGGCGAGGATGACGGCGTCGTCATCGAGCACGGGCTTTAGATACTGCTCTTGGTCGATGGCGGACCACGTGATGTCTTCCGTTACTGGGAGGCCCTCGTGCACTCGTTGGCGAACTGTTCGCAGGTTAGTTTGTAAAATCTGAGTAGTGAATAATCCCTGTTATAATAGTCTTTTCGAAGTAAATTGTGAATCGCAGAAAAGTCGCAGAAAAGTGCATAATGAAAATAAGAAGCCTTACTGAAATTGACCAGTTTGATACAGCCGTAGAAATCTAGCTGCAGACGTTGGCGGACGCCTAAAAAGTCGAAGCCGTGCTTGTCCTTGCAGTGCGCAAGCATGGACATGACGTCGGGGAATACCCGATCGTCGAGTAGCGAGATGACTTCTTGGGTCTCCTCTTCGTCTTCGGCGTCGCTCCAGTCCTCCCCGTCTCGGGAGTCCGAGTCGTCGGACTCGCTCGGAGGTGGACGGCGCTCCGCTCTTCTCGGTGCGGAACTCATCGTGAATGAGTCTGTATATACGTGTGGAGATGATAATTTGAGGGGGTCAATGTGGGAAGTGAGAACTGAGAAGCGTTGGGAAGTGTTTATATGTTTGATTTTGTTTATGCGTTGATCAAGTCTCAACCAATCCTTTAACGGCCTAATATATATAAGCAAACTGAGCTATATTTTAAGGTTGTCCGGGTTCTTGTGTATCGCCAATCGTTTAACAAACGAGAACTATACGTTGATATATCACGAATCTCCTAAGAAATTCTTACAATTGTGGAAAAATATCGAAGTACAGTAGCGGCTCGGATAAATACATATCAAATATCAAATATCAATAATATAGTACGCGCTATTTGCATACAATCACCCCTTATTGCCCATACTAAGGGTTAGGTCGAATATAGGCATTTTGAGATTTGGAGACTCATTTCGACTCACGTCTTCTCTCAAGTTGGATTCGGATCAACTACGAATGCACTATTTGGGTCTTTATGATGATGGTTCTTTCGAATACCTAAGTAAAGGTATTCAATCAACGTCATCGTCATCTTCATCTTCTTCGCCATCATCGTCTTCATTTTCATCTTCACCATCTGACACGGTCTCGCCTAGATCGATGAGTCGTTTCTAGAAGAAATTCATTAGCATTCTCTGAAATTTTGATCATGAAATCATGAAAATGGTGACGTACCTTATATTTCTCGACCTTTTCCTCTATGTCGCCAAAGACCATTAGAAGATCATCGAGCTCAGTTTGAGTGGCCGATTTCTGCTCCTCCTTTTCTTCCAACTGTGCGCGGGACTGTCGCTCATAGTTAGTGTGCTGTTTTCCATGTTCAAGGTGGTGCCATATTTACCTCTTCCAAATCTTCGTCCTTTTGCGACAATTGCTTATCTTTCTGTGCTAATTCCTTCTCAAGCTTCGAACACCGCTCTTCAGCTGTTTTCGTCTTCGACTGCTCAGCCGATAGCTTGGCAGCATATTCTTCCTGAGCGGCGTGCAATTCCTCAGTTTTTGCCTTGCTTGCCTGCATCATGTTAGCTTGTTCAATGAACAAGACACAGAACTAATCATACCTTCATGAGGTCAACCTCGAGACGGCTAATCGTGGCCCGAAGGTCTGCCATTTCCGCCTCGGATCGTCGCTGAATACGTGCGGCCTCCGCCTCCGCAGTTTTACGGACGTAGTCAAGTTGTCTTTGCAATTCCGCTTGCTTGTCACGATAATCAGCATGGATCGCTTCTGCGGCCTTGGCTGCTTCCCTTCGAAGAGTCTCTAATTGTTTTTGATGAGCTTGATCCTTGGCCCGCTGTTCCGCTCCGATTTTTCTGGAGACATTAGCAAGGGCATATTGGCAGGAAAAATAGAACACCTAGGTACTTACTTAAGTTCCTCGTTGTGGTGTTGCTGTATGGCTTCATTGACACTCTTGATCCGTGCCAATTCTGCATCAGAAGATTCCTTGGTCCGCCGATGGTCTGCTTGTTCTTGCCCAAGTTTTCCGCTGAGCGAGGCCATATCAACGAGGGTGGCTTGTAATGTTCGTTCCTTTTCGTCGACTTGCGCGCGTAACGAGTCCACCATTTCGCGGGAAATCCCCTTTTGGACGCCATTGGTTACCACTGAAATCTCCATGCCGGGATCGCGATCAATAGCCCTTATCATACGACTATAGTTGTCCTTGAAGAAATCTACAAAGGTCGCATCAAAGTAAACATCGGGCAGATTGCCTGCAATCTCAAGTTTCTGCGGGATAACCTCAAAGTTCCTCATGAATGGATGGCTTCGTAACTTATTAAGAGCGTCAATGTACTTTTCCCTGCCCATTCGAGACATGAGAACGTCGTGCAGCGTGGCCCGAGGAATTGGGGAGTCTTTGGTAGAGAATTCATAAACAACCCCGAGGATCATCGCGCATAAGCCTTGAGCAATGGGGCTGCTTGAATTGTGCCGTACAGCTTCTTGCGCGAGTGCTTGAATATTGCTTCCTTCTCCCAAGAAGTCATTCACTCCATCAAGATCTTCGAATAGCCATCCTATTAACAACATCAAATAGCCCACAGATATTCGATCATCGTCTCCTCTGGCAAGCCCACTGACGAGATGAGCGGTGATCGTCTGAATGCTTGTTACAACCTCTTCGCCGCTATCGGCGTCGCCTTCTGTCACGGACATGGCGAGAGCTTTCGCTTCAGCATTGTCGAATATGAGATGGAAAGTGATAACAGCCGCAAACCAATGGCGATATGGATCCACCGTGGTCGATTCATTGGACGGTCGTAGCAAGGTAGTCAGGACGTTAGCCGTTTCGTCCATGCCAGACGCGTGTCCCTCGATCGCCCGTCGTAGAAAATGGAGGCGGACATCGGGGTGATTATAGAAATATGCCTTTATACACTGGCACGCAGCTAGTCGCAAGTCGAATGCTTGGCTCGTAGGCACACTCAGTGCTAGATCTAGGAGGCCGTCGATTACATAGACGGCCGGAATGCCACTTGACTTGCCCGTCTGTCCATTGGTCGGCGGAGCGATCTCTAGGACTGAGGGAACTTGTAGTTGCGCAAAGCTTTCTTGTAGCTTGGCATTACCTCTGATAATATCCGCACAAGTTGTCATGGCCTACGTCACATGTAAACAAATACCGCACAATGTTTAAGATGGGGAGGAGTTCGAACCTCTGCTTTGATGGGCAGCTCTGCGTCATGACTAAATGCAAGCTGCAGCGCATGATAGAGGACACCATGTTGCCAAAAAGCAGCCTGATTCTGCAATGTACCGACGGCACCGGAAACAAGAAAAAGTCGAATAACCGCAAGTAGAGCGTATATATTTCTGTTACGCTGCTCCTGTGCCCAGAGGGCAACGTCTTCCTCCGCCCCCTGCCCAGTTTTGTATGTACTCTCTAATAGCTTTGCTAGCTGAGGGATGTAACCCTCTTCACGGAATAGACTTTGATTTGAAGGGTTCAAACGTAAAAGGTTAGCGAGAAGAATCAGGCAGTCTTCGACTATTCTATCGCCCTCAGACAAAGATCCTTCGGCCGCTATTATTTCAAAGACACGTCCAAACACATTTGAGAAAGCCACAAGCTTTTGAATATCGGGAGAAGAGGGTGTCAGGTAGGTAAGAAGGGTTAAAGCTTCGTTACGGACTGCTTCCCTTCGGTCGTCAAGGGCAGCCACTAGCCTAGAGATACCGAGAGGAGCGGTGAAGACACATACTTCCGTTCTTTCCGTGCGGGCAGAGAGGATTGCGAGGAGAAGTTGTAGGGAATATAATCGGGAGTAGAAATCGTTGGTCTCGAGGAAGTCTAAGAGCAGTGTTATGTTCTCTTGTCGTTGAGTAAACTCGTCGGCTAGCCAGAGAGCAATCTCTTCCGAAGCTTCAGGACTATCCTGGTTAGGACTGAACAGCATCAGCAATGTCTCAAGGACAACCTTGACGGTATCAACATCTTCGCCATCCTTTGACAAGCTCCCTATTAGACTCCTTAAAGCTCCCGAAGCAACTGAAGCGGGATATTCTTTGGCAAAACTTCGCAATCCAAGTATGGCAGCACGACGGTCTTCGAGAAGAGTGGCTGAGCTAAGACGGCCGCTGAGGACGGTTATTGTCTCGCTGACGGACTGCTTAGCCGGAGCAGTGGTGATGGTAGAGAACATGGCTTGTGCTGCTGCTCGATCTCGCTAATCTTGCTGTTGCGCGTGCGGTCCATTGGCGAGTAAGGGGTTACCGACTTTGGCGCATCATACCGTCAATGGCTGCAGGAGGCTGGAACTGTATAGTCGTGCTTCTATGTCGCCTAGGCAGTGTTGTCGGTCGAGAAGGATCGCTGGAACGGTACAGAGAATACGCAATGTAGGTGGATATTTTGGCCAGATATCGATAGCCTAACATAAGCTTCTAGACTTTAGATACCTATTCTGATATTCTTGACTTAGCTATTTAGTGCATATAAAATGCAGGTAATAGAAAGATATACTGTTTCAGGGTCGTTATTACTATAAGGCGGCACTAGTCCCCAAGTTTTAGTGGGTTTTATGTAAAACTAGACTAAAGGTCTGCCCCGATTGGCTGCTGCAACCCAATGTGGCCCACTGCGACCGCTGCTGCGAACTCTAAAAATGCGACTGGAAAGTGGATCTCGTCAAGGCTAAGGCTTTCGCGACTTGGACTTTTTGGCCTCGCCAAACCTTCTTTTTACAAATATTCAGACATCCTTCTTTGTGACCACCACGCCTTACATGACTACGAATGCGCCGTCTGATGAGTCGCATAAGGTCGTTTGGTCGGTGTGAATTATATTGAAGTAATTCTGACACATTATTACTTGGTTTAGTCGTATTACTTTTTAATACTAACTAATCACAAACCACGAGTCGAATTCCGAATTTGCTAGTGGTGAGCAACGAGTTGCCTCTTAACGGCATCTATTTCGATATCGCCCGGTCTGAGCTTACAGACAAACCAGATTTGATACATCTGTTATACCCCATGCGACTACTGCTCGTACGACTTCACACTCCCTCATTTCCTTCCGCCCTTTCGTTTCCCTCGAAAAGTCGGCATTCGATATTACGTCCTGGCGAGGTCGTCTCTCTTTCAACTTCGAAATATTGCCATCGTTAAGCGACTGATAACCTCAACACCGCCAACATGGGTATTCCCGCTGCCTTTCGTTGGCTCTCCAACAAGTACCCGAAAATTATATCCCCCGTCGCAGAGGACCGGCCGATTGAGATGGACGATGGCTCAGTTATTCCTGTCGACACTACTCGGCCCAATCCAAATGGCGAGGAATTCGATAATCTCTATCTCGACATGAATGGTATCGTGCATCCGTGTTCGCATCCCGAGGACAAGCCCGCTCCAAAAGACGAGGAAGAGATGATGTTGGAAATCTTTAAGTATACCGACCGCGTAGTCAACATGGTTCGCCCAAGGAAGTTGCTCATGATTGCCATTGGTCAGTCTGATACCCTACTCCGTTACCAGTTATTCTTTATGCTAACATTGAACTCACAGACGGCGTCGCCCCTCGTGCTAAGATGAACCAGCAGCGGTCCCGACGGTTTCGTTCTGCTCAGGAAGCTAAGGAAAAGCAAGCTGGTAAGGAGGAGCTATTGAAGATGATCAAGAAACAAAACGGTGGCACGTTACCACCCGAAACACTTGAGGAAGTAACCAAGAAAGCTTTCGATTCCAACGCCATTACACCTGGCACACCCTTCATGGATATACTTGCGATGTGCTTAAGATATTGGTGTGCATATAAGCTTAACACTGACCCCGGCTGGTCAAATATGAAAGTCATCATTTCCGACGCTACGGTGCCCGGTGAGGGCGAGCATAAGATTATGAACTTCATTCGCGCACAGAGAACATCTCCTGACCACGATCCTAATACGAGGCATGTCATCTATGGATTAGATGCTGATTTGATCATGTTGGGACTCGCTACCCATGAGCCTCACTTCCGTGTCCTTCGGGAAGACGTCTTCTTCCAGGAGGGTAAGACAAGAGCCTGCAAACTCTGCGGACAGAAAGGCCACGATGCGCAGAATTGCCGTGGCGCGGCCAAGGATAAAGATGGCGAATTCGATGAAAAGGACAAGGCTTCTCCGCTAAAACCTTTCATCTGGCTCCATGTTTCGGTGTTGAGAGAGTATCTAGCCGTCGAACTTGACGTGCCTGGACTGCCATTTCGTTTTGATTTAGAACGCGCCATTGATGATTGGGTTTTCATGTGCTCCTTTGTTGGCAACGATTTCCTTCCCCATCTTCCCGCTCTTGAAATTCGCGAGAACGGTATTGATACATTGACTGCTATTTGGAGAGATAATCTACCGGTCATGGGTGGTTTCCTTACCAAGGATGGTCATGTCAATCTCGAGAGGGCTCAGTACATTCTTAATGGCCTCGCAAAAAAGGAAGACGCTATTTTCAAAAGGCGAAAGGAGACCGAAGATCGAAGAGAAGCTAGCTTCAAAAGGCGTAAGCTACAAGACCAAAGGAATGGACGTAATGGCCGTGGCAATAATGATGCTGCTGATAACGGCCTTCCTGCCGGTCTTCCTAAGGCTCTCACACATGACATGATTGTCAATCGAGGTGCTACGCAGGACGCTAACGAAGCTAACAAAAGCGCCGCGGCAGTGCTGAAGAGTCGCATCCAGGCGCTTCAGGCAGGGGCAGCTAATGGCGACGCAGAAAAGAACAGCACGGAATCCCAGGAGCCACCTTCCGCTCTCGGTAAACGTAAAGCATCCATGATGGAAGAGGATGCCGCAAGTACTCCCGGAAGTATTTCGACCGCGGGTGACGAGCCAGAAGATTCAGTTCGGCTATGGGAAGAGGGTTATGCTGACAGATATTACGAGCAAAAGTTCCATGTCGATCCAAAGGACATCGAGTTCAGACACAAAGTTGCCCGGGCTTACGTCGAAGGGCTCGCCTGGGTCTTGAGGTACTATTTCCAAGGATGTCCGTCATGGGAATGGTTCTACCCTTATCATTATGCGCCGTTCGCGCAAGATTTCGTGGACATCGGTAAAATAGAAATCAGCTTTGAGAAGGGCAGAGTTGCTAAGCCTTTTGAACAACTCATGAGCGTCCAGCCTGCCGCATCCCGTCACGTGCTTCCAGAGATTTTCCACGACCTGATGACCAACGAAGAAAGTCCAATCATCGACTTTTACCCCGAAGATTTCCAGATAGATCTTAACGGAAAGAAGATGGCTTGGCAGGGCGTAGCACTTCTACCATTCATAGAGATGCCTCGACTGCTAGCTGCTGTGGAGGAGAAATACCCTCTGCTAAGTAGCGAAGATGCTGCTCGCAACAGCGCCGGTAAGGATGTCCTCCTTCTATCTGAGGCCAACCAAGATTTGTACGACGACATAATTACACATTTCTACTCCAAGAAACAAGGTGATTCTACATATAAGCTTGACCCACGCCTGAGTCAAGGTTTATCTGGGAAGATCGAAAAGGTTCCAGAGTATCTACCCCATGGTAGTTTGGAATATCCGTTAGAGAGGAACGCTCTGCCTAACGTGGACGATGATCGATCACTAACGTAAGTATTCAACCATATTTTACTTCGTAAGACATTCTTCGGAAGCTAACCTATCTTTAGGGTCTATTATGAAGCATCCGGAGACGCACACGGTCACAAATCTATGCTTCTAAGGGGTGCCCAGATGCCGACACCTGCTCTCGATCGCAACGATATAGAGGATCTGAAGAGCAAGATGCGAAATTCTGGTCGAAGTCACGGAGGCGTACCTCTTGGGCGCGGTAACTACGGTGGAGGTAGAGGCAGGGGAGGGGATAGGATCAACTACGGACCAGATTCTCGACGAGATAGGTCTGACCGACCACCCTCGTATCAGAACGGCTATGGCAACAACTCGTATTCCGTTCCTCCTCCTGTTCCACCTCCTGGCTGGGTCCCGCCACCTCCCGGATTCCCTGGCTTCGGAAATGGATTCCCGCCCCCACCGCCTCCGGCATATCTCGGCGGCGGTGGTCGTGACGGCTATGGTAACGGATACGGTGGTCAACAGGGGGGTCAACATAGAGGAAACTATGGAGGGAACTATAGAGGAAACCAAGGATACGGAGGAGGATATCCTCCCCCGCCTCCTCAAAACGGCTATGGCAACCAGTATGACAGGCCACCTCATGGACGCGACAACCGCGATCGTCGATCAAATGATGGGCGTGGCGGATATCGAGGTAATGGTGGTTATGGTCGCGGATATAGAGGATAAGGTGGAATTGCATTGTAGTGGTAAATTTAGGCAATGGAACCTTCAACTAGAGCAATGACACACCTGCAATCGAGACTGGCCGAACCACATTTTGCTCTGATCATAATTATACTATCTAGTCTTTCTAGTCCAGGTGATGTCGAGAGATGACTGGTCACCTAAAGATGGATATTCTCTTGGAGATATTGGATCTTTTATTTCCCGATTCGTCTCTACCTGCTTGCGTAATGGTTTGCCTGTGTCCGTGTACATTTTCTTTTCGTACTACACAATCCTACCAATTCGTCTTGTTGTGCGTTTTCTCAATGGTAGTAGCTCAATACGAGGCGTTACATCTGGAAATTCTAGAATTTGTTTAGAACTTATATATCGACATTATACCGAGGATTATATGCGAGACAGCGACCCAGGAATGTAAAAAGCCTTGGAAGCAAACATTCAAAAAGGACAGAGAGGGTCGGGCCGTGGTGGATGTCTAGTGTGGGCACTGGGCAGAGTGGGTAACTATCGATAGCTAGAAAGGACAATGGCGTCAAATTTGGCAATCTCCCATGATGATCGATCATGATGCCCCCAAGCAACGAAGAGTCTCGGCCGTTTTGGATGCCTGAGATTCGAACGATGAAGGATGATTTGCAAACTGCTTGCGTGACCTTCGCAGGTACATAAAAGGCAGGGAACTTGACGAGCTTCAGGGCTCTTCAAGGATTATTAGTGGTTGAAGGGATAAAGGGTTAAACGGCTCCGGGGTTAATATTCGACGATTGGCGGTCTACCTAGGTACGTACCATCCGTGTCTAGCCCAGACTGCTATCCCGTACATCACCGCTTCAAACATTCCTAAATGCGCTAGGCCTCGTGGGCACTTAGACCTGCACTTAGGTAGACTTGCACCAAATTAGACTGGGATCCACCACGTTTCGGCGTTTTATGTTTTATGACTCGCAACTTCTCATCTACTGAGCTCAACGGCAACGACGGTCTCAAATGCTAAGGATGAAGGGTGAAGGGTGCGGGTTGCAGGCGCAGTGCAGGTGCAAACGCGCTGTAGCTACTGCGCATATGTACCCTGTAGCATACATAGTACCCTTCAGGAAACCACCTCCAAAAGTAGGTCGGTCTTTCCTACATGGGACGGCATGGGACGGCAGCATGGTAGGTGGCACCTATGGAACCTCCAATGGGAAGTACTAGGCAGTATACACTGCTAGGGAATCCTACCCTTTGCCCTTACCCTTTTCTACTAGGTGGGCTTGGATAGGCTGGATAGGGTACATTCTAACTATACCCCTCCCCGATAATCACCTGCAATTGACTCCCTTTCATCTTGTTTCCCCTACCACCTCTCTGCATGTGTCTCTGGTAGACCGACATATGGAGTAGCTTTCGTTCTTCGACGCTAGCTTCGACGACTTTACTACAATCACATAGTATGAAACACATCCATGGACGATTGACGAGAGAAAATAAAAAAATAATACCAATTCGTTATCGCAAATTACATCGAACGAGCCTTGTCGCAAACGTGTCCGATATCGATCCTAGCCTTATTAATATTAGATCTACGAAGTACCAAGTTAAGAAAGGTATTCCTCTTCTTCACATACAATTGTGTGAACCCTCGAAGGATCATCGAGGGAAAAAAAGAATACCCATATCTATACCCACACAAAAATTCGAGCTGTAATCCCTCTTAGTAAAACACACCCCCTCCAATCCAATCCCATATCCATTCCCCGACTTACCTAACTCACACCCAACGTGGAGAACGAGTCGAATTTCGGATTGTACCAAGGTTATTCCAAGGTTATTCTTAGGAGGAGGTAGGACGATCTATTGTTAACCAACCGAGATTTTGAGACGTACCTCTCCCGTTTCGCAAACGAGTTATAGTCTTTCTCAAAACCCTTGGTTGCCACTAGCTGTGCTCCATGACGACGTCACAATGTTGAGAAGACCCTCAATCGCGATCCGACGGTATACGAGCACAAGATGAATGGTGATGCGGGCCTCGTGGGATGCTTGGTCGAAAGACTTACAACTAGGGTACCGGGAACCCTTTTCCTGTTCCTATCGTTCTATGTAGTATTGTAGCTATATTCTTTGCTAATCGCCGTGTTTGCGCGCAGCTTCCGTACCGCACCGGCACTCCATGCCAGGACCTCCAACGCGACGATGTTGCTGGCATTACACGCGCCACCCTCGTAAAGATCAGCACTACTTCCATAGCTGTCGTGTTCGAATCTCTAGTTTCACTTCTAGAAGAGCTCGGTCGCCCATATAAGACCTTCGCGAACCATCCACCCCATATTCTCCTCTCCGAAGTCTATGTCCTATCGCTCGTTGCCGATTGCTGCTGTGCTCATCGAGAGACGCTTTGTAAAGGTAGCTCCAATGGCGCAGCTAAGGTGTCCGGCCCTGGTCCTGTGAGTCCTGAGCCGTTGGATGACGGGCTTGTGACGAGAGTTTTCGAGCTCTTCAAACACCTGCTCAGCCCATTACCAGAAAACTATACTTTGCCTGCTAGGACGCTATTAGACGAGAAATCTGCACGGGAGATTTTTGACCCTCGCTTTAAAGAACCAGTGCCTAGAGCTGCTTCCTCAAGCGGTTCAGATGAATCTCGGGAAAGTAAGGGAACGAAGACGGATGATGCGGAAGACATTGAACCATATATCAAGACTATCGTGGAATTCGTAACCGCGTCAAACTGGTCAGCCTCCTTCGAATATGTGAGGGCGGTTATTTACGGCATCCGGGCCACAACTCCGGCACAGCAGGTTCCAACCCAGGCAATGGCCGAGGAAGAGAAGACTTCGCTAGCCATATTACGCTTTATCTCGTATATGTGGGTTGACGGCCAGAAGCTTGGGCTAGTCATTCAAGAGCTGTGTTCTAGTTTCCTTCACTTTCGAAGAGCCTACCAAAATACTGTCGCTATCATCACGCCGCTTCTAATTACTAGGTGGATTGAGCGTTATCCTGAAGAGTTCATCATGTTACACTATCAGCATAGGAAGCTGGATGGTGGTCCTGATACTCTCTTCGACATGACACAAACGATAGCAGACTCCGCCAAAAGGCGGTCAACCATATACCCCTTCCAAACTTCCTTACTTATGCTCATTCCTGATGTCTTCGAGGTGGCGAGCAATTTGCGGGAGGCTAAGACCACTGGCATGGCCAAAAAGGTAGCGTTTCTCGAAAGTCAAAGAAAGGCACTCAGGAATAAGAATGACGCGGCAGGATACTGTCTCGTGAGTCTTCTCCGAGCCGTTCGCCATTTCGACGATGATGGCGATGCTACCATTGTGAGCTATGCTATGGACGTTCAAGATGAAGTCCGAGATGCTGTCTTCCGTCGATACCATCCTAATGGGGAAGGAGGCCTATTTGACCAAGATTTGACCACTGCCGCCTTCATCAGTCTTATGCATTTGAACTTTGAAGGTTCCGTAGAATCCCTAACGCAGGCGTGTCTGAACTCTTCTGCGCCTCATACCTTCAAGATCGCCTTAATTCAGGCGTGCTCATACTTCGCACGGCAACCTAATGCTCAAGATTATCGCCGTCTATTCACCGAGGCTGCTAGTTTCATACAAAGCCAATTAAAAGTCAGTTTCTTGTTAGTCCAGCTCATATGTATAAGGAAATATGCTGATTGATATCTTTAGGCCATGTCTGCAATTTCTGCGGATCTATATACTGGCGACCGTCACTCTCAACGCAAAGCGTCCGAGACAAGCGCGTCGACGGCCACGGTGATATGTAACATACTGAAGTTCCTGGACGCCTCGCCCATAACTCTGTTTGAAGGTCCTCCATCGGATAGCTCTGAGGCGCAACGATTTTATGACGAGATATTTGAAGCATTCGTCTCTTGCCTCGTAACAGCAAACGACTCTGTGAGAGCTCTCGCGAGTAGCGTAGCTAAGAAGCTACTCACTCCAGATGGTATTCTGTCTTCGTTGCGTAAATCAAAACGTGTCGACTCAACCAGCTTTGGAATCAAATTTTGGAGACTGACGTAAGTACAAACTCGCCCGTATTGCAAGATAAATATTCTAATTTTTGGTTGACATAGATCACTGGTACTTATGGAAATGTGCGAAAAGCACGAGCAACAAGAGGACGATGCGTTACTTAGATCTATTCATGGATATCTAGAGTCACGTTTATTACTCCTCAGTTCAATTCAGGTTAGATTAGAAATTAGGAATATGCTCAATGACTGGTGCTAACAGACCTACAGGAATTGGCTGCCATATCCGAGGATATCCCAGAACGAATAGCGACTTCTAACATGTTAGAGACCCTCTTCCTAACCTCGCTCTGCTCTCCGGACATAGAAACGTGCCAGTTGGTGACGTCTTGCATCGGTCTTTTCAACGAAGAATGCCGGATCTTAGACTCGACCGTAGATGCTAGCAAGACAGCAAGTTTACTGCTACGGAATAGCGAGGTCTTCAGCGAGATTGCATCTCCTGACTTTAGATTTACGGGAATGATGGCCTTCCAGAAACGAATCCGAGCTCTGCTGAGGGGCATGCAGTATCCAAGCGTAGGGATCCTTGATGCTTGGGAGAGGGCGTTTGAAAAGTGGCACCACCTATCTAAAGATGTATCCACGACGTCTGTGGATGGCATCGATGAAAGGGGTTTCTCTAAGTGGAGGAACCTATCCGGCTTCCTCGCGTCACTCGGCGGTATTTGCACGGCCGAGCAAGCTTATGTCCTTGAAGAACCTGCCGCAGGCGGTTTGAAATGGATTGACCGACTTTCGTCTGAAAATCACGAGGAGCCTCTTCTCAATAGGTACCTTCGAGTCAGCACACAGCTCCTTGCATGTACAAACGTGCGGGTGAGGGAAACCACGCGAGAAGTACTATCGATTGAAATATCTCCAACATTATACCAACCTCTCTTCAAGGCGCTCGAGTCAGAACTTGAAGTGCTCTTCACTGGTGCCCTCGAACCAACTGGCTTCAAAGGACAGGATATCGAGATCATCTTTGCCGAGCAAGCAGCGTCATTGTTGAAGGCCCTTGTGGAACGACTTCAAACGCCTTCTGAATTGGGAGCTGCATCATCGGTCCATTTCAGCTCTCTTGGGTTGAGTTTTGCAAAGTTCCTAGACGGTGTCGCCGATAACATATCTAGCCTGAGAGTTAAGATCAAGATTTGCCAGCTATGCGAAGCTGTCAACCGGAAAAAGGAGCACTTAAATCTTCGCGATGATGTTAGGAAACGAAACCAGCTCCTTGAGTACATTTTTAGCTGGATTGCTAGGCCCAGATCGCCACCAGCGGAGAGCACTTATTCACAGACCCGCCAGGATGATACAGCTCGAGTCCAAAGAGACCTTGACAAGGCCTGTCTCCGTTGCCTCGCCGAACTCACTTACAGGTTACCACTTCAGCCAGGGGACGGTCAGAATGATGCTGGCACCAGTGAACTCAAATCTCAGATGTTCCGAACATATTTCAATCGGTTCCTTTCACTACTCAACTACGAACCATCGGATAGCATCAGGGGTGATATTACGACGTCCGGGTCACATCGCGATGAAACCGGGTCGACGTCCGAACTTGCCATCACTATTCTCTCTAACCTCTTAAGCGCAAATATCGACGTGGGCCTCAAATACTCTCTTAGCATAGGCTATAATGAAAACATAGAAATTCGCACAGCGTTTGTGAAGGTCCTTTATAATATCTTAGTTCAAGGGACGGAATTCAGCAACCTATCCGATAAGGCGGTCAATGAGAAGTACGACGAGCTATTAGAGGTAAGCAGCTTGGAGAGCTTGATATTCGTTCCTGTTAGCTAATTCGGTATTTTTAGCTTTTCACTCATGACATGAACCTGGCTGTTGCGATTAGCTCGGTTTGTCCTAGTAGCGAAGTTGAAGAGCTTACGATTTCGATGCTCAACGTCTTCGAATCCCGAGGACTGACTTTCGAGCTTATGGAGGCGCTGATTAAACAGGAGATCGAAGATACCGGTAAGTTCAATTCGGATACTGTCGATATAGCATCCCATACTAATCGATATTTTGTTTAGAGAACGAGTCGGAGATACTCCGTCGAAACTGCGTCGCAACTAAGATGTTGTCCATCTATGCAAAGTGGAAAGGGGCGAACTACCTCAAAGCCACACTACAGAAAGTGGTCGAGAGGTTGATGTTGACCTCAAAAGACCTGGATCTTGAGCTCGATCCAACAAGGATATCCTCCCAGGAAGAGCTTCAGAAGAATGCGCTACAACTACGGATAGTCGCCAAAGTCTTCATCGATGATATATGTGCATCCTCCACCAATATTCCTGCCTCATTCCGCAAAATATGCAGCATAGTGAGTTACTTCTTATGAACACGTAGAAAACGTCGGTCATTAATAACAACCTACTAGATATCTTCGGCAGTGATGCCCAGATTCCAGGAGGCCAAGTACACGGCTGTAGGAGCCTTCATATTTCTGAGATTCTTCTGTCCTGCCATTGTCGCGCCAGAAGTGGAGAACCTCGTAGAGAACCCACCGTCTAAAGAGATGCGCCGCGGTCTGCTTCTGATCGCCAAAGTCATCCAGAACCTAGCAAATAACGTCTTATTCGGAGCAAAGGAACCGTACATGTATCCCCTTAACGACTTCCTGACACAAAACATTTACCGTGTTACGACCTTTCTTCGTGAGATATCAGTAAGCTTCAGCTAGTTCAATCTTTTTTTAGAAGTGTGCTAATATTCTTGATGTCTAGGTTCCTCCAACCGCACTTGACCTTGAAACAACTCCAGCAGATGGCGAAACGTTCGAATTTGGCTCTTGCGTCGCTCTACACAGGTTCCTGTACGATCACTGGGACCACGTCCGGCAGAGACTTATGTCTCAAGAAAGGCGAGATCATGTTCGCTCCCCTAATGAATTGGCCCGTGGGCGGTCGCCAGTTCTTGAGCCACTGCGAGCTCTTATAACCAACCTAGGACCGCCACCCTTAGCAGTTACTTGGAATCGCCCTCAAATATCTGCAAATAGCCCTCTAGCTTGCTCCAGGTTCCAGCACTTCATGCTTCGTAATGCTTTCAGGAGCACGGACTCCTTTTTGACATCTCGTGCTATTTATGATGGCGGCGAGAGTAGGGTAAGTTGATTATTTAACCCAACCTATCTATAGCACTCGCTGAAGGTTAACGTTCAACAGGATGGGCTCTCCGTCATTTGTGTGATTCTTCGTCATATGGACCAAGACTCTATAGACTATGATACCCTTTTGTATTGTTTCTTGAAGGTAAGCCATTACTTGAGGCCGATCCGGCCTTATCCAGTGAAGTTCTTTTATATTACAATTCCGTCACTTGGTACCACTAATTACCATCGTCTCTGATCTAACTGAGTATAGATTGCAAGTCGGTTGTGGCACAAACCCTTTGGGATACTCATCGATGCGACGTGTTATGATAGTCAAAATGACCCGCCAGACGAACTATACAAAAAGTTAGAACTTCTCAGTCCAAGCGAATTGAACAAACAATTATCCAGGATCTACATCTATAATATGAATAGCACGTTCCGGTATGGTCACACTGCCCTAGACAGCACCATACGTTTGCTAACATTTAGGAAATAAGGAAATGCTTTCGGCGTGTACTTCGCGTGGTTACTAAGAGCGAGACAAACGTGTTAAACCCAACCAATGTCGAGTATTTGCTTCTCGGTAGCCGCCTTGATCTCCAGGCACATTTTCATCTAAGCCAGGTCCATCTTCCAAAGGAAACCATCAGTATAGCCACCGATTCCCGATACACATTTCAACCTGTCACCCGACTTTCGAAGACCAAAGGAAAGATCGAGGTTACTGTCGGAGTTGGAGGCTCATTCGTCCAAGTAACTACTGTAAAGAAGCAGGAGGTTCATCCAAGTTTTCGCCTGAACGGAATAGTCAACGACATCTTTCATCTAAAAGATTTAGATGAGGCACCGACTTCTATTCCGACCGAGGACGATTCTGCGTTTGGTTTGCGTGCGGACAACGGCAAGATCGTGATGTATTTCCAGAGCACCAGGAAGGCGGATGTACTAAAGGAAATCCGCAGGGCCAAGGCAATGTTGGGCAAAGACACTAGAACAATGAAGCCATTTGAGCGTCTTATCCGACCGCAAGACGTTCCTGGGACGTTATTGAACCTCGCACTGACCAACCTCGCTTCCCCCGACGCGATGCTCCGAATTGCATCGTACAATTTACTCGGTGCTCTCTGCCGGGCTTTCAAGTTCAAGGCAGCCTCTAAGTTCATGTGCATCAAAGGTTTGAGCCCACCTCCACGAAACCATCCCGTTCATATTTGCTAACCATACGCGCAGATGTCTCTGTTCCGCTAGATCCGACCCAGTTCATAATTAACATAAGCAAAGTCCTTGCCCAGGAAGAGCCGCAGCTTACCCACGACTTCCTAAACGAGTTCTTTGTCGGGTGGGAAAGTTTCTCCGAGGAGCAGAAACCGCTCAGTCTGGCTTACATGGCACCATGGGTACCAAGTCTTCGCACATCGCTTTTACCTGACGAATCCGATAGCGAAAAGGCCAGGGAGAAGATTGCTTCGATCTTCCGGAAGTTAATAGACGTAACAGTGATGGAGCCATCTCTTGCTCTTACCTTGGAATACACGGTGTGGCCAGCAATCTATAAAGATGAAGTCTTGTTGGACATCTTCCTCGACGAGATAGTCAAGGCAGCATTGGCTTTAGGGTTGTATGATGAGCATACGCAGTCTTTAACGTCGATAGTGACGGCTATTGGCACAATAACCCTTCGTGGAAAGATAATATCCAGGCTCCGGAAGGCGTTGAACAGATCGTCGCTTCGGCCAACAAAGTTCCTCCAGGAAAACGCCGTTTGGAACGAGATCTGTATTCTGCTCCAATTTTGCCTCTCGCTGTCGTTCGATTGCGGTGTCCAATCGCAGCTTTACCTTCCCGAGATATTTCACATAGTCACGATGCTGTCAAATACAGGCACGTACGATATCCGGGCGCTAGTTCACCGCCTATTGATCAATTCGATTCACGCAGCTTGCACGTCTTTCAAATTAGAGGACACGAGGTTATCGAAGCTCCGCAGCACCCTGGAAATATTGTCTGAGCCAAGAAATGACAGTCTCTCTATCCCCTTACCCTTAGCGCGGGATGGAACATCTATTTCAACATCACATGAGGTAGGACCGGCCCTCTCAGTCATTGAGAATCTAGCTACTCTATTATTCGAGACATGCTCAGTCGCGGCACCATCCGTCGACATGGCCAACGCATGGCGGTCAAGGTGGATGAGTTTGGTAGCCAGCACTGCCTTCCAGAATAACCCGGCAATCCAACCCAGAGCCTTCACCGTAATGGGTTGTTTAGCTCGTGAGGAAGTCGACGATGATCTACTCTATCAAGTCCTCGTAGCCCTCCGCAATAGTGTTGGTCGCTTTGGCGATGACAGCGGCAGCGACATGCTCGTCGCAATAGTTACATCTTTATCTAAGATGATCGCCAAACTCACTTCAGCGTCGCGGTACGGGCCGCAGTTATTCTGGCTAGCTATGTCATTAGTCCGGCTCGTGCCCGCCAGCCTATTCAACTGCACTGCTTTGTTCCTAGAAGCCGTATTGACGAACATTGGAACCACAGGGGAACTAAGGAGCAACAAGATGGTTCCATACCTCCTACAAGGTCGCTCGCAACTAGAGGAGGCGGCACTACCCTTAGATGATGCGTACGGGATTCATTTCACTGCAGATAGCTTTCATTTCGCAGTCTGCGCCTGCCTTTCCCGTGGACTTACGGACCCTGTTACCAAAATCCCGGCGCTCAGAGTCCTCTCGACATTCCTCGAAATGACAACAGATAGTAGTTCTGGAGATTCGTCGAAAAGCTTTTCAAGCGAGTTCTACGCATCTCCCTATCTAGCTCTCATCCAGGCCCGAGCAATTTCCCCTGAAGATCTAAAAGAGTGTCTCTGGTCCGCTGGTATAAATCCAGTTGGTGTTGCCAACCTCGGCCCAACCCGCAGCCTACGCGATCTAGACGCAGCGAAGGACAAGGACCTTCTGCTTAACACGGCTATCGAGTTGGTAGACTTCCAGATCTTAGATGAGGCGATTCAGACCCATACGCTTGTGTGGCTGAATGAGTTAGCATCCGGAAGACCTGCTGTCGTATTGCATTTGTAAGTAATATAATCTTTTATTACGATTTATTAGTTACTAACACATAACAGGTGCCCTACTATCGCACAATTCCTAGACGAAGTGCTGCTCCATGGTCAGAGTTCGACGACGCTAGGGTCGGCACATGCTTTGCTCCAGACATTATCTTCCAATTCTAAGTTTACGAGCGCGTTGGACAGCAGTGGTATGCTAAACGACATTTTGGAGGACATGGGGTTCGAAGGACTTTGGCGCTCGAGTTCTTTCACCCATGCTCAAGATCCGGATAGGCAGTGCTCCATATTGACTGAGAAGCTGATTGAGGTTAGTATTCCTCCAACATAAACTTTCAGAAAGCAGGGAGAAATGAATGCTAATATGTAATACAGCTTATCATCATTTAAAGGGGCCAAATATGGAGACATCTCAACTTTCGAAAGGAGAAAAGAGGGGATCATTAGATGTACAAAGAGGTAAAAGTGGATTGGGTCAATCATAGGAGTAAGATATTCCCGTGAGTATGTTAGTATGGATATCATGAGAAAAATATGAGTTATGTAGTGCGAAGTGTAGAGGAATGACCGAATAACGAGCAAGAAGTCCTTAAGCATTGGGTGTTTATGCATGTTTTGGTTGATGTTGGACAACATGCATTGGCCCCTGAAACCCCTGAAACCCCTGAAACCCCTTTGGATCACCATGAGTTGCTCACGTGACTGCGCGACTCATATCAAACGCGTCGCCGCCACGCCACCTTTGTCAAATAGCAAATTCTACAACTTTAACAAGATGCAACGGCGCGCAACGAGACTTACACGTCAGTCGGCTGCGGCCGCGGCAAATAACACCGCCGATAGAAATTCAAAGGTATCTGTAGAAGAGAAAGAAAATGAAGAAGTTGTGCAATCTTCTAGATCCCGCAGGACTAGAACGAGGAAGAGGACGAGGACGGCGCAATCCCAGCCGAACGTACAGAACGCAGCAGAGTCGGATTCCGAGAGTTACATCGACCCGGATCCTGACACGGACGATGCGCCCGTCAAAAGACGGAAGATACAAACGCGCTTGGCTGATAAGAACGCGATCAGAGAGCTGTATGCACGCATCTTCGGGCAACCTGCCGCACTCCTAGAAGACTCTAATTCTACTCCATCACATATTGAGCTCCCCACTCGCAAGCACGACGTAAAGTACCACCACCCCCTCCTCCTAGATAGCCGGCAAGCCCGCACTTCCCTGCTCGAGTGGTTCGACGGCGTAAGCACCGCGCGCAACATGCCGTGGCGCAAAGCCTGGATCGACCCCACCGCAGGTCCAATCAGCCCCGGCGGAGAAGACCTGCGCCAGCGCCTCGAGCGCCGCGCCTACGAGGTCTGGATCAGCGAGATCATGCTGCAGCAGACGCGCGTCGCGGCCGTCATCGACTACTGGAACCGGTGGATGGCGCGGTGGCCGACGATGCGCGACCTCGCGCGCGCGGAGCCCGACGACGTGCTCGCCGCGTGGCGCGGCCTGGGTTACTACAGCCGCGCGACGCGGATCCATAAGGCGGCCAAGGCGGTGTGTAAGGACAAGAGTCTGAACGGTCTGCTGCCGAGCGGCGTGGAGGAGCTGGTTAGCAAGGTTCCGGGGGTGGGCAGGTATACTGCGGGCGCGATTGCGGCGATTGTGTTTGGGAGGGCGGCGCCGATGGTGGATGGGAATGTGCTTAGGGTGCTGAGTAGGCTGATGGGGGTCCTGGGGGATGTTCAGAAGGATAAGGGGGTTGTGGATTTGTTGTGGGAGGCGGCGGATCGGCTTGTTAAGGCGGTTGCGAGGGATCGGCCGGGGGGTGGGGATGGTGATGGTTATGTGAAGAGAGAAGAGGAGGGGGATGAGGAGGAGGAGCCTAGTGACCGGCCGGGTCGATGGGGACAAGCGCTGATGGAGCTGGGAAGTACGGTGTGTACGCCGAAACCTAACTGCGCTGAGTGCCCTATCACCTCGAGTTGTCGCGCGTATGGTGAAGGTCTTCAATTAGCTTCAAAGAAGGGGTTGGCGCCTAAGCTTACAGCGAAGAATACTATGGCCGATATCGAAGATGCGTGCAGAATCTGCAAACAATTCAAAGACTACGCGGACGATGATGACGAGGAGCTGGATATGAAGACGGAGATACCCATCAGACAACAGAAGTCCAAGGCGAAGACGCAGGCTACTTTGCAGTCCTTCGCATTCACGCAGACCACGACCTCTGCTACCGCTACTACTATCAAGACAGAAGAGTTCTCTGAACAAGAAACCACGACCCCAAGTCCCGCCGCTATGGAGGTGATCGCAAACCATGCGAAGAAGTTCCCATTAAAAAAGGTGAAGAAGGCGGTAAGGGAAGAGGAAACGCTAGTCTGCGCTATCAGACGCAATGACGGGCGATACCTAGTGCACCGACGCCCCGAAAAGGGGCTTCTGGCTGGTCTTTGGGAGCTGCCGAGTTACGTGCTCAAGGACCCTAAGAGCAGCACGGCGAAGACGAGGAAGGGGGAGGCGGAGAAGTTTGTCACGGACTTGGTCGATCGAGGTCGATCGAAGGGGGTGAGGGTGGAGCATATCGCTGACTTGGGATCCGTGCCCTGGCTCTTCTCGCATTTGAAGCTGACGATGCATGTTCATCTGTTCGAAGTCGATTTAAGTGAAGGTCTTGGTGAGGGACTTGAGTTTGAGGGAAGTGGAGGGGCGCGGAGTCGGTGGAGTGAGGCCGGCGTTGTTGATGAGGAGTCCATGGGTACTGGGATGCGGAAGTGTTGGGCCTTGGTGAAGGAGGCTAGTGGAGGATGATGAGTGAGATTACCATACGGGCTAAATTCACCAGATATGGTCGAAACTGTGTACCGATTCAGACACGTCCGACAATAATATGTGAAGAAAGATTCTTGATATTGCGTCGGCAGGGACTAAAGCCCATGTCCGCTTTATTTGAGGAGAACAGAGGTTCTTTTCGTGTTATTACGTAAAATAGCCAGCAATCTCTCCCCCGTCCCTTCATGTCCCCTACTTGGGCCGGGTTTTCTTCGAGATACTCCCATGGAAGAAATTGCATTGACGTCCATTATTAGCTGAAGTGTCTATGACTACCATGAAAGCCGAATATACCAGAATCGGTCCTGGATTCGTGTTCTCCATTGGGTATGTAAACCCCGAGTCCTAATACATAATAAAACTCGAATGGTGTGTGGAGGGTCGTCGTCGTCGTTAGAATGTAAATAAGTGCCACCGTACTCATGGCTAAAATTGTATTGGCATGGCCAATTCAACGGAGAGTACGTCCGAAGCGGTCGTGTGGTCTTATTTCATAAGGTGACATTCACGAATTCCCACTAAATTGGAGACGTTACTATAACCAATGTGACTCGCCAGCTCCTGACTACCCATACCCATACGGCCCATAGAGATCTACCAGCAGGTAGTATTTAATCACGGGACTTCCTGAAGTGTGAGGCTTCATCATTATTCATGATGGCATGATTGAATAGGTACATTGCCCACCGGGCCCAAGCCCACCTTATAGAGCCGAACGCGTATGCTATGTTGCAGGCATATCAATTGATCCCTCTCTAATCTCCCATTCCCAAGCCCGATGAGCTCATAATGTTTCCTCTCAGCGTCGCTGCCGCTTCTTTCTCGGCTGAGCAATTCGGCGATAATATATATGAAGCCGGCTATCAACTCTGGGAACATATGATCCTTTTAGGAGGCGAGCACCGCGCCTACCCAGGTGGTGCTTTGTTCCTTATGAATTTTCGGGCCAAGATTGCTTCATACAATGGGCATGATTTTTGAGTATTGACGGGATGATGTCTTGTTCGGGGTTGCCCTGTCTAAAAACGTGCGTATAGGAAAATATGGATCACATCCAATATCTACCTACCAGATACCTACCAGATACCTACCTAGGTAGTTAAACGGATTTCACTCACTCTTTATAATAGCACTTGACTTCCATCCATCCTCTTTTGCATAGGATCTTCCTTGATGAGATACCGAAAATTTTCTCGAAGCTGTGAATTTCAGATAAGATGAAATACTCCACTGTTGCATGGCTAGCTGCCATTGCTTCCGCCTCTCCATATAACCTTCTGGAAACCCGCAACAAGATTGCTTCCAGACAGGCTAGTGAAGCATGTTCCATCGGTTACTGCACCCAGAATGGTGGAACGACAGGAGGCCTTGCCGGTGAGACGATTACCGTCACAGACGTCGACAGCTTAACCGAAGCAGCCGGTCAAGAGGGCCCTCTCACCATCATCGTGTCTGGGGCTATCTCCGGCTCAGCCAAAGTGCACGTCTCTGCCAACAAAACCATCTACGGAGAAGAGGGCAGCTCCCTAACAGGAGTTGGCCTTTACATTCGCAGAACTAGCAATGTCATCGTGCGCAATATGAAGATCGCCAAGGTTCCAGCTGAGAACGGCGACGCCATCGGCATCGACGCGTCTTCGAATGTCTGGGTCGACCACTGCGACCTGTCCGGCGACCTCAACAGTGGCAAAGACGATTACGACGGCTTGGTCGATATTTCACACGGTTCTGAATGGATCACCGTCTCCAACACGTACTTCCACGATCACTGGAAGGCGTCGCTGATCGGCCACTCAGACAGCAACGCCGAGGAGGACGTCGGGGCGCTGCACGTCACTTATGCGGGAAACCACTTCTACAACACGTATAGCCGCGCGCCCCTCGTCCGCTTCGGGACCGTGCATATCGTCAACACGTTCTGGGACTCGCTGATCGCCAGCGGCGTCAACTGCCGCATGGGCGCGCAAGTGCTGATCCAGAGCTCGGCCTTCCGGAACAGCTGCGAGAAGGCCGTCTTCTTCGCCGATTCCGAGGAGACCGGCTACGCCGTCCTCGACGACGTCGACCTGGGAGGATCCGAGAACTCGGCTCCGGAGGGGACGCTCGCGGCTAGCTCGCTGCCGTACGCTCCCATCGAGACGCTGGGCTCCGCTGCGGTTGCTAGCATGGTCCCTAGCGCCGCTGGCCAGAAATTGTGACAGCTCGTCGAGGGGGGGGGTCAAACGAGCCTTTCCAACTTGCCCGTTTGGGTTAAGCTATAGGGCTAGTCTCGGTCACAAGATACAATACAAAATTCTACGATACTAGTTAGCTTGAGGGGAATCGTTTCGATCTAGTGTAGACAACCGACGAAGTAAGGCAGTGTTTGTCCAATGGCCGTAGACCTATTCTCCCTTACGAAAGATGTATGTTCCCGCCTATAGGATGTGATTGCGGCACTATTAGTTGAATCCACCTAGCCCTGCTGTGACATAAATGCCGATGATTATCGTACGGAAACGCAGGTTAAATGTCACCAGGGTCAATGGGGGCGGAGTGATGTTGGTGTCGGTAATTGGATCGCATGTTTGTTCCCCGCAGTGATCATCCTTCCGATGCAACGGCACGTAAGGCGAGGGAGAGAAGACATCATCTATAACATTGACATATCATCCTTATGCTGTCGATCCCCGTCTATAGCTTACCTGAATTTAGAAACGTTTTGCTTAATAAATAGCACTGGAGCGCAATGGATAAGCTAAGGCCGCTTGGACGCGGCGTTGAGGATGTATTGCTGCCCACGTTCGCTGCTTATGCGCAGTACCTCATCGCTAAGGAGAGCGAAATCAAATCGACACGGCGCGAGACGCATAAGTACGGCCCGACCGCACGACATCAGCTAGATATCTACTATCCTGAAAAACCGCCCACAGCACCGTTCCGAGCTAAGCCTGTGCTCGTTTTCTTGTACGGCGGCGGCTTCGTGAGCGGGAATAAGGTGAACGAGGAATTCGCCCACAGCTTGGTGTTCAGGAACCTCGGACACTTCTTCGCTTCCAAGTACGGGATCACGGTTATCGTTGCCGATTACCGCCTCGTCTCCCACGGAGCCAAGTACCCGTCGGGTGGCGAGGATGTCAAGCTCGTCGTCGACTGGGTCGTGAATACTCTATCGAAGAAGGAAGGATACGAATCCATCGACTTATTCCTGCTAGGTAACTCGGCAGGCGGTATTCACGTGTCGACCTGGCTCCTGTCCCCTGTCTTCAAGGAATCCAGGGAGGCGATCCTATCCGAGGAGCGCAAAGGCGCGGGCGTGCTACTCAGGGGCGCCATCTTACTCGGCGTACCGTACCACTGGGGCAAGGAGGATAACGCGATTCTGAGAACGTACCTGGGAGAGGGCAAGATTTGGGAGAACTGCTCCCTGGGCATATTGGAAAAGGAGAAGAAGAAAGGCGCCCAGCCGACTCTTCCCGGTGTTAAGATAAGCCTGCTTGTTAGCGAGCTCGACCCCGAATTGATATTCGACTCGGCGCAACAGTTTAGGAAAGAGTGGACTACCGTCGATATTTCATACGCGGTCCTAGAAGGTCATAATCATATCAGTCCGCAGTTGGGCCTTAGTACGGGTATTGAGAAGGAAGAGGCATGGGGCGTGGATGTTGCCGAGTTCTTGAAGTCTTGTGCTACAAAATGACAGTCCGTATGATGCATAGTATCCAAGAATAAAAGAACATCTACCCTGGCTCGACGCGACGATATATGTATGTGACTGCTAGGGGATAATCTGCTGTGCTCCCTAGATCCCCATCTCCCCACCCTCACTTCTGCGCTTAAGCACCGCCGGCTTTATTCTCCATGAACCAGATCACGGGGTCCTTATCCGTGAAGTTCTTAATATCCTCCATAAACCTCTGGCTCGTGTCGGCCGACGTCTCAGCCTGCGCTCTATTAAACGCTTCCATGTCGGGCCATTCGATCTGGGTTAGCATGGCGTATGGGCTCTGGGAGTCCGTCGGTGCCATGGTCCGAAATGCCCCCATGCCAAATGGCTTCCATATAGGAGTAACCATAGGTAGATGATGCTGGAGATAGTACTCCATGTCGAAGCGAGGGCCTTTTAGGTAGGCGATCATCATCGTTATAGTCATGTTGACAACCTTAGAATTGTGGTTGTTTCCGACCTGCGCGAAGTTCTGAAGGCTGACTTTCTTCTTTTTTCGGGTTGTTTTACTGAGATGGTTTTATTGCGTAGAATTGATGAGACAAGAGAGAAAGGTCGGTATTCCCGGTTATTGGACATGAGTGATCTCTTGAATACCCGTTGCTAGCCAAGGTACTCCGCGTTTTCTCCGTAGCTACCTACATACCTGTATGTTACAATTGAACCACGTCGGCTCTTGCCACGATACGTCTTCTATTGATGTTTTTGGTTTCGTGAAAAAGCTTATTGTTTTATAGTTCCCCAGTCAATTGGATGTGATATGGCCAAGGGTATTCGCCATGAAGGAAACAGGTACCAATCAAATAAGAGAGTACCTACCCCTTCGGGTGGATAGAATGATCGTTACTGCCACTCATCTTCCAATACTTTAATATGACAATCGAATTTCAACGACAAAATAGTTTTCTTCGCTATTTTTCATCCAACAACTATCCCCCTTCTTTGGATTTACCATCCTTACTATTTAGTTGGACATGTTATTTATATTCGGTTCATAATGCATGTGTCATGAAATTCCTCACGTTCCTAAGATTGACCTACTTTATCATTCGTATCCATACTATTTGTCTTAGAAACCTCAATCTTTTGGGAGGTAGCTATGGCCTTTTCGATCTTAACTCGGGCCAAGATTGGCCTGAAGAAGATACTACGTTATCTCCGTACAGAACCAAGACCAGAGACAGAGCCGGAGGCAGCTCAAGAACCAGAGGTGGACGGAGTACCAGAGCTAGAGAGGACATCACTACTCACGGATGATTCTTCCTTGTTCCCTCTTTTTTCTGTATTACCTTCGGAACTCCAAGTGAAGATCTGGGAAGCTGCATCAGAGCTAGATGAAGTAGGAATATGCGTTCCCAGAATCAACCCAGATCACCTTCACGATATCGATCCCCTTTGCAGGGAACTAGAATCAGACGGAAGCAAGATTTCTGAAAGCCAGCCCAAGTTAGATGTTATGGTAGAACGTCTCGTCGTAAACTTTAAGCTACCCCCTGTTTTTCACATCTGCAGACAGTCTCGCCAAGTCGCCCGCAAGGCAGTACTTCATTCCGAAGACAAGGACGGGGCGTGCTACGGCGCATTTCGAGAATACGATCCGGCGAAGGATGTCTTTTTCGTAACCCACGTATTCTTCCACAGCTTCTTCCCCTTCAAGTTTTGGGAGAAGGCGAAGGAAATCAAGCATGTCGGCCTCGAATACCCTACCTTCAATGGCAGATGGTCGTACTTTATGTCTTGCTGGAATCTTTTCATCGCGCACCATCAAACTCCGAAACTCACGATCATAGTAAAAACGCCACGTGACGGACTATACTTAGGGCCTCGGAACCAAATATATCAGGTCCAGAAATTGTTCACGGCGAGACGGAACGCTATGACATTTCCCCTTCAGATTTGGCACTGGCAATACAACCATGCGAACCTAACAGCACTACAGTACTTCCGGCCAGGAGCCAATGATATGCTGGAGGTCACATTTGGGACGTTGAAGCTATCTGGGTCCGAACCACCGAGTGGGTGATAACTGAAGTTTGTATCAGTGTTATGATTGCGAGCGCTTTTATGAGGACTAAGCGAATATCGTCAGCAGCGTTAGGAAGCGTTTGATTAGGATTCTTAAATAATAAGATTTTATTATGGTTGGTCCTCGGAACTTTACCCCATCGTAACCAAGACAGTTAACGTTACGGCTCACCTTACCCAACTTCGCGTGGAATGGTAATACATCGTAGTAGTATTACATACTAAATAATATGTAAGGGTTGGCATCTTTCAAGGTTACGACTCACACGCAATCTAGACCCTGTCCCACATTGCAGATAACTCGTGGCTATCTTCCGTATCTTTGTTCCCTCGGACCCCTGATTTCCCCTCCTTTAACTTAGACGCTACCGACCTATGAGGCGGCGCATTCTCCCGGATCAGCCTGCAATTCCAGGTTACTTGGCCCCGTCCCGGATAACGAAAGGCGTCGCCCCATTTCCATTCGAGCAGCTCGATCGCAATCGGTAATCTGGGGGTGGTGCGGGCATGGGTATGTACGCATGCGTAAATTGATAAGGGGAAAAGGGTGGGCGAACAAGATAAAATAAAATAAATAAAATGACCACGCGATCCCACCACTACGGTACTTTCGCCAATGTCACCACCGAGGACAACGCCAGCCTTACCTGTGTAACGAACCTTGACGACGACGGAATAGGGACTGGTACAGCGACAGGAACAGCGACAATGGCTAGGCAAAGCGAGGAGCCGGCGAAAACGGGCGATGGGGACGTTGCGCTCGCCGAGGCCATCCAGCACGAGCACGATTTGTCCTTTTGGCAGGCAGCGAAACTGTACCCGAAAGCTGTCGGGTGGTCGGCGTACGTCTCGATAGGTGTCATTATGCTTGCTTTCGACCCGCAAATTGTCGGGAACATGTTCGCGATGCCGCAGTTCCAAAAGGATTTTGGGTATGAGCTTGACGGCGAGGTATGTTTGTGTTGCCTTATCTCTCTTACATAATTCACGATCGTACACTAGCGATGCGCGGAAATTAATGAGGGGCATTGGAGGGGGAGGCTAACGCCACGATCTTATCTCTCTAGTATGTCATCACGGCGGCGTGGCAGACGGGCTTGTCGCTCGGGAACCCGATCGGTCAGGTCGTCGGCGCGCTGTTCTCCGCCTACCCGCTCGAGCTGTTCGGGCGCAAGTGGACCTTCTTCGGCTGCATCCTGCTGACGGCCTGTCTGGTCTTCATCCAATTCTTCGCGCGGTCGCTCCAGGCCTTGCTCGTCGGCGAGCTGATCGGGGGGCTGGTCCTCGGCTGCTTCGTTGTTATTGGCCCTACGTATGCGTCTGAGGTGTGCCCTATGGCGCTGCGCGGCTACTTGACGAGCTACACCAACCTGTGCTTCGTCACTGGCCAGCTTCTCGGAAACGGTGTTACGGCTGGGACCGCGCAGCTGGAGAATCACTGGGCGTATAGTATCCCGTTCGCGCTGCAGTGGTTCTGGGTCGTCATTATTATCCCCGGCATATTCTTCATCCCGGAATCGCCTTGGTGGCTGGTGCGCAAGGGCAGGATTGAAGATGCGCGGGACGCTTTGCGCCGGCTGTCGTCTTCCGAGGTCGATGTCGACGCGACGCTGGCTGTCATCGCCGAGACGGATAGGCTCGAGTTGGAGATGGAGGCCGGGAGCACTTATCTGGACACGATTAAGGGCGTCAATCTGCGCCGGACCGAGATCTCGACCGGCGTGTATACCACGCAGGTTCTGAGCGGGATTTATCTTATTAACTACGGGACCTACTTTTTCGAGCAGGCGGGATTGCCGACTCAGAGCGCGTTTAACATGGGGATTGGGTTTTTAGGTGAGTTGCGATAGTAATTATTTCTGGGGTGTTGGGGGCGGTGTCTAGTAGACTGTAGTGATGCAGGCTCGCTAATCTGATAAATCTTAGCTGTGGGCTGGATCTGCACTGTCCTTTCGTGGTTCCTGATCGCCCGCTTTGGCCGAAGGCGCATTTTCAACGTAGGCCTATCAGTTCTCATCGTTATGATGTTCATAATCGGTATCCTTGACAGCATCCCCGGCCGACCTTCAGGTGTTGCTTGGGCCGAAAGCTCGCTCATGCTGATTTGGAACGGGGCATATGACATCTCAGTCGGGCCAATCACTTTCGTGATCTTGGGAGAATGTTCCGCGACGCGTGTCCGATCTAAGACGATCGCCGTAGCGACAGCGGTGCAGGCAGTTTTTGGAATCGCGATGACGGTTGCGATTCCGTACATGATCAATCCAGCCGAAGCGAATATGCAGGGCAAGCTGGGGTATTTCTATGGCGGACTAGGTGTTCTCTGCCTTATCTGGGCGTATTTTCGGATCCCCGAGACGATGGGTAGGACGTACGAAGAGCTGGACCTTCTGTTTGATAGGAAGGTCCCTGCGAGGCAGTTTAAGGGGTACCAGGTAGATATTGCCGCTGTGTCGGCCGAATCCTAGGTTGACCGCTAGCTGAAGGGTCATGTGCTGTGTTATAGGGGCGTTATATGAACTAGAAGTGCCAGTTCGTTATAAGGCATGTGTGATGTAACTCTGCAGGCGATTAACAATCTACAACATGCAAGCCAAGCCTTTATTTAGGTACCTACAGGTTGACGTTCATATTCGGGATCACGTCGAGGGAGGCCTCACATAAGTTACCTACTGGGCACCTTGAAGTGGTATCTTTAGAAGTATTATCACACAATGGACCTACCTGTATCTGCCAAATTCCAGTCGATGGGGTGTTTCATTGACCAGAAAAGAAAGGGAGTCTATCATGAAATGTAAGGATTTTCGGCCTTTCTAGATCTGTATTGCGAGATTTCGCGTTTTCTAGTTTCGTAGGAAATCTAACCGCTACCTCTATGGAATTGCGAGATTTCGCAATTCCAAGCGTCATAAAACGAAGGTAGGTAGGTAGTTAGCCAACTCATCTTCTTCATCACCACGTACGCTTCCACTTCCATCCTCAGTTTTGACTTTCAAGAGAAGGATGCAATCAAATTGTATTCTTTATCCAATTATTTCTACTGCTTTTTACACTAAATTACCTGTATTATTATCCTCTTTCATCGCTTCCTCCGAGTCGTATCCCGGCCCGGAGTGTTGGCGCCATACACCGCCGCATCTGACAATCGGCCTACCTTTTAGGTAGGCAAGTATCAAGATCGCTTACAATGGCACCAACTTCAGAACGATCTGTCGCGTACGGATCTGGACCCGAGTGGTCGACGCACAATTATTCCAAAAATTCGAACGTATCTCTCTATTCTCTCACTGAGTTCCTCAACTACGATGAAAGGCCATTTTCAGAAAGATTCATAGTTGCAGGGCATCCATATGACACTTACAAGGAATCTGTTGAGTCGACCCTCAGACGCTGGGAACGAAGCTGGTACACTGCCGGAAATATAACCGGCGAGCAACACGGAATTCAGAGTCATGTGGGCCCCATAGTCAAACCAAGGAATACAACTCGAACCCGACACACAGAAGCCGAACTTACCCGTCGTATCACTGAATGGCTCCTAAATTGGCTTAGGCGGTGGGCGGCTGCGGCTCCGTTGGTAGATGGGTCTTCAGGGGGTTCTAGAACTACCGGGTCAGGCCATGCTTTAGGTGCAGGAATCTCATCCGGGAAATCATCAATTTCCAATGCGGCGGGTAAGCGACGCAGAGAGCCAGGAAAAGATGGGGACGAGGACAACAATGAACAGTCTAAGAAAGCCAAGACAGGACCGTCTCCAAGGAATACGCGAGAGTATCTAGCATGTCCATTCCTCAAGTACAATCCACAGAGATACGGACAGGATGGAAGGTGTTGTAGGCGATGGCCAAATGTAAGCAGACTGAAAACGTAAGAAAAGCCTTGAACCAGAGCCCTTTAGCTATCGGGAACGACCCTAACCCTAGGTACTAGGGATCACATTTACCAGTGTCATCAAGTGCCTGGGGTGCAGTGTCCGCGATGTGGTGGCATTATCTACAACCATAACAAGTTTGAACATGCCTCCTGCACGGTACGAAACTTTCAACCCAGAGAGGGCGCTGATTCTTCCATGATGCAAGAACTCCGTTCCAAATCGACCGCTCGAAACGAGTCCGAAGAAGGAAAATGGCATGCGGTATATGGGATCCTGTTTGGAGTTCCTCGGGAGCAGCAACCTAGTCCCTGTAAGTACCTACCTAAGCATCTCAGCTTACTCCCAGATCCGGCGCCCCGCTAAACCAGGAATCAGATCCGGACAACTACTCTTACTTTCGACAAGCAATTGTCACCTCCCTACAATCAAGCATCGGCCCTATCGTACGGAGAGCGTTACGAGCGCCAAATTACGCGCCGGGCTGGGAAGAAAGCGTCTCTAGGAACATTACCAATGATCTGATCGGATTAATTAATAGAGACTTTCAGCCATCTGGCTCACTTACAGTACCACACTATAACCACGACCACGACCCTTCACCGAGCAGCAGTAGCGAAACCCGAGGTCAAGCATCAAGCTCCCGTACAAATCAGTCATATACAGAAGGTGGTTACTCTAACCAGTTCAGCGGTAACCCTACTCCAGGGGAACCCGTTGGAGATGGGTCCGGTGCTCAGGGTGCTGAGGAGTTGGTTTATATGCTTGCGACTGACACGATATCGGATATGAATAATTTTCTTCAAGGAATGGGGGACTGGGAATAACATGACCCCACCTGGCAGGTACATACATGCATTGGCACGTAGGAAAGTGGCGTAGAGGGGCGTAGAGGGGAGCCAACATGGTGTTTATGAGATGAATCAACCCGGATTTCGTTCCACAGACATTGAAATGGCGGGAGGGTAGTTCTGGGTGCATCGACGAATTACGAAGAACATGAGATGAAATCCCAATCCTTATTATATATATATTAGAGTTGATTAATCATTGATGTTGGATTTGAAATAACTTACCTAAAATTGAACTCCTTAATTGTGCTACAGTGTGCGAAAGTAAAGGGCTGAAGTGCTTCTAGCGAGCCAATCCTCCAAGAATTAGCGAGACGACAACGAATTGTCTTGAGCCTTTCTCGAAATCATAGGTTACTGGCGACTATAAATAAAATATGGGGAAGATCGAGATATCTTCCAACTTACGATCCGTGAACCAAGTTTTATAATGCAAGGACGGGTATGTATGTTTGAGTCAATGTGGATAGGAGAAAACTCTTCAGGAAGAAGCAAGAGGCCCCCTATAATAACAGCTGTCAAGGTACCGACGCAATGCTGGAAATCGAGCATACCGATTAGCTGAATAAAGCCAGATCCCCTGAATATTAGAATGCATCAGCTGTATTCCATGGCTCATCTCCAATGACACTTGTGCCGTTTCCTCTCCTAGGAGCTTTATGGGACCAACCAGAGCCCATACGGATTACTCAACTCGTAGACCTGCAGCTAATTGTTGAAGTTTCCAGTATAGTGGTATGACTTGTAGTTGAAGACAACTCGCGATTGATTTTTGCTGTTTCGCCGCCAGTGGGGTACAAGGCACAAATCCCCGATAGCGTCCCATTCTAAATTGAGATTGATTGATCGGTGGCTATTCTAGAAGCTCAGGTGCCTAATAAGAAGGGCTTCGTGTTGCCTCTTATAAGTGACTTGTATTTGATGTGTAGCTGCTTCCTACATATGTACGTGTATGCATGTAGCCTCTAGCCCTCCAGGGCTGTCACTTGTCGCTCCCGATATTATTGATACAGTGGATTGCACCTGCATAAATTGCCCTAGTCTCGGGGTTCACGTTGCAATAGGCTTTAGACTTCAGCGGGGCTTAGCGGGTCTAGGATGTTCCGCAACTTAGCCCGTGATCGCTTTGGAGTACCCCGTGCTCAGAGAATCAGGGGTATGTTAATCTTCCCCATACCGACACCAACAAACCACCAATTGAGGAGCATATTACTTCCCGTCTCCGCTGCTATATTCAACTCTTATCTATCCTTGAGAGCTTCACATCCTGCTCGAACCCACCGCAATCCTTAGTAGGCCTACACCTTTCCAATTCTGTAATCCGAATGCAGAATGATGTTGATATTTCACATATTTCCAAGAATTTTCTTCATCGGGATCACAATCAAAAGTAAAAAAATGGACCGACACTCCACATCGTGACAGCTCACACAGCCCCCCTAAATTCTTGGCGATGACAATAAGAAATCCCCTAAAATGACGTCCTACCAGGCTTCCTACCTAGCGGGCGGTTATATATTTCAGCCGTGGTATTCAAAAACCCTCATTAGTTCGGTGAATAAGTTTATCTCGCTTTCAAACATTTTTGTACTGCTTGTTTTAGAATTTCTAAGAATTTCATTGACATGAAATATACACTGTACACGTGTGATTGTGGAGAACGATGATGAATATGGATTATAACCTCGACGACCTAGACGTTGCCCTGAGCGAGGCACGGCACCAAGCCGCTGCTGTCTCCGGCCCTCCCACTCGGAATGAGAGCCGTCGCACGGGACATAGCAGTACCCGCCGCGGGAGTCTACTACCCCCAAAGGGTGCAATCTCCTCAGCTTCACAGAACCAAGGAGCAAAGCAACAGCAAGAGCAACAACAACAACAACACCGACTCGACGAGTTGAACCTCTTCAATTTCGATCTACGGGAACTTGTGAGTTATATGTTCCTGCCTATTGACGGGCAGAGTCGAGTCTCTTACCACGAGTATGCCGTATTCGCACCGAGTGAGCCTAACGGTGAGACCCTCTCACCGAGTATAATGTCCGATGGCGAAGAAGGATTACAGATGTTCCGGAGTGCTATTAAGGAGGGACATGGCCTAGATAATGAGGTGAGCAACTTGCCAATTACGCTATAATAGCAGCAACAGATGTTGACACGGATTTACACGTAGGGTAATTTCACTCCTATGCCGAAGGGGAAGCACTTGCTTCGGGGAAGGATGCGACAAGTGTGAGTATATCTCATTTTCCTTTAATCGCTTTGCCTGCTTTCTAGATTCTCGTATCCAGTGTCTTTCGGTCACTGACCTTATCTTAAATGCTTATACTAAAAGAAATATTTAATAGGATTGCCCATCGACGTATTCGTCACGAATCGGAATGCCCCAGCATGCATTGCACCGATGGACTGCACCTCACTGTGGATGATTATGAATCCCTGGGCCTACACTCTGGAACTTTACCAACATTACAGCGAGTAACTCTTGAGTCCTCGTTCTGGGATTCAAGAAAAGAGACAGTATGTGAGTAAATCATAGCATCGAATTGGTGGCTAAGCAAGATAATACATCCTGCTGAGCTCCATTCTTGTTTCCTTAACTTTCTATTAACCTTACTAACAACTATCGAGATCTGATTCTAAGCTTTTCTTCTAGTCCACAGCCTCCATACGATTTCCTATCAATGGCTTACAAGCTCAAAACAAGGACGGGGACTGCTCTGATACGGCGGTCATTTGATACACGCTGGCATGCTGATGATGCGCTGGACGAATATGAACGTCGTTTAGACTCTTGCAGGGCACGATGGTCTCACCCTCTCGTACTACCAGTTGTACTACTCCAAGTGCAGTTGTTCCGTACTGAGGAAGCAGTACAAGCCAATAATGCTGAAGTGTTAGAGCTTGAGGCCCATGTTGATGCTGTCACCGGCACTACGGGACGAGCCAATGCTGAAGCCTGGTTGCGGAACCAATCACATAGTAACAAGCATCATCCATTCAAGCCTATAAAGCGCTGGGGGTCAGGCCTGAAAGACATGGTCGAGGAAAAGGTTAGAGGTGGACGACGTAGTCACGATGTCTCGAGCTCTGCCGCGCCCTCACCTCGTCCGGAGGTTAACGGCTACTTCGACCCCGAATACGTACCACCGCAAACAATTCATCTTATGAAGGAAGCCCACGATGTTCTTAAAGGGGCTATTCAATTACTCGACACATTGCGATGGATGGAGCGAGCACTGAAACTCATAATCCAAGCTGGCGATGAGTTAGATGCGCGGGTTACTGAGCTAAGAGCTCAAGCAGTAGCGAGGGGGCAGATGAAGGAAGATGAGGAAGACGAACTTACGGTTCACTGGCATGAGATTAGGCAGTACCTCGACTGCACGTGGCGGCTCTGTACCTCGCTCGAAACCGACCGACGCATGTCGGAGCTGAGATGCCGGGCACAGATCGATATCATCTACTCGAAGATGGCGCAAGAAGATAACAATCTCAACGCGCGCATGGCTGTGGCATCGACACGAGATAGTTCATCGATGAAAGCACTGGCCGTGATTACTGCCGTGTTTTTGCCGGGTGAGTATATCGGCACGCTTTTTGGCGTCTCTATGTTCGACTGGGAGACGGGGACCGCAGGTGATCCAGCAGTGTCAAATGACGCGCCCGAGGGTTGGCCGCATCCCGTGGTCATGCCGTCGTTCTGGATCTACTGGGCCTTCACCATCCCGTTGACTCTGTTCATAGTGTTCAGTTGGCGTGCTTGGTGGGTTAACCAAGATCGTTTTTTCCGTCGCCACCTAAGCGTCGACCTCAGCAACGAGCGCTACTGGACCACCGACGGCCGACCCCGAGACCTCGAGACTACTTTCATGCAAGATTTCTTTAGCGGTTTGCTTAGCCGCAGCGGCGCCGGGACTAGTAGCAATAGCACAATCCTCGGGAAGACGCCGCGGCCTAGATCAAGGAATGGACCAAGCCCCAGCGTGGATCTCTCCAGATCGCAGATCCGGACACCTATATCCCGGCCGGGATCCAGCCTGGGGTTACCCAGGCAAGGGTCTGGGTTGGGACATATATATGGTAACGGTGCTAAGGATAGGGATTTCACGACTGATTCGGAACGTGAGGGAGATGGAACGGATCCTAGGATGCGGTTTAGACAGATCACTTTTGCTAGGGGGCCGTTGATACGGCGGGAGGGTGTGTTTGCTGTTTAGACGTTGGTGTGATAGAAGAACCGGTGTGTTACTAAGTAATAGAGCCCCTTACCACATTTATCAGCATCAGATAGCTGACTCTTACATAGAATATTATCTAATGATAAGTCATTTCGGCAATAGTCTTCCGAGGAGCTCAGACATACGCTTACTAAGATTGCGAGGCACGACAATTCTGTATTGCTATAGTTTAGGTAGCTTCTAACCCTGACTCTTTATCATCATATCTATATTCTTACTTCCTCGTCGTCGCCCTTATCCTCCTGTTCCAGTAAACATGGTCTTTCAAGCTCTCTCGCGTTCCCTTACACACGGTACGAGTCCCCTTTTCTCAGATCTCATGTCGTCATCACTCGGACACCTACCATCCCATCTCTTCCCATCCAAACAACTTAGTCAGTCAACCCTCCTTACAACCGGTCTCTTGAGGCAACCGGCTAAACCCCTGGTAATCATCCGCATCTTGTATAAAGGTTTATAAGGATGGATAATTACTAAAATTTTCAGCCTACGGGCGATCTCAAATGAACATACAATTGTATATTAGGTTCCAACAACATCTCCAACTAAAGTTTTGCCGGTTTGCCACGGGGGGTGAAGGGTTCGAATCCAGTTCAGAGCAGTTTTTTCTAATTCTTTTTTGCACCCTTTTCAAAGACAAGATCTCAAGCCCTATCGCCCTGCTAGATACTTGGTAGCCAACTATGGTCTCAACTCTTCTCGCCTAAGCAACCCAGTCAGTCAGTCAGCCCTCCCAACAACCGATCTCTTGAGGCAACCGGGTAAACCTCTGGTAATACACCCGCGTCTTGCGTGAAGGTTTATAAGGATGGATAATTGTACAACTTTTAGCCTACGGGCGTTCTCAAATTATACCATTGTACATTAGGTTCCAATAATATCTCTAACCAAATCTCCAACTAAAGTTTTGCCATTTTGCCACGGGGGGTCAAGGGTTCGAATCTAGATCAAAGCAGGTCTTTTTTTCTTTCTTTCTTTCTTTCTCTCTTTCTTTTAAAAGTCACAGAACGTATTGCCTTAGTTGGTAGATACCTGGCAACTAGAACACGGGTCCAGAAATGCCATTTTGGAGTTTATACAAGCCCTACCATCCCATCTCTTCTCGCAAAAGAAGCCCAGTTTACACCACCCATCCTTCAACCCCCCAACCCCCCAACAGCCGCTCACCAGGGACAACCGGGTAAACCCCTGGTAATCACCCGTATCTTGCATAAAGGCTTATAAGGAGTGATAATTACTAAATCTTCAGCCTACGGGCGTTCTCAAATTATATCATTGTACATTAGGCTCCAAATAATCTTCGAGGTAATCTTCGAAGTAATCTTCCAATTAAAGTTTTTGTCATTTTGTCACGGGAGATGGAGGGTTCGAATCTGATGCAAAGCAGTTTTTCCCCTTTCTCCTTTTTTTTTAAAAAAAAAAGTCCCAAACCCCATCGCCTTGCCTATTTTTGGACTTTCTCCAAGGTCTACCGGTCCATCTCTTCTCGCATAAGCAACCCAGTCTGCTCTCCGTCGGGAACCATCTCACAACTAGCAGTGAGAATAATACAGCTAGAATACGCAAAAGCGTCACCTCTATAGATATGAACTGTTAAATAGGTTACTGAGAAGATCCAAGAAAGGGTTAAAGTGTAACACGTGAGCCTTAGCCCAGCACGCCCCCCATGCCCTCGGGAAGGCTTGTGGATAGCTGTGCCGCGGTCCCCTCGGCGTTCACATTAATCACTATAACCATCACTAGTCCGCCCTCCCTATAACCCAATAGCTGGTCCGCTGAGGTAACCGGGTAAAACCTCGGCAATCACCCGCATCTTGTATGAAGGTTTATAAGTATAGATAACTAACAAGTTTTCAGCCTACGGGCGTTCTCAAATTATACCATTGTACATTAGGCTCCAAGTAATCTTCCAACTAAAGTTTTTGCCATTCTGTCACGGGGGATGGAGGGTTCGAATCCAGCTCAAAGCAGTTTTCTTTTTTCCCTTATTTTTCTTCTTTCAAATATCACAGAACGTATCGCCTTGGTTGCTGGATACCTACCTAGTAAACAAAACACAGACACAGAAATACCCTTTTTGGAGTTTGTCCAAGCCTCACTGTCTCATCTCTTCTCGCGGAAGTAGCCCAGCTTTGCCTCATTTTCCCCTTCTCCCCTTTCCCCCTTCCTCCTTCCTCCTTCCCCCAACAGCCGGTCCCCTAAGGTTACCGGGTAAAACCTCGGCAATCACTTACATCCTATGTTAAGTACCTTATAAGTATAAATAACTAACCAATCTTTAGCCTACGGGCGTTCTCAAATTACACAATTGTACATTAGGTTCCAAATAATCTTCGAAGTAATCTTCCAATTAAAGTTTTTGTCAGTCTACCACGGGGGGTGAAGGGTTCGATTCTAGTTCAAACCAGTTTTTTTTTCTTTTTCTTTTGCCTCTTTTAAAAGTCACGGGACGCACGTATCACTTTGGTTACTATATACCTAATAACTAGAACAACCATAGGTCCAGAAACGCCCTTTTGAAGTTTCTCCAACTCCTACTGACCCATCTCTTTTTGGGAACGTAGCCCAATTTGCCCCCTTCCAACCCCCCTCCAACAGCCGATCCCCTGAAGCAACCGGCTAAACCCCTGGTAATTACCCACATCTTGTAGGAAGGTTTATAAGGATTGATATCTAGTAAATTTTCAGCCTACGGGCGATCTCAAATTACCACACAATTGTACATTAGGATCCAAGTAATCGTTCGAACTAAAGTTTTTGCCATCTTGTCACGGGGGCTCGGGGGTTCGAGTCTAGCTCAACGCATTTTCTTTTTCCTTTTTCCTATTTTGAGAGTCACAGGACGTACCGCCTTGCTTGCTACATACTTGGGTAGGTAAGTAGTAGCCAGGAAACAGATATAGAATCACCTTTTTGGAGTTCCTTTGTTTAATGTTAAAGGACTAACTGCCAATAGGGCGGCCTCGTATAAGCCGATTCCCGATCCCCCTGGGCTACTAGCTAACCCTGGCGAGACCTCTAGCTACTAGCTTTCACAGAGGAGGCTTCTGACACCTCCCAACAGCCGGTTTCCCGAGGTTATCCCAGCAACCACTTACATCTTGTGTTAGGTTTATAAGTATTAACAACTAACAAAATTCCAGCCTACGGGCGTTCTCAAATTAACTTACAATTGTACATTAGGTTCGAATAATATCTCCAACTAAAGTTTTGCCATTTTAATACGGGGGGTCAAGGGTTCGAATCCAGCTCAAAGAAGTTCTTTTTTTCTTTTCCTTTTTTGAAAGTCACAGAACCTATCGCTTGCTTGCTAAACACTTAGTGACAAGAACATGGATCCAGAAACACCTTTCTTGAGTGTCCCCAAGCCCTAGGGCCCCATCCCTTCTTGCGGATACGGCCCAGTCTACCCTCTCAACAGCCGGTTTCTTAGAGCAACCGGGTAAACCTCTGGTAATACACCCGTGTCTTGTACGAAGGTTTATAAGGATGGATAATTACTAGATTTTCAGCCTACGGGCGTTCTCAAATTATATCATTGTACATTAGGTTCGAACAAAATCTCCAACTAAAGTTTTGCCATTTTGTCATGGGGGGTCGAAGATTCGAATCCAGCTCAAAGCAATTCTTTTTCTTTTTCTTTGTCTTTTTCCCTTTTTACAACCACAAAACGTATCAACTAGATAGCTAGATACTTGATGACTAATACACGAATCCAGAAACGCCTTTCTTGGTTTCCTTTAAGCCCTACTATCCCAAGCTCTTCTTGCGGAAGCAGCCCAGTGTACCCTCTCAACAACCAGTCTCCTGAGGCAACCGGCTAAACCCCCGGCAATTACTTGCATCCCGTGTTAGGTTTATAAGGACTGATAATTAATAAATTTCCAGCCTTCGGGCAATCGAAAGTTAGCTCACACTTGTACATTACGTTCGAATTGAACACTCCAACCAAAGTTTTTGCCATTTCATTACGGGGGGTCGAGGGTTCGAATTCAGCTCAAAGCAGTTTTTTTCTTTACCCTTTTCCTTTTTGAAAACCACAGAACGTATCACCTTGGTTGTTAGATGCCTAGTAACTAGAACATAAGGTCTAAGGACGCCATTACGAAGTTTATCCGAACCCTACCATCCCATTTCTTCTCATAGAAGTAGCCCACTTTACCCCTTTCCCTCTCTTTCAACCCCCTAATAGCCGGTCACCTAAGGCAACCGGCTAAACCCCTGGTAATCATCTGCATCTTGTAAAAGGTTTATAAGGATTGATAATTATTAAATTCTCAGCCTTCGGGCAATCGAAAGTTCGCTTACACTTGTACATTACGTTCCAACTAAACACTCCAACTAAAGTTTTTGCCATTTGCTGCGGAGGGTGGGGGGTTCGAATCGGGTTCAAATCAAGTTCAATGCAATTTTTCTTTTCTTTTTTGTCACCCCTAGAGCCTCCAAAAACGTCACCTTGGTCATGTGCTACTTATTAACTAGAAAACAGACCCAGCAACTCCTTTTTGGAGTTTCTCTATGCGTTCTTGTGTTATCTCGAAACACTCAGGAAGCCCGGTATCCGCCCACGAACCTCCGAGGATGAGCTTCGCGACTCCAGGGGCACACGTGAAAATCCTCGCCATACCTAGGTAGATAGAGAATTCGCGTTAGCATTTCTGTCACGACCTGGACTTCTCTTCTGGTAAGTAGTAGTCGTAAGGGGATTCTTACCATGCCCATTAAACCCAGCACAAATCCACTGCCCCGGCAAACTCTCAATCTTGCCCACGAACGGCACCGAGTCCGTCGTCATCCCCACGATCCCAGTCCACGTATGCAGGAGCCCCTCCCCATGCCTCAAACTCCCCTCCTCGCACTCCGGGAACGTCGTCTCGAAGTTCCGAACACAGTCCACCCTTACCTCCTCATTAAACACGCTATCATCAGTCGTCAAGCGCGCGGCCGCCGCCTCGGCGCTAATCTTCGGATTCGCAATCGGCGCGCCTAGGATGATAATCCCGTCCGGCCGCCGCTGCGCCACAGAGTAGAAGTGCTTGAGCGAGTGGCGCAGGGACATCGTGCTCGGGAGCATCTGGTCTCCGCTGAAAGACGGCGGCGGCACGAAGGCGTGCGCCTGCGCGCGGTTCGGCGTCACGAAGCTACTTAATTGCGGCAGCAGATGCGGCGCAAACGCGTTCGTGCAATGCACCACGACCTTCGCCCTCGTCGTGCCTCGCGGCGTACCCACATCCCATCCCACCCCTCCATCCTCCGCCGTCGAAGTCGTAGCCGCGGCCTTAACCACAGAGGTTGCCGGACAATGGGTATAAAGCCTAACCCCCTTACTCACAGACTGCGCGAGCAACCACTGCGCCAGCTTGGCGGGGTGGCTCGAGCCAGCGGGCCACTCGTACGCGGCGACGGCACCCTCGACGCGGGTCGCGCGCGCCGCGTCCTCGCCCTCGAGGAACCGGATGTGCGACACGTCGCCGCCGGCCTGCCGGTACAGCGCGAGGCTGCGCGCGTTGAAGGCCGCGAACTCGGGCGTCATGCACACGTCGAAGGTGGTCGTGGGGTTGAAGTCGCACGGCACGTTGTGGCGCTGCGTGAAGTCCCTCACGCGCTCGAACACGAGTTTTTCGTTCGCGATGATCTTGAGCGCTTGCTCTTTGCCGTGCAGTTGTGAGTAGACTTGGAAGCCGCGGAAGGCGTCTGTGCTTTTGTTTAGTACTGTATATGTTCCTTCCGCCTAAGGGGGCGACGAAGGCTGACCTGGTCTCACGTGTCCTGCATTTCTTGAACTCGCTCCGCTGGCTGCTTCGCGAGCTTCGAGGATGATTATATCGGAAGCTGGAACGCCTCCCTGGATTAGCTCGTAAGTTGTCAACGCGCCGGAGATACCGGAGCCGATGACGACATATTTGGATTTTGCAGGAACCGGTTCATTTTTGTTATGGTTGAGGTATGGAAAGGATCGTGTAGTCTGCTGCCAAAATGATACACAGGGGTTGGCCACTGGCAAGCCGGGATCCTGCTGGGGTTCTGGGTTGTCCGTCATAGCCTATAGTCACGAGATCTTACAATAGATAAAATGTTCAATTACAAGATATTTATTACCTATAAGATGATCTTGAAAAGACCCCTAAAAAGTAAAATAGAGGAAGTATATACCTCCATATGCGATATCCCTGCGGGGTCGCCTAGCAACTATATCTATAGGCGGGCGAAGCCGATAGCGGACTGTTTATAGTTGATAGGTTCGCATAGTAGCACTATGGGGTTGTCCCATTACTATTTTAGTTTGCGTGCTATCTATAGGAGATACCCGGAGGAACCAGAATTCGAATGTTTGAACTAATATATTTCTATGAAGCATACGATAGGTAATTTGGTTGTTAGTGTTATATTAGGTAAGGTTCCTAATAACTACTCTTTATTATTGGTCCACTCCTACAAATCGTATATGCTCGAGTCTTGTATACTATTTTGTAAACATCCCTCGAATGTGCATTTTCCAGCCATCCATCATGACATAACCGGCGTTTGTAGACTCATAACCCAAAGGTGGCTGGGTAAGAATATTTATAATTCTTACCTCCTAAATACGACCATGTAAGAGCTAATATGTACTCCTCACCACTCATATATTCGAAGTGAAGCCAAATTATCCCAAATAGGATTCATTTTAAAATCCCACCCAACATGCCGGTAATATCTTTGGGATAGGGGAGAAACAACATGTCATAAATCCGATAAAAAGCATAGTAGATGGAGATAATTCCCGGCGAGTTGGATCTTTGTTTCGGATAACCGTTGGGGTTGTGTACCAGTTGCTTATAAAACGTTCTAGATATAATAGATAAATACCTACCTACACAAAGTGAGCCAACAGGAAACTTGATGAAGAATATCCCGTGATATTGTCTCGGTTGACTCATCGTCTCACCAAGAATAGGGAGTACTATAAAACAAGACGCACCACAAATGATGTCTCATCATCGAAGCCCCCATCTGTAGAATATTCAAATCATTTTCAAGATTGGAGTCGTTCTATCCTAACTCGTGTCCACAATCTAGGTACCCAAACGCCCGCTTGCTGGTATATCCCTATTTCATCTATCATGATTATATAACTTTAAACATCTTATAACTCATCCAAGTCGCCTCCCTCGCGCACGGTTGACACCTAGCCGGCCAGAATCGTGGTCGGATCGGGGTTCGGACCATGAGAGGTTCGATCTCTTGGGAGGAGCATCTTTTTGAAAGCAGTTCCCAATTCGCGCGTATACCGCGATTCCAGAGCTCCTCGCGCAGAAATATCGTCACCACCCCATCCTTAACCTTTGAATCCGCATCTTAACAAGCCATCATCATAGCTCGCTCAAGCACCCCTCATAAACCCCCTCTTCCTAACCGGCGGCAACACGCCCTTCTCCTTAGGAACATCCTTCTTCTGGCCCTCCGCCGCGGCATCGAAGACGCTATAGCTCTCGGCCTCCCTCTCGGCGGCCCTCCTCTCGCGCTCGGTCCGCCACCGCGTGACGTAGCAGACGAGCGGGAACAGCGTGACGTTCAGCGCCGCCCAGGCGAACAGCACGCCGAAGTTGAGCCCGATCTCCGAGTGCAGGTCGAACAGGATCTGCCGGCTCGCTTGCACGATGTGGTGCAGCGGCCACGCGTACCCCCACTTGAAGAACCCCGGCGCCAGGTCCGTCGAGTAGAAGGCCGTCGACACGTTGGTTATGACCCACTGCGCGCTAGTCAGTCGGTGGACTCTGAAAAATTGAGTTGGGTGCGAGGATATAGAAACTCCGGACATGGGTTCAGGGGTATATGCTGGGACTGGGTACCCCTAGACACCCGGAAACCGGGTCCATAGCATTGCAGCTGCCGGTGTATAAAGGAAACGGGAATGTGGTGGACTTACAAAGATAAGCCAAGCGGCCGTCCACGGTTGTCCGATGATCATGGCCATATTCTCGCATGCTATTCCCAGCGCGTTCATACCAACGAAATTCACCATCCAATACACAACGAAGGAAGCGCGTCCGTACGCGGACGGGTTAAATGCGACATCGGTAGCAGGGGCAGACGGATTCGAGAACGGAATCTGGAATGCCAGCGAAACTAGCGAGTATGCGAGCGAGACGAAGAAGTACGTCGTTATTGTCGCGGCCAATCGCCAGACTATTAGCTGCCAAAAGCGCAGTGGCGGGTGGTTACCCGGCATGACGAATCTCTACAATTAGGTGAGGAACGTGTCAGCGCGGCTTCTCTTACTTCTCATATTTTTTTTTCCTGCTTTCTAATTATATGTGACTGGAGTACCCACAACGAACGAATCTGACCGGTTCGCTCGGGCGAATTATCTTTTTTTGTTATGTCACAAAAAGGGGTAAGGGGTCAAAATCGTAAACTTACCATATGAATAGGCAAGAAAAACCCATACGAGAAGAACGCCACGATAATAAGGTAAATCAGCCCAATTGAAACGGACGGCGTCGCCGTCGACGGCCCAAAAGGCCTCAAATCAATCGTCAACGGCGTGACCCCCGGATTCACCGCGGCAGGGGCCCTCGCGACGACGTCCCTGGCCAAGGACTCGTTCGCCACGACAGACTGGCTCCAGCTCGGCCCGAAGCTAGCCGTGAAAATAGTCTCGAGGTTCTGCAGCTGCGGAATGACGTAGTTGAAGAAGTTGGTCTCCTGGCGAGCGGACATGATGATGAACTGGACGGCGCCGGTGGGGTCGTACGACGCGTTGCCGGTCTCGACGGCCTGGCGCAGGAGCGCCGTCGCGTTCGGGTTGACGACGACGGCCGCCCAGAATTGCCAATCGTACACGGCCTGGCGCACGGCGATCGGGTCGCCGTCGTACGGTTCGGGGGACGCGATCGTCCACCCGAGCGTGTGCTGCGTCGCCGAGTTGTCGATCATCTGCTGCACGGCCTGCCTCACGGCCGGCCCGACGACCGGCGTCACGTTGGTGTACGGCGCCACTTGCCCGTCGAAGTCGACGACGTGGACCGTCAGGTTCTTCATGTTTGTGCTGACGTGGAATAGGACTGCCCAGTATAGCGATAGTACGGCTATGATGAACGTTGTGAGGAGTATGACTACAGGCAGGTTCGGTTAGTAAGTCTAGCTTGTCGCATGCCTAGGTAGTCACAGTTAGACTAACGCGTCCGAGCCCACACGGTTATGACCTCCTTCCGAATCGTCGCCATCCGCGGATCCCAGAATCCGGCGCTCTGGTGAGGTGCTTCATACCGGCCATCTTCTCCTGCGAAATCGTCGTACTCGCGCTGTTCGCTGTTAATCGTGCTGTCGGACTGGTGCATGATATCTAAGACATCAGCCGGCGGCATATCAGCGGCGGTTGAAGACCCACGGCTATCGTCATGAGCGGCGATGACGAGATCTGAAGCGTCTGGAAGCTCGTCTCGCGGCATCTTTTTCTCATCTCTTGTCATCCTCTTACGGTTAAGAGAGAATATGTGCCCCTAGGCCTAGATGGATACAACGTTAGATGGGAACTATATATTCGAGAGCTGATCGGCGAAAAGGGACCCTGGTGAAAAAAAACGACCCTGGAGCAAATCATCTTATATAAAAGGACATAAGCACTGAAACATAAGCAGCAGCGTAGGGCTGGTACGTATGCGTATGCGTTTATATCACATCGGTATCGGTCGGAAAACAATTGCGGCTCGGAATACTCAACCGAGCCAAATCAAATCTCTTTTCCCCTCTTATTTCTTCACCTCCCCCTGTTCCTTAGAGAGAGAGGGAGAGAAACATAATTTGTCATGCCGTCATGGTAACTCGGAATTAAGAGCTTACTCGATGCGACTTACTGATCGCACGACGCTTAGCCACATGGTTAGCCAGTTAGCTAGCCAAAGGAGTTAACCTACTAACCCAATATACTAACCCCTAATCGCAAGCTCGAGCGTAACCCTCCCGTCCGAGAGCGAACCGTCTTAACTCTTAATAATGATGTCACCCCCGTGGACCCCCGGCCGGATACGGCGGACAGACTCCGCAATTTCTTGGGTTAGGCTAAGTAGTACGGTGAGGAAAGAGCTAACGAGGCATACTCCAATGGCAGTCGCGGGGACAAGGAGAGCTTAGGTATCGGGGGTTACAAAAAAGGGGCTTATATCATCCTTCTTCAAGGAACATAACTCAACGTCGAGGCAAAAAAAGACAAGAAGGAAAATCTTCAAAATCATCGATCGAGAGAAACCCTGCCGTCGTCCCCTGGCCCTCTTTTTCCATCGGTGATAAGTCGAAAAAACGCCCAAAACACACCGGGCCAACAAAATCCCTAGCTACCCTGACCGTACATACTACATGCCTACTGCGTAGGCCACAGCTCACCCCTTCTGCAAATGTCGGGCAAGCGGCTGTGCCCTGCCGCATATCCCACCGACGATCTCATGGGATAATGATGCGTGTGGGGTGCGGAATGTGACAAAAACGCGAAGAGCGCGAAGTTGGTCTCTCGTCGGACAAAAGGTCTGGAGATAACCACTTTCCTACTACGTATCGACGCTCCCACTCTGCCACTCCTCCCACACCCCCCCATCCCACAAAGCTGGCCAATGCATAAGCTGAGCTCAGCTACTCTCGGCCAAAGGTTTAGTGGAGTAAGGTGGAAATAAAGGGAGAGAAGGAAAAAGGCATACGTGTATCTCTGAAATGTGAGATTCTTTTTTTTTTTTCTCTAGATTGGGTTTATTTCCATTATTGTTTCTTATCCAAGTCCAACCGAGAGAGAAAAACCGCTCCGGGCCAAGGAATTACGACATGTTCTCAAACAGAAAGGGACACACATATCTCTGCTGACACTTGTACACAGTAGGCGATTAATTCGCGACGCGCACGATATATTGGCATGCAGAAATTTTTCGAAATGTCATCCCATGTAAGTCCACTCGCGACTCTTACCAGTGCCGTCGGACGCGAAAAAAAGGACAGGGTGGACACGAGTCGTGCTGTAACCACGCCGTAGTCTAGCCCCTAGTAGAAGGTATGGCGAGCTCTCTACCCTGATTTTGCATAGTAAGGCTCGATGTATTCAAAGACAAGATTGGACAGTTTGAAAAAAGATGGGCAATTACACAGCTACTATGGGATCTACCCAACGGCATGGAAACCCATGTGCCTCTACCCAGTAAACCAGTAAACCATATATCAAGCATGAACGCCACAGTAAAAATAAAGTAGAGAAGGAAGCCAACCTGCAGTTTCGAAGGTTCTTCCCGTCCCTTTGTCAGCAAATCCTCGGTGCATGTACGCATGAACGCCGTTGAGTCAGCGAATCCCCATCACGTCAACCAATCAGCAGGTCGGATGGCGTTATAACGCATCTTATCTTCAGCCAACTGGTTCTTTTTTCTTCGGCGCCTCTTCTGGGCAAGGGGGTTCAATTATTGCGAGATGTTGAGAAGCCAAGACTTCAATCTCACTGCGAAGACCGAAACTCGCATACGCATGATGAAAAGCTCACACTGCAATGTCACCGTATGGGTTGATCGGAAATTATATATATAATACCGTGCTCGATCCCAGCAATGTCATACGGCACTCGTAGATTTAAAAGGTGGGGTCAACCGGGACCGAAGATCATATCCGCCACTGAGATTGTCATTAAGAGGAGGTTCATTCACGAATAGGTGGGTAAAGACAACTGGTTTGAAGGCAGGATGATTTTGACAACGTTCTCCATTGGAAGGACGTCAGCTACCTATCTATTATAACCGACACATGGGCCAATCCATATAATATCCAATCCCTGTTTCTCATAAGTAGCACTCTTCCGAAGCGCTTCGTTAACATCCTTCTGATAAGTCTCGCGACGCTATAGAATCCCACAAATGTATAAAGAAAAAATTGTTTGTATGCAATGAATCAGAGGGTTTCATTTGAGCCGTTCCTTTTTCGCCCTTAATGCAACCTTTCGCAACGCCGGAGTAGTCAAGACTAGTATACCACAAATAATGTAGACAAGAGACATGCTATTGGTAGCATTATAAGTCGCTAGCGAGAAGGCTTAGTCTTGCAAAGACAGTCTCCAAGTTCGCTGCGAGGCGCTCAACCCGTCTCGCGGCAATGCTGGCAGTGGCATCCTCATCTGATGAACCGACCAATTCAAGTCGAGCAGACGACTTCTCTGATTCAATACCACTGAAGATGTCGACCGAGATAAGGCTATCAGTGTCAAGCTCGGCCGGCTTCGATGGGACAACAGTCGTCTCATCATCGTAGATGTCTCCATCAAGGTTGGCAACGACATGCTCGGATACTTCCGGCTCAGCTGCAGTCTCTAGGGGCTCAGGCGCCTTGGTTGATGGCATTGTCGGAGCCTCGAAAATAGGGGCATCCGTCTTCTCGGCATCTGACGCGAAAGATTCTCCAACGAAGTTCGAAGACTTGCCCGTTAGAGCCTCGGTGTCGATGACGGGCATCTCTGGCGTCTCCAGAACGGCGAAGACTTGAGGCTGGTAGTTAAAGGCATCTGAGTTGATGTTCAACATAGAGAAATCCATCGTCTGCTCAGGCATCATGACCATGCCGATTTGTTGGTGCTGGTGGTTCTGCTGACCAGCAGTGTACGGGTTCACATCCTTAGGCACTTGGCGAGGTTCAGGTTGCCTCTGCTCAGGCTGAGCTTGCTGCTGAGGCGCGGCGTTGGGGTTGGTACTTAAATGATCTAGGAAATTGGAAAACGAAGGTGATGATAGTAGCATGCGGGTGAGATCGGAGAGGCGTCGGTTCTCTTCCATCAACGCGCGGTTCTGGGCTCTCAGGTCACCGTTCTCGGTAACCTTGTTCGCGATCTCAGACTCAAGTTGGGTGATGTATTCTACCAAATCGTTAGCAAATCAGTATTTCAATTAGCGTAATCTTTGCTTACCCTTTCTTCTAGAACGGAACGCGCGAGCAGATACTTTGTTGCGCAATTGGCGTCTTTCTTTGCTGCTCAGCTTCTTGCCTTCTTCACTAGCGAGGAGTCTTTCATCTTCATCCATATCATCCTCCTCCTTCTTGGGTCGAGGAAGTTGCATGAGAGGCGAGTTCTCGCCTCCGTCACTAGAGGAAGCGCCGGCCTTCGACCTCATCGAGTTAAGTAGCTGTGTGATCTTCTGCTCCACAATCGGGTCGGAGGGCATAGAAGGCTTCGACCTATGTTGCTTGACCTGCTGGTTCTGTCTTTGCTGTTGCTGGATGAGGTGCTGCTGCTGCCTCTGCTGTGCCTGCGCCTTCGCTAGAGCGGCCTGTTGATGCATACCAGGGTACATCCTCCCAACATTGCTCGTCTGGCTAGGGACAGTTGGCGACGTCATCTGAGATTCTCCTCCGATAGCGTTAGGGTTAACGGTCTGCTCCGGGAAATAAAACGACGCGTCGTTCTGAGAATCGAAGTCCATATCCATATCCGCGCTGTTCGCGTTCTGCGACGGCGCCGAGTTGAAGTCAAACATATCCTCATTCGTGTTCATCTCCGACGCCATGTAGTCCAAAGTATACCCGGGCACTTGGTTGGCGTTCTGGATGGCGAGCGTGCTAGCAAGGGCGCCCGGAACAAAAGGCGTCTGCTGCTTGTACTGGTCATATTGGTGGCTAGGGCCTGATAGGGGCTGCGGTTGAGGCATCGTAGTCGGCGTATTTACCATCGCTGACGCCCTCGCGAATTGTTGCTTGTTGTGTGTAGCAGGGGAAGCTGAGGGAGATCGGTATTGCATTGCTGCGTCATATTCTGAGAAATCGAGAAGATCTAAAGGATCGACACCACCTGGGCTCGTCGAAGACTGGCTTGAAGCCGACATGATTGTGCTAGAATAGAATCAGTCCGGTTAGGCTGTAAATGAACGACCGCTTCCTAGAGCGAGTGTGGTTGTAGTCGTAGTAGAATGTTAAATATTGACAGTTGACAAATTGTATTCGATGGAAATAGCGATTTCGATTCGTTGACGAATATTGATGATTGTTGGTACAAAAGTAGTTGTTTCGTTTGTGAAGTAGAAAAGGCGAGAAATGGCAAGATTGGTAGGAAGCGCGGATCGGATGGGAATTTTGGGTGTTAAAGATGTTATGGTTGTTTATGGGTAGGCTATGGGGGTACCTTGGCGAAGAAAAAAAGGACCAAAAGGACGAAATCGACTAAAAGGATTAAAGCAACTTGAGAGTGGGCAGTTCTGGGAGTTCTGGGGGTAACTTCCCTGCGAGTCCCTGCGAGTCCCTGGGTGGCTTGGTTTGAACTTGGCCCTGTCGGGCAGGTTGACAGGGGTCGGACTGTCGATTAAAGAGGGGAGGGACGCGTAAGCCAGTGCGAAGGTCGTGCCTTTCTCGGCCAATGGACCCCAGCTTCCTAAGGCCGAAAGAGATCTCCCCCGATCCAATCAGACTCCAACATCCATCGTCTGTGGCACGGAGCCTACTCAAGTCGAGTAGTAGCGACCGGTAAGTGTGGTAGGAATACAGGAATACACGGATACCAGTACATTAGTACTTACCTACTTACACACGAGGGCCACACACGCTACTATGTACTGCGTACAGTCGAGCATGATACAGAGCAGGACACACACAAACCAGACAATACACGCATAGCAATAGTCAACCAATCCAGCAGCCATAGCATTCTTTCTTATCCCATCGCAGCTCATGGGTATCTGTTACCAGTAACCATCTTGTCCTGCAGGAGAAACTCACCCGCGCTTCGAGGATGACGACGCCATTTTCCACTGGAAGGCTTAGGTCCAATAGCCTCTTCTTATACCCATCAGTACGATAGACGTCTCTTTGCTGACAATGATTGATGACGATATCGAACACGACGAGTAAACGAGAGGGTTGAGACGAGATGAATCCTTCGATGAAAATGGCAGCGTGATGCATTAACCATCACTGTTGCCAATTAGGTACTCATCCCGTAACAGTCAGATGTACTGTAGGTTGTAGCATACATGCACCAGGTTCAACTGGTTTGTTCAGGAGAACCAGCCGGAAAGCATAACTAACGTACCTAGTTTGGTATGCTAGGTATTAATTAGATGGATGGATATGTCGCTGGTACCCCTAGTTTCGAGCCCCTGACCTCGACGGCCTCATGTCCGGAAGGCAGATGGGGAAGTACAAGATACATGACTCATTTGCAAAAATTGAGCACCACCGGCCATGACGGCTACAGTTGTTCGACCGATGGAGAACATAGAAGGCACCGGAAGAATAGGGAACAGTTTGCTGAATCGGTCCTGTCGGGTCTGCGGCACCGCGGCAATGCTATTCCTTCTTTCAAGTGTCTGCCTCTGGGAACACAACTGCTCTTTTGTCTTCCGGGACTCGCGTGTTTGATGATTGGTAACGACCTCGATGTGATGACCAGTATGAGACCGTCAGATTGGTGTGCCAGAAGCAAGTCCATAACAAGCGACTCGCCCGAACTCCTAAACGGCGCAAATTTTGGTGCTTGACATTGACCTTGATTGGGTACTAGTAGCAAGCACAGCCACCACCGTCATTTGCTAAAGAGGCACGGGTCCACCATAATATTATGGCTGTCCATTTGGCAATCTGTCTAGTACCGTCGATAATCTTTCATCGCCAAGATGACGGATTCCTGTATAAGCTCTCACCCCGGAGTTTGTATTGATCACAACCTCGACGCTCAGGCTTAGAGAAACGAAAATAAGCATATGTTGGTTGAGCACTACGGTACCGGGTTCATCGCACATGTAGTGTCCGAGATCCCATGTGCTCTCCGGACTTTACCGTAGCAAAGAGAGTTTGTGGGTTTTCTCGGCCAAGATTCGCCCACGTTGAACGATTGAACGAGTTCTGGTCTCAACCACGGGAAGTCGGTCGCACTAGACTACCGACCCCATCAAAGCCTTTCATTTGTCGTTTATGCCATGTCGGTAGTTTCTCTCGCTCGAGGCCCGTGGTAGTACCAACAGACAGCAACAGACTAAGCCCGCTTCTGGTTTAGTGAGCGAGGCTTAGATTTATTGAGCTGTGTTTTCTCAGCTTGACAGGGGATCTCGAAATGATTAAGTAATGCATAGACTGGCCTTAAAGGACGAATTCCCCCTGGCGCAGCAGCAGACCTCGGAGCTCCACACCACTTTCGTATCAATGATATTCCAGAAGCTAAAAAGGAGAACAATCAAACAATGCCTTACCCATCATTTCAATGCCGCCAGATATTCGTTGCCCACAAATTTCCTAACATGTTACCGTTGAAGATTAAATTCGTTTCGACTTTCGGTATCTCCCGACGTGGGATGGGAAGACTGGACCTCGCTGCCTCGGTGATAATGCCTGTGTCTCCATGTCGAAGTAACATTTTATGCGTGGTGCCGGCAGACAAGATCTCAAGGGTGGATAAGTGCTTTTCTCCTTGGGAATAGACTGCATTGATACTTCGGGGCCTTTCCCAACAGCCAAAACATCGAAACATTCGACCTTGCTAAAACCTATCATTCGTAACCCTCTCCATTAGAGGACACTGGTTATTGATACGAGCCCCGACCTGTCTATCGTGGCCAACGGCTATAAAAATAGCATTTTTCCAGCTACCGCGATGAGGCTGTTTCACCCTAATCTGATGCAGATCTCCCCACTAAGGGTTTGTTAAACTTGACAAGCTTCACTTCGGTTTTTCTAGCCCCAGATGGGTCTGCAACTTGGATGGGGCGATAGCGGCAGTATGCCTAGGTAGGTATGGATTCCGAAGAGAAAAAGGTTCGATCGTACTGGACGTAGCCCTAGTGAAACCTTTTTGCATTCACAGTAGGGCCTAGCCTACCTAGTATTGTCGGCGACAGTATCGATTACAGCGAATTTCCCGATGCTGCGGTCGAAGAGGGTAAAGAATAAAAATAAAAAAAGAGATGCCGTAATCGAATATGCTGAGCACTTGTCAACTAAGCCCTGAGCATTTCGATAAAATCGGCAGATGGATGACGAGGCGTGTTGCCCGCGGCTGTCTCCTTCGCATAAACGCGAAAAGCAAGCCGCTTTCGACGACAATCTCATGCAACCTCATTGACCATCAGATCTTTTTCTTGCCTGGGTAATGTAGGTTGGTGACCTCAATTCGAAAATAAAGCCGGACAATCTCTAAAATGCAGTCACTGTGATGAAAGCAAGTTAGTAAAATGCCAAGATTTCCAAGTTAGCAGTCCGGAAAATTCCAAGATTCCAAGTTGGGTTATGTGGCTGTGATCGTCTGTGGCGTTGCTGTGGTGGTACCTCGGTAGTGGTGTGGCGACTACATACATGCATCAAGATTCCAGGTCCCCATGAGCAAGAAATGTGTATCATCTTCTCCTTTTCTGATAATGATAGCTCATGCAAAATTCTCTCTTTCAAGAGAATGGTTATTTATAGCAATCAATCCAACCAATGAAGTAATACGGTTTCATTGGTCATTCCTGTCAAGTCTCATGAGCAATTTTTCAGAGGTCTCTCGGTGCTCTTCCCCTATCCATCAAAAGCTCCAGCCTTTCAGGGTTAACATTGACCCATGTGATGTCGATACACCTTGCGATATTGTCGTCTATGAGGTAGGTATTCCCTACCTATCGGTCGGTGCCCGGTAAATACTTCCCGAGACTTGACTACACCTGCCCATTCTCGTTATGTAAAGACCGGCCCGGGTTCCTGATAACTTCCGGGGCAGGTAAGGTAAACGGAAAGGCAGGCACTCTCAATAAGTATCGGCAGAAGACTACTTCCGGCGGACGCCACCCGATTGAATTGTCACACCACACCGAAATCTGGGACATCGTACTTTGAAAGCACCGATCAATTTCGATCTCGGCCGGGCGGTTAAGCCCGGATATTCCGCCGTGGCGTAGAGGTCTATTTTATATCTACTATATGCTAGGTTAGTTGCATCTTCATAGTGTGACTGAGTAACAAAATGAAATTCCTCGCTACAGTATTTCCATGAAACTAATGTGTCTTGTTTGCGCTCAGTTTGTTTTTATATCAGTCATTTTCAGTGCTCGCCAAGGCCTGATGTGCGAGATTGTTGATCTGACTTTGATTGAGCTTGACTATTTATGCTTATTAATTTGTTATATCTATGTGATTGTTATAATCTACCTACTGTTCTAAGTATTTATGTTGTGATCACATATGCCTCTTTTACTAATATTGCTTCCGGTATTATTACTAACTACATAAAGATTCCATCTATATTTCTATGGGAAATAACTAAATCTTTATATGAGATAGTATATCTATTTATCATGTAGTGGAACTAATAAGCGAAGTACATATCTAGCTATGGTTATTGTAGCAAACGTAACACTTGATGACAGTAATGGGCTTATAAGGATAAATAGATGTCTATGTTGTAGCGTTTACTAGATAGCATAATGGGAAAGTGGTAGTTTGTAATATATTGAATCATGAAAGATAGGCTCCTGCTCTGCCTTAAATCCTATGCAATGGGTGCCTAGTCTTTTCACACGTATATACTAATTCGACTCCTTTATAGATAAAATATCGTCTTGCCGTTTCTACTATATATATTCGACATCCAAGTAGAGATCAACCATTTGATGATGGTCACTTCCACGTTAGAATACTAAGTTTCATTATTGTATCCTCAACAGCTTCATAAATGATATGGCAGTCGTCAGTTGGTCATCGGCCAGCCACAAAGACCTCGTTTTAGATCCAAGTCAGTCCGAAGCTGCTTTTTTCTGTGACTCACGAATACTTAATATTACAATTGTGACGGTGCCATCCAACGCTTTGGTCAAGTGGTGTGTGCGCTTAGTGTGAACTCGTCCACGACACTGATACCAAGTATTGTTGCCAAAACCTACAAGAATACTTCTACATATTCCTTTACTATTCTTTTTTTAACCGCGAACCTTACCTATTCAAGGCTCTTTCTGCTACCTTTCGTGAGCCATAAACGATTCTTCACAGTAAACGAAATCACCAAACTCGGCACGATGGATGGATATTCCCTTACCCCCGACGGAACTATCTACCCACAACCTGACGGTCGTGGTTTAGATACAATCAATTACTATATTTTTACGAGACTTAATGGACGTCTATTTCCTCTAGCTTGCATCTGTCAATATACGACAGGTACACCATTCGCCGATTCTGGTCGCCAAGTTGTCTACTCATGTGTGGGGATTATGACCATCCTCAGCGACCCAGCTAATCGTTTTGCTATCGAATCTGAGCAATTGATGGCTGCTGATTATTATGATGACCCAATCGAGTGCGCATCTCGATACTCATTTCCAATTACTGAGACCTGCGCACTGCTAGGAGCCAGCCTAGTCCTGCTAGGACCCGAGGACTGGCGGCATAGCTATGAATTCGAGCCCTTATGGCTAGCAGATTTGCATGGCTTGCCTTCTGTTCCGTCAGACGGCTTGGTTGCCATCGATATCACGGATATGAACAACTTAAAATACGGAATCATGACGTTTAGGATCCCTGCTGATGAAGATGCGATCGACATTTCCATAGACAACGATACTACCAAGGCAATTTCCGCCAGTCAATATGTGGCAAGATATCTACAGCATAATGACCTACAAGCAGATGATATGATAAAGGCCGAGGAGCTGGCTAAATTTTCGTTGATCACAGAAGGTCTTATGTACTGTAAGTTCAACAATGTCGCTATAACGTCTATACAGCAACTAACATATGCAACTCAAGTCTCTTGGCCAACACACGATTGGACATGTCGTTTGTTCAGCACTCCCGAGTCCCACTTGGGAACCCGCCCTCTAGTTGATCAATGCTTAGATGTCCTGATCCACAGCACCTCGGAAATCGAATCCTTCGATATGTCTATATTTGAACTACCACTCCTTATCCCGGGCTTCAAGGCCAGGCTACAGAGACGCCTATTCGCGGCTTTGAAAAATCTTGAATGCCATAATTCGGTCGGACAGTTGCTAGCACTTGTCTTCAACGGAGCAACGCAGCTACCCCTGGTTCAGCTCAAGGGACTCTCCGCAAAGGTGCTCGAATCTGCTCTGAAGACAGAAGAGCTTAAGAACGTAACCGAGCTAAGCCTACAAGTCAACAATTTCTGGAGCTCCCCGGACCATATCATAGATGTGATATCCTGTGGACCTTCCATACGCCACGTGTGTTTTCTCCTAGGACCGCCGGAGGCGCGCAACAGCCTAAGGTCCATAGACTTATTGGAAGCAATTGGCAAGAGACCGGAGTTACTGAAACGCATCAAGGTCACATTCACCGCCGCGTATTCGAGAATGGAAAATCACATGGTGTGGAATAGATGGGGAAACAGCTTCCATCCGCCATCGGAGGTCTTCCCGATCTTGAACATGATGGTCACTTGCAGATTTGGCAAAAAGGGCGACGAGCCTGCCAGACCAATAGAGAGATCTCTATATTTTGGTTCAGGCTTGCTTACAGCCGAAGCCTTCACGGCTGGATTCTTACGATGGCTGCCGAATATGCCGCATCACGATGGATATCCCTTTTCTGTCGGCCCTTCAACCCTGGGAAGTACTTCCAAGGCCGAAGTTCACCCCATTCTGTCATATACCGAGGATGAAGTGTTTCCGGGAGGAAGCTGGGTTGTACTAGTTCTCAATGATGCAACAGGAGAGACAAAGGGGAAGTTGAGGGTATTGAAATATGCCTTCGTACAGCTGGATGGTGGCTTGAAGCCTATTGATTACCGCCGCGACTGGCATTGTGGTTATGACGTGGAACCTGATCATCTCCGCGAAGTCGTAGGACTCAAAGGATTCCTACAAATAACAGCACCACATGTAGACCAGGGCTTGGTGGATCGTTTACTGTTGGAGGCTGGGAAGGAAGTCGCAGCGAAAGACGTTCAAGTTCTTCAAAGTCCAGAGTCCGAGCCTTTCAGCGTCATGGACCGCGAAGAAGCATGTAAGCTGTTCAACGAAGTTCTGGCAGGAAGTGAGAACGAAATACGTGGTGAAACGATTGAGAAAGGGTCCATTAGATACTTGTAAGTCCTTGAAGGTTTACTAGGACGCTTTGTTGATTGGCTTGGATTGGGTTCTATATGCTTGGCTTACGGGTAACGGAGTGAGGATGTCACTCAATATATTACAGGGGAAACCACAGGTTAAATTGTGTTATCTAATTCCTTTCTCCGAGACCCTAAATCTATAATGATTGGTCTTCCCTAGATGTGTATATTGCCCCCGAATGCTCTGGACAAATAAATCACTGTGCTTGTACTGAAGCAACAGATAGTAATTCGAAATCTTTCGGTTTCGGCGATAATGCGTCTTTTGTATTGAATATCAACAACAGAAACGTTGCTGACCGGACACTTGAATTACTCGGCCATTGGTGTCCCAATGTATCCTACGGAGTTTGGTGTGCACCTCGCGAGAATAAATCCCTGTATTGCCTATTCAAAACTTCGCGATAGAAGTTTAAATCCATTCTCAATTTCGTATACGAGAACAGCACCTACCTAGAGACTACAACATCCAAACATCGACTGTAATGCATACCTTCCTCTTTATCCAAACCAAGTAGATATGGAACCATACCTATGCTTTACCAAGCCAACTTCCTCACCATCCTCAACCGCCCTGTAGCGTGGAATCATCCCGGCTAGGAGCTAACATCTACAATGCCTTCCAATTTTCCACAAACGAAACCCTCCCCAATGTTTCCGTCGGATACTAGCAGTCCACCGTTGTAGCCCTGATATCTAGGGGCTTTGAGGCTGTACTCATCGACATGATGTTCACTTCGGCCCAAGCCGCCACCGCAGGAAATTGGATCGAAGAAATGAGCCCAAACAAGCGCATCGTCATAATATACGCGACGCACGGACACGACAACCATTGGTTAAAGGTGCTGTACATGTAGAAGCGATTCCCACTCGTAGAAACTGTTTCGGCTCAAGCGTCGATCGATAACATGCTCACACAGCTAAAAGGCGAGCTTTAGACCTTCTGGCATGAATTGCGTCATAATACGGAACTAAATGCCCTCTGTCTGATTTGCTCTTAGGCTTGCTACTGATAAGTCTCCTATGGACCGAACTCCCGTCTTATTATTTCCTCAATACACCAATCTCTGACAACCTACCTATTCTGGGATCATAGCTCCGGGGAATCATATCAAATCGTTGCGAAGCGGTTCTAGAACAACAAGTCTACGCTTTTGAGAGACACCTTCAAAGCTGTGGATGTATGGCACTCGGATAGTCACGAGACGACGCTTCTTCATACCCCCTCGTTGAAGATGGTCGTAACGGAAGACATCGTATATAATAATGTCTACATGGAAATAGCCGAGTCTCATTCACAAATCCAGAAAGATACATGGGCGAATTCACTAGACAAAAAAAAAAAGCCTCTGCTAACCAACTAAAATCGTCATTGGATCTCACCACAGACCCGGGGGCGTGGACGGGGCCATCAACATCAAAGCTTCGCAGACGTACATCAAGACGTTTAGGAAGCCGCACCAGACGGTTACGAGTGCCGAGGATTTGTATGACAAAGTCGTGGAGGAGTATCCGAATCGGATAGGAAAACTACTGGTCTTATGCCTAGGTTGCCTAGCGCAATTTCCATCGAACAGTCAGTCTAAACGAGATGAGCTATGAACGTTTAGAATTAGAGAAGGCTTTCAAATGTCGATAGAAAAGCCTATTAGGGATATACTCGTATAAAAGCAAGTTATCTCGTAAAAATTCAATATTACGTTCGTAGGATTTGGGCCGGAGTTATGTGATATCAATATACCTAAGGAAAAGGGGTTAGCATTGTGGATTTCAAGGGGACTAAGATGATCGTTGGATTTTACGTGGAAAACGAGGTTGATCCCTTGTAGCTAGTAAAAGGTAAGCAAGAGAAGAACGTCCTAAATGTAACTGGCAATAACTTGAATAATACAATGTCTAGCGGACTGCCATTTTGACTTTCTTTACACACCTATTAGTTACTAGGTAGCAAATTGTGTCTTCTGCTAGACCAGAAATTCCTTCTTAAGAGGTAACATATACGCGGCAGATTAAACCACGACACAAACACCAATAGCAAACAAAGCAAGCAACATAGAACCGCAAAACTGTCTTGATGATAGATAGCAAGGTATCTGTATCTAGCTGCCGCATCAAGCTCCACTGCCTAAAAGAGCCATTGCATTGATTGATTGAACCAACTCCAACAAACATTCACTTAAACTTAAACCCTGGTATGACCACCCGGAACGCCGACCCCTATGATTTCAAGCAATCGCGATCACTTTTCCCGACGAGTATGGTACAGAGGAAGAAGAGTGTTATCAAGGAACAACCCCATTTATGCGGCCTTCTCCTTCTTTGACTTCTTCGACTTCTTCTTCTCTCCGTCGTCCGTGTGCTTTCGCTTCTTGTCGGGCTTCCCGGCCTCAACTTCGACCTCGGCCGTGGAGGCCTTAGCTTCTGCCTTCTTCTGCTTCTTTAGCTCTTTCTTGCTGATGACCTGCGGCGTTCCGTCGGCGGCCATCTTGACGTCACCTCGCTCGTACTTTCGCTTGAACTTAGTGACTGAAATGCCAGCTTCCTCTGCTAATCGAGAATAATCGGCCTCAGATAGCTTGGCGGGGGTCTTGGGAGTAGATTCGCCATTTGTGGCCTTCTTGCTCTTCTTTTCTGATTTCTTCGGTGTCTTCTCCTTTGATTTGGCTGCTAGTTCGTTAGCTAATGCTGGATCCTGTTGATGCCACTTCTTGTATAGCGAAGCAGCGGGTTTTAGGAATTTACCATCTTCAGCACCGTTCATCTCCACATCTGAATCCTCTTCTTCCGATTCGTTGTCTCCGTCGCCCATTGGGGTGTCTTCAACCTCTTGTATCAAGGGCTTGCTAGGCGTCTTCTTAGCAGAGGTAGAGACAGCATCCGCGTCTGCGTTGTAGTTTCGTGTCGGCTTAACCTCGAACTTGGAGGGGGTAGCACCATTCGGAGCAATCTTGGTACCCTTGGATACTATCGGCTTGCCTTCCATTCTTCGTAGCTTGTCCTCAAGCAATGCACGAAGTCGAATACCCATGTCTGCTCTCTCGTCGTCATCCACTGGGATTTCCTCACCGTCGGCACCCTCGGTGCTAAGCTCAGAGAGGGCATCGACACGTAGACATAGGGCGGCCTTGGCAGATAGTGTACGGGCGATCTTTCCCTTGTTCTTGCCAGTTGCCTGTCCAACCAGAGAAGAGTGATAGATAAGACCATACTTGGGCGTGTCGTGCTTGGTCTTTAGGGCGCGGAAAAGAGCCTTCTCCGCACCCAAAATCTGGATGGTGCTACCAGGACTCTTGGCTAACTTTAGAAGGGAGCCGGTGTGTGCGATGAGACGAGCACCGACCAGCTCACCGAGGAGTTCGGTTAGGTTAGGGGCAATCGCCTTCATACGCGAGGTCAGATACTGGGAGAGCTGTTGTCGATATTCGGTGAAGCTGATCACCTGCTCGGCGAGAAGCTTGATGTTCTCGAGATCAAATTCGAGGATTTCAGTACCCATACTAACTTCAGCAGCGGCCTTTACTCGAGTTTCAATATCCTCGGGTAGAATCTCGGAGAAGTCCGTGCTGGCAGCATTTTCTCGCGTGCCCATATGTATGATAATGCGGGCATAGGCGAGGTTGTCTTGGACAATGCGGTCCAACTCCGGGAAGTGCCAGCCATACCACTCCTTCACACGCATAGCATAGTTGTTCAATTCCTTGTCTAAATCATCAAGAAGCTTGATGGCCTGAACAATCATAACATCCACCTTATCGGGAGAGAACTTTAGCTTGTGCCGAGAGATAGAGTGGGATAGAGCAAGAGCCATGTTTCCAAGATAATCGTTATCTAGCTCAGGGAAAAGCTCAGGAAGATATGTTTTGATCGCTCGGAAGAGGTCATTGGTGGTTGAATCGGATACTGGTGTAATGCTCAACTGGGGCAGAACGTTGATAGCCGCACCCAATTTCGGATCAGCGACAGCCAGAGACGCTTTTCGTTCCTCCTTGATGTCGTTAAGTAGGTTCTGTAACATCGGGGTAACTTTTCCCTCTGTTAATGCAGTGTATTCGCCTAGAGCCTGGGCCGAATCTTCGAATTTCACCATCTTCTTGAGGGACAGCCTATGCGAAGCCGATGAGCATGCGTTCTTGACCAATTGGCATTAGCCTCAAGTTGGTGAACTTACATCGAATTGATGGCCTCAGCGCTTGAAAGCTGCTTGTTGATATCATCTCGTGACAACAACTTCTTGTCTTTAGCCTTGAACAGGCCGTAGCTATCATCGCGTCAGTACTTAAGCGCACAAGAATTTAGATTGAAATGCGAGGAACTCACCCCGCGGGCGTTTCGGCAAGAACGAAGAGAGGCATGATTGCAGGATATCTGTATCTGATTGCTCGTTGTTCCTGCAGAAGCTCTCTTCGCGATAGGATTTGAAGATTGGGAAAAAAAGATTAATACAAGAGCTACTGCTTTGGAGTAAAATTTTATTCGACTTTGGAGAGGAAAAAAATTGGGAAGCTACCGCATAAAAGTGGACCTGGCAAAATGTGGGCGCCACTCAAAGCTTCGTTCCACGACTAAACCCCTCCTTAGAAAGGTAAAACTCCGTTATTGGAATACAATGGGCTTTATCGTGGTCTTATCTACATTATTGGCTTAAGCCACATAAAGCAACCTCAAAGCTTCTAGGTTGCAACGCAATTCATTGGACGCAACTGTTTTGAGATTCACTCTTGAAAGCGATTCATCCCCTTCCATCAACCGCAACAACATATACGTAAAAATGGAGGGTCTGTTCTTCAATGTCAATAACGGGTAAGGATACTATCAGATATACTCACTAATGGCTGGTAGCTAACGTCTCCGAAACAGCTACATCGAGGGCATTGTACGGGGTTACAGAAACAGTCTTCTGACCGGTGCCAACTATTCCAACTTGACACAATGCGAGACCATTGACGGTATAGCTCCTATATCAACAAATGCTCCTACGATGATACATGATGTATCTAATAAACCTAACTAGATCTCAAGCTGCAGCTTGGTCCCGCTTACGGCGACTTCCTCGGATCCCTCCCCCCGAATCCGTCTACCTCCAGTCTCGCCGCCAAAACCACCGACAAGCTCGTCTCCGAGTTCCGATACGTCCGCGCGAATGCGGTAGGGTCGCTCGCACAGTTTCTCGATTATCTAACGTACGGCTACATGATCGACAACGTCGCTCTCCTAATCACCGGTACCCTACACGAACGAGACACCCGTGAGCTGCTAGACCGATGTCATCCGCTAGGATGGTTCGAGACGATGCCCGTCCTCTGCGTCGCGACGAACATCGAGGAACTGTACAACAGCGTGCTGATAGAGACGCCGCTAGCCCCCTATTTTAAGGGTAGTCTCAGCCACCAGGACCTAGACGAATTAAACATCGAGATCGTCCGGAACACGCTGTACAAGAACTACCTCGAAGACTTCTACAACTTCGTCAACACCCACCCGGATATGTCCGGCACACCCACGTCCGAAGTTATGAGCGAAATCCTGGAGTTCGAGGCTGACAGGCGAGCTATCAACATCACGCTCAACTCCTTCGGCACGGAGTTGAACAAGGCCGACCGCAAGAAGCTGTACCCTAGCTTTGGCAAGCTATACCCTGAGGGTACCCTGATGCTGTCGAGGTCGAACGACTTCGAAGGTGTCAGGTTGGCGGTGGATGGTGTCTCCGATTACAAGACGTTCTTCGATGCTGCGGGACTGGGCGGCGGGCCGTCGGGACCGGGTAACATGGCTGGCGGCGCCGGCGGCAACGAGAGAAGTTTGGAGGATATGTTCTACCAGAAGGAGATGGAGATCTCCAAAAGTGCCTTCACGAGACAATTCACATACGCCATCGTATACGCGTGGGTGAAGCTAAGGGAGCAAGTAAGTCTATCTCTCATATATCTGTTGTTGAGAAAACTGCCTATTCCAATACACAGGTTCTAACCGTTTTTTCGTAGGAAATCCGCAACATCACGTGGATCGCCGAGTGCATAGCGCAGAACCAGAAGGAGAGGATTGGCAACTACATCAGCGTATTCTGATTTCCCCACGTACTGTACCTTTGTACTCGCCTCTGCTCTTTCGCTCACCTCAAAAACTCTGTAGAACTAATGGACGGGATACCAAACGGAACTAGCATTTCGAAGCTGTGATTGCTACTTGTTTTTGCTTTTGCCTTTGCTTCTGCTTCTATTTTTCTTCCTGTTCTTACAACAAAGGCGCATGGCTGATGGACAGATAGTTAGAAGCTTTTCTCGCGTTCTCGAAAGGGGCTGCTGGTGTTTTTTGTATTTGTACATAAGTACATGCATGGTATTACAGAGTATGCATCTAGGCCACCCTATATGATACACTTCGAAGTAGCATAGCATAGCATCCATATATCGACCGACGGCTTCCACTTTTTATAAGGTGATTTGTCCCTTCCAGGTCGCTGGGCTCAGGCCCAGAGTCTCAATCATGTGCTTCCACCTATCGCTTCCCCTTTCCTTGCGGTCCATATACCGCATGAGCCTTTGTCGTCGGTGGAGCATCAATCTTAGATCTCGCTTTCCTGCCTTGTCCTTATAGCCTCTCCCCTTCTCCAGTTCGTTGGCCAGAGCACGGATCTTGGCCGTCAGGATGGCAATCTGCACCTCGCTGCTCCCCGTGTCGGGACCGCCCCGCACCGGCTTCTCCTCCCTCTCCCGTCCTCGCGCGAGGGCCTTCGGCCTCAAAACCTGGTCGGTCTGGTGCCTGCCGAAAGTCTCCACGCACCGCCGGATATTAGCGTGCAGCCTATCCCTTGCGGAGCCGTTGCTCATGTGCGTGATGCGCCGTATCGCCTCCATGGCCTTCTCGTGCCGCCTCTGGTGCTCCTCGAGGCGCGCGTTGTACTCCTCGGAGTCCTCGGGGACGAGCGGCGTCCCCATCGGCCGGGTCAGGTTGTACGCGTTCTCGATGGCGGACGCCATCTCCCGCTCGTCGATCTGGTTGTTCATGATGTGGTGCGAGGTGGGCAGTTCGTGCGGCTCCGCTAGTATGTTTCCCTCTGCGTCGACGGGCGGCTTGGAGAACGGCTCCTGGCCGGCGTAGTCGAAGGACTCGATGAAGGGCGTCTGGATGCCCCGGATGGGACTCCCGAGCTGTCTCGCCTTGACGGCGTCGATCTCCTCCCGCCTCTTATTATGGGCGGCCTCTCGCTGCTGTATTTGCGCCCATCGGTAAGGGTCCTGCTTCTCTAGCCGCTTCTTCTCCTTTTGCGACAGAGATGCGGTTTGGGTGACGGGGAGGAAGGCCGGGGTGGGCTGTTTTGCGGCTGGTCGTAGGCATACTGTTGAACCATTGTTAACCAAGAATGGTCATTGAAAGCAAAAGTATGCTTTCTCCTTACATGAAAAGGTGCCTAGGCGCTGCACACCTGGTATTCGAGGCGGCATGGCGGCGTATATTGAAGGTTGATAGAAGGGAATTGAACTTTTAGCAATTGATCCACTTTATTGGATCTGCAGGACAGAGCAGGACAGAATCAAGCCACAACCCACCCCACATGCTTACCTAAGGCTATGAGTTTGAAGAAAATTGCGGAGTGGATAAATGTGGTGACCGATCTAGCGTATGTAGGTACGTTGACATTGTACCTGACGTAAAAATCGCTAGGTACCGTGGGGTGTAGCTTTACCCAATTGGCATTAGCGTCTCCAAACCCTAAGCTCTCGCACCAAATCACAATTCGATCTTGGTCAAATCATCCCGCGAACTTTTTTTTCTACCTTTCAGGAAATTCCCAATCCCTCTCGACAAGACAATCGCGACGCAACGCAACGCAAATCCCTAGATTTCCTCACTTTCTTCTTCACCCTCTTTCACTTCTTTAATCGTTGCGCAAACCAGTCTTCAAGATGGCGCCCTCTAACCTCCCCACCTCCATGCACGCGACGTCCCAGGACATCGAGATGCTCCTCGCCGCGCAGTCTCACCTTGGATCCAAGAACTTGCAGGTTCACATGGAACCTTACCTCTGGAAGACCCGAGCTGACGGTGTCAATATCCTCAACATCGGCAAGACCTGGTATGTCTTCTATTATTCTAACAATTTGCGCAATTAGCATAATTCTAATTCGAATTCTTTGTAGGGAGAAGATCGTCCTGGCCGCTCGTATCATTGCTGCCGTCGACAACCCCGCCGATATCTGTGTCATCTCTGCCCGTCCCTACGGTCAGCGTGCCGTCCTCAAGTTTGCCGCCCACACTGGTGCCGTTGCCATCGCCGGTCGATTCACCCCCGGTTCTTTCACGAACTACATCACCCGATCTTTCAAGGAGCCCCGCCTAATCGTCGTCACTGACCCCCGCACCGACGCCCAGGCTATCAAAGAGGCTTCCTACGTCAACATCCCCGTTATCGCCCTTTGCGACACTGACTCCCCTACCGAGTACGTCGACGTTGCCATCCCTACTAACAACAAGGGTCGCCACGCCATTGGTTGCGTCTGGTGGATGCTTGCCCGTGAGGTCCTCCGCATCCGTGGCACCATCGCCAGCCGTGACATTCCTTGGGATGTGATGGTCGATCTTTACTTCTGTATGTTAAACCGAGCCATAAACTGCCCTAGTTTGTGGAAATGGATGTGGGGAAAAGCTAATACTAGTATCTAGACCGCGACCCTGAGGCCGAGGCTGAGGAGAAGGTCGAGGAGGAGAAGGTACCTGGCGCCGAGGAGGTCGGCCCTGCTGCCATCGAGACTGGCACTTTCGCTGCTGCTGGTGCTGACTGGGAAGCCGCCCCTGCTGGCTTCGCCGCTGCCCAGACTGGTGGCTGGGACGGCCAGACCGATGAGTGGGCGAACGCTACCGGTGCACCTCCTGCCGGTGAATGGGGCGCTGCCGATGCTAAGGACAGTACATGGTAGAAGAATGGCTCTAGAAACTGGGATGGCCCTAACGGCCAGGGACTTCTAACTCAAACCCCCGCGAACGAATTATAGATGGTCTTGGTAGCACCATCACACATCACCGCGATACTTGATTTTCCTTTTGCAACAGACGGATTGATAGAAAGGAGTACGGGTAAACTTGACAGCACTAATGAGGGAAAGATATCCGAACTTCGGACTGGTTTTCATTGAGTCTTCAGTGTTTAGGGTTGGTCCGACTTGAATTTATAGGCAGTCGACCAATTCCTATCGAAGATGATGTGGAAACTATCCGGGGCGAGGGGGAATGCCCTGTGCAGTCAAAGGGGTGGACTTAATCGTTATCCCGCCCAGTTTCTCCTAGCTTATTTAGTCTTGGTTGCAGAAGAATAAATGAACGATTCCCAGCACGTCTAATGAGTTAAATCATATTTGGTGATTTGAGTAGAGGGAAGATGAAAACTTACCGTGATAAACAGCTTCTCCTAGCCCTTAGGTGTATACCAACCCATATGGCATTGTTATAAACAAAGATATCATGATAGACATGGGATAGGTGTACACACGAGGGAAGTATCTTTTTGAACATCTCACATATGAACCTACCTAAGTGTGTATAAAGGCGTCACGATATCCAACGACCAACCTTCCTACCTACGTAGGTACTCCAGAATTCTTATCATCGCGTTCCTCATCACTCAAAAACGCCTAACACAACATCACAGTATCATACAACAGCACAACACGCAGACATCAACTCGAGTAATGGAACGGGCATAAACAGATAAATATATGAGTATGATGGGTATGGGGTATCTGAACAATAGACCAGAAGAAGAGCTTGCACACGCGCGATTACTCCACTCCCTCTGCCTCTTTCCCCCCTTTCCTTTCTCTTCTCTTCTCTCTATCACTCATCCCTTCCTTACACTTTGCTACTTCGCCTACACCTACACACCTATTCCTACACATCGATTCTTTCAGCGGCCCCTTTTGGCTTTTATTTTATACGTTTCGCGCCTCGACTCGACTCGACTCGACCGGCATACCCATGCCATGCCATGCAAAAAATATGTACTAATCTCGGCATCCCCACTGCCTTTTCCCTTCGTATTTACCATCTTCATTGCCTCCCCATCATCGCCTCCTCATCCCCTAAAAACAACTTCACCCCGCCCCCTCCCCCTTTCAGATTGATATCGTTCATAGACGTTAAAAAAAAACCACACACTAAACACTAAAAAGAAGAAAAAAAAGAGGGGGAAAAGATGATTATACGTGACGGAACCGCTGAACTCCGGTGATGTCGATGATGATGGCGGCGACCATGGTAAAGGTATAATAGTAAAAAAATATAAAAAATGCACTCCCCGCGTCCCGCGTCGTAATTTGCTCCTGGCCCCGCGCCCACCGGAAAATAAAACCTTGGTCTCGCCATGTTGTATATTTGAATTTCCGCTCCCAGTTTGATCGCCATTGTCGGGAAGTAAAAAAAAAAGAAATACGTCAATAGTATGCTACATGCGAAAAGAAAAGGTGGTGCGTAGTAAGGGGTACTCTCGCCCCCGAATCGGGTGGGGTATCGGGTTTCGAAGAAGCTGTGTCTCCGTTGCGGCAACGGGGAAAATCTCGTTAATATGGATGGTGTATCGTGGTATCGTATGGGGGTATTATATACTAAGGATGGCCAAAAACCTGCGTGTTTGTACAATGGTGACGAATTTTAAGCGAACCGAGTATCGTCTATGATGTCCTTGATTGGTAGTAAATGAAATAGGGGTATGCGAGCGATGGTGACATCAATCATTGACACATGATGTACAGATTATGTCGAATAATTTCGACGGGTAGACTAGCTGATGCTGTTCCTTTTCGTAGAGAATGCTTGCCATCTATTCCAGACTTTCTGAGTGTTTTCTGATGTCCTCGTCGCTCAAAGCGCTCATCCAGAGACAGCGTTCCGTGATACCTTCGATGGGCTGGAACTGGTAATGAGTGCTGGCTTCAAGTAGGCGAAGCAACGTCTTCACCACCGAAGCGGCGATACGGCAACGCTCAAAATTGACCAAGGGTGCTGTGGTTGGCGAGCTAGCAATTTCGGACGGCCGTTGCGAGTTGAAAAGCAAGTCGTGGGTATAGATACCGACAAAAGGAATACACCCGATAATAGAAGCGGTACCACCACCTTCCATCTCGGCTCGGAGATTGTAGAAGTTCTTCGTAGGCGAAACGAGGGTCTCAAGATCCTTCATAGTCTTTAGGTCGGTAGGTGGAACCATAGCCCAAGTCCTGGCTAGCCTCGCTACTTCGTTTGACGTTAAAGCAATGGTGATCTGGCTCATGGTGGCAAAGTTGCGATATCTCCTGCAATGGCTAGCGATGTGAAGGAATTTGATGATGCAACGCGCTCGTTCCTCTATATCTTGCGTAAGGACAACTTCTGAGATGACCCACTTGACGATGATATTGAACCGTGCGATGACAACTTCAACACCATGGGCGTCCGTGTTTCGAAGAAAGTCAACCCACGACCGTGAGTCATTGTTGGAATTTTTCCATCGCATCTCGATCAGCTCTCTCCAGTCAACCTCATTCAGGGCGTCCTTTTCAATCAAGGTGAATTGCTGAGCAAGTATCTCGGAGTCGAAGGCAAGTATGAAAGGCAGATGAGCCGAGTTCTTTCGGCCACCTTCGGCAGATAAACGAGGCGCATTGCGCAACGCCTCTCCCGTGCCGGTTGGGTCCCTAAGCGAACCTGAACCATGACGGTACATAGCAGTAGTAGGCGTCGTATCAGGTGTAGGCGGCAACGGTTTCTGGGCCCAAAGCTGGTGTTCATGAAGCTGCGGAACATGATCAGCCTCCGAACCCTCGGAAGCATGTGTACGCGTTAACGTCATGGGAGGCGAAGGAGGTTTATCTCTGGACGTGAAGGTAATTCTGCCCTCAGTATCAGGGGACCCGGTATTTATGGGAGTAAGCTTCCTCGGTGAATGTGGTTCTCCAAAGATGTAATCGTCAGCTTCAGGCATTTCACCCGACATTTCGGATGATAAAGCAGAATCATTATCACTGTCAACGTCTAGAAATGAGGGATCTTCTGGCGCAGTTTCTCCGGCCTCGATCTTGTTGATACTCTCAGTCTTCTCCACAAACTCATAAGATGGGCGAACCGAAGTGGTAGCAACAGCCTCGTCACTCTCTCCTGGTGGCGTGTCCGGGCCTACTAGTATTGAGTGGTCTGTCCATTCCTGAGTAGCCGTCTTGCTACGCCCGTCGTCTGTCAATCCTCGATCAAGTAGAGGCGTTGAGTTATAAGTCTCCCTTGAATCTTCCGACAAGAACGAAATCGCCTCGGAAAGCCGGGGAGCGGCAAGGTTTTCATTGAGCGGTGTATCGTGGCTTTCTTCCATTGGAGAAAGAATTTCCTCATCGATATGTTGCTGACGGTGCTTTCGTTTTTCTTCTTTAGCTTGCTCTATCTCAGGTGTTGTTGCTGGGGGCCGTTCTTTGAGTTCATCAAGATCGCTTTGCGGTATCTTTGACGGTTCCATTGAGAGTTTGATCATCTTCCTCTCATATTTGCCCTCAAGTTTCATAAGCGCCGACTCGACGCCTCCATCATCGTCCACGTCATCTGGGATTTGAGCAAGCTTTTGAGCCTCGGCCTCGAAAGACGGTCGCATTATTGGCTTCGACGAATGGGTGCTGAATAAGGATGCTGGTGCACGTTTCGGGGCCTGCTCTGCCATAGCTCCTAAAGAGAATACTTCCGCTCGTTTTTGAGAATAATCGCTGCTGACGATATCAACAAACCCGCTCGACTCCCCAATAGGGCTGCGTAGATAAGAGCTCCTCAAGGAGTCCGTATAAGTCGTTAACGAGCCTACAGACCGTGATCTATGAAGCGGTCTGTGAATTGGTGCATTGTCTAGGTCATGTACATTAGTCACACCTCTCAGATCTCCACCTGGCCGTCTTCGAAGGACTCGAAGTGGCGGGGGCATAACTTCTGAAGCTACGGATCCCTCTGAATACGTAGTCGCATCAAAACTCCCAATCGTAGACTGTGCAGCGATGCCGCTCTGGAAGGATGCCCATCGACGATGAGCAATGGAGCCTCTAGACCTATAGCTACGGCTCGATTGCTGACGTTGATGTCGTTTCACGTAGCTTAATGGGGGTTTGCTGGGCGACTGCTTAACAAAGCTGACTGACGGGCGCGCGGTAGGAGTGGTTTCTACGGATGAACGTTCTCGGCCCAACGTTTCCAAATCAGGAACAAACGGCGGCAATGGGACACTGGAGACAGAGTGTCTAGAAAGTTGCTTGCCAAGGAGATACGACGATCTTCTCGGAGTACCCTCGCGCAAGGCTTGTCCAGGCGGCGTTGTTGGTGGCGTTAGATCAGCATCACCGCCGCCAGCAGCCCGCATCATGCTCTCCGCAAAAGCTTCGACGGATGGATTCCATGCCGTAAAAGTACCAGTCATAAGTGGGTAATCGCCAGGGGGCAAAGTTCCATCGACAATAACAATAGACTTGCTTCCAGCCGTAATCGCCGCATCGCTGGTAGGCCGCAGTTCAAACGAAGAGTCTAAATGGGCTACAGAATACTCAATGGGGGGATTGGCCACCCCTGTATTGTCGTCATTATTATTATTATTGTCTTCGGTTGCGGCTTCGATAATGGCGTCCTCTTGCACAGCCTTTTTGAAATCCTCGGCAATAGTAGCACCAAGGAGATCGATTCGCACGGCAGCACGGGTACCGCTCGGGGGAGGCGGTCGTGCTTGCGGAACAACCGCCGTTCCCGGAAGTCTGTTAGTCGTCACGCCCCGAGGCCCAACTGGTGCGATATCGATGAAATTCCCTCGCGTGGATAAAACACCCTGTCCCCTCGTGCTCAGCGCTCTCCGCACACTGCCGATTAACTTTTTCATGCCTTGTCCCGACATCGCCGACGCAGAACCTTTCTCTTTCGACCCTTCAGTAGGATGCGTTTGGAAAACTGTAGTCTGACGCGCCCCTCCCCAGGGACTTGGGGGGTCTATCTCGACAAAAGCTTGAGCTGGAGGCATAATATTTCCCCGAACAAGGCTGCCAGCATATGGCAAAGTCAGCAGGAGCTCGGCGTTCTTGTACAAAACTTTTTCTGTTACTGAGCCATGATCCCGAAGAGAATCTGTGAGACTGTTGTTCCGCCTATGAGACGTATGGGGCCTAACGCGTTTCCCGGTCAGAGCGCGCGGAGTAGACGCAACAGGATCCGCATTGGTGTAGATAGAACTGGGATCAGCAGGATGCGCAGCGAGGCCAGAACTCGTATTAGGTTCGCCAATCCGGAATCCCTTAGCCGGAAATGAACATGACACCACATCGAGACTCGCAATACTAGTTGGCGATGTCTGTCTCCGGTCTAATTCAGTAGTGGGCCGCCCCGCCTCCTCGTCCACTGGCGTATCCGCGCGCGCGTCGTCGAGTAAAATCGAATCGAGATGACCAGCCCTAGATACGTCTTGATAAAAGGTATTTTCAGGGCGCAGGCCAGCTTCCGATAGGTGGACATCGTACAACTGCGGTAGGTCGTCAGGGTCGGATTCCCAGAAGCTCGGGTCCAAGCCAGCATCTCGATGACCAGCAATTCCACCGGGAGCAATAGGAATATCGGAACCCAGCGACGAATCGAATTCTGGGCCGTCCCAAAACTGCGCACATACTCGCCTCCAACATTTCTTCAACTCAGCTAGGATCTTCAACTGGACCTTCCTACCACGCTCATCTTGGGAAAGCTCCTCAACAAAGTCGTTTATAAGGTTGCAAAACATCACACGGAGGTGGTAATCCACGACAAAGTCGTCGACAAAGTAATTAAGGATCCAGTGCCTCATAGCCACAAACGTCCTCACCCTAACCACCATCCCTGTCTCGTCATCGCGGGATACGGCCCATCTAAGTCTAGCAACTAGCATCCGGAGCAAATCATGGGTATCGAGAAACGCGCGGAAAGTGAGGAAGAAATCAGAAATTAGTTCGTAATCCAAAAAAGTAGGAGAGGTGATTTCAGCAACTAATCGTGGTGGCGTAGCGGCCGTCACGGCATTTGTGGTTGACGAATAGCGCACAATCGCACGGTCGTCGCAGGCTGGCTTAAAAGTAAGCGCATCAAACATGCTGGGCTCTATAACCAAGTTTGTTGAGTGGTACGTTGATCGAACGGGAGGAATAGGAGATCGAGGTGTGGGAATGGTGGCAGGACTAAGTAAGCCCGGTGACGGTATCTGGATGTGAGGCGTAGAGCTCGCCCTTTGTCTTACGGTATCTAGAGATTCTGGGCGAAGAGAGTTAAGTTCACGAACAGGCGGTCGAAAGAACGAGGCGTTACTCGAGCGGACGTCTTCGGTGGGAGCATATGACGAGCCTCGGATCAAAGGCGTCCCCCTAAGAGTGAATCTCGGCGTGCCTAACTTCCAGGAAGGAATGGATACTTGTAGAAGTTGGCTTGGATCCGGGCCTGCATCTTCGGCGGTTTTCGACCTCGATTCGTTCTGCGGCTTTGATATCACGACCTTGAACACTCCGGCATCCCCCTCTTGTGCTATGCTTGCGTCCTGAATGGTTGAGTCCGACATCGCGCGACGATTCCGGGTTTTAATTGATTTTAAATCGAAGTAGGCCTTCTTCCTTACAACTCCGGGTGACGGAGATTCGGTTTGGGGGGTAGGGGTCCATTGACCGTTAAGCAGCTCACTATTGTCATCGGACCTTATCTTATTCTGAGTCAGAGCATCTAAACCTGCCGTGCTTGGTGGCGTTGCCGGGAATGTGAAATTAGGTTGTGGATATCTCTGGTTTGCTGGCCTTATAGTAGGTCTATTGCCGTTCTGGTGGTTAGTAATAGCATGAGTAGTCACATATCCAGTTTACCCGTACCTTAAGTATATTTGACCATTGTTACCCACGTTGGCGACGGTGAAATGCCTCCCTTCCCGGCCGGCTGAACCTCCGTCTGGTGCTATATTCCACTTGTCGCCCTCGGACTCCCATTTTGCTTTATTTCCATCTTGACCGCCAGACCTCCTCTCGCCTGCCGGTACCAGCGGCCTTGAGCCAGTTAGAGGTATGCGCACTTTAGATCCCCCGATTTTACTAGCTAGACCACCGAATGGCGGTGATTTTTTTGAAATTGGACTTCGGGGTGGTACCGTCGGCGATTTTTTATTATTTGACGAATCTGCTTTTGAGGACTGGAGAAGACTAGGATTCGACCGTGTGGGCAACGGCAGGTGTAAGCCTTGAGGTCCTACCTCCATGGCTCTCTACTGCGCGGCAGAACAGTGTCTGCTAGAACCAATGATGACGGACGAATGCATTGAAGGTCGGGGATATGAGACTAATCGATTAGATCCACGGGGAGAAAGGAGAGAATAATATTTAGGCCCCTTTTTCAAGCAAAGTAGCGCAACTCGACGATATGTAGCGTATGCTTCTTGGTCTTGGGAATGTCGCGCGCACACACTCGGGCTACCATCTAGGCCTTCTCTCGTTCATGCGTCTATGGTACTTCGTATTCGTCGACAAGTCGGATATTTTGTTTGGGCAATGTCTCGACGGATCAGCTCGTTGCCAATGACTACTTCGGTTGTGACCAAAATGTCCGTTTCCTTCACGAACGCACGACGCCCCAAGACCGTCCCCTTTACGAGCCGTTGAATGCGACGAAAGTCAATTGGATGTGGACCGGTTGGACAACGGCGGTGTTGAGTGGTGAGAAGGAGAGTTTACAAGGGCCGCGGATGGCAGAAGTATCATTTGGCAGATTTGGGGGCTCTCGGGAACCTTCTTACTAGGTTTGGCTAGGTTGTCTAGATTGGTGCTTGCCAGTGCTTGCCTGCCCTGCACACGCCCCGTCGCTGCTAAACTAACACTCAATGCCTGCAATTGCCTGCAAAGTTGAAGGCGAGCGCACTGGCCCCGGCTGCCGGCCAGGTCCTAAGCAGGGAATACATCCATGGATTACAGGGGCTATGGTCATCGAGGTGGTCCCATTCGCTGGATTTTCGCGCACAGGCAGACAGGTCAACTGCAATTTACTGTGGCTGGCCTACTAGCCCCGGTCTACATGTCCCCTCCAATAATAAATTTACAGGCAGTTACAGAAATACATGGGTACATGAACACTGCACGGACTTAAGTCAGACTGGAATTGGGGAATGGAAGGAAGACTCGAGACGGCGTCTTGAATCTTATCATGTAGTGTAGCATTGGATAGGTACTGCTGGTACGTACAGTTATGTGCTGGAAACTTGCACCGAAGACTTGTAGACTTGTAGACCTGGAGTCATACAACTTTCTTCTCTTCAACAACCAGAAGCCAGGAAACAAGAAGCGATATATACCTCTATATATATCCCATAATTAAGGAACATCCAATCGTATACTTTCGGCACCGAGTTACTTTGCAAACATTGTCCGATAAAGCAGAGAGAATCATGCGCGACGGCGAAACGGCTTAACCGTGCTTGTCGCCCCTCGCTTACATTGGCCAATCCGTCCGATCTTTTCTACATGACGATGCTGCACTCCCGGAAGCTGAGTCTGCAGTCTGCAAGTCTAGCAGAGATGCAAGCTACTACTATGCAGTACCTAGTACTCTTGGGTCCGCCTACTCATCATGGATTCTCTCTAGCTCTAGCTCTCCTTACTCTTCTCACCCTTAGTTTTTCTTTTCATCTTATGACGCTACACACTACATAGTAAAAGGATAGAAAAGGGGTAGAGTAAAAATGAATAGTTACACCACTAGAAACTAGATCTCTTAGAACTGCAACTTCTGAGGTCTGCCGAGAAATAGGGATGTAGATAGACAGGCGTATCTCTAACAATTTGTGGAGGTTTGACATCATTTCCGTCGCTTTGGTACCTAAACGCATGTTGCTTAGTGGTTTCATGCAAGTCAGCCATTCAGTCCTCAGAACCGATTGCACAGAACCATTGGGCCCCTTCATCAATGTAGATGCGACAGTATGCCTTTGACCCAAGAGAAGCAGATGGGTTGCTGCGAGTGTCATGTCTAGGTATGTATCTCTAACATATGGTCAACTAACATGTTGTAAAAGACAAACATGTAACTTATACCTACCTATTTAGACATAGTTGCCCTCCAGCCCTCCAAATTCCTCACTTCTCCTTCATGCAACTTATGGGCAAAGTGGGATGTAAAACCATTGGGTACAGGCTAGACACATGAATGCCCAATGATTAACTAGATACAATAGGAACAGGCTAGACTTGCAGTGGTTTGATGGACCAACGAATCAACGAACCAACGAACTGAAGAACACCAAGATCACCAGGGGAGACTGGGGAGAGAACCTAGCTCGAACCGACTACCGAAATAGCAAGGTATCAACCACTATAATTATATATTTCACTTTCTTCTACGTCAGAGGCGAATCCAATTTAGACTACACACTCCTAATCTACGATCCTATGCAGCCACATCGATTCACGTCATTTTTAGCTCTGACTGTACGATGACCAACGAGGGAACACGCAAAGGAATACACAGAGGCGTTGTTGGATTTAGTAAGCCGCTTACATACATACGTAGAATCATAGTCGGCCTCACGCCTCAGCTAAAACACACAATATAGCTCGAAACGGATTCAAAAGGAGAGAAAGGGGGTGAGGTGGAAGGGCAGAAGTGTAGGTAGGATCAAACTACTTCGTCAGTGTACCATCGGCCACGATACCAAGGAGCCTGATAATGTAGCAATTGATACCATTTCCTGCAGGGCTGATCCTCATCAGTCACTTCTCATGGCACCAGCAAAGTCGCTGACTACCAATCAAAAATGCCTACTCCAACAATGGCCTACAATTACCTATCCCCTCGCTACCGCCGAATTCCTCACAGCAATGTCCTTTAGACATACCTCGTAAGGGTTACCTCTTTCCCGGTTCAGCTCACCTCGAGATCAACTCTTCAGGTGAATTTCGCCGCGTAGGGTCCCTGTTCCCGTGGGATATAATACACATCTTATTCGATCCAATTTCAATTCCATTCGAACACAAACCGTTTCTGTCCGTTGCGGTGAGAGGCTGTTATACGAGACGAACAGAAAGAGAATAAATAGGATCCTCATCCTGCTCCACAGGATGATTTTCATAACTGCAATCCTTAGGAGGATTTTCACGCGCACAGTAGCGCGCATCTTTGATCATCCCGTAGGTTTATGTGCGTAGGAGATGTAGGTGAGATGCCTCTAGTCCAGGGACAGGCAAGGCAAGCCGCATAGCATTACCATCGTTCGTGGGGAAGAAATTCCAACCACGTGCTAGACAATTCCCGACCTTACTTTTCGAGTAACGGCGAGAAGAAGATCAACCGTTGATCTCGGGACTTGCAAAGCTCGGGCCTTGAAACAACTGCCTAATATCGACAGTGATGAAATACCAGAAAGGGATGGGGACGCGACTTTGGGACATGTGCGATTCGATTGGCGTCCCTATCGCTTAAATCGACTCGATACAACTACATCCACGAGTTCTGGCTGCAAATGGGGGAGGTAAGATACTGGAGTCTGGCCGTCGCAACAGCCCAGGCCCCTCTCTCTTGCAGGGTCAGGATTCGTGATAAGACGCCAGTGAAGCAACAAGGGCAAAGGAATTCTGCTGTTAAATTCAAGTTCCGAAGATCTGTATGTAGAGGTGAAGAATCGGCCTACACCTACACAGGTACGCTAACGCAGTTATTACCAAATACGTCGATAGCCTACGTCGACCTTCGAGGCCCTTAATCTTGCGCGCTACGACAGTGACGAACTGGGCTATGAGAAACCGCTCCACTCGGAATGCTACAAGGCCAGCTCTAGGTTACCTAGCCGACTCTGGAGCCCCTGCCCGAGTCACATACTATTGGTAAAACCCCCACGAGGTTAGAACCAACATCTTTTCGAATTGAGGTCAGAATCTGTTGAAGAACATTATTGCGACAGAACCAACACCAAAGACCTGGGTGTCGTATACCTATTACCTAGTAGTTAAGAATAGGTACCCGATGTCGCAGCTATTCAGGTACCAACGCCTACAAGCATGAAGCAAACGATATGTACCTAGATTTTCGTTAGTGTTATCCCCTAAAGCCGCGGCATCCTCCCGAGACAAGAACGGTGAGCTTAATAGCGTAGCCACACAAGGCGAGCAAAAACAAGGCAAATCCGGCAGGCATCTCCTTGTACAAACTAAAGGACGCCGTTGAGAAAAGTGGCACGATGGAAGAAACTTCTTGAAAGATGCTATTCCTCCCTCGTCAATGAATGCCTAGGTGGTGACCATGTTTGCTCGGAATAGGGCTCAACTGGGCTCAGTAGGGCTCTCGCCAGCGCTAGAGCAAGCCACAATCGACAGCCCTGAGAATACTGACAGGTAATATCCGCGCCTCAGGACCCCCAAGATCCAACCACCCGCCCGGGTCCCAAGTCCACCTGGGCATGATCTAGCAACCCTCCTGGCCAGATATGCCCGCGGCAGATCTCTGGGGAGCACAACAGGCGAAAAAAGAAAAGCCACGCCATGTCGTAGCATCGTTATAGAGTAGTCAATGACGTCGCGCATAAAATACTCCAGGCGACGCTCGCACGATGATGGCGTGGAAGCGAAAAGTCAGCAGACAGCAACGGCATTTGCGTCCCAGAGATCTAGAAGTGTCCCCGGGGTTTTGAGATCCCTCTTCACAGCGGTTGGTCAATCGGCAAGCAGTCCGGCATTGGGATTGCCCCACGGGCATTGATCGATTCACTCATCAATTCATCCATGAAACCGGATCACCAAAGCTCTATACAAGACGTTGAGGTCATCACTCTGGGTATCAAGAAACCAAATGTTCACGCAACTGGAAACTATAGCCTCTTCTTTCGACTCGGAATTTAAAGGCCTATCGCGTCAACTGGCGGCAAGGAGCAATTGCATGCCAAGCTACGGGACCACGCCAGAACCCTCACTCGGAATCCTTCCTTGCTACCCGTTATAGTGGAGGCGATCAAGACCTTCATCATCCTGGTTGATCTGATTTCCACATGGTCGGCTACCTCCTACATGGGTGAATTATCAGGCTACTATTCGCATTCGCATTTATATTCATGGCCGTGATCATGTACCCGAGACACATTGCTAAGCTACACTAGTTCCCTAGGAACATCAACGAAAAGATGCGCCTAATTCTTTGTTCGGTGTGTACTATACGTTAGGTCTATATTCTGTACAGCCGTCCACAATCTAGATCTACCAGACCTGCAACTCTGACGGGGCTACCGAAGAGCTAGTCAAGCCCCCGAAATCCTCCGGAGTATAAAAGATGAGATCGGTGAAGTCTTAGGGCATGTACGCTCCCGTCAATCCTCCCACCCAAGACCTTCCTCCCGGATCTACTCTCACGGCTTCCTCCGGGGAGAGGAGAGGAGAGGGGAGGAGGGGAGGAAATTCATGACGGCACAAAACACCGCTTGAGGAAGGTTAGGAAAGGAACCTTGCAGCAGCTCGCGCAGGACTCCACACACACGTGTGCGAGATATTCCCCGTCCAATGTTCTGCCCAACCAATCGCAGCGCTTCCTCCCAACGACATCAAGCTGCGGATAGCTTCAAGCATGCGCAAGTGACCATCTGATGCTATACTCCCCCTCCCATCGACAGCTTGTCTCAAACAAGTTTCTACCTAGGTATTAGGTAACATGTTGTCTTGCAAGTTACCTACCCAACCTACTTCCCTTCCTTACCTACCTAAAGGTACCTACCTAGACATCGTCAGACCGCATTAGAATCTCTAGCCCCGCCAAGATGCAACTTAACCGGCATACATAATCTCAACTTGGAAGTGACTGACTACCGTACAAAGATCCGCAGGGAACAATTAACCGTTAATTAACAGTTTATTTATGGTAAACGTTTGAGAATAGACAAATTACTGAGTAACTATAATTTTAAATAAATGTTTATATGCGTTTTTATATTTGATCCAAACTTAAACGTTTGAATATTTAATCGTTTATTTGAAGCTTGAGATGTACTTAAACGGGAAGGCCACGGGAGCTAACGGGAGTAGGTGTAACGTTGGGACTAATAGGTAAATAAATAGGTAAATAGGTTAGGTTAGGTTGAATCTATTTAGGCTAAGGAGGCCTTTTACGTCTATGAAATCTATAATTGCAGTATTAACTGTAATACCTACCTACCTACCTAAGGAGCCACGCAGTTGAGCCTCACAAGTACGTAAGCACTGCTGGCAAGTCAGTCTTGGAGATCCTGGAGTTCCTGAAGTTCCTGGCGTTCCTGGAGACGATCCTGGTGGGACCTAAGTAGGTAGGTAGGTAGGTAGGTAGGTAGGTAGGAAGGTAGGTTTTTGAAGACTTCTTCAAAGACTTTAAACCTTGGAGTACTTGAAGTTTTAAAGAAGAAGAAGGCATGTAAGTAGGTGGGTGGGAGCAAAGTCTTATATATAGAACTTGAAGGCAAGTAACACAATAAGATCAAAAGAGTTAGACTAGGACGATCGGAATGGCTACACACACCTTAGGATTAAAGGTCCAAAGTATTAAAATGGCTACACACACCTAAATTAGGAGGTAAACCAGGATAACTAAAATACTAGGATAGTTATATACACTTATTGAAGCTATTCCCAAGTAGAAACGGTTGTTAAAGTTAAACGTTTAAGAATATTTAACAATAAAGTACGAGTAATCGTTTAATATTATAAACGCTCGGATAAATAAATGTTAGATTAAGATAAACCATATATTTATAGTTCGAAAAATATAAACCGTAAATTAACGGTTAATTGTGTCCTGCAGGTCTTTGCTAAGTACTTATAGGACGAGACGAATATTGCAAAGGGACACTGCAGCTTGCCGTCTGCCGTTTGCCGCTAAGACCCAGATTCGAGATCTGCGGATCTTGCCGCACCGCCAGGGCAGATCAGGTTTAGGTATCCTATACTTCCCTACCTAAGGTACCAGCTATGCATAACGGACCTCAGGGTCGTCACATGGGCGTCGCAACTACCTACCTGCCTACCTGCCTGCCGGCTGAGAGGCCTTGCGCAAACGAGGAAGAAAGCTTCCCCTCCTCGCTAAGTGGCAATCTCGTGGGGCTGGGAGACACCGTTCCCATGACGTCCGTCCACCCACAGCTTTCTCTTCGGCAACGTGCTTGATAGGTTGTGGATCTTTTTGTCTGGTTGATTTGGATGGGAAGACCGGAGCCGCAGCATCTCAGATGTTCCAGGTTGGTCGGCGACTGGTGTTGGACCCTAAGATACATCCATAGATGTATGTGTCTTACCGGCCGCAAAAAGGTAATTTTCTGATGCTCCCAACCGTCTGTCTTGTGTAGCGCGGTTCCCCCTTGCTTGTGTCGTTGAAATCTAAGAGTCAACGTCAAGTTTAATATGCATAGGTACATTTCCATAGCCCATGTGAGACAGGCCGGGTGAGACAAAATCTGTGCTTCTTATTCGCTTGTATACGTTGCTTCGATAAGCTATGCTGTCAGAGCCCGATGTGTCGATGATCTATGATCTACTGGATACATCCCGCGACTTGCGTCAAATGCCTGCTTCCGAAAGTTACACATTCATGCATAGAGCTTTGCCGTGATGCAGCCTCCCACTCTGCTTCAGGCAGCAAAATAGGGTGGGCTGTAGGTGAGTCCTAAGCTGAACATCTGGAATTGTCACTGTCTTTTAAGTCTAGGTGCTATTTAGGAACAATTGATGTTGGCTTCACTAAAGGCTCCACTGATTTATGTTTCCCTTTGGAAATGTGCATGACATTCAACAACGCATACCGTTCATCCTGTTGCTATTCTTTTTTCCCCAGCCTCCCTTTTGATATATCTTACGGATAGCTGCTGCGTTTCCACTTCCCCCTCTCGCCATTGGGGCGATGAAGTTTTCTAGCCATCGCGAGGTGCTTAATGTGTTGACCCAAAACTGAGATTTTCACTGTGAGTTTACTTGGACATCAAGGTTTAAAGAATAGGCACGAACTGGCACATGAATCCAATCATATGGCTTCATCACAATATCAGGATAGCAAAAAGATTATGAATAAATATTACCCCTATTCCCCATTAACTTCATTCTCAACTATTGTACACGCCACTTACTATTTTCCACTCCTGTATATATACATTACAATTACAAAGCTCACCAATTCTTTCTTTTGCTATTCCATTGACTCTTCGCTCTCCGGTATTAATACCAACTTCTTTTTTCCATGTAGATAACTTCGCTGCCGATGACCTCGATGGTCATCATGTTATCCCGAGTCCTCCACCAGGACGGCAGGACTCGATGCTCCAGATCCTAACCGAAACTGGTGTTTCCGTATTCGAAACATCGTGTGTATTCGATAGGTGACAGCCATGAGCAAGTGTCTGGAAACCTAAAGTAAGAAACACTGAGAATGGCACCTGTGCTGGCGTTTTTATCGTCTCTCGCAAGACGCCCGTTCCCGCCCACAGCACAGATGTTCAGTGTCGACGAGGGGTTCATCACCGACGAACTCCTCGCAACTATACGATGCGCTGCCCGACGGAAAAATGACCCCGACGACCTTTGTTGTCTTCGTCTACGTCTTTCATTTCTGGTCGACATTCATCATTTCGAAATCAACATCTTCTACAGTATCGACGCCGCACCTCGCCACGTGGATATTAACCCATCTCCCGAGCGAGAGCTGCCTGGGGCGGTTGTTAAGGTTTAGTCCTAAGTTATGACGACTGTTTCCGGTATATTCCACCGGCCACCCTGTCCACTTAGTTAATTAGGGTTACCGTTGATCTACTCATACACCTCGCACGACGCACCAACTACATCTCACCGTCAACCTGCTATTATTTGCAATCAAGCAAGAGAGATGACATTCAGATTTCTCTGCAATTTTATATTATAAAGAGAAGCACCTATCGATTCTCTATCGCCTTTCCCAAAATTTACGCTCGACGGCGGCAGGACGCCCCCGCAAGCATCGCAGTAGATGTCTAAGCGTTCCTCTTTGTTCTGGAACCACATTCTACCGTTGCAGCGTTTATTGCCTTTCCCTATCCGTCGTAGCCTTTGCCAACCGTGTCCCGAGTCAGAAAATTACCTCTCTAGGTACTTAAGGGATGACTAATGCTCTTCATGGATTGGCGGTAGTAACGTCAATCCTTTCAAATCTACTATTCTTAATAGCGACTTTATATAAGTTATGAGATAATTCTAAATATTGAGCCACATTTTCCATTAACAGTTTGGATAAATATCTGAGAAGAAGGCGGTTGTATAACATCGCCGCCACCGGCAGTTATTAACTTCTAGAAACCGAGCAGAGCAATCTACTTACCTAAGTATACCCAGGCTATAGCTTATTGGCAACTATAATGGCTTGGCTTTAATTAACTGGAAGCACTTTGCCCCTATAGTCTTTGGGAATATTGGCAAAGTTCCCTTTGGCAATCCTTGGAGTTGGATTTCTTGGTTGTTTTGGATGGCATTAGCAGAACCTTAGGTGGATGTGTTGCATATGGATGCACCCATTCGTGGTATAAAACCTTCTGTAATGTATTCTGCACTGTTGACAATCTTCAAAACTTAGTAATATACTACTTTATAGCCCTGGTCAAAACATTGTTAATAAAAGGAACGCGAGGTGAAATATCTGACTATCTACCTCCCTATATTCATCAAGTCGCGAAATTATATTTTGCTTTCCCAATCCCCGAATGTTGATAACAGGTAGTATTTTGTTGACAGACTCGCACGGAGGGAAATTACGACTTGAGCTTTATTTCGTCGTTGGTGTGGTCGGGGCTCGCATTGTAGGCAGATGTTTACCCCTTTAGTCGTAAGCGTGACAACCTCTTCGACAATTACCTACGCTGCCTCGCCTCTTGCCCACGACGGCTGTCTGAGGAGAAGGTTAAAAATGGTATCTGGATGGTATCTCTGCGTCTTGTGCGTAGCTAATTTGAGATGATATTGGAAGTGATAATCTTCCGGTGAAAAGGCGAGTTCAACTGACTCTCCTAGTAGTCATAGTATATGTTCCTAGTATGGATCGATTCTAAGAGGTATTTGGATAGGCCGCCAAAATCTCACGATTCCCTATCTCGTACGTAGGTTCAAACTCTAGGTAATATTACAACATACACACTGGCGATGTTAACCCTTTTATAGCAACTAAAGCCATCAACACGGCGCCTTACACCCACCCCCTCCTCCTATCCTCCTCAACCTGCTCCCTATCAATCACCACCACCGCCTTCCCCCTAATCTTCCCACTCCGCACCAACTCCAAGACCTCATCAATCTTCTCCAGTCCCTCAAACACCGTAGTCTCTATCCTAAACCCCCCTCTCATCCCCTCCCCCTCCCCTTCCGCTTCTCCTTTCTCTTTCTCTTTCCCCTCCTCCTTTCCTGCCTCATCCTTTTCTCGTCTCCTCCGTCCCTCCCTCTTCACCTCCGCAATAAACCCAACCATATCCCTACTCTCCCCCGGCGAACAAAGCAAGCTTCCCCTAACCCTCACATCCCTAAACACCACCTCGCGAAACGGCAGCGCCACAACCTCCGGCTGCGCAATCTGCACCAACGTACCATGCATCCTCGTCGCCGCGGCCGCCAACGCCGTCGCCCCTCCGGCATCCGCAAGCACAATCGACGCGTGCGCCCCCTTTTCCCCCTTCCCTCCCATAGTAGTAGTAATAACCCGTCTTACCTCCGCCACAACCTCATCTTTCGACTTCCCCCTCGCGTCAACCACCGCGTCCGCACCCGCGTCCCGCGTAACGCTTAACCCCTCATCGCGCGCGTCGACGCCGACGACCCTAGCGCCCCTTCCTTTCGCGAACTGAACAGCTAGATGTCCCAGCCCGCCTCCGGACCCGACGATAAGCAACCATTCGCCCCTTCGCGCACCATCGACGGCGAGTCGGACGCCGCGCCACGCCGTGCGTCCCGCGCACGCGAGCGGCGCGGCTTCGACGAAGGACAGTTCGGGTGGTAAGGTTGTGGTGAACCGCTCGTCGACGCGGACGTACTCCGCGAAACACCCGTCGATGTGGACGCCTACGTGGCCTTGGGTGTGTGCGCAGTACTGTTCGAAGCCTGTTTCAGTTTCCCCTTCACTCCCTTCCCCTTCCCTTTCCTCTCCCCCCTCTTCTTCATCTCCTTCCTCACCAACACAGTCCCCGCACCTCCCACAAGGCCCCAAAGGCAGTCCACACATAACCCTATCCCCGACCCCAAACCCCCTCACTCCCTCCCCAACCCGAACCACCGTTCCGGCGCCCTCATGCGATGCCGTGGCCGGGATCCGCGTCCTGAAGACGCCAGCGGCGACCATGCCGTCCGTGTGGCAGTAGCTCGCCGCCGCGACTTTGACGAGCAGTTCGCGGGGGCCGAGGGCGGTGGGGACGGGGACGGAGGAGGTTAGGGTGTAGGGTTCGTTGAAGGAGGTTATTTGGAGGGCTTTCATGTGCGTTGGTAGGGGTGAAAGTTCTGCGGGTGAGGGTGAGGGTGAGGGGGGTGTCATGGTGGGCTGGTATTTGTGGTGTTTGTGGTGTGAACGCTAGTATTAGGGGGGGTTGAGCGAGGTTAAGACTGTGTTGGGGATGGATCAACTTCGAATGTCTTGAGAAAGTATGATAGATACCTATGCCGTACGCGAATATAAACCAAGGGCCAAATGAGATGATTAGATAGAGATAATCGACGAATAAATGCAAATAAATATACGTATGTGTGAAATCTAATGGATCTTAAACAAAGCGATTCAACAGCCACAGGAATCGGGGATTGAGGGGCGTCAAACGCTAGGCGAATAGTAACGTCATCGCAAGTTTATCAGTCGATCGCCGACGTCGACATCGGCGTTGGGGTAACGGCAGACTCCTTGTACATATCCCATGGTAGCTAACGTTGCATTTACGGGATACCATACGACGCCGCCGAATCGAAAAGAGCAAACTAAACTGTATAGGTACAAATTTATTAATCAGTATCGGTAGTTTTGCTGAGTATATCAGAAACTCACCCTGTAACAACCTCGCGACAACAAACGAAACATTTCACATACTAGCATCGCTGTAAGCGTAAAATTAACAGTTTTATATTTTGATCGTACAATTATATAAATCACAAATCGCAAGGGACATAACACGGCACAAATCCAACGGGATAAAACAATGATATATCCATCGCGATCCTCCGGGCCGCCATTGCCGTCAACCCTTTAAGAACCCTCGCTGGGCGTTTCTCGCTTGCTCTGTACTATACGCGTCCAGCTTGACGGCTACGAGTACGCATTCGATCGCGCTCTTCCCGTTCCTCGAGCCTTGTATCCGGAGCCTCCACTGTCCCGTCTTGACTATCCACTCGTCCGCTATATGGCCTGATAAGTCTATTCGCCTCCTCTTCCTCGACGGTCCGTAGAAGCCGCCTATGCTGGAGATGGGCGAATCTTGTCCTCCGCCATGCCCTATTGATGACGACGCCGACATCGCTGTAGTCATTTCTTCAATTTCTGTGTAGTTGGTGTATGTTTTGCCGTCGAGGATGATATGCGTCTCAGGCTCGATTACTACTCGAACGAGATCCTCGCTCAACGGGGTGTTCCCTGGTGTCGCTGGTTGGCTGCTGGCCCCACCCGACGCCATCAAAAGTCCCAAAGGTTGGGTAGTTGGCGGAAGATTGAGTTTCGTAGCTATTACCTCAAATAGCCTCGCAACGCGGACTTTGACCTGGCCGAAGAATTCTGCTCGCATGACGTTTAGATGCATCTTCGTATTCTCACCTCCGATTTCTAAGATAAGTTCGTGATGCTTGTCGTCCTCATACGGCCGCATGTAGTTAACCCATCCAGAGACAGGTTCCGCACCGCTACCTGGAGTTGTAACATCCGTGACAATCGAAATACCAGATTTGAGAATATCTTCCAACCTAAGAGTAATTTCATATCGCCGCCGAGATAGATTATAATTTATATGGTGTGGGATCAACTTCTGTTCCACTCCCTTAAAATTGAAGTATCGGCAGTCGCGGAGGAGGGAAGCGCGATGCTCCTCATCGCGAATATGCACCGGGTATCCTCGCAAAAGGTGCAATAACTCATAAAAAGTATCAGCAGACCGGTTCGGGACAGACGGCGGCATAATAGAAGGCGGCCTAATTAAATTCTCCCGGTCGAGTCCGGGAAATATCTCATCTCGCGATGAGAAGAAAACGCCGAAGCCCAAAGAAAAGAAGTTAGGTGAGTTGCCGGGTCCGGTGAATATGTCGCGTGGGATCTGGAATTCGCGGTGACCAATAGAAATGAAGATAGACTCTTCGTAGAGCTGCGACATCAGCTTGGGTAACGTATAAAACTGGGCATCAGCGAAGAGGCGCACAAAGTGCGTCCCATCTCGCGGGGAGACATGATAGCCTTGTAAATGAAGGGAGATATCCCTGAAAGTAATTGGATCCCGATCTATGTAGAGGGTCCGTATAGCGGTTGATATATCTTCACCACTTTCTTCGGCCTTCTTAATTTGGCACTGGAAATATTGTGAAAAATAAGATGGAGCTGAAAAGCAATGTCAGCAAAATGTCTCTTAAAAAGATGACGTGTCCCCATTCAAGACATATGTGAATGAGAATTGAATGTGCACTTTTGACTTGGCGAGTGTATAGGTTAAGGCTTCGTTGAGCTGACATCATCTGCCTAAAATAAGGGGTTGAGGTTGAGAGAGTAAGAGAGGATGGGCTCATAGGCTCATGGGCTTATGGGTGCTCACCGTCGGATGAGAGAGAAGCGCCGGAAAGTTTAAAAAGTTCAGTGCCAATTTGAATGGGGAAAACGCGTTCGTGTGGTAATATCCTTGGGATTTTAGAGATTAATTCGGGGTCTGATGGCGGAAGATGGAAGGCGTCGCGACCCTTGCTGGTCTCACTCGAATTTCTAGACGTGTTGTTCATTGTTGATGATGATGCGATCTATGGCCGAGCACACGAGACTTGACATGGTCGCCTGTTAATGCGCCCCGGCTACTAGACTCATCCTAGTGGGAATAACCGAGCGCGCACTGTCAAAGTCATGATAGAGTAACTAATATCTCGGTATGGAATATCGTATATCGTATATTATCGGGTTAAGTAAGTCCTAAGTCGATGCTGATTAAACACGAAGTTGTAAGCGGCTGAGGGTATTTAAACTTTTAAGCTTTTGAAGATTGAAGAGAGTACGGAGATTTGCAATCGTTTTGAAATCAATGCTTTTCCAATGGGCTTCCGTTCTTTCCTACCCAAGGTTACATAAGGCGCCCCGGTTGCCATCCATGTTCCGCACGTGAGGCGGTGCATATACAACCTCTCCAAAGAATTTATTGGTTTCTCTAGTGGCTAACATGCACTAAGATGTGGCTGAACATCCACTACGGCTATATCGAGTAAGGCCGACACATGGGCGCTAATCTCCCATCGGAAGGTTGCATGGGGGTGTTTTTATTTTTATATCTTGCTTCTAGAGCTATCCTTGATTTCTTCGGTTGTTCTAAGCCTTACCTAACTTCAACATTCACATTACGATATAATTATTTGTATATTAGGCATGTATCTTCATCCCACCATAGTAACCTACATCTACCAGTACCGAGGTTCAAGGTTTAAAGTCTAGGAGCCGGAGTGATATCTGGTTGATCTCGATCCATCGGGATCTAATTCTACCGAATCTCGAAAGTCCATTGCTCATCTTGCCTGACGCCATCTTAGTCTTTAGTCTAAACGCCAACCGTTATAATTAGTTTTGCGAAGTTGCGAAGTTGCGAAGTAGCGAATCCGAAAACTTCAGATCGGATGGTGCGGTCTCTCGCGTTGCGAGCACGGTTAGAGAAGTGCCGCCAGGTTTCTCTTCTAAACTGACGCGTATCTTCGTCATACGCACAACAGTATCATTGCACACCTGGATGAGGCTACTCGACCATTTCAGGTGGGAGTCTGTGCTTGAATAGGTAACTACCTCGTCATTGGCCCACGGAATCCTCGGAGTTAATGTAAAGACTAAGTACACGCCGAATATTCTCAGTTCAACATCTCAGTGACAAAGCGACATACCTGAGAGAATTCCCGACTTCGTAGAGGAGCATGCGTGTGCGACACGCGTTGCTACTTAGCTATCTTAATTACCTAGGTGAAACTAGATTTCCGAATCTCTGTGAAAGTCGGTGGTTCGGCAATTAACCTAAGGTAATAGTTCGCGAAACGCTAACCTGAAGTTATCTTAAGCCGCAAGCAAACAATATTTATTGATCCCAAGGACCAAATATAGCAACCTATGTCTTTGATCAATACGTATCAACTCATTAACACTTAGATTAACGGGGAAAGCGACAAGAGTAAAGAAAATCAAAAATAACTATTTAGGATTTTGTGGTGAATTTTGCTCCTTCTAGTCTACCTGAGGAGGTAGCTGTGTTTCTTAATATGGTTGCGAAGTTGGGGGCGACCACTACGTACCTCTTATATGTATGACTGCATTAGAACCCAAGCGTCAACCAAGCTTGAGTTTCCAGGCAATCTAATATAACGATTCCGGTTCTTACTACATGGTTCACTGATAGGTAATATCTGTAGTTTCGAACAGAAACATGATTTAGGTTCAGAAAACTCAATTCTCTCAAACACAACCACCGCGTATCTACCAATGCAGTATAGAGCGGGTATAATTTACGTACGTACAAAAAAAGCATGCGTACGTCGACGCGTAGCGATCACCAAGGCCGTCCACCAAGAATTGCACATGCTTGCCTACCAACCCTATGAAAAGAAAATGCGCTCGAAGGGGGCAAAGTGTGATATCTTTAGGATGGTAGCATCAATCGTTCCAACGTAAAGTGATATAAAGACGAAGGAAGACTTCCTGTGAGAAAGTGTAGAAGAGAAAAGGGACATCTAGCCCCCACCGCCAATGTCCAAGCCGGCTTCAAGTAATATCTGGCTTCGCTAGCAATAAAGTTGAGGCTGGGAGAATAAGCCAATTCTAGACCACCGCAGATCCCGTCGTGGCCAACTGTATTATACTTAGACTTCCTATTTCCGAGGCGTAGCTGTCATTCCCATTAGTATCTGATGGATGCTATTCATAGAATTTATTGGTAGATAAGTGATATCAACGAGGCAATTAAACATGCCACTTACCATTCACCAGCTGTCTCTGTTTGTTTAACCAACTCTTTGGGACATCGTGCCGTCGCTGTAGGACAACATGGTTGCTTTGTAGGCGACTTGTAAGGTCGTACCAAGCAGTGGCGATCATCGCGTTCTCGCGTTGGAGGTTTTTAATAATCTGGTCGGTTTGTGCCTGTAAAGTTTAATTAGGGCCGCAATTATTACTCTGCGGTGGTAACGGAGGCCTTCATTCGTCACAAGATTCTGGTCTGCATACATGATCGTACGACGAAGTAAAAGAATAAGACATAAAAACATGAAACACATTCTATATTTTTGAGCTGCAATGAAAGTAGATAAATGAAAAGATACCCGGATTACCACCTTTTTCAGACCACTGATATAAAAGATACAAGTAGGGAAAACTCGACGTACCTTCTGAGCACCGGCTTCTGATCCGGCACGGACAGCCTTGAGTGTCCGTTCTAGCTCACGGTTCTTAAGTTCTGACTGCTCGTATTGCTATAAATGGAGCATATGCCGTTAGCATATATGTATTGCAAATGATTATCGTAAATTGTAGGTTTAATGCATCCCGCCCAGCCACTTGGCTCTTATTCGCTTTGGAGACCAAAATTTAGAAAAGAAGACAAGGTAGAACGTGTACTCAGCCTGCTAGTAGGCCTGCTAGTAGGGGATATAATGGGTCTACTCCTAGAGGTAAATTTCGAGAGGTCTGACGAGTTGCTTAGGTTTCTAGAAGAGTAGCCAACACTACTAAGACCCATGGACGTGGGAGACAGGGCAGACATGGGAGAAATAGGAGTAGGGACCGGACGATCAGAGGGGCCGAATGAGCCATTGCTTTTCACCTCGTAAGGGTAAAAGCCGCTCTCCGGCCGCTCTGGCTTGTTCCCGAACCAAGGACTAGTAAGAGCGTTCCAAATAGATTGACGCTTGACTTTAGTGCTCACGACATATCTATCGTCATCATCGTCGTTGCTGCCAACGGAATAGGTAAGAGATTGACTAGAAGAACGTCGACTCACCTGCTGTAGTTGCTTGTACCGAGTCCGGAGCTTCTCCATCTTCTCGGATTGCTTGGCGCTATCCGTGTTGACGGGAAGTCCGTCTGCAGCCCTTTGCATCTCGCGGTTAGCCGCCTCAGCTTCGCGTCGAAGCTGGTCTTTCTCGATGAACGCTGTTAAGAGTTGCGATCGCTGGTTTTCGAATTCGTCTCTCAATGCCTTGTGCTTCCTCCTTTCCGTCTCAAGCTCGGCACGAAGAGAAACGGCAAGCATGCCATCGGTTCTCTTCAGCTCCGCAAGAGCTTCTAGGCTGGACTTCTCGACGGCATTAACTTTGTCCTCAATGTCAGCATAATTTCCGGCGAAAGCGTATTCCCTTAAGATGATCTTACAGTCGCCTCGTGCTTCGAGTAAGGCACGGTCTTTGTCGGCGATCTGCTCCTTTGCGGATGCAAGTTCCCTTTCGAGTTTCTTGGCGTTGTTCTGTTCGGCGAGGACTTGCGTTCGCATGTTGGAATATGCTTCGTCTCTGAAGTAATTCGACATTAGCCACTTCGTGTCCGGCGCTAGGTCATAACAAGCTTGTAAAGCTTTGACTAACCCGTCTTTGCCCATGTTTTGAATAAGCGCATCGAGCTGATGTTGGCTAACCGTGTATTTCTCGAGTAAGTCATTTACCTTCTCCTGCAGGCTTTCACGTGAAACACGAAGGTCTTCCATCTCCTGGATAAGTTGACCTTTTTCGGTTTCCGTACCGATGCTGCTCTTAAGAACAGCATTCTCTGCCTGCAGGCGTTGCAATTCGAGGTTCCTCATTGACATAGCATTGCTAGACTCGTTAAGTTCATCTTCGAGCGTAGCCGGATGATGGGAACCTAGAGGGGTGCTCGGAGTAGTAGTAGTAGTAGTAGCTGAGGGGTCAAGCATCATGACTTTCTCTTGAAGATCTCGGACAACAGCTTCGTCTATCTGACTCCTGGAGTGCAGATCTTCAAGGCGCAATCTCAACTCGGCGTTCTCTGCTGTGTACATGGTCTTCTGGTTATTAAAGTTGGCGATGTCGATTTCATAACCCTGCATCTTCGTGGCGTAGGCTTCAGCTTCCCGCTTTAAGGTCTCTATTCTCATTGTGGCATTGTCAAGCTGTTCCATGAGCTTAGCAGCATCAACACGCTCATTCTGGAGGGTCTTGAAGTCGGCTTCTATCGCCTTCATCGATTCTAGCTTCTTCCTCAAGTTGTCGGCCATATTAGCTTTCTTAGAAAGGTCCTCATTTCTGGAACGAAGCTCCTGGTTCTCGTCAGTCAAAGTCTCGGCTTTTTGGGCCGCTACTTCAAGGCGACTTTTCTCTTTTAAGAGTCGGTCTCTTTCTTCAACCAGGTAGTTCCTTTCGTTCTCCAAATTTGCGATGAGCGTCTCATTCTCCTTCAATTGACGCTGAAGACGATGCTTATCAAAGTTGCCGGCTTCCGACTCGATCTGCTTGTGTAACTGCTCATTCTCTTCTTGGAGCTCTTCGTGCTTCCTAATCAGATCCTCGTAATTATCTTGAAGACGATCTAGCCGCATTTTTAAGCCGCCCGCCTGTCTCCTCGCATCTTCCGCCTCGTACTGTAGTTGCGCCAGCGCTGCTTCTTGCGCAAGTTCGTCATCGAGATCGGCGGGATGACCTGGCTCAAGGTCGCCTTCACCAGTCGAAGCTATCTGCGCCAATTTTGTATCAACTTCTTTGAGTATCTGGAAAATACCCTGTTGGGCTTTCGTTTCCAAACCCGTAACTAAGCTAACAAACTTCGAGTTATCATCTTCACGAAGACACGCAGCGCATAAGAAGAGGACCAAAATCTGGAGATGAATGTTAGCGGGACCCGGAAAACACGGGAACTTTGCCGAGCTAGAGGACGAGGTAGATGCACTCACGTCGAAGGCACCGGCCCTAGTCGGTTCCTTAGCCAATGCCTGGAAATCCAGCTGGTTGATCAAAGGTTCTACTTTGGGACAGTTTCGCCTCCCAAGATCTTTCAGGCCCATATGGATGATGTGTAAGTTCCTCCTCCTACCTTGATCGGGGTCTGCTGGAAAAGATTCGAGGCTTTGTTGGAATCTGGAAGGGTTGTACTCGGTATCTAAAATCTCAAGTAGGGCAGAGAAAACAGCGCCATCGTAGAGGTTCTCAGGCTTCTTCGCTCTCAATTCTGGACTTCGATCAGGCATGAATCGGACGAGCATCGTCTCGGTCTGTGACCACATATTAAGTTAGCAGTTAGTCGCTATCCGAGACAATAGGAAATCAAGATAAGAAGGGGGAGAGAAGTAAAGACTTACCCATTCAAGCAAAGCCACCTGGGCGGCTTGTGACTGTATAGAGGGAACCATGATTGCGGTTAGGTATTAATTTAGTATTCAATGCCGTCTCTACCGTTTATATTAGGATTAGAGGAGGCTGTAAACCGTGACTCGATTCCAGCCGAAGGGCAGCTAGCTGCGCAAATCAACAGTTCATTAATTATGAAAACAAATATGAATAAGGTACAAATTCTAGTTGCGCCTAAAAGATAGTGGAAGGAAAAAAGCGGTGCGAATGGCTAAGGTTGATATGTCGGGGGACAGGCGAGTAGAAGTAGGAATTCGTCGTAGACCAGCAACGTTATAAAAGACCAAAATATATCATTGTCTTAAAAGAATGAGTATTGTTCGGCTTGTCTGGGTTGTTCAAATTGTCATCAATCCCATTGTTTCTGAACGTCTTTTCCTCTTTCTCTGCCTTTGTTAACCAAAGGGTGTCTGATGGTGTCAAAAGAACGTTGGGAGTTGAGACGTGCTTCCCGAGAAGGTTTGAATCTAATAAGACGACTATGTAGGTAGGTATTTTCACTAACGTGGTTGCGTGGTTGCTGGGTTGCTGGGTTAAGGCGGCACGGGTTCACGGTGCTTGTGGAACTCGATATCGATTACTGCGTCCTGCGTAAGGACCAACTCGATAGGGGGAAAGCGCTTGGTGGCTCTTGTGGCTCCTGTATCTCCTGTATCTACAGGGATGCTGCATGTGCCAATACACCTAAAATTGCATCTTCCTTGTCCAAGCTAGAACCATTTCGTCAACATGCAAGGTACGAGAGGTCTAAGTTCTAGTAGTAGATAGCGCAAAGCATTTTCGTACAAGGCCTCAAACAGTTCGGGTACTATGTACACTTTTACAAGAACTTCAGAAGAAACCTTGAAAGGTGAAGAGATACTTGTACACATTTCGTCATAGGTATTCCTCTGCCCTTTAATCTTATTGGGGTGATATCCATAGGTGTGGATGAGCCATGGTTCTAGCATCTAAGGCTGATGCTTAGTTGAAACCTTTCTAACAGAAACATCTTCGTATGTCATGCCCACTATCTATGTACGAACTACAAACAATATTCAATCTAGCCTCGAGCAAGGGATACTATGATTGATTGAACAAATCGAAGACCTCGAGAAGGTCACCGCAACCAATATCAATTCCAGCAGATCCGAATCAAGCGACGCAAGGTCACATTCATTTATTACCGTTTGTTTCAAATCATACTTTGCCCCCGCAGAAGACGACGATGTAACGCGATCAGACCTCACATCAGAATTGGGACAGTTGTCTGCTTAGGGCGCTTGGGGGCGCTGTACCTATTAAGTACTCGACGAATAGATCCTTTCTCAACGCTAACAACTTCTTTCATATTTTCTACTAGATACAACTAATATACAAAACCGTTAGAAATCAGTTATTTTTCATCTAGCGGGAACTTGCATGCTGTAGTGTTATCAATCGCACGTGAGATATCCATATTATCTATTACGAGGAACTTGTGCCAAGTGAGGGCTCTCTTTCAATCATTAGGTAGCTTGTAAGACTAACCGCAAAGCGCGAAGCTGGCCGGATTACAACGCAATACTCGGATATTACAAAAGTTCGATGCCCACGATCATTTCATGGTCAGAAATCCATTAAAGGGCATTCACTAAGCTACTCTGAATGAACAAAGAAGTCTAATTAAAGCCCCAATTGACACTATAAGCGGACCTAGCTAGGTAGATTTGGTGATATACGCTTATTACATAATATATGACATACCGACATGAGGCGTAGAAGGCGCATCTGTGGTGAGCATCTCTATTTGGTTAAGAGATCTCTATAACCTAACTGATGTATAGGTAGGTATTGGGATGAACTCAATGAGTACAGGCCTAATATCTTAAATCATGTTTGAATATGCATATGTACTGAAGTATCGGGGGGTGAAGGCGCCTCATAAACGGAGTAAAAGCTGTTTGAGAACTCCGTGGTCCCCGGTGGCTGGCCTAGGTAGGTAGTTATCGTCGGCGCACGAGGGCTTGCATATATCCAACAAAAACTTAGAGAACTTCATCGCATCCGAAAGGTTCCCCCTATTACCACGAATCTCACCGCATATTCAAATAGACATTACATTACCTGCTAGACAAAATCCCTAGTCACTTCGCTTAGGACCTTCTATCACTAAGAGAAGCATAGACGAAACAAAGCCACAAAATTCTATCAGGCGCCTCTCGGGATGAGGGCGCAGTTTCCATATGAATCAGTAGGCAGCGCTCTCGAAGAACGGGACGATCCGAACGCATCTCGGAACAGCGAAAATAATGGTATTCCCTACGAAGCAACAGCCCAGCCAACAATTCCAACCCCTCCAAAGAATACGATAACGCCAGGAGCCCATTCTCTAATTCAACCCGATCCAATTGTCCAAATCGTTTTCATCTTGCATATTTTTTCAACTCGACTTGACGCCGATCCCGTCTGCGTACCTGCGAGGTCCGTGGGGGTATCGTGCAGGTAGGATGTTCCAGCATGCCTTTCGTCACGGCAACAGCGGCGGTCGCGTGACTTGTCAAGCACGCCGTGCTTAAGACGAATTCGATGTGATCTCGACGACTTGGTCTTCCTCGATGACCGCGTGGAACTCCGCGCTCCAGGCCGACACCGTCTCGAGGATCTTTTGGGGAGCCTTGGCTGCGAAACCCCTGTTTTCGAGATGCACGATTAGTTCATCCATTTGCCCTCGCAGAAGAATCTTCTACCCGCTATTCAAGTGAACAAGCGATGAAAACGCAATCATGGAAGAGGATGTGAGTAAATATGCGTACTTGATGAGTTGGTATTCATGAGTAATCACTCCCCCCGCCTTTCGGATGTCATCCTTGGCACGGTTGACGATGTCGTCGGTCGTCTCGCTCGGGAAGCTGACGATAACAGACTTCTGGACATCGACGGCGGAGACTCCCTGGGCGACGGCAAGCGCCGCAACGATAGTCGAGAAGAAACGCATTTTCGTCGTGTTATGTGGCTTGTTTCGGGTTGGCGGTGACGTTAGGCAGTAGATTAGGAGATAGTAGGGCGAATCGACAAACAAAGGAGGTCTTGTCGATTGAAAAGATTGGCCAAGGAACGGTAGATGGAGACAAGAAGTATTTGAGAAAGCTTGACTTTGGTCCGAGGCGAACAATGAGGATCTAGTTGTGGAAGTTCTTGGTTGAAACAAAGTCAATGATGAATCGTTTGTGATGATGAAGAACTTGGCGGTTTGACCTTCGTGTCGATCTTCTTAAAGCTGGTCCTTCCACTTAGGAGAGTGGAGCTGGGGCAGGCCGGGGATCCGGTGGCTTAACTGTGGAGTACCTAGCGCTTTCCATTTTGAATTCAATGGCTTCCCTGATAGGCAGGTGGTAGGGCCGATATGGTACCTATTTTGCGCCACTAAGACGGCGGCGAGAGTTTGTACCACCTGCAATCCGGCGACTCCCTAGCCTCAGACCCGACATCAGTTGAACTTTCCATGTGACCTTCTATGGTATTTTCTAGAATGGCATCATTTCTCCGGATATGTACGGATGTCTTTAGTTACACATTGTAAAACTCTTGTAATCAATGACATACGAATCACTATCAGATGGTGATTTGTTTCATCTGATAATCAATGTCTTAATTACAAGTGTTGCGAACATCACCAATGAAGCCACTATGTGCCTAGGCAGATAAGATCAAGTGCGACGATATACGAAGACGTCAACATAGAAAACATCTCAGGCGAGATAAATATGACTGATCTTAGGTGACAGCGTGGATTCTTTGGAAAGTTGCTACTTTAATCCGATAATTTTTGGAAATATATCTACCGCGGTATAGGTATGTAACCAACCTACGTAGCTAAAACTAATAGGAGTCCTATTTAAGAGCAGATCATATTATTGCGCTTATATCCTTCATTTCTTATACTAACATCTTAACCCCATCTATAACACTGGTCCTACGAATGTAACTTGAATCCAATGACGTGGGCTATTCTGGATTTTATACATAAGTACTATCTTGTTGAAGCTCAATTTTTTCGAGTACTATAATCTATCACTGTATCTTATACACTATATTAGGAGAGGGTGGTGTCAGATTACATGCTACATCACTCCCTTTCTCCTTATTTATTTAAATTTAATTAATTAGCAACCCTGGAGCTTTAAGCATGTGAAAAGATAGACATCGAAAATCTATCTGAATGACGAGGGGGTGAACTGCCGAGAATAATATATGAAAGCTCCATACTCGGGTTTTCATTGGTCATCCAAGATTAGCCGTCGAAGAGCTCTACCATAACCTCGATATTCTATCTATATAGTAGCAGTTTAAGAATAATTTACTTCCGGTATATATTAGTGGTCCGCTTTGCAGCAATCTAGACGAGTAAGACTAGTCTCGCCTCTTCCGGTCAACTCAAGCCCAAATCATGTAACAGATCACTTCACGATACTACCGAATATGATCCGAGCTCTCTTTTTGAGGATCACAGCAGTCCTCTGCTTATCGAGTGTAGTTTCGGCCGTGTCAAACGTGACTATTGTTCCTCTCACAAGCGGCTGTTCTTCATACCCCAACTACGACAACACGACCGGGATCGCCGGATCTCTGCGCGTAGTTGCCGACTCGACTGGAAAGGAAATCGACGGCTTCAAATTTAAACCTCTGTTCGCTATTGCTGTCGGTGGTGGAAGTTGGGGTTTCGTATGCGTCGTTCTTCGCCCCTCATTCTGGCCCCCCTATCCATTGAGTCGTGTACTTGATGCTTGTATTTTAAAACTGACGCCTAGTGTTGAGATAGATGGTGCTACCAACGGTCGAGAATAAAACCGCAGAAGATATCTCATTCAGATGCAGTAACAATACACTACAAGCTTACCTGGATGTGTGGCAGGACCTGATTGCGGCTGGTACTCCCGCCGAGTCCGTCTTCGGGTTCCGCTTGCCAGATCTACCTGATCCTAATTATCACCTCGAGACATGGTATGTAGGCGCTCACCTCTGATAGAGACATCTTAGTTTCTGGCACTTTAACTATTATGAGTGGATGCTAACATACGTTTAGTGCGTGATCACCGTCCCTTTCGTAAATTAACTGCTAGCAGCCCCCTAACCCCTACTTTAACCCCAACAGAGCCTTTATTATGGCTAACACATAATAGACTCGCATCTCATAGACGGAATGGCGCAACCGGGCGTCTATCTCGGATCCGTCAACGTCACAACCTGGGGCTTCAACTATCAAAACTTCACCGAGACGGGCGAATATTACTTTGCAAGGCTTCTGGGGCCGAACAGCAATAACCCAGCGACGGGAAAGCAATTGAATTTTGGGGAATTTGCTGGGTATATTAAAATCACCGCTGCTTGATCTGTATCTGCTCTCATAGTACTTTGGCCCGATCCCACGACTCCGTCGAGCTGAGCGCGCAAGAAGACACAAAGAATAAAAGCTGATGTTTCGTGGGCACCTCGCCTTGATGTACTCCCAAATCGCTGGACCATACGGAATGGCCGATGTCATACCCATTTCTCATGTCGATTCTGATTAGGTCGTCGTATAGAGGTTGTTGAAAACCCCCTTCCTTCGAGCGACCAGGCTGCTCCAACTTGATTCTCGTCCTCCAAATATTGTAATTCATGAATAGCTTTCCCAGTTCCTCTTCGGTCATGCCAATGAATTACCCCTCATTAATATAAGTTTCTCCTATCCGCTACTCTCATCAACGCCGATATAGATGCGATCAACCTAAAAGTATCTCCTTTGGCGACATAATTACTTTCTATAACCCATTTCCAATCAGTCTACTCTATTCCCTTTAATTCGGTGCTTATCTCATTAATCCCATATCCAACTAATCAAGCGCACCCAACCCTCCGACTTGCCCTCCGGCTCATCGGGGTAGAGGTCCACCTGTTTAAACGCTTCATCGAGCGGTATGCTATCAAGCTGTGCAATATAAGTCTTTTTGACAAACTTCCATATGAAGTATGCTCCCAAGACAAGAGGTATATCCCTAGCCAAAAGTTAGCAGCGGCTCTTTACAGAGAGATGTCAGGGGTAAGACATACAGATACGACGAGACAAAACCACTCGGGTCCCAATTCCCCTTCGTAAAGACCTTAAATCCGCCCGTAAACAGAATCGTAATGCACATAAAAAGTGCAGCGCACGAGCTATAATCTACGCAGAGTTAGCATCTCCTTTACTCACATATACCCAGCAAACTTACAAGTCCACCAATTATGCCAAGGCAACCGCTCATCCGGAATCCCCTGCTTCTTCATCGCCAGCTTAAGACGAATATGATTCAGCAGAATCACCGACCACGAGACCAGCACGCCCGCGGCCGTCAAGTCGACGAGCCACCAGAACACGGTCAGCGCGCCGTTGCTCAGGCTCATGAAGCTGAGGAACATGCACGCGGTGTAGAACAGCACGCACACGTACGGCGTGCCCCAGGACGTCGTGCGCAGGAAGATCTGCGGCGCCTGGCCCTTGAGCGCGAGGCCGAACAGCACGCGCGTGCCCGAGAGCAGCGACTGGTTCGACGCCGACCACGCGGACGTGATGACGACGGCGTTGACGACGCTGGGTATCGCGCTGATTCCCGCCGCCGAGGCCGCGATCACGAACGGGCTCTGGGCCGCCGTACCGGACGAGTCGTCGAGGCGCGAGTCGTCGCTTGAGACCAGTAGGCCGACCACCAGGATAGCCAGCAGGTAGAAGAGCAGAACGCGGTAGAAGATGCGCTTGCACGCGCGGGGGATCGCGCGCCTCGGGTTGCGTGTCTCGGCCGCGGCCATGGCGAGCGACTCGATGCCGGCGAACGAGAAGACGGCGCTGGTCAGCACGCCCCAGAACCCGAGAAAGCGGCCCCACGCCCCCGTCGCTATGTACTCGACAAACGGGCCCGGTTCGTACCAATACCTGAACCCGATAGCAGGCGTGCCCGGTATACCACCCGACGCGATAATAATGCCCAGAATGATAAGGAAGACAACGAGCAGGACCTTAAGGATAGCGAACACGAACTCGACCTCGCCGAAGACGCGCACGAAAGCGATGCCGACGACGAACGTCAGCACGATGAACACCATGATGTAAGCGGTCGGGTTAACGTCCTCGGTCCAGAAGGTGAACAGCACGCAGATGGCGGTGATCTCGCTGGGGATCGACAGCGCGATGCCATAGACCAGGTTCCAGCCGACGGCGAACCCTAAAGCCGGGTCGACGAGGAACTCGGCGTGGCGCACGAAGGAACCCGTGACGGGGAGCAGGGCCGACACCTCGCCCAGGGCGAACGTGACCGCGCACACGACCAGCCCGACGATCGCGTACCCGAGCAGCGCGCCCAGCGGCCCGCCCGTCTGGATCGCGCCCCCGAGGCCGAGGAACAGGCCCGTGCCAATGGCGCCCGCGAGCCCGATCATAGAAAGATGTCTCTGCGCGAGGCCGCGCGAGAGGGACCGCGCCTCCGTGCTCGTGACCAGGTCTCCGTCATGCTCACCCCCAAGTCCATGGCCATGCCCGTACCCATCCCGCTCTCGGTCCTGGTTATAAGCATCCGCATCCGCCTCGCGGACGTAGTCCTCGACGCCGTTCTCGAAGCCCATGTTTCCGGATACAGTCAGACGGTCACGCGACACATTACCGAGAAGCGGCTCTGTCTCAGCACTGCTCATGCTGAAAATCGAGGGCGGGAACGGTGAGATTTTCTCACCGCGCGCCGCATGAGAAAAATAATAATATACCTATTAGGTAGGTAGGTAGGTAGATATTAATTACCTACTAGAAACGAGCGGCGCAGAGAGCTAGGGTGGCGCGGTGGGCGATTAGCGGCGAGGCCGTCTGACCGATGGCACCTACTATCGTAAGGGTGGGGGAAAACGACTACAGAAGAACTATAATTACGCCATTTTTAGCTATTATTTGGTTATTCCGTTGGCTTGAAAAGTGCAAGTTGGTTCATGAGACAGTGCTGGGGAAATGGCCGAAATGGAACCAGCGATTATGGATGTCTTATCGCTCCTACTTGATAAGCGGGGACGGTCCCGCTCCGGAGTAAGGGTGACGGGAACTCCGATTCATGCTTCCTCTTTTGTAAGGTTTTGTTAGCTTACCTAAAGAAAGACTTTGCATGGACTCGACATCTTAATTCGAGTTTTTTGTCTTCATTACCATACTTATATTAGGTATAGTTAATATAAACCTACGGAATTGTCATATTGTAAAAATTGATGAAGAGATTGATCTGTGGTCGATGAGCTATGAGGTGTCTTCATAGGATTCTTCGAGATTTTCAATGTTGCTTAAGGCTTCATGGTAATCCTTAAAAGCAACATAGCATTGAAGGATGCACCCATAATGTTAATGCACCTCGGCGAATTAATGCCAAATAAGAAACCCAGATAGATCCATTACTATGTATGTTCTTTATACGGTGTATTGCGCGGGTGGCTTGCCTCTTTTTATGCATTACCTCAGTATTGCTGTGGGGCTATACATGCGCTGGTTAGAAAATGCGATGTAATCCCTGTCGCCAAGTATGAATCATAATGGTTCATGTACCATCATCAATGAACCAAAGCTTCAGATCCACAAAGCCACAAAGCCCGTACCGCAGTATAGGGATACAGACAGGGTCTGCCAGAAGTCTCTCAAACTCCAGGACCAGAATTCCAAAAGTGTTATGTTTATGTATCAAATGAATCATTTTCACTCATATGCTATTCATCGTGATACAACCAGATAATGGCTTTTGGTAGTAGGAAAGGCTTCGATATGGAGGTGGGATATATAGAAGTTCAATGACAATACCTGTTGTAGATAGATATGAAATTAGATAGACAATGAATCACATTCGAATCGACTCTAGAGAATGCATCTTTGTATAGGGATCGTGGTATGTATGCCAGAAGCCGAAACCAACTGCCATTACCATTCTAAGATGACAACTACGTTCCCTCTTCCAATCACATTAAATTCTGCAGTCCCTTTGGGGACAACCCCAGTATGAGGAAAAGAACGAGCCGACATCGTCTGAGATAAATATATAAAAGAGCAATTTCATTTTTGGTGGACTACTAGAAACCTCAAAATACACTGCCTAGCATTGCTAACCTTTCGCACCCTTCCCAGAGTTCAGCTGCAGCATGCTCCGTAGAGCGGCTGCCTCCGCCTCCTGACGGGCTAGACGAAGTCGTAAATCATCACGTTCCTGCTTGACGCCCTGGAGTTCCATCTCCAGTTCGCTGATCCGATCAATTCGCTTCTGCCGATACTTGCGAGCCGCAACATTGTTGCGTTGGCGTTTGAGAGCGGTAACTGGATCCACCGGAGGCGAGCGGCGACTCTTGGGAGTCCGGCCTTGGTTGGAAGAAGCTCCAGGAGACTTAGGCATTGCTGCTGGTGAATAGGACGGGTCGGAAGGCCCCGTATCTGACCCCGACCCTGAAGCGTGATAAGAATTAGGGGGTTGGTTGAATTGAAAATTCAGATTAGGATCAAAACTAGATAGCATCTCCGAAGCTGTCGTAATTGTGAGCGAGAATACTTGACGGGGTGAGATAAAGGGTGAGAATTACCATCTAAGTGTCCATTGCGTATGTTATTCTCGAAAACAAGTGGATCGCCTCCTCCGTCTAAGCCGGAGAGCGACCAGTCTACCTCATTAATATTGCTGCCAGTATCCAAACCCAAGGACCAGTCTTGAATCGGAGGTATCATAGAACCTCCGAATGACGGGAAGAGTTCCGCCGGCCCTAGGGCGGAACTCCCCCAATCATGGTAATTATGTTGGGTTGTAGCGTCGAGCTCCCTGGCGCGCTGGGTAGTGCTCGACGCTGAGATTGGGGCAGAAGCGGTGCATCTGGGCGATAACTGCCATGGTGATATGTTAAGATTATCTTCGAAATACTCTAAGGTTATTGTATAGACGCCGTCCCTCTACGAACGGCGATGCTGCGTCCCAAAGAAAGATTGGGAAGAAGGTGAAGTTGAAGAGGGGAAAGTTTCAACAGGCTTTCTGGGCTCCGGCGCTCAGCTGCTTTATGTCGTGCCAGATGCGCAGAACTAATCTGACCAGGCGGTCTAAAATGTGGTCTGTGCGTCTTACTCTTCCCGTCTTTATCCTCTGAACTTCCATGAATTGCAAGGATCTAGTAAGATCCGACCCAAGATGCACATTACACCACAGCCACACAGCCCCATAGCCCCATCAACTGTGGTGGCAGTAAACCTACCGTTGCAGCCAATAAGGAGTCACGAAATGTGAATTTTCTCCAGAACCTACTACTCATCAATACCGTCGTCCTTTCAATAGGAGTATGTCGTCTAATATTCGGTGCATAACATAAGAAAACCATGAGTTCATTCGGTCGCAATTTCATTCCCATAAGTCTCGCTGTAGCCTTTGGAATGTTAAATGGTATGGATTTATCATAAACTTATACATGCGCCACTTATAGGGTTGTCATCATCAACGCTGCAGATGCTAAATGTCTCGTATAACAGGATATTACGTATTCGGTTCTACCTTTAAAGAGCATCAGAAGGCACCACAGCTACCTACAACAAGAGACAATCAGCAAACCGACAGCGTGACTGAGGTGAATGATTCCACCCAACACAAATCATCAAGCCCAGACACAAAACCAGATCGCTAGCTACCAAGCAACCACCATGAAGCGTCAACTATATCTCATATTTCTTGAAATACGGATATGAGGGGTTCAATAAGCCCAGTGATAGTTACCTAACTCAACAAAATTAGAAGTCTCCAAAGATTGAGCTTCTAAGGGTTGAGCTTCTACCGCAGGCGCTTAATAGCGAGGCCTGTTAGCCTTGGGAGTACGGGATGCCAAACCCGTAGAGCCGGCAGCAAGTATCGAAAGATACGAAACAACAACGCAGACGGAAAAGCCCCAGATTGAGTTTCTCGTTGAAACTACCTAGGCTCGAGGGTCCTCATAATCATAATGCGGATACAAGCATCAACCGACTTGCTATTAATTGAATGAAGTTCATATTATGTTTACAGATAGGACGTAGAGATATGAAACATTTAGCGTTTATAAGTGCTACGTATTTTAACTTCATCTTCATAGGTAGTCATATGATACATGTATGTAATGACTGCTATTGAACGTCTATGAACTTATAAATCGAGACCATTAAGAGGTTTGAAGATGAGCTGACTTACCTAATACTCATAAAATAAATATGGGCCTACCTTATCAAGCGTGGATCTTGGAACCTTGCAGTGTTGTGACGTCGCACATGGATATCTTATCTGTCTATTACCTTGGTCCGAATTTTAGCCGAGCAAACCATGGACCTGGAGTTATGGAGCTGTCAGAGCTTTTCCAACTGTCACTCATCGACTTGCAGCTGTAAGAGTCTGAAAGGCTTCTCCCATTGGCTCCACCACAATCATACGACTGTTTTAACTCAATCGAAAAAAGGCTCTCAATTGAACTTGACAGCCGAAAAATCGAGGCACCCAACAACAACCTTATCGTCAGCGAGAAACCACCACCTGCGATCACTTCTTCTGCTTCCAACCGGCCTCGCGACCGCCTCAATTGGCTCCCAATCTCCACTCTTCCGATCGACTCGCACGCGATATACTCGAATTATCTGCCCCGTTTTTGATTTTCTTGTTTTGACGCACAAAAAATCAAGATGATGCGAACACCCGCAACCCCCCTCCTGCGCGGCGCCCTTCGTGCTAGCAGAACGACGACCGTGATCCCTCGTCGTGCCGCCACCACCCACGCCATCTCCAACCCGACGCTGGCCAACATCGAGAAGAGGTGGGAAGGCATGCCTCAGACCGAGCAGGCCGAGCTGTGGATGGCTCTGCGAGACCGCATGAAGGAGAATTGGGCCGAGCTCACGCTTTCGGAAAAGAAAGCTGGTATGTGATATCTCAGCTTCTCCTTCTTTTATATGTCTCCCGCCTCCGATTTGAACCGGCTTGCGCTGCTTCCATACTTGCGTCCCAGCTCTCGATATTGGGAATTACTCTTGCGAACGGCACTCGGGAGAGTGGCGCCATGGAGCGGGACAGTGGATCCCCAATATTTGATCTAACCATTCACGAAACTCGTATTTGAAGACAATCATGGACTGACTTCCGCCAACAGCATACTGGATCGCCTTCGGTCCTCACGGTCCCCGCGCCGCGCCGCCACCCGATGAGGGACGCAAGGTCGCCTTATACACTGCTGTCGGCGTTCTCGCCAGTTTCGTGCTCTTCGCCACGATGCGGGCGTTCGGCGGCCCCGCCCCTAGCACGATGACCAAAGAATACCAGGAAGCCTCCAACGAGTACCTCAAGGTAAGAACAACTCCTTATCCTGACCCCGTATTTGCGCCGAAAACACGAGTCGGAGGACTAACGATTAGCAGGCCCAAAAAGCCGAACCCCTCACTGGTCTCTCGTCCGAGGGCTACAGCGGAAAGGGCGTGGTGCAATCGCCGCCCAAGCACTAGAGCCGGCCGTCCTGATATCGTACCTACTCTTATCCTTTTCCTTTTGTCGTTAGAGAACCGCAATGCAAGGCATCAAATTCCATGTACAAACCGAAAAGCAACTAGAGTGGAATGGAGTAGCGGGGCGGGGGCGCGCGTTGGCTATCCGAAACGATTCGACGATGGAGAATATTGCAGACTCGAGTCCGGCCAGCAGCGACAACAACAGCAGCATGCATCAAGAACCCTTTTATTTAATTCCAGTTGGGATGCCGTCCCCGCGCATAGGTGGAGTCGACTTTTGATAGCTGGTCGACCAGATGAAGTTTCCAGGCGTTGTAAATATGTACAAGAGGAAAACAAACCTTCTATTGCCGTTCTGAAAGCAAAAGCTACATACCCTATTCCTATAACATTTAAACGGGAATGTGCACATCTAAGTCTGAGAGCCGACCTCGCAATCTGCTCAAATTCTCTCAAAACCTTCCCACTCATTGCCGACTCGGGAAACCACCAGAAAAAGTAGGTTAACTAGCGTTGTGAAACCTGAGGTAATTGCTAATGGGCAGATCGATGGGCCATCTCGTATGTTGCTTGTTGCGTGGGGAAAGAACCGTAAAACTGGAATTTCCCCAATCTTCAACACGCGGAACCTTTATAGATGAAACTATCGTAGCTATGCCTGACATCGCACAGAGCCATAAGATCGTAAGTTTAGGAAGACCTGAGCGCAAAAACATATCTGCGGCAATAAGTCCGAATGATTGAGAATACGCACATATGGCCAGATAACATCATAAGTTAATCAGATTTATTTACATTCGCTTAATGCTCGCACAGATATTCGAACGTTTGGACCAGGTATACTTGCTAAACAACCTATAAGAGGCATCTTATACACGCCCACCACATCATCTCATGTAGCTATACTCCGTTACACCCGCGTATCCCAGCAACTCCGGCCCGTTGGTAAAGCAGTCGTGATGCGCAGTATGCCCGAATCCAAAGAAACGCCCTTCGCCTTATCAACCACTATGACTATGCAGGGCTTTTCCTAGCCAAGTATCAAGGTTGTTAACAATAACTTATACAGTCAACTTTAACTCATGTTTCTCACGCTCATGCTCATGCTCATGCACCGCTCTGCCCAGCCTCACGGAACTGGCCGAGACTACTCACAATCTCCCTCCCATGCTCATCGTGTCCCGGCACTTCAGCTAGACCATCCTCTTCACGTATCAGTCTTTCAACTTCGAGTCTACCATCTTTCCCCCAGTATCCGACCTTCTCCTCCCCGCGTACTGCCTTCTCGGTGACGAGTACGTAGTGGGTAGGGGCATCGAACATTGCTTCGGCTAGCACACGCTCCATCTCCATCTTAAGCCCACGGGCACCTGTCTTGGCCTTCTCCGCGCGCTCTGCGATCGCCTGCAATGCTTTCTGGGTGAAGTAGAGGTTGGAGGGGTATGTCTGGAATAATGCTGTGTACTGCGCAACTAACGAGTTGCGCGGCTCTGTCAGGATCCTTAGTAAATCTGACCGCGAGAGAGGTGAGAGTGCCACGATATTATGAACACGACCGATCAACTCCGGAATGAACCCAAACCCTTGTAGGTCCTCGGACGTTGCTAGGTCAAGTGCCGTAAATGATGACGTATCCCCGGCATCCGAGGGCCGGTGAGGAAGATGATTGAATAGATCTGGTGGAAGATCCGGTTTGTTCCCAGATGTAGACCGGCTCCTAATCTCAGAACCAAACCCCATACTCGACTTAGATACTCGGTTGAGTATGACTTTGTCGAGACTAACGAATGCACCACACATGACAAAGAGTATGTTGCTTGTGTCGATGGTATACTGGTCCACTTTCCCAATTGGAGGTGGTGTTGGTTGTGGTCCTGAAGTAGATGCTGAGGATCCGGGGCCGGTATAACTTGTAGTAATAGGACTCGCTGAACGAGATGAAGAACGATTATCTTTGACGTTGACAGTTACCTTGGTCCCCTCTACTAGTTTTAACAATGCCTGTTGTACACCTTCGCCACCCACATCTCTTCCGTTCATGGTTTCGCGTTTAGCGATTTTGTCAAATTCATCTAACACGACGATCCCTTGTTCGGTAGCTTTTATATCGTAGTTCGACTCTATCAATAATCGCTCGATGCATGTTTCGACATCTTGGCCTATATAGCCAGCTTGAGTGAAGGAATTGCAGTCGCATATTGTGAAAGGGACGTTAATCTTCTTGCTTAGCGTCCTACAAAGGATTGGTTAAGAAGCGCACGCAGGTATGACAGCAAGTAGTCAGTCACCTACTCAAGTATATATGTTTTGCCTACGCCAGTCGGACCAAGTAGCAGTAAGTTACTCTTGTCAATCTTAACTGGCGGTATTCGACTCGTGTCTTCAGGTATGTAGAAATCGGTTTTCTGTTCGGAATGCTGCCAGGCTTGGTGCATCTGCTGTATGGAATCGTGATGGCCGGGGAAATCGTCTTCGTCAAAGTCGTCAGCACGATACCGTTGGGACATGGGTGTCGGATGTGGCCAACCTTCAACAGGATGAGCTTCCTCCGTCTCCCTTGCATTTCGATCACGGGCAATGGCTTGCCGCATTAGCTTTTCCTCTCGCTTTCTCTCCTGCTCTTCTTGATATTTCCGCCGCCTCACATTCTGATAGTGGTTAAATATGACGGATGATATTGTCTTCTTTGCTCGGTCCTGTCCAACTACGTATTCGTCGACTCGCTTCTTGAGATCTCGTGGGTAGAATTGTGGAACCCCAAAGGTGTGCTTTGAGAACATAGGCCCTCGTCCTTCTTCGTTCGGGTCATAGCTGCTCGTGAAACCGGAGTTGAGCTCTGGGATACGTCTCGAGGGAGTGCGGAGGACGGTAGAGGTTGAGAATTGTCGGTGACGAATCCTCAGAACCGGGGCAAGAAACAGAGAGGTTTTACGTCTTGCAAGGACCGACCTCATATTGGCGGTGTCAGAGGTGGCCGCCAACCGACAACCTCTATTTCTATGAATATGACACCGCAATCCGCCACATACGTATGGATAGCTACACCTCGGCGAGACGATTGAACAGGTTCGGCCTACCAACTAAATAAGGGGATGTCGCATCCGTGCCAATTAAACAAGAATGATCAAGAAAGGATCAAAGGCCCTCCGTATCTTAAAACAGGTTTAAAGGTCGTTTTGGAGGAAACGAGAATTGATTCGATTACATTTATCGTCTATGTTGAGTTGTACATAACTGATCATCAAAGAGCTTACGATGTTGTTACTCCTGTATCGGACATAAGTTGACATAAGCTGCGCGAGATCTCGCAGCAATGATCCAACATATGAGCTTTAAAGGTCGGGGTCCCTTAGCAGCTTAGTTGACGGGGCGGGGCTTCCCTTGTTGGCGGGGAATCTCTGATTAAATGCTTTATCCCGGCCGCTATTAGAATAGCCTCTCCGCTAAAATTGGTAAGGTTGGTCGGTGTTTGAGCTTAAGTAATACCCCGCAAACTCTTAAAAGTCAAACATTCCAGGGACTTCAAAAGCACTTCAAGCCGACCTATTTTCGACTTGAGATGATGAACTATATTTGATAATTAGACTTCAGAAAATTTCAAGATCATCAGATGAATCAATGTATATTTTTGCCCAATATGCTAGTTTATCACTAAAAATCACAACATAACTAACCCAATATTAACCTAGTCGTCTTGATAAACGAATACAACTGTAGCAGATAGAAGCTGCAAGCTATAGCTGATTGATCGACCAGATAATAATTGATCCACCGCTGCGGTGCTACTGCAGCGCGAGTTGCCCCTCGACGTCATTTGCATGGTAGTTTGGGCTGGAATTCAATCTTCTCCTCATCTAAGAAGGCACTATTAAGGCAACAATTATATGAGAGAACGTACGAGTTGGAAAGAAGAAATCTTCAAATTTAGTTTCTTCTTTCCTATAAGAAGGAACAAAGACAGCAAGAACAACTCCGACTTAAAGAAATATTTGTGTACCTCGATAACCTTGCTCTTGTTCAACATTACGTAGCTCTCTTCATAGCTTCCTAGGTTGTTTAGCGGGGTGATCTAGACCAACCTAACCTTAATAGCTACCCAATTTCGAATCGCGTCTTTAGCTGGATAGCTTCCCTGTTGCGCTCTACAACAACCATCTTCCCCCCTTTCCCTCAAACCTTGAATCAAGCCATAGTTCGCCAACATGACTGCTGTGGCCGACGGTTCTGCGAATAGTCTTGGTTCTGGCGCCGCGCCAGGCATACCAAATGACGGCACTGGTGCGACTTCTCCCTGAACCCCGCAATAGCACAATACTTGTATAGGATGGGCAGTTGACAGTATAAACCATAGGCGTCATTCAGCTAGATCCTTGGCTATCGCCTTTCAAAGAGCCTCTAAAGCGAAGATATGCGAAAGCTCAAGAATGGATTAAGAAGATTGATGAGCTTGAAGGCGGACTAGAGAAGTTCTCTAAAGTTTGTTTTGACTATCATTATCTTGAGCCTCTCTCAGGGGTCTAGACGAATACAGGTGCTTACTGGAACTTAGGGTACTGAGATCTTTGGTCTAAATGTTGACAAGGACAACAACATCGTATATCGAGAATGGGCTCCAAACGCCACCGAAGCATTCCTAATTGGAGACTTCAGTGAGTACCGGTTATCTCACTTAGCATCGCGAACTACCATACTAACCGCGGGTTGTCAGATGACTGGAATCGGGGCTCACACCGTATGGCAAAGAACGAATTTGGGATATGGAGTATTGTCGTCCCTGCGAAGGACGGGCAACCAGCGATCCCGCACAAATCCAAGATAAAGGTATACAACCTCATCTGAGCTAGCAAGCTTCACGTTTGCTAAAGTGAGGCAATAGATATCCATGACAACACCTTCAGGCGAACGAATTGACCGTCTACCTGCTTGGATTAAATACGTTACTCAAGATCTCTCCGTCTCACCCGCCTACGATTCCCGCTTTTGGAACCCGCCGGAGTCTGAGAAGTACACGTTTAAGAACTCGAGGCCCAAGAAGCCACTAAGCGCTCGTGTCTATGAGGCCCACGTAGGTATTTCCTCGCCTGAACAGCGAGTCACAACATTCAAGGAATTTACCAAAAGCATGTTGCCAAGAATAAAGAATCTTGGATACAATGTCATCCAACTCATGGCTATCATGGAGCATGCTTATTATGCCAGTTTCGGCTACCAAGTCAACAACTTCTTTGCCGCAAGCAGTCGATATGGCACCCCTGAGGATCTCAAAGAGCTAATTGATACCGCTCACGGCTTGGGACTCGTCGTGCTTCTCGATGTTGTCCACAGTCACGCCTCCAAAAATGTCCTCGATGGCTTGAACGAATTTGATGGCTCGGATCACCTTTACTTTCACGAAGGCCAGAAGGGTAGGCACGAACTATGGGATTCTAGGCTCTTCAACTATGGAAGCCATGAAGTTATGCGCTTTCTGCTCAGCAATCTGAGATTCTGGATGGACGAATACCAGTTTGATGGGTTTCGTTTTGACGGAGTAACTAGCATGCTCTACACCCATCATGGAATCGGCACGTAAGTTATCACACACTTCCTATAACTCCGTCCTTTTCCACTGACAGTTTTTAGTGGCTTCTCTGGTGGGTACCACGAATATTTTGGCGCAGGAGTTGATGAGGAGGCTGTGGTTTATCTAATGATCGCCAACGAGATGCTTCACAACCTATACCCCGAAACTATCACAGTAGCCGAAGACGTATCCGGGATGCCGGCGCTTTGCTTGCCATTATCACTCGGTGGCGTTGGGTTCGACTACCGATTGGCCATGGCTATCCCGGATATGTGGATCAAGATCCTTAAAGAGAAGAAAGATGAAGACTGGGATATATCGGGAATCTGCTGGACTCTCACTAATAGGCGACATGGTGAGAAGACGATCGCATATTGTGAGAGTCACGACCAAGCGTAAGTAAAGTACAAAATCAGATCTGGATACAGTTTTAGAAAACTGACGCGCCTGGTTTTAGTCTCGTAGGCGACAAGACCTTGCTCTTCCACCTCTGCGACGCGGAGATGTACACCAACATGTCGACGCTGTCGCCCCTAACCCCTGTAATCTCTCGGGGCATGGCGCTACACAAAATGATCCGGTTGCTGACACACGGTCTCGGTGGAGAGGGATACCTTAACTTCGAGGGAAATGAGTTTGGTCACCCGGAATGGCTCGACTTCCCACGTGAGGGCAACCAGAACTCTTTCTGGTATGCGCGGCGCCAACTCAACCTAACTGAGGATCCCCTCCTGCGCTACAAGGACCTCAACGAGTTTGACCGTAAGATGAACCTGACAGAAGAACATTATGGTTGGTTACACGCCCCGCAAGCGTACATTAGCCTCAAGAACGAGAGCGATAAAGTGATCGTGTTTGAGCGGGCTGGCTGCGTGTTCATCTTCAACTTCCACCCCACCCAGAGCTTCGCCGACTACAGGATCGGGGTAGACGTCGCGGGCACGTACAAGATCGTACTCGATTCTGACGTCACGGAGTTCGGCGGTTTTAACCGCAACGATCATAACGCGCGGTTCTTCACCACGCCTATGGAATGGAATGGCAGGAAGAACTGGACTCATGTGTATATTCCTTGTCGCACGGCTTTGGTAAGTTCTACCTTGATGAGCGATGGACCTTGGAATACGTTAAAGCTGATACAATAACAGATCCTCGCACCTGAGAATTCTTAATCCAAAAGAAATGAGGCAATGGGGAAAAGGGGCCAGTATATGCCGGCATGATGAAGGGGAACGGCTTTACCCTATTTAGTGTGTTCGATGTCAGGTCATATTTGAAGCATGGCAGGTTTAGCGAGGTAAAACGGGGTATGCGAGTGGCAATATGTTCGAGGTGGTTCTCTTTAACGAGTCGTGGTGCCGTCCTATAGACAAAATAGACAAGAAAAAATTATTATTCTCTTGGAGCCAAATATTCGTTGGGTATTGTATTACATGCTGTATATATGTGAGCTGCTAACGCATTCGATATCACATATTCCTCTCCCCCTATCTTCAACGTCTCACTCATATCCTACTATTCAACAAGCCACTCCTCAACCTCAACCCCCATACTCCGCCCCACGCCCCTGATAACCTCCCACCCAACGCCCACCCTCCACTTGCCCCCCCTATCCATCGTATCCCCGCCCCCGGCGCCCCCAACCCTGACCAGCAGTCTCAAACTAGCCAGCGTCGCAATCGCCATGCCCACGTCCCCGTCGACGCCGACGCCGACCTGGTGGTGGTCCTCGTACTCGGCGTCGCGGACCCACTCGCGCCTCGTCGCCGCGTATATGGCGACCATGCGCTCCAGCACAAAAGCGCTGGGCCCGAGCAGCTTGCGCGCGATCTTGCGGTGCTTGGTCTTCTTCGTGGCGCGCGTGTGCTGGCCTAGACTACCGCCGCCGCGACGCCGTCGCCCCGAGTGCCATGTGCTGAAGATCGTCTGGTCGTGGCGCGGCGCGTTGTGCGAGGCTAGGTACGCGGCGACGAGGAGGAGGCGCGCTGTGGGCGGGAGCAGGGTTGCTAGGTCTTTTGTGCTTTTGCTCCATTCTTTTTCTGCGGTCTTTGTTGCTGCGCTGCTGCTACTATTTGTGGTCGATGACGACGGCGGCTTCGCCGTGTTGGAGAGGGAGGCGGATGTGGATGTGGATGTGAAGGTAGAGGTAGAGGCGAGGGTTATGCCCGGCTCGAGCACGGATTCGTCCTGGAAGTAGGCGCGCGCGGCGACGAGCAGCTTCGTGAACTCGCGCGCGCGGTACGTGCCTGCGGCCACGGGGGCCGTGAAGCGCGGCCATAGCGCCGCGCAGGACCGCGCGAGGCCTGGGAGCGTGCGGGATGCGGGTTTCGAGAGGGCGTCGTGGACGGCTGCTACGAAGCGCGTCCATAGGTCTATCGTTTCCTGGGCTGTGGTGTTCGGGAGCGACGGGGGCGTGTACGGCGGCCGCGAGAGGATCGTTACGTACTCCGGTTTCGTGTACGGTGGGAAGTATAGCTGTGGAGTCGAGGATATGCGGAGGAGAGAGGGCGATGGGGCGGTGAGGATGAATACCGTTGTTAGGTTGGGAATCTGGAGGGCCGTGTATGTTAGGATACGGATTACAACAATAGGCGGACTGTATGTATGGCAGTCACGTACAAGCTCGGATAACCTAGCAAGAGCGGGTAAGAGTGTGGGCGGCGCGTCTCGCTGGCGATCGATACCGTCGAAGACTAGCACAAACCTCCAATTCACGTCATGACGCGGGTCGTACTTGAGCATCTTGGTCAGCTCGACCGTGAGCGCGGCAAGCGTCTCACAGCGTCCGACCACACCACCCCCATCTGATTGCAGGGCGTCCGCCACCGATCCGACGGTCCTCTCGAAAAGGTGTCGCGCCGTCACGCACTCGGCGGACTTAACAATGGCGTAGTTGAGAAGCGAATCATCGGTGTCGGCACGAGGTGAGGATAAGGCCTCGAGTAGCCGGGCGGTGACGGCGCTTTTACCGGTGGCCTCGGTGCCGTGAACTATCAGATTGCGGCATGGGGCAGCCCTAGGGTAGAGCAATGTCGCAAGAGCTCGGATTTGGGCGTCGCGGCATGGGAAGCTCTCGACGAGAGTTGCAAGGAGGTCGTCTGGGAGCTCGAAGATGCTCGCCATTGCTTCGATTTTCGACTATTTCAAAAGTTCAATTCCTCCTTCCTGGAGCATCTAGACTGATTAATTGCCGCCTTTTTCTATTAGCAACTCTAGAACTAACATTAAAAGTTATAAAACGTTCGATTCACGATGGCGTTTTGGAGCTCTTCTATGTACCTAAGTATATCTAAAGATCAGCCGTGCCAAGATTGGATGTCCGGCACAAGACGGATTACCTAAGCATGTCAATGTTTTTATAGCCTGGTCCACGTGTGGAAGGAGCGCTCGAGGTGGGCGAAGTAAGATCCGTGCCTCAGAGCTGAATATGTGGGTCCACCAAAGTACGTCAGTCTTCACCTTATATAGGACTACTGCGACGGGAAACTGGAAGCTGTAGTGTGGCTTAGGCCAGCAATGCGTTGCAGCGCTGAAGGTCGTACTTTACAATTCTCCGCCAAAACCGCGTTCCTTCTCTGTTTCTGGCTTTGATTCCGATAACCTTATTTCTACCTAACAAGCATTATATCTTAAGCGAATCGGTCGTATAAGTTGATTTTTACCTCATTTTCATCTCGCTTATATCAAAAGGAGAGACCCTTTCTTGGCGATCTAACGATGATCCAAAGTTGACTAAGCGTTGCGCGATTGACTCAATCGAGATGGATGAAGTAGTAGAAGTCGATACGCCAGACGTCGACGCCGGCTCTTGCAATGAGCTGGATTGGACTTTCGACATCGAAGACGCTCGCGATGGCAGTCTAACTCATCTCAAGCCTCCTCTCGAGTTTGATCCATCTAGTAGACATTCTAGCAGACATTGCAGCGAGGGGCCAGACTCACATAAGCCATATCACACAAAACGGCCGCATAAGAAGTCACGAGCCGGATGTCAGCAATGTAAAAAGAGGAAAGTGAAGGTAATGATATTGATTAATAAAATATGAATATAACCTCATAAAGACTAACTTCCGAATTAAGTGCGATGAAGCGAGACCGACGTGTAAAGCCTGTAGGCTCCGGAAGGAGAATTGCGTATATCCGGCTGCGGCGGCATCTACTGCACTTGTTCCAGCCTCGAAATCTGATTTAGAGGTTTCATCTTCTACATCTTCTGCATCCTCTCCTCTGCCATCCCGTGAGCCTGAAGCCAGCAATATGCTTCTTGTCACCGAACCTCTTTTCAGGCCACGGGAAATGACAGATGCCCTGGACATGAAAATGTTGTGGTTCTACACCACCACAGGGTTTCAGTTCTTCTCGATCCAAAGTGGTCGCTCTGCGGTTGTTGATCATGTGCTTCAGGTGGAGGTCGTTAAGCACGCTTTCAAATCACCGTTTCTCATGAATTGCTTGATGGCAGTGTCGTCACTGCATCTCCAGAACCTGAACCAACCCATCCCATCTCAACGTGCGGCGACTTACTGCTGTAGAGCCTTCAAAGGTTACAGAGATGCGATAGAAGCGGCAAACCCTCCTGATTTTCCGGCTCTGATAGCAACATCACTTTTGATGACTGCTTTGAGCAGCCAAATGTTCCGCGATCCAGATGGAAAGCCACTCTATATTATAGATTGGATGCAAGTCTGGCGAGGAATCGGGTTGATTGTCGAGATCGTCTCGCCACGAGTTCTCCAGGAGACCGGGATGGCAGTGCTGTTTTACAGGCCCCCGATAGACCTCGAAAAGGCGACACAATACATTCCAAATAACCTACTATTCATGGTTGCTTCCATCAGCCCCGGTGATGCTGATGATAAATACCAGCAAATCTATTATGATATGCTTAAATATCTTGGGTCACTTTATCAGGAGATGAGAGAGCATGGCTTCAATCCCATTCTCGACCTTCGTATAATCACATTTTTCAGTACGTATCTCTTCACCTGTTCACAATCAACCTAAAAGCCATTCATGAGTTTTCACTAATTTGAAAATAGCTTTCATACCAAAGGATTTCATCCCACTTGCGAAGGAACATCGGCCACGAGCTTTGATTCTCTTAGCTCACCATCTATGCTTCGCCAAGCTGACCCCAGACGTGTGGTGGATGCGCGGTATCGCAGACCGAGAAATCACGCAGATTTGCGAAGAGGTCGGAGATGAATGGGCGCATCTACTACGCGTACCGCAGATGATCCTAAGGACAAACGACAAAACCGAAATCGCCCAGTTGCTTATCAATAATCGCAATTGGACCCCAACAGAGATGGACAGATATGAAAGAGATCGAGATCCTAGATTGAAAACCGACCTCGGGTTGTTCGACAATGAAGGCTCAGAAGTCAGCATCTATGATGGCCAATGGAAGCGAAAGTCGTCGATTGTTTCCATGAGCCACAAAGTAACGGAGCTGGGTGAGTTATTGGATCCATTCCCCCGGATCTCAAGTCCCAGTCCAGAATCTATATCAAATTCAGCATAAATAGTCCAGCAAAATGCTTCTCCGGTATATCTCTAGAATGAGAACGACACCATCTTGTTGGATTCTACAGTACGGAAATTGGATAATAAACCTACGCGATGTATCACATGCATCTATGGACTTGTATTGCAAAAGATTTCGCAATTCATATCACAAGAAGAACCTAAAATGGAAATTTTGGATCTTGGCGAGAACATATAGCTAGGTTGATGGCGTTCATCTTTCACTTATACCCCTTCGATATTTACCAGCTTGATTTTATCTATACGTGTAAGCAAGGCAACTTTCGACTTGGTTTTATATATGCTAATAGAGGCAGTCATAGCGCCCACTGCAGATATTCGGCTACGATGAGTTCAGTATGCCAATATATCAGAGGCCGAACCACGCCTCACTGGCCGTCAGGTTAGCCGGTACACTGTGTCCCACACCCTGCGCATATATGCCCTGAACCGAGTCGCCGTAATTGCTAGTCGTGTAGCCTTGTTTTGGATTGTTCTCGACAGTGCTGGTTGGGTCTTGGGTCACATTGAAGACGGCCGTCCACTGCTTGATTTCCTCTTGATAGTTCTGCGGTGCCAGCGTGGTGTCGACGCTGCCATGCCAGATCTGCATCTTCGGTCGAGGCCCCTCGTATCCCGGATACATATCAAGCACGACCTGCCCCCACTTTTCGGGGGTAGCTACCGACTGGCCGCCACTACAGCTGTTATTCCACTGGTCGACGCCGCCAGAGCTACTGACGAAACATCCCGCTGCTACGCCGCTATATAGTGATACGGCTTTGATGAGCTCCGGGTAGGTCGCTGCGAGCACGTTGGACATCATGGCACCACTGCTGCCACCCGTCACATAAACCCGTTCGGGGTCAACCTGGTACTCGGAGATCGCATATAGGATCATGTTGGCAATCGCCTGGGAGTCGCCGCCCCCAAGATGGGTCAGGGATTGCTTCGACGAAACATCCCAGCAGGTCCCACTGTTGGGCGAGGATGGCCATACGGTGATGTAGCCCTTCCCATCGGAACCCGATTTCCATGGGATCGCGCTGTTCTGGAAGTACGACTGTGCCGTCGACTGACACGAGTGAATGACGACCACGAGCGGCGGATTTTCAACTACGTTGTCCGGCTTGTACACGTACCTGTTATGGTTATCAGTCCGGCGTAAAGTGAGAGAAAGGATCGGGAGAAGCGCGCCTACATTTGTGCCTTAGACGTGGCGTTGTTATTATAGTTTGAGACTTGGGTGAGCGAGGCTGCTAAGGCCGTGCCGCCCATAAGGCTCGTTGAGATGGCCGCAGAGAACAACATTGTCTATCGATTGGAGACAACAGCGACGAAACAGGGAGGAAGATCAATATGTCTGGATATTCTCACGCCCATTCATTCCGAATACGTCGGGCGAGCAGTATATATATGGAGGGATCTAAAAGAGCCGGCAAATTGCCCCATCATGACGAAGCAAGAAGCTTTCGTCTCCTTTCCCCGCATGCTGCGAAAATTTGCCCCTGGATCTACATTTCATAACGCCGCCAGGGTCGAGGAGGATCTCTTGGTTGTATTAGCACGGGATAAAGTAGGGTAGCATCTCGTCTGGTGACAGAAATGAAGGAGAGAATGATACTTCCGCAACAGGAAATTAGTTGTATACATATAGTACGGAAATATTCAAAACGTGGCGAGCATGGCTACCCCGTGACGCAAAATTGCCGTTTATACAAGCTTTGGGATCTACCCTTCCTACTCGGCTAAAGTGATGCTACGATGTCACTCCACGTCATTAAGCGGGAGTCCTCTAACCCCCTTTCTCCCTTCTGGCTGGTAATTAGGGAAGATGAGATGTTCATCGCTTCTGTATAACCATCATTAGACGTCGGATAGCCTCGCGTAGGTACTATATAGAAATAGAGCCAACTAGAGCTTAAGTTAGGAGTACTTTTTGAAACTAGATTGGTGAACTTCTTTGCCCGATGTTTATCTAGTACTTGAAAACATGGTCGGATAGATGTGGTTCTTAGCATACAAGTGAAGCGGGCTTTAGATCCGTACATGTTCATATGGTTTTCGTCAAATTCAATTAAAAGACTCCGCTCCGGCAGTATGTACCTAGAGGTGGACGAAGGATTATTCTTATAATTTTTAGCAGCACTTTCAATCAATGTATGGAATATGCTAGCATTTAAGACTTAGACTTGATCAAAGCCCATTAAAAGGGCTTAGTTGAGTTCTCACGGCAGCAGACAAATCACAAATGATATCATCATCAAAGGACGCATATCACATAGGGGGAAATGAAAATGTCATTACGATCCTTAAGGGATCAATTAATGTATGGGTATCTTATGGTAACCTGGTTATCCTACAAACATGCATCCAACGCGGTAACATCTGCTGGTGAGATGATATCCTACGAGAAAGATGCGATCGTTGATATTCAACGTTGAGATGAATAGCCAAAGCACACCCGGACTTGATAACAGGACCGAATAGTGAAGGCATGAGTACAACTCTCATTGTTGTACTCCGTCAGGTTACCATGCAAATCTTGTTTGCGTGCAAAGGGGAGAGTTTCTTCAAAGCCATGATGTGATTCATGGCGCGTTGTCGTCGGCGATAAGGAGCAGGAGAGGCGATGTCTAAAGCATAGAGGTGTTGCTGTGTCTAGGATGGGGTGCGTCTTCTCATATCCAGCATCTCAACGGCGGACAGATCAGAGCAGCACAGCACAAGCAAATCTTTGAGATTGGCGATCACTCCGAGTCTCTGGGATACTTGAACTTCGTACCCGGAGGGTGATCCTCAATAGCGAACTTGCACCTGGGATGAGTGCAGACACCATTCACAATGCTAGGACACTATAGCTACATAGTCAGCACATGGCACATCGCAAGGTTGTTAAGATGATGCTATAACCAGGATGGTGACTTACATGGTGCCCATAGATGCAGTTGTCAACCTCGCAGTCTTGTCCGCTGGTGCAAGGGTTTAAGCGAGCAAAGAGAGCAATAACCTTCTTTTCTTCCTTGGTGGGTTTATAGTCATGCTCGAAGACACATTCGTCGCCTTTGGTGCATGGGCCACGAAGAAAATGGTTGTTGCATAGTTTCTCCTCGCCCTTTCTCTTCTTCAATCGCTCGAGGACAGCAGCGCTAACTACGATCGGTGGATCGATACCTCGAGGGCCTGGGTTCCACTCAGGCGGTGGTGACTTTGCAGGTATAGTGGAATTCCTTCTCGAATGCATGGGGAGGGTGATCTGGGGCGGCGGAGCGGCACCCTTAGTTTGCGCAACAGCCGCGTATGATGCGCCGTTGGAGGTGGGAAGTATAGGTCGGGGGGCCGGCGATTTGGGATCCAACTTTTCAGTGCGGAAAATAGTATGGAAGTTCATCACACTGACTCCGATATTGAGAATCGCTTGAACTGTCGGCGTGCCTTCCAGAATCGTGATGCGCTGTTTTGTGTTATCATTGTTGATGAGTCCATCGAGGAACGGGCCATATCCCGCATTATGGGATATGCCCATTACAATTTGCTTGCAATTGTAATTCCTCAGATGGAACCTGGCGGAATCTGCACATACGTATAGTTAGAAAAAGAAATGAGGCGATCGAGGTGATAAACAGTGCTTTAGGAAGATTCTCACCGATAATCTTTGCGTCCGCACGTTCCTTGCCATAACCAACATCAGCAAATTCGAAGTCGGGTTTAATTTGACTGAATCCCGCAATAAACTCGTATAGGGTTGCTTCATTGGGGATACAATTGTTCCGTTTCATCGCCCGGGCCAGTCCTGGGACGTTAGCCACGACTTTAGCAACGACCGTAACAGGCGTATCTCCAGTGTAGTTGAATTTTTGGATTATAGCCGTGTTCAAGTCCCTGGCGGCTTTGCGGCCACCCTCAAGGCCCTGTCTCACGAGCTGGTCCTTGAACTTGAGTTGAAACGTGGTTAGTTTGGTACATAGATAAGACAAAAAAATCAGGTTGGTGTTGAGACTTACAAGCAACCCATCACCGTCGATTAGGACCATTATATAAGGGTTTCGGTCCTAGAACCATTTCTCAGTCATATGAAATCTCAACGGGGAAAGGATCTGGTTTGAGTAGGGACAATACCGGAACATAACCCAACCTGACTTCCATGTCGGCTAGGCGTCTTTGGGTTTCTTTGTGGGCTTTTGTAACGCCTTCTAAGTCGAGGCGTGTGTCGGCTAATTGTTTTCGTATATTGCTATTCTCGTTAAGAAGACGAGTTTCTGTTCTTTCAGCGTACACCAGTAGATCCTAAAGACAAGTGAAAGAACAGTCAGCAACTCGGAATCCTTAGACTTTTTTTTTTCATACATGCGCCAATGACGATGCATACTTTGATCAATGTGTGAGTTCGTTCCTTGTCTTCCTCATACTGGTGGTAACGATTGAGGAACGAGTAAAGGTCTTTGCCTCCATTCTGGTTTTGCTCTGTGGGAGCCATCTTGGTCCGTTCACGTGCGAGATATTAGCAATATCTCTCAGTTGTCGGCAATTAATAAAAGCTTTATGTTCAGATGCTAAGGTGACTTCTGAAGTGTAGAGATTTGTTGATAGAAGAGGAAGAGATGTTGTGCGTGTATGAAGTACAAGGTGAAAATGGTTGAATGGTATGGTGAATTTAAAAATTGAACGGATGATCAAGGTATGTGCAGAGTAAAACGGAAGCAACTATTCTTGGTTGTGCTTCTTGGATAAAAGCCAATTAAGTGAAGGGTGGTCAATGTATATGGTAGTGAATGAGTAAAAGTGAAGGTTGGGGGAATGTACAGTTGAAGATTGGGGACGGTTGGTTGGGGAAAAGTGCGTTGGTAATGCTCGAGTTATGTAGGAAAAGTATTGGAGGGAGTTGAAATTCCTTTCTACGGAGAGATGCTAATATAGTTTCTGTAGACACGATGTCGGGTTCGAGATAGAAGCTCATGTTGATATATCGATATATAGAAGCTGCAAAAGAGTGGAGAACTTATCATCGCTCCTACCTTGGTAGGTCCCTTGTCCATCCGACGAACCGGAAACTCTGGGGTAGCAGAGACGCTAACTCCACTAAATCTGGCTAGCCCCCTTGACTTTCAGGGATACCTGGACATTCTCTGTGAAAATCATCAGCCCTATCGTCAGGTACGACAGGTACGGCAGGTACGATTACTTAAATAAGATGCGGTTCATTATCAAAACCCCATTCCGTACCTACCCACGCGCTGATTCTTGTCTGACTGACTCATCCAATATTCTTGTTCCACTACCTAAATGTGACAATTGAAGGCAACTACGTGCACCTAGTTACTTCATTTCAATCAGTAATTTAATACATGATGGTTTTGACTCAAGTCCTCCATTGACGTGACAGCTGCTACCTGTACCTAGGTACCTACTCACCCAAGCAGGTACTACCTACCCATTCCATTTTTCGTCAGAATCGTTGCTATGAGTCTGCCTATCAGCCTATGTATCAGACCTTACTTATATTCTTAACATCCGGAACCTTGCAGATTTACATGTGACTGATGGATTAGATTTTATTAACATGAACCTTATAACCTTATTATGATTACTTCCACAAGTATCTACGTATGTAAACACGATGGTATAGTGACTACCTATATATAGGTATATACTACCGAGAAATGTCGATTTGATTATATGAGTTGCACTTTTATCACTTACACACTGGGGTAAGGCTCATATCAGTATTACCTAAGCACTTCACTAACCGCCCGAACTTTTCAACCTTCGGATCAGTTCCCTTCTTCCATCTGATGCCTTCCTTCTAACCTTATTATCCCACTTTATTGAACATCATGAAAACTTAGCAATTCACGAGCAATTAAGTTAGAGTTATCTTATTTCGTGTGGTAAATATCAAGAAGCATACTAAGCACCCATTCGCTCGCCTCTCCTCAAACTCTTGAAGCAGTGGATAAGGTCCCTGTGGGCCCACGATACAAACAAAAAAAACTACCTCACCATGTAGATTCATCTGAAGAGCTTATCTAGTATAATAATTATTAGTTTCGACAACTGTGTCTCCATATTAAGTAAGAGAGTTAGATATTTTCATGTATAGAATCTCGAACGGAATAGCGGAACGGGACATGGGATACCCCAGCATTGGGTATACAGATGGGTAATCCGCACTGTCAATTTAGTATCTTCAACGAAAATTGACGATAGCAAGGAGTTGTGAGGAGCATGTATAATATGGCTTTCTCTCCTATGTGTCTAGACACTTAGGTACCTAACTATAATAACATTGAATACGAACCTACTAGGTAAGTGTTTTATGCTCCATGCTTGGCAGTCATATCATTCTCATCTACAACGAGATGAACGACACCAAATGAAATCCGGAAACTACGGAATTCAACTAAACCCCACACGGGTTAGCCCCTCGGGATCTAGATCGGCCCCCGCACAAGTAAGGGGCGTAGAAAGGCGTAAGGGGCGTCTAGGCGTCGGGCATAACCATCGGGATAGAGCCAAATGTCGGACTTAAGGAACGGCGTCGAAAAAAGGCGGGCATGTGCGCGAGCGTGAGGCAAAGCAAGAGATACACATACATAGACGGGGGATGGGCCATGTTTTTTGTTCGTTCATTTTTGGTACAATGCTTCTATTCTCTCGTTTGAACTACATATACCAGGAGTTGGGATATCATACCCTGAATCTTTTTTTATTTATTTACGAAAAGAACGCCTATTCTTGCCTAGGTATTTATCTGTCATGTATCGTTTAAACATCCCAACGTTAAATCATCGCCCGGTCCGATCAGTAAGTAGGAAATTGGTTTAATATATTCCAAAGCGTGTCGTTTCCAAACTCGCCGCCGAATTGCCATTGCGCCGGCTGTTCACTCCCTGCAGAGCTAGTCGGTATGTTGGTGGCAAGGCCACTACTAGCTCCTGCTGCCGTTGCCGAGAAAGATTCCGGCCAGGTCGTTGACGTTATGTCGCCGCCGGGTATGGCTGTCAGTTCGTTGTATGCGATATCTCCTATAGGGTATATAGGCATGATTGAACTGAAGTCGAAATCTGTTGGGAATGACCAATCCGTATTCGCGAACATGTTATTGTCGGCCCCGGAAGCAGGCGTCATCCCTGTGCTTGAGCTAACACTCCCGCCTCGGTCCGTCGCTGTGGGCAAAGTAGACGTGGCGGTATTATTCGACGCGTTGCCTGGGTTCTGCAAGGCAGACTCCGATGAAGAACTGGGCGTCTGCATATCGGAGGAGCTACCGGATGTCCCACTACAGCTCGTAGTACTACCGCCTACTTCGCTAACTGCCTTGCAATTATAGCCTACAGCCTTCTTAAAGCGGATATAAATGGCATGCAGCACCCCCAGTGCAGCTTGCGCGAGTCGATTCCGGTTAGCCATCTTCTCGAAGCGTTCGATCGCCCATTCAAAGTGCTGTCGTACTGTTGCCAACAACTCCGCATGCTCTCTCGGGAATAAAATATAAATGGATGCGATCATGATAACAGCATCGAACGTCCCAAAGAAGAGAGTAAAGGTTTTATGCTGTTGGGGCTTCAGCAGAGAAAAATATATCTTCTGCGCCTCAAGCATGTCCAAGCTTGCTTTGAGGGCCTCATGGCGACTAGTAACTCGAGTGAAAACGTATGGACGATGAAGGGCCATGATGTTAAAGGAGATAAGTTGAGGTAGGGTCGGCCGTACAAATGGCAACCATCGACATTCTGGAAGTTCATCGAATCGCGTGTCTGGATTCTGCAGGCGGAAAGGCGGTGGGGTTCGGGCCTGAAGATCCAGCAACTCTTGATGAATTTTTTCGACCTTAGAGAAATCCTTTGGAAACGGCCCTTCTTTCTCCAAGTCAAGGATATCTCGCAATGGACGCATGACCTCCCAGGACCAAAGGGCTCGTGTCAGCGGTGTAGGTGGGTCATTTTCGCCACGCTGCATTATAGGCGATTTTCTTGTATCCTTAGGGATGAGAGAATCGACCGGTAGACTCCGATTCACTAAGCGGAAATCTACGCTTGTAGGTCTACCGAGCACAGCACCAGTATGCAAGTCCCAGCCGAGGAGAGTCATCCAGACTCTTCGTCGGCTCTGTGCCATCCACATCTTTTCTAAAGCCTCCTCTGTCGAATCCTCTGGACTTGGTTGAGGATCCATCTGGTCTCGATGGAGACCAATCTCTTGCGCATCTCGAATGCTAGTTCCTACTTGATGCCACTGTCGGGGAATTAGAATAAGTGGGCAGCAATGGGGATAATGAGAAAGATCACTCACAGCCTCGGTAACCATACCGGTATATTTGAGGAAAGCAGCCCTCGTCCAACCGGATAATACGGTTATAATAGACATCTGACGCTTACCTAGAAGCGACAATATGGAGATGCCAGATTCACTATAGTCAAATGCTAAGTCTTCAAAGGTCATATTGCTCGTGTACTTCAACGACTCAAACGTCTCCTCGGTTCCTTCAGGGAGGTAGAGAAGAGAACAGGCCAGCATCTGGAACAAGAGCGCGGGGAAGGCCCTTAACATCGGATCCAAGGCTTGAGGACCAGAGGTTGACAGGACGTTAAATGGCATACTGTACCACTGCTCCATCAACCTTCGAAAGACGGATTCATCGATACTGAAGTATTGCCAGTTGATATCCCGAAAATACAGGTCTGCTAGCTGTTCGACATAGGTTCTTGCGGGTAACTGGCGGATCAATGCCTTGTATCGCTCGCGCATACCGTAATTGACACCGTCGAAGGTTTCAATAGGCATTCCCGGCAATCGCTCTCCATCGCCCTCGATCTTACGCAATATTCCGAGAGTAGAGGCACTATTGTGGGAGTAGCCGAAATCTACGGGTTTGATGGGCAGGTTTTCGATCGATTCGGGCGACCGCTCATTGGCGCTCTGAGAAGACCCCTTGCGATCGGGCTTTGCAAGCGGTGTTCCAGTCTCGTACCGACAGGATGCTTCTTTATTTCGCGACACGCAATTCGTACATGGCATCTTACGGTCGCACTAGGAGGAGCATTAGTACCTCATTTAATAATGTGAATTATATTACGATAAAAACAAAATAAATGCAACTCTATCACCTTTTGCTTCCTCCTGTGGCACTCTGTACAACTTATGACAATCCTTCTGCGCTTGCGAGGCGGCGCTTTGCCATTCGTCTCATGGCTCGCTTTGTCGTTATCCATATGGATAACATTCTCAGCCACGTCCACTTCGGCGGCCGACATGGCGATGATGAAGGACGTAAACGAATTCGAGGTTGAATTTGAGGGCAAGTTCGGGAATTACTACAAAATAATGCGACCCGATTGATAGCTGAGGGGTAATATTCTGTAGATAGATAGACGAATTGTGTTGGTTCTTGGCTGGCTGGTTGCCGCGGGAATTGCGCGGTGAGAAATCGTACTGTACAATCTTGTAGAAGGTCGTAAGGTAAGCAGGGCAAGGCAACACGAAGACTATTTCTATGTTTTTTTGCTAGAATGGATCGGCGCGGAGGTACCTGGGAGATATGGTAGTTATGGATATGGTAAGTATCACCTTATTCCATACAGTCCTCTACCTTGTACCTTCCTCTACTTGCCCAAGCAAAGGCAAGCATGAACCATACAAGGCACTACTGTCCCCTGTCGCTCTGACCTATATACATAGGTAGGTATACAAAACAGCTCTTCGTAGTAAAACCTAGGTTGTATTGTAGAAAGTGGCAACCCCACCATCTCTTCAATCAAGAAGCAATGAGTCGACAGTGATCAATGATAAACCTTGACGGTCTGTTAGCGCCAGCTACCGCGACAGCCTATAAATCACGGCTTTTCCCCGCTAACACCGTTGTATCCGAAGCTTATCTAATATCCATAAATTTAGCACCCTTAGCTAATCCTCACATGTCTTTCTATTCCTCCATATTAAACAATTTTCACCCGGCAAACTTTCATGCTACACGACTAAAGGGGAAAATCAAAAAGGCGTGGTCCAAGTGGATCTATTTAGTTCTAGTCCCCGGATTCTTAGTAGAGCCTCAGGAAAACTCGCATAAGCAGATAGCTAAGGGTTGAGGTTCATCACATCTTTCTATATTGGGAAACTTCGTCATGACCCGTGGGGGGAATAATAATGCCATAAACTTCCTACTCGTTGCCAATGGACCTCATTATATATCATATGTTGTGACTTGCTAACTTTCTTAAAGCCCTTCCAAAATCTTTTTTTGATCGGCCGGATTTCCGTAATGATAATTATCTTGTATAAAGCCGAACGAACTCCAGGCTCCGGGACGAAATATTTCATCCATGCTTGATATAGTTCCACGTGGCGCCAAACGCCTGTCTACTCTCATGATTGTTGCCCTATTCGGGTCTGATATGCCTTCCACGCTTTTCTTCGGTATTGTTCTGCCTCCACTTGCGGAGACGCCGCCTTGAGAATACCCCGTCCAACGATTACAATATCGCTACCACCTAGCCCAACGAGCTTGGAAGGGGTGTTGTACTGCTGACCGAGACCATCACCTGCGATATTCCCATCGTCCTCGTCTCCTTCGGGGGGCAATTGGCAGCCGGGTGTCATAGAAATAAAATCGTCCGCCTGTTCGCTGTTCAGCGTTTCCTGCGAGATAAAACCCATTACAAAGTCTTTATGCTCCCTGGCAGCTTCTACGCAGGCTTGCGTGTATTCCTTAGTTATGAGGTTCCCCGCACTCGACATCTGTGCCAGTATCAAGAGCCCTCGTTCCCATGGGGGCTCTTCAATCCCTGCGTATACAAGCTCGTCGCCCTCGGCAATACCGCTGGCAAAACGAGGCGAGTCTACCGGCTCGAAAGATTGTGTTAGGGTCGTGATGGATACAATGCTTCCTTTCCTGCCGTTATTATGCAAGTTTGACGGAGGTGGGAGTTCCTTCGATGACGGCAGAGGCGCAGGTGTAGGGTTTTCATCCTCTTCATCGAATGAGTCCGAGACCGGGGTACCGACGGAGACGGACGTTCTCACTTCATAGTTGACACGTGAACGCCACCGCGCGGCTGCTTGTTGGAGTGCAGTTACAGCTGCCTTTCCAGGGATCATGTTGACATTTACGATGTGTGCCCAATCTATAATGCGGGCGTTGCCAGCCGTATACTGTAACTGAACCGTGCTGCCAATGTCGCCAAATTTCCTGTCCTCGAAGATAAGGAAGCCATGCCTTCTCGCAAGGGCACCCAGCTTGGCACCCGTGCCTGTTTGCGGATGAAAATCCCATCCCGCGACGAGATCGTAATGCGTCTTGAGTACAACGATGGAAGGGCCAATTCTGTCTGCTATCGTGAGAAGTTCGCGGGCAGAGGTCACGTCGGCGCTGAGACATAGATTTGACTTCTTCAATTCCATGAGACGGAAGAGGTAATTGGCTAGTGGATGGGTGGCATTGTTGGCTCTTTCGGCGAAGCTCGCCTTGAACGTAGGGTGACGGTTTGAAGCTGCACACATAGCAAATCAATTGGTCGTGGTATTTGCTAATTTTTTTTTCACTTTTCGTTATTCGGCTCGTAAGCACGAGGCAGGACTAGAGGCGACAATTATGGGCTAGTATAGTTCCGGCGAACACGTTGACCCGGTCAGGCTCTACCGACAAGAGGGCTTAAGTAGGTATCGGGGGAAGCGATCGACGGTTGGTGAGAACCCTGGACGTTGTGGAGCTATATGATGTCAATTCACTTTGGGAGAGAGAAGGTACATCTAATTGAAGGGCAAAACGGAGAACAAGATAGATCGAGCTGCATAGAATTCTGCGGCCAGAAGCACTCTTGATATATATATTGGGCTAAATGGATCTCTCGATGTGAAACACAGTATATATGAGGACTTAGGTAAACAAGGTAAGGCAAAAATAACGGGTACTAGGTACGGATATGGGTCTGGGTACACGAAGGCAATGTCTTCGTGGAGAAACCGAACATACCTGAAAGCTGGAAACGCAGGGACGCAGGGACGGGACGCAAGGTTCGTCCTCTACTCAGTGGACCGCCCTCGTACTTTGAAAGCTGACCGACAATCTTGTGCATATGCTGTTCTCCTGTTAAGTCTTGAGAATCTTGAGAATCTTGGGGTCTTCGGGCCTATTTGTCTCCTAAGTGCGAATGTTTGCTTGCGAATCGGAAAAAAAGGTACGAGGGTTCGGGTCCGAATTAGACGAGGATCGGAAACGCCTATAGGTTCTCTTGGGTAGTCTTAGGAGGTATTCGCTAGAAGAAGCCAACGGTAGACTTGTTGATTTGGTCACTTGGGCACCAAGGGATGTTGTCCAGTCTCTAATCGAGTTGGGATGAAGCAAACGGACGATCGAAGAGAGGGGGCGGAAGCAGAAAAAGAAAAAAAACAGCTAGGTAGAGTTTTTGAGGGGAAGCGGGTTGCGGATGGCGTTGGCGTTGGCGGTCCAGGTTTCGGTTTATTTTTTCTCGATTCTAACTTACCTAAGTCTAATATTTAAATAACTAACGGCGTACCCGTACCTAAGCTAGACCAATCAAAGTCTCTCGGACTATATTAGTCTAAAACCGAAGACTTTCGGAGTCGAGTCCAGACTCGTTAGCTCGAATTGTTGGTTTGTCAATTATAGGAACAATCGTGCTATGTAATGACAGGTTCTAGGATCTGTAGGGTCTAGGGTGAAGGCGGTGGGGAGCCCGAGTAGTAAAGCTGGTAGATTGGTAGAGTAGCATGTAGAGTGACATGTAGAGTGGTGCCGGTGGACAGGTGGGAGTTTTTGATGCAAGTTAGCCCACCTGGACTGCCACTGTCTGTGTGGGATGGTATGATGGATGGTATTGTATGAAAGTGAAGTGAAAGGGAATGGAATTGATCAGGTCGGGTGTCACAGGAAAATGGGCGAATGATCAATTGTCCGTCGGTAAGGTACTTGCACCTTTGCACCTACTCTAGCTATTTAGGTAACTAGCCCATCCTGTGCCTTCCCTTGGTGAACCACAGCAGGCTCTTATTCGAAGAAGGTCCGAGGATGACACTGTCGGATTTGCCTTGATAAAGGAGGTACGTACATACGTATGTACGTAAGTACCTATGTACCTATATATGCACCGGGAGGTTTGCATTGTGCTAGTCGAAAAGGGTGGACCTTAAAAAGCAAAATGCCATATATGCATTGAAGTATAATATGGGATTTGCTAAAACTCGAATGCATCAAGTTGATTGCGGTAAATATTAAAGTATTATACATATTATACATACGCCTTAGGCAATGTGCAGGTAGCCACTGTTATAAATTGAAGTGCCGTCGCCCTTCATATGTGGAAGTGAGGGTCTTCTAATCTAAAAGGGTAAGCAAAATATAGAGCCCTGGCAGGCTGGGTCCATCTCCAATAGGTATGAGGCGCAAACGATGCGGCAGGCTGATGTACCCAGGTAGTCTGCTGACTGTTCCCCTCGCATCCTTCTTCCTCCAGATGCGGATTTGGCGAATCCTTTTTCTATTTCAAGCCGGCTCTAAAACGAACAAGGCCATTGGACTGGAATAGACTTATAATGGTCTAATCTTGAAAATGGTCTGGAACAACCTTCTTACACGCTACAACAACGCCGTCAGGATTTTGTTCGTAGGAAGGTCCACCTGCGTTGATAGTCTCATCTGAGATAGCGCACTCCTTTGGAACGATACCTGCTCCTCATATAGCTTCTTGTGTTTTCAGCCGGGGGCATTGCCGGCTGAGGCTTTGCCAAGGTAAATGTCGTGGATGTTACAAGATGCACAAAAAGGATTATCGTGATAAGCTGGAGAGTGTGCCGAACGACGCCATTTGTTGGAGTGTACCATGACTCAGAATAGCACATTCGGTCGGGCAAAACCAACCGTGCTCAACATTGATTTCTCAGGTATACAGCTTCTCATCAACATTGGCTGATATGCATGTTGTATGCATGGTATACAGCTGTAAGTGAACGATGGTGCCCAGTGATCTGAAAGGTGAAGCTGCTGACCGGGCTATGTCGTCCTGGTTGCTGCAGCTCTGAATTTCACCGAAATAATAGCAAGAGCCACGCGGCTTCATACCACCAAGGACCAAGGCATATCACCAAGGCAATTTATCTTGTACCTAGGTATGACGCAGTTCCGCAATGTTGGCTGTTTGATAACAGGTCGCATGTTGTGGGTTATAGAAGCAGGGGAGACTGATCCAAAGGTTGATGCTCATGTCTCGTGTGAATACTGAAAGGTGTCAAAGGTGAAGGTACGTAGTAAAGATATGAAGAGCGGCGAGCGGCAGACATGGGTAGGAAGAACAGGGCGTCGATCGTCCCGTCCCGAATTCGAATTCACGATAACGAAAACGCTAATATGAGTGGGGCATACTCTGATACTGCGCATAGGCCACATGCAGCCTTACCTAATCTTAAAAAGATAATTTGCGGGTCTAACAGCCCTGACAGCACTTAAACTTCCAATCAATCAATTTCACGGTCGACGCGATCCCCGGCAGCTGGCACCTACCAAAACCTAGGCAGTTTTCTCTCTCCATCCAATCCGCCCTTCCCGACCCAGCCGAAAGGGACCCTTATCAGAAGACAACGTTGGAACTTTAACTCCTCCCTCTTTGATTGTCTATCTAATACTTGACCTCTTTATCTGATACTGACTTAGTAGTATCTTACCTTCTACATACACGTTATTGACTTGGGAGCTCACTCGTCTAGCCCATCGTCTTCCACATTCTTTCATGGAGGGTTATCATACCACACCTATCTAAATATCACACCACGAAAAAAAGTCACCGAGTAACTTATTACGCCACTTGTGCATTTCAGCTGGGCGCTAACCTACGAGCATCTTCTCAGCCTTTTATCAACATATTAATAAATCCCTGGGATCAAATATCATCTACTCTCCCTTTTCCGCCCCTCGCCGCCTTTGAGAGTAGTCGTCATCATGTCTGAAAGAAGAACCAGGCGGCAGGCCGCTCTGGCAGCAGCCGCAGCCGCAAACGATACTCCTACCAAATCTAACAACCACGACGACGTCGCCCTAAACAGCGACGGTATAAGCAACGACGGGAATGGCCTGGCTGTTGCGCCTTCAGATTCTAAAGTTGATAACTCTCCGCGGGAGAACATATTCATATTTTGGCCCAACATCATAGGTATGCGCTTCTCCTGTCGATGCAAGGCTACATGCGCCACGGTTGCGCAGATCTTTGTTCCACACAACACACCTTGCACCTTGTAGATTGACTTAATCTAACAATGTAAACAATTAGGCTATTCTCGTATTGTTCTCGCTATTGCGTCTCTATACTACATGCCCCTACACCCTCGCACGTGCTCGCTACTGTACAGTGTCTCGTGTCTTCTCGATGCCCTCGATGGCTATGCCGCTCGCTATTTCGAGCAGTCGACCAAGTTTGGCGCCGTCCTAGACATGGTAACAGATCGGTGTACCACTTCGTGCTTGCTCGTCTTCTTGTCCTCCGCCTTCCCGCGATGGGCTATCGTGTTCCAGGGATTAATTTCCGTCGACTTTGCCAGTCATTATATACATATGTATGCGACGCTAGCTATGGGAGGTTCTGATTCCAGCCACAAGAACGTAGACAAGTCGAGGAGCTGGTTGTTGAACTTATACTATACCAATAAGGTTCGTCTCTATACTTGCTAAAAGAGCCCTATGCTTCCGGCTAATCGAATATTAGACTGTTCTCTTCATATGCTGCGCGCTCAACGAAGTCTTCTTTATTGCTTTATACCTCCTCTCCTTTTCATCGCCCCTTTTATCACCACAGTTACTCGAGCCCCTCGGTGAGACCAGGGCTAGCGCCATCCAAACTGGGGCGCAAGTTAACAGCTCAATGCTCCGCCAGCTGTTTACCAACCCTTACAGCGCTGGTGCTCTGGAGATGGCGCGCGCGAACAAGATGGATTCCACTTTCCCTTGGATTCTCGCCGGGGTTAGCGCCCCCGTCATGGCGCTGAAGCAATTCCTCAACGTCGTTCAGCTTGTCAAGGCATGTCGATGGCTAGCTGAAGGCGATGTCGATGCGAGAAAAAAGGCGGGTCTGCCAAGGAAGAAGAGTGAATAGAGCGACATTCACGAGACGGAGACGGAGACGCTCAAAGATGATGAGGGCTGGGGTGGCGGTGGATTAGGATCTCGGGATGAACCTGAAGACGATTAAAATACGGTGTGGGTCTGTACGAGATGTCCTGTTTACGGAAGGCGTGAGGTATCGGACGGTCCTGAACGGTTCGTCTTAACTGGTCGTATGAGCTCAGGCATGGGAGACGATTGGGTTTGGCCCAACAATGGGTGCGTGTGCCACCCTATCTAGGTAATCTAGGAGAGGCTAAACGTGGTGAACTAACGAGAATACCCGAGAGCCTTGAACACAGTCTTCGTTGTACATATGTAATCTTAATTATGAGGTGGGAGAGGACGGAATTACAGGGACGAAAGACAGACCATGTGCGCATTCCGATATCAATACCAAGAAGTTATAAGTCATAACAGTTCATTCGTGTGATCCAGTGCTAATAAGGTACCTACCTACCTAGTAGTTCGAACGATATATTATATCTGCGCCCCAATTCTTGACTACTGCAGTGCAACCCAAAGGGTTAAGATCTATCTTACCCGTTGCAGTGGTGGCGTTGGTAAGACTACCTCCGAGTTGTTGCCCCTATTTTGACTAGTACTTAGATGTTCAAAAATATCGATAATCAAAAAGCAAAAGTCAGCTCATGACGTGACACCTCCCCCTAACCCCTATTTTCCTCACAAAATTTTCACGCACCATACAGTGGAACATGAATCTGGACTTCAGATATTCCCGGCCCTCCTAATTATTTTTGCCTTGATGCAGCAGATGAAGTTCTCGTGAAAATACGTGGCATGATAAACCAGCGGACAAGTTTCATTCTGGCACCGAAACGCCACTTTTATTGTGTGCTTACCTTCACTTCGAAGATCAGCAGCCCATCCATAAACTGAAAATACAGATATCAGTCACATAATACATGTGCAATCAAGGTGACGTGTTGGCGCCCTAACTCCTATCCCCATAGTAGAAGCAGACCACCTATTTTGAGACTACATGCTATGCGCCTTCGCACCCAATACACCAACGCCACCAACTGCATACGTGCAGCGTATTAGTACGGATGAAAGAACAAGTGGCCTAATACTGTACCTACTCTCTAAATCAATCACTCGCATTAGAACAGACGCACCTGTCCGTCATGTTATGCAGACCTGACATCGGAGCTAAGGCTAGAATACCGACATCTGCAGAGAGGGTCGTACACATCACATCAAGTAACCTCTTACACATATATTCGTTTCCTGCACGAACAGATCCGGTTCTGCGGAAAGAGACGGCACGTCTTTCTCTAGGGTGCAGTGCCGAGACAACTAAACTCCCATGGACATTCTCCGCAACGGCACCGTCGATCATAATGATGAACTCCGATATCCAATATAAGCTTAAGACGTAGAAGTAATTGGCTCCTGTACGTATGTACCGATGCACTCCGCAAATCATTGCATATTGCCACTCCCAGATCCGTCCACCAGCCAGCCTCATCGAACACTTACATGTCTAAGCTCTCTTCACCGGTGTCAATTTTACCATTAATGGCGGCTTGTGCCACGCAATGTAGTTCTTCTGGTTCTCGAGCCAGTTGCTACATTCGGGCATCAGCTCGATGTCGAAGTTGTAAATGAGCTTGGCTAGGATCACGCGAGTCTCCATACGACCCATCGTGAGGCCGATGCAATTCAGCGGCCCCGCGCTGAACGGCTGCGGTGAATCCAGTCAGCATATTCTGGACTTGGCCTCTTATATTGTATTTCGGAAGAAATGGGGAAATGGAATCGAAGATCGAGCTTACCTGAAAAGTCTCCCTAGCATCTCCCGCGTATTTCTCATCGCCCAGCCAACGGTCGGGGACGAACTTTTTCGCATCCCTGAAATAGCTCTCTAAACGCCCGATAGCATGGTTATGGATACCAACCATGGAGCCTTCAGGTATGAAATAGCCATCCACGGTTAAACCTCCTGATGATACCTGCCGAGGATTAAATGACGTTGCAACCGGAGGCCAGACCCTCATGGATTCGTCGATTGCAGCCATGAGGTATGGCAGCTGAGAGACAGAAGCGGCTGCAATGTCCCGATCCGAGCCGAATGCAGCACGGATTTCATGCTTAGCTCGGGCCATCGTCTCCGGATGAGCGAGCAGGAGATATAGCGTACTCACAGAGGCCGTAGCTACAGTTTCTGATCCGGCCATCACCAACATCTGGGCATTGGCATACATCTGCTCCTTAGTGAGTGCTTCGCCTTCCTTGCTCTCGCTGGTAATGAATGACATATAGTCCGGATGGTCGGTCTTGCCAGCAGCCATCCTCTTGTCCACGAGATCCAGCGTAGTTCTCAGGTGACAAGAAGAGGCATCTGCGATTTTCTTCGGAACAAAGAACCTCTGATACATCCACAGGAGCCAGGGAGAGATGTCGTACAGGGCGTGTACATACACTCCTCCGACAAAGAAGTTCATGCTAATATTGATCCAGGGATGGTACTGCTCATTCTCGATACACTTGAATACGTCCTCTCCGAACACAAGGTCGCCCTGGATATCGAACGTTGCCCACATCACGTATCTCTCTACGTCGATGGGCTCTCCTCTTGCCGTGGCGTTTCTTAGTTTCTGGATCATCGAGTTGATATATCCCATCACTAGGGGTTCCTGTTCCCGAGAAGCTCTCTCTGAGAAGGCTGGGTTAAGTTGACGGCGTATTCGAGCATGTTCTTGTACATCAGCCTGGAACATACCTACCGCCCCAAAAGTATCCTTTAGTGGTGCGGTCCGGGTATCGCGAGTTAATGGACCCCCTTTTCCATAACGAGGGCCATAAACGTCCTTGAAAGCTGAAGGACTAGCACACGAGACTTCATCTGGGCTAACCCGAACTACGGTGCCATACTTCTCGTGCAGTTCGGCAAATGTATAAGGTATTCTACCCCGGTACCGTGACCAGCTTATGGGAAGATGCGACATGGCATAGAGCTTTGGGCCTGGTAAAGCAGCCAAGGGGTGGAAGAAGCCATTGTATATAGCCTTGGTGATTCCTAGTGTAGAGACCTTAGGTGAAGTTTAGTTCATACAACCTCATGCTCCGTACTCGGGTTGGTCTTACCAATACAACAGCGAATGCCAAGAACTCTTGTAGTGAGGTTTTTGCGAGGGGTTCTACAAAATGGACGAGTTTACTCGACATTTTGTGTTCCTTCTAGGTATTATTAGTGAAACTGAACCATGTTGCCATGAGGTCCATGGCTCTGACAACTGCAGCCAAGCAAGATCATAAATACTCGTCCGCCACCGTCCTTTCATAGCTACATTTCCGCAGCCAAGTATATCTCCGTTAGAGCGGGGTGATGTTGGTGACACATCACTCTCCGTGTTGATGGAGGGATGGCAACTGCGGTGATAGGCACAAAGCAAACTACCATGTGAGCTTGATGACAGTCGGGGTTAATGTAAATCTACCCAGTCATATTCGTTGATTAGATTCTGTCATACCGGCACTTGAAAGATATCAATCCTCGAGCATGATTGTGCAAGGGGATCAATAACGTTATACGCAATGATTCCTTCATGAAAATGTATCTTGGTCTATTGGTAGTGTAAGCGACGGCCTGGTATAAACACACCGAGAGCCGAAAGGATATGTCACCCCTCAAGAGGCTAGTGGAGCCGGTTGGTGTAACGTATTGTGATACCGCCCTGGTCATGTTTTTAATAAATGCTATCAGTAGATGAGTACCCGAATCTTAAAGGACTGGGTATTGTTCAATCTGTATGACACGAGGCTGGACTTGGGCCACAAAAGTCGAGGAGGGATAGCCGAAGTAAGCATGCCGGCAGTTATTAATGTCGTATTAGAAATATTTAACTGGATGATCGTGACATCTAGCGACGACCTGGTTCGTGGAATCCCCAAATCTTGGTCTGGAAGAGAGAAGTGTGGTGCGAATACTCGACAGGTAGACCACACTTCTGCGCTCTTGGGTTTCTCCCAGCGAGCGAAAAGTGACTTCACATTTAGCGTAGAAGCATTTGAGAATAAAAAAACTCGAATTTAAAGTTGAATTTCTGCTAGCTCTAAGACCGAAGTGTTAGCTTAGCGACTATGCCTTTCGTAAGTCTGAGGTAACAACTTAGAATGCGTCTTCATATGTCTGTAGGCATACGAAGAAAGCATCTAGGATTTTAACCCAAGTACTTAGAATATTCTTCCATGGATAGACCTACCTACCCAGGCCAAGACGTTAAGCAAAAGTTGTAACAATATGCTTTGGTCTAACTGGGTAGTGTATCCAAGCAAGCAAATCAAGATACGTAGATGATCCCCGCTCATAGAAGGTGTGGAGCGTACTGAAGTTGGTTGGAATCTTTTGCTGCTTTCGAGTCTTCGCCTCAGGGTGGTATTTTGCGAGTATTGGTAGCTGCTTTGAAGCAGGGTCCGAGCCTGCGAGGTGATTAATGCGCAACAGTACTACAGTGCCATCCTGATATTTAGATGTCGGTTCTGAGGCACCGGCTTCAACTCATATTTTGTAGAATCGTAGCCGTTTTCCCGGCTTGGCTTGATATTCAAATGACTGGCCTAGAATTGAGAAAGCCACCATATTTTCCACTTGGCGGAGAGCTGCCCATCCCGATTCCCGAGATTTTCATACCTCGGCCCCCGCGATATTAACGGTGTTGTCCTAATATAAAGCCGGGGGACTCGGGATGTGAAGCAAACAGTCGGCATGTCAATGAGCTTTTATTTTTTTTACTTTGATCTCTCGTGCCTAATGGATAAGTAGTGTATGAACATGAGATCAGACAGATGTTTCAGACATCCAATTTAATATTTTTATGGATTCTTCGCTCTTTTCTCTATCCGTATGGTGTAATTCTTCAAAACGTGCTGTTAGCGACGTGAAAGAACATGCTCCTAGAAGCACGGTCGATAGATGACTTTGACAATTCGGTCATGATTGACTCATGACTCGGTAGCATATCAAGGTGGGCCATAGTAGAGCAATGTCGAAAATTGAATCGGCAATGATAATGAAGTCGAATCCATCGAAGAGAGAAGATGCTCGCAACCAGGTTCAAAATGTGCAAAGGGTTAAATTATCAAGTCTCACTCTCCTTCTAGAAAGAACATTCAACCCTGCCAATTACAGGCCTCAGAGTTCCTAACCAATTAAGGGCTAGCGTATCCGACCCCACTACCAGGGAACCCTTAGCTTACCTAGCTCCCAGCTGGGTACCCCACATCCAAAATTCGACGTTCACGGTTTCGTCCATCGCTTCCTTCCAGCTACACCTCAACCAACAAGGGGTCATAAATTATCACAACCACCACCACCACCACCGCCGCCCACCGCCCAACATGTCGCACCCGCGCGTAGAAGAAGTCTCCGACAGCGACCTCTCGGACCCCAGCGAGGGCGACATCGAAGACTTCTTGGAATCCGACATCCTCCGGCAAAAAGCCCCGGCCTCCGAGCCCTCCCTCTTCCCCTCCTCCGGCCCATCCTCCGGCCCACGCATGCAACACCCGTCTGCCGCAGCGCCGCAGCAGCAACAGGTCCAACCAAGCGACATAAAAGACTACCAAATGCTCTACCCAGTCTACTTCGACAGCACGCGCTCGCGAGCCGAAGGCCGCCGCGTCTCCAAATCCCTCGCCGTGAAGAACCCGCTCGCGCGCGAGATAGCCGCGGCCTGCGCCGCGCTCCGCCTATCCCCCGTCTTCGAAGCGCACCGCGTGCACCCCAAAGACTGGGCGAACCCAGGACGGGTGCGCGTCAAGCTCTCCTCCTCCTCCACCTCCAAGTCCCCCTCTGCTCAAAAATCCCAACCGAACCCGTACGCCGCACAAGTAAAAAACAAACACCACCTCTACATCCTCATCGCAAAACACCTACAAGCGCACCCGACGACCGACAGCTCCGACGCCTTGCGCCGCGTCCGGGTCCCGGGTCTCGCGGTCCCCGACGACGACGAGCCGTGGCCTAGGCCGGCGGTGCCGCGGGGCTGGAAGATGGGGGAGTTGTTGCCTGCGTACAGCGCCGCGATGACGGGGGGCGGGGTGAGCGAGAACGCGTTCAAGGATATGATGAAGGAGATGCAAGGAGGAGGAGGAGGCCCCGGCGGCCCAGGTGGCGCCGATATGATGAGTATGCTCGGAGGTATGGGCGGAATGGGGGGTATGCCCGGGATGGGCGGAATGCCTGGGATGGGAGCTGGACCGAGCGAGGGTGGAGGGGGCGGCGGCGGTGGGAAGAAAGGGAAGAAGGGAAAAGGAAGGGCGTGAGGGTCGTCTAGGGGGGCTTTGATAATACGTATGTCTAAGAGATGGGATGAGGTACTACATACCATACCCTTCCATATAGAATAAAAGGGGTTGTGGTAAGAAGGAAAAATGACTGTCACGATGCACCTCGCATCTTCTAAAGACTTGCATCAAGTCTATGAATGACACCACCATCAACTTGCAAGATAGGATAATGGAATATCATGTCATTGTATCTCTTCATTCCTACCATACGCCACGTGATGATACACTGCAATGATGGACACGACGATACAACCCTCAGAAACGGAATGGGTATCTCACTGCCTCCTAATCTCCATCCTCCAACTTTCAAAATTCGTCCTTCCTTTTCCATGATTGTACACAATTAGTTACAAAAACCGGGGCTATATAGCCGGAGAAAGCTTCCCCTGCAGATTCCGCCACTCCCTCGACCCGAGAACCTGCACCTCCTTGCCGCCGCCACCACCAGGTATCACCTTACCGTCAGCGTCGGGAAGTCTGATCTGGAGTTTGGCCGCGGCCCTACGCATGCTCCTAGCTTTTTGGTCGGATTCTTGCTGCCTCTTCCGACCGGGTTCGGCGCCGAGTACCACCTTAGACTTTTGTACGATAGAAGCCTCCCAGTTCTTCCATGCCTCGTAATCTTCGTGCAACTTCGCTGAGTGGTATTGCGGCGTAGACTTCGCCGGACGCCACGCCTGCTTGTCCTTAGGCAAAGATCCTAGATCGAAGACCTTGGCAGATGTTGCCATCTTGAGCAGCTCGCTCAGCGCGTCTCTACTCTCAGCTGCCACAAGTTGTTTGCGTTGTTCCGCAACAGGTCTCGGTTTGACCAGAGGCTCAGCGAGCCAGTCGTGCCTAGCCTGCTCCGTGGTGCGCGCACGTCGGTTGTCTTCGCGCAGGTATCGGACTGCCTCCTGGAGACTGGCGATTTCGGCCTTGAGGGCATCCATCTCGCGGGCTGTGGCCACAGCACGCTCTTGGCCAGCCTTGGCCCCGGCGGCATTGTCGCCAGCCTCGTCGCCGAATGCCCTGCTGTCACCGGCGATCTTCTTCCACTTGTCGCGATCGGCCTCGAGTGTCTTGGCCTCACGATCCTGCTGCTCAATGTCTTTCTTGAGACTTGCTACTCTCTCTTGCGCATCTACGATCTGTGCTTCGAGATCTGCAATGCGGGACGCCTTGGTATTCGCATCACGCATGCGCGCTTCGAGTGTTTCAATACGAAGAGTTGCTGTGCTGAGGTTCTCGTCACGCAAGGCAATAGTGCGACGAGCCTCGTTATAATGTTCCTTGAGTTGTCGCAGCTCTTCTTCAGCATCGATCGGGATTGTCTTAAGAGCCTTGAGTTCTTGTGCGCGAAGAATCCATGGTGCCGGGCTACGTTCGAACTCTTGTGTCTGCGATAGGTCGGTGCAGACGGCTGCGAGGTCGGTGATCTGACCGGTAAGAACACGGAGTTTAGAGAGGTAAGTAGAGAAGAGGTCCGACTCGGCTGATGAGAAGGCAGTCATTACTGTACGGTGGACCGTACTCTGCACTTCAGGATATGTAAAGGGTTCCGGACGACCTTCCTCACTAAGCAGCGCATGAAGGTCGACGCCAATCTTACGAGACATCTCCGCGAGCTCTTGACTTGAGGTTTCGCACTGCTCGAATGCCTCAGCAGTATCGGGAGTAAGAGCTAAGGATCTCGCTCGGAGATCCTCCAGAGATCGTACCGCTTTGCTTATGATGACCTTAGCGCTACGGGTTTGGCTAATGACAGTCTCGGACTTCTTAGCGAAATGTTGTGCAAGCTCGTCTTCGTCGCCGTTTGGTGGTACGACCCTTTGTACCATATCCTTCACGACATTAAATGCAGTGGCGGCAGATTCTAAGTGGCTTTGCATCAAGATAGTCTTCATCTGCATTTCATCGGCGAAGCTCTCAAGTCCCTCTGAGATGTGCACCTCGCCTAGATGTGTCATGAGAGCGATAGTGCGTTGCAATTCGCTAGCACATTGCTTCTCCTTCAGCTCATCGCGGCGTAACCCATCGATCCAGCCATTCAGAGCTCTCTCGACCGGCTCCAGTTCATACAAAGCACCTTCGTACTTGGCAAATTCTTCTAGCGAGCAGTGGCTGATAGCATTGACGAAACGATCGCACATGGACGATACCCAACTGAGTTTGTCCAATGCGTCGCAGCCAGCGAACACATCGTCTTCGTGGCCAGGGTGCGCTTGTCCATTAATACGTTCCTTAACAAATCCATGGAGCAAGTTCGCCTTGAAAGCCAATCGGCTAAACCGTAGCAATGCCAGGACGGAGTCTTTGTCAGCATTGTAGCTCTCAGGCAAGAACAATTTGACGATCTGGAGGTGCTGTTGCGCTTCTTGGGCATCCATGCGCTGCAGCTCTAGATCGATAGTCTTGACTTGTGTCTTCGCAGCTGAAATCTGGAGCTTCTGGTTTAAGTCCATCATCGCTCTTGACTTGCTGTTGAGTTGTTCAGACTCAGCTTCGTTGACAGCATGAGAGGCGCGCATGTCTTCCAGGTCGGTCTGAAGATTTGTGACAAGCTCCCTGAATCGAGATAGTGTGTACTCCAAATCTGAAATAGTATCGTCCCTCTCGGCAGTTCTTCGAGCTTGTTCCGCAATGACGCTATCCTTGAGATCGATCTCCTCCTGCATTTCTTTCTCATTCTGGACGTGATTGACTTCAAGTTCATCGTTAATTTCCTTGAGCGCTTCGAGGTCATCAATCACGGCCTTCAATTCGTTGATGTGTTCGGATTGTTGTAATTTCTCGTAACTCAGTTGCTCGATCATAGTCTCTGCGCCCAAATTATCGTCGAGCTGTTGTCGGAGGTCTTCAGCGCGCGTCTCGGATTCCAGAAGTTTCTCTTTGGCGATCTGGTACTGCTCCTTAATAGCCTCAAAATCTGCGAGGTCCTTCTCCAGCGACTTGATTTGCGCCTTAGAATCTTCTTCCTGCTGCTGTGTGATATCCCGTAGCCTGATAAGAGCTTCACGTAGTCGCTCATTATGACGTTCCATTTGTAACCATCCTGCGCTCGCTCGTTCTTCGGGAGACATGCCCTGAGAGTATTCGGTATTCTCCTCGCGCAGAATTTCGACCTCAAGCTCTAGCTCTTCTGCTTTCTGCTTCAATGCCTCGAGTTCTGCCTTGTAGACTTCGGCGGTTTCTTCAGCCATTTCTCTATCCAACGTTGCTAGTTCCATAACGGAGTCATGCTCAGCCTGCAGGGTTTCGATCTGTTCTAGCCGTTCTTCGGCTTCCTTGAGCTGCTTGCGCAAAGCGACGTTTTCCTGCGCCGTCGTTTGATATTTGCCCTCAATCTTTTTATTAATCGTTTCGAACTTGTCGCGTTGTTCTTGAAGCCTTTCCATCTCTTTCATCTTCTCTCGATCTTCCAGTCGCTTACGCTCAAGGACTTTCAGCTTTGCTTTAAGGTCCTCGTTCTCTCTAGTAACTGCGTTAGAAGCACCTGGGCGACCACTGGGACCCGCGCTCCCGGGCGTTTTTGAGGGAGCCGCGCTACTCATTGCCGATTTCGAAGACGTCGCTGATCGACCTGCGGATGTGAGCCTTTCCAGAGCCCTCGTCCTAGATTGAACAGGACTACTCTGCTCGCCGTCACTCTTAAGAGGAGAACCTAAGCCAGATCTATTTCCACTTTCACCGCCGGATAACGAATCCCCTGATCTTACCCTTCCGGAAGTAGGACGGGCAGCGCCGCGACCAGCTACGGTAGAAACTCGACCACCAGCAGGCCTCGTAGCGCCACTTACAACTCTCCCCGAAGCGGAAGATGTTGAGGGTTGTCTCCTGGATCCAGATGAAGGTAGCGGAGGTGGGCCCATGGACGCTCGGCCTCCACCGAGTGAAGGGCGCGGTTTTGGACCAATGGAAGAAACGCGAGCATTCGATGGTGTGCCGGTTCTTGAGTTCGCGAGGCTAGATGCAGCGGTTCCAAGTTGCTTCGTAGGAGATTTAGTAGGAGACTGCTACGGTAAAGTTAGGATTGAAAAGGATAAGAATATAAAGCTAAGTTATACGTACTCTTCCAATACTAGAAGGTCGAGTTCTAGATACTGGGCTAGGGCTAGGAGCATTGAGGCTCATCCGCTTTGGCATACTAGGGTCGGTCACAGAACCTGATCGTCCTGGAGCTGTACTCGTACGAGAACTCCTTCGAATAGGGGCTGTTGACTTCGGCGGTGGTGGTGCAGCTTGTAACACCGTGACTGTCACAGGGCGAACAAACATTCCTCTTCCCGGTGAACAGTCGAAGTATCGTTCGCCTTGGACTGCTCCATCGTTCTTCCCGCTGTCATCTTCGAGCTCGACACCAACCCAATCACCCGCAGCAAAATGCGTCTGTCCGACATAGCGAACGGTGGCATTGCGGCCATCGCTAAGGCGAATTGACTGCCCAACTGCGATTTCCGACATATTGGGCAGTTAACCTGTAGGTTAGTACATTCCGGTTCAGAGTGTTGGGTGTTAACCGTGAAGTTAAATGGTGGACGACGGTGACGGATGACGGTGGTAGCTAGCTCTTTGTCTAAGTTTAAGTGTTTAAATGTTTAGGTGCACGCGTTTCCGAATTCGTAACGCGAATGTTGATTACCTAAGTACCTTTTATCGGGGTTATTGACATTACGAAAAATCAAATGTGGGGTTAGCTTTTACATGCATAACTGCATACAGTAAGTACACTTGTCAACGCCATAGGCCAATATGTACTTAGGTAGTACTGTATCCACTGTGTTATGCTTTGCATCCTCGTCACATGTCTCTAATATCAACTTCACTCCACATCGTCAAAAGCATTATTTGTCGATACCGAGCAATTCGGAATCCAAAATTCCTAAGAATCTACTAATCAAATTGCCAGCTCCCTCAGTACCTCCATAGACTTGCCTAGATGTCCAGTCTATGGAATAGCAATCCTCCACATCTTACCTTGAGACTCAATAACCCACTCCCCCCCTACTTCATGCTTCTAAGACGTCTCATTTTTATTGGCTTTGCAGAATCATGAAAAGAAAAAAGCCAAGTGATCTTATAAATTATGGGCTCTATGTAGGGTATGGTCCTTGCATTTACAACATATTTCATTGGTCTCCTTTCCTTCCGCGCTGTGATCCCTTTCCTCCGTACGTACAAGTGTAAAATATTCATCAGAAAAGCCATGCAGTATTCAACGAATTGAACTTGGATCCATACTCTATTTTCAACCGTCTTAATAGACAATGTCCGCTTCACCAGTTCTATGACCGCGTTGCAAAGCCAGCCTTGAAACTGCCGCTACGCACCCACTCGAGTATCTCGAAGCCGAGCCGTCGTTCTAGCTTCTCATCCACACCCTTGCCCTCCGCCATGCGTAGTACCATGACAGCCGAGTTGACGAACTCGACGCAGTTATTGCCTTGGATCTCTGCCGGCTCAGATGTCTTCTTGACATAGATCGTTAGGTCTGCTCCGATGATCCCGCGCCATAGCGTTGCTACCCACTGCCAATGGTCGTCCGCACGGTACGCATCGTTAACATGCAGTGAGCTGGCATATTTATCCGAAACAGTCAGACTATAGCCGTCTGATATAACCGCAACTGGTAATCTGAGATTGGGCTTTGATGACATATCTTCAGCCGGTTTATCGCCTTCTCCCATCTCGGTATCCGTCCCACTTATTGATGGTGCATAACTCGTCATGTACTTGATCAACTCTTCGGACGTCTTGTGCCACTTCAACATCCTGGCAACGTAAGTGGCTAACGGGCTCAGGAGCATTGATCGTTTCGGGGGGCTCTTTTCTGCTAGTTGCTGGCTCTCATTTCCGCTATTGTTATTCTTTCCTTCCGTGTCTCCTCCGCTCGGTTGTGTCTGGGTATCATCTGTCCAAGTCTTTACAGCGTATTCGCCTGAGACGGATAACGCCTTCTCCACCACGGAAGCCACCTCCTTTAGTATGGAGGGCGCCGCACCTTCGATGGCGATAAGAGGTCCTCGCGTTTCAAATATGGGTCCTCCGGGACCTGGTGGCTTTAGAGGAGGGCTAATCGAGCGCAGTATCTCAAGCTTCAATAAGAATGACCATCGTGGAGGTACCTGTTGTGGCTGTGGCTGTGGTTGTGGTTGTCTCGTAGGGACGTTGGCTCCATTAACAATCCCTAGGCCAGTGCCATGGGCAGATTGAGCAGCGGAAACTCCACGTGCTGATCCTGTCTCTGAGCTCATCGCGGGCGAGTTTGGAATCTGGGTCTGTAAGGGGGGTAATCTAAGTGATTCATCAAAGGCATTACTAGGACGGCTTGGCGTCTGAACAGGCTGGTATTGCATTGGAGGTCGTGGCGGAGGTTGCATATGAGGATGGTTGGCGTAATTAGGCTGATGGTATTGTACGCCCGGTCTAGGTAATGGGCCAGGTCCGTAACCAGCTGCTGACATGGGCGGGCCGGCTACCGACTGACGTTGAAAACGCGGGTCACGAGGGTCCGCCGAAATATAGCCCATAGGAGGTGATCCGGGCACAAATATGTTCGGCCCATTAAACCGGCGTCGTTTGGGGTCCATCGGTGCGGCCATTGGAGACATCATCGAGTAGTCCTCTTCAATGTTATGTAAATGCGGTTGCGTGAACCTACGATCATGATCAAGGGACATCGTGCTGGAAGCAGATCCTCGCCGGAGGTGATCCGTCTCAATCACTCGAGGATTTGGTGTTACATAAGGAGGCATATTCGGGGCCGGTCTCGCGATATCAGGCGTCGCTGCGCTAAAAGGGGTAGAGGGCGTTCTCGGAGTCGCGATGTAGCGGCCACCGCACTTAGGACAATGGCCGGGATCCTCGCCGGTCGCGGGCAAAGGCCTACTGCTAGCAGTCTTGCCTCCCCGACGGGGTTGGTATCTGTAATCAGGGTACTGGCGTTGGTGGCGGATCTTCTCCTCTTCGGCGAGCCTCTTCCAATTGTTTTTTATCTCTTCGGGCTGTTCTCTCCACTGCTCACCGATGAGCTTAGAAATCTCCGGGTTGGCGAGTCCCGGATGCCGGGCGGCGACTTGGCCTTGGTAGTGTTGCCGATAAAGGATGAACGCTGTTGAAAGGTTAGAAGCAAACACAAGATTTAGCCATACGCCTTTTTTTCTCTAGACCTAAACTAGGTTTACGACTTGTGCTCGTGCCGTTACGAGTTGGGGAATAAGACAAGAAAATTAGGTCTCGACCCTTTCATTTCCGCCCTTTGACTCCTTGATACAAACATAGTACGCCAGACAAAGAAATCTATGCCCGAGTTACCCGTCTCGGGATGGAAAGTAACTCCTACCGAAACCCTGCCGTGTTTATGAAGAGGAGGTGAATGTTAAAGAGACGGGAGAAAAGGCGGTGGGGATTATTTTCGGCTCAGAACAGAGTCCCAGACCCAAGTTCATCGAGTGGAGGTGCAAAGCTAAAAGCAGGAGAATAAACATTCTACATACCGTTTCGTGGCCTAGGAACCTTAGGTGCCTTGGTACAGAGGCATATCAACTCCCTTGGCCCTTCACTCGTATTCGATGTTGCTGTATTAGGAGTGTAGAGTCTAAGGTCTTGAATCCGAGGCTGGTTTGCCTCTTCGACGTCAATGGAGTATGCTCGTTTTCGGTGCGGTTTTGTAGTTTCTGTTGAATCATCGGGGGGATGTGTGCTTGATGCCGGTACGGGATTTGATCTCGGTGGTGCTGCCGTTGTTGCTGCTGATTCCTCTCTATCATCTCGACGACTCATTGCCATCGCGGCCTGCTGAGTCTTACTTCGTGTCGTGGGACTGGCCGTCGTTGTAGTTGATGTAGTCGGGAGAGACGACCGGTCATTTGGAGAAGTAGGGGAAGAAGATTCGCTGCTACTAGCTCCAGTCATGTTCTTCGCAAACGAGGAAAGGACCAAGCGAAGTGTGTCGGTGTGTGGGGAGGACAAGCAGTCCAAAGAGCGGAGTCCAATACGGCAACATACACGACAGTACACCTACAAAAGCCCTCAGGGGTCTAACGTCTGACATCCAAAGAAAAAAAGTGATGCCGAAAGACGGTGCCGACGATGATCTGATGAGCCAACTGCCTCTTGTGGTAAATGGGTATGTGGCTGTCGATTTGAAGAGACATGAGACATGAATAAATGACGCGGGCAACAACCAAGGGCTTGTTGAGATTGTTTTCTTTGTTGGTATACTTTCCATTCATAAGGACCTCTGCCAGGAGACAATGATCCTAGGAGGTGAAGGCAGCTGGTCAATGTCCTTATGCCCTAACAACCGCCGCCGCCACTATTGCTACCGTTTCTACTGCACACGCAATTACCAGACCTGCGTTGGCCATTATTAAGAAGGGTGTGTGGTCAACGCAGTTAATGGATGAGTAAAGTGAGGGAGTGGGTAATATCGAGAGGACAAGAGAAAAAGATAGGTCCCTTTTAGACTTGTGTCTCGGGAATATACTGAGAGGCCCAACCTGTTGCAGATTAGCCACGCATCTTTCTCACATACTCTCAACCTTACCTATCTTTTTTCATCCCCTTTTCTTTGTCCGGCGTTTGCGACAACTGGCCTTAACAACCACGCTACTGTTCGCAGTATGGCTGATAATAAGAAGCCAGCCATACTAAACAGCAGGACAAAAGTGACAGGTATACAAATAACAAAGTCCTTCCCAAGATCAATGATCAATAGTGATAGTGGCCTTGTCTACTAATATTAAAGGGAATTGGTGAGTTTTCCTCAGCTGCTTGACATAACAAACCCCTAGTCTAAGATGAGCCATACACGCATACACTAGGAATGCTCTCCCCATCCTCCGGCTGGAACGCAGAGAATGTATGCTGTCTCTCGCGAGCCCCCTCTATTCCTGTAACAACAAAGACAATGTCAACCGAAATTAGCTTAGGTACCGATCACGTGGACTCATATTCTTTTCATTATTCGAACCAAGTTTTTTCTGAAGAAAATTGGAAGTCGTTTTGCAATGTCTTAAGTCTCAGGGGTTGGTTGTGGCGATTTGGGAAGCAACCAACCAACCAGATTGTCTCTATTGAGAATAATGTGATCTCAACCAACATAACGTGCATACATTTGGGAACTCCGAAACCCCTCCGTAACAAACGTGATTTTCCTAACCCGATTTCCCTTTTATTATTTCGCTGTTTTCCGGGTGGCCGTGGCCTTGCGAAATTAGATTATTATGACGAGTCCGGTTCCGTGGTTTAAGGCTTCCCGTCTTCCAAGACATGACGCGTTTATTGGATAAACCCGCGTCCTGTCTCACCAGCCAACAAGTCGGCACTCCGTCTTGCGTCGAGGAAAAGTTCCTCGCATTCTGCAACGTCTTTGACATCAATTTGGCTGCGGCCGTTGACTCGAGCCAGAATGCTGGTTTTCTAATTAGTAAATAGTCATGTCAGATGTGATAGGAAATAAATACCTTGCAGGAGTCAACAACTGGAGACAGTATCGAAGACTAATGCGCACGCCATGCTCCGCAATCTTATCAATAGCGGCATCGGTAATTTGTACGCCTTCTGTTGTGGCTCTGATGCGTACGATTCTCTTGATTTCCTCGGCATCGTACGGAGTGGTGGGGATGATGAGAAGTCGGGCAAGGAAATCCGGAGGGATGCCGTGCGCAGCGATAACACCGTCCGTACCACGGATCGCGCACATACCTCGGTTTGAGGCAAGAACAACAATAGGCGAAATCGTAGTTTCTAGTGCTCGGTTGAGATACGTGAAGCACTCGATATCAAGCATGTGCGCCTATAATTAGTTAGTTACCAACCATAGTATCCGTAAAGTGCGTGTGAAGTACCTCATCGATGAATAAAACACCAGGGACAAGCTCGGCCACACCCTGGTCAATGTATTTGCTGACAACTTTGTTGATCTCTCCTCGTAATTTGTCGGTGATCTCTGTCATCTTGGGCTTCATAAGTTGGCCCATCATGCTCATGATATCCTGGCCACCTTGCGGTCTAGCATTGGCGACGTCAAGGTCGTGAAGTGTAACATCTTGCACTATCTCCTTCTTCTTGTGGACATCGCCTTTGGGAATAGGAACGTACTCTTCCGCCTCAAGGTCGAACTCTGTAGCATAAGCGTCTGATCGCCCGACTCGCTTGCAGGCGCCTGTGTTTGCTTCGATATAGACGACATCTCCGACCGTAACCCGCTCTTTTTGGATGGCCTCATATATGCTTGGGTCCAGCCTCAGCTTCTTCTGGCCTCTTGCGCTCTTCAGTCCTATTAGCAGTGTGCTGATAGTCTTGCCATATCCGCCCAGCGGGTTCTCCGCCTCCTCCGGAGTAAGCTCTGTAACTTCACCCTCGTAAACCTCCTTCGTCTCGCGCACTTTCAGACCGATCGCTCTTCGGAAGTTCTCCATCAATACTTCGGTCTTCTTCACTTCGGTTGAGTAGATCTCGCTGCCGACGATAGGGCAGAACGGAATCTTTGTGCCGAGTTCGTGGCTAAGCGCAAGCGCAAGCGCAGTCTTTCCAGTTCCGGGACCACCAGCAAGCAATACACCTCGACCAGCCATCTTCTGAGCACGGATAAGGTCGACAACGACACCAGCAGCCTACACCAGACAAAAAATGCATGTCAGCCTTGCAAAGTAAAAGACAAATGATGTTAGAACGTACCTCACGAGCCTGCTGCTGGCCTACGAAGCCACCGGCCTGTTTCTCAGCTGTGCCATCGGACTTGAGGCCCAGGCCCTTAATGTGCGTGTGGGCAGCGGTGCGATTTTCGCGATTGTTGCCCTTGACCTCACTAATTTGCACCATCTTGTCGTAGGGATAGTTGTGCCGCTGAATACCTTAAAAATAGAGGTTCGGGGAAGAATTAGGAGACTTTGCGACCGTTCTAGTAGTTTATGGCAAAAGTCTCGTGATTGAAGAAAGTCATGAACGGACCGAAATGAGGCGGAGGGAGGTGGAAATTGAATGTTGGTATCGCATCAGAAAATATGAACTTATCAGAATTAAGAGAGCTTGGATTGGAAGTTGGAGCTCTGAAGTCGCGAAACTTTTCTGGGTCGCGACTACACAGACAGTATCCAGACTGTGTACGATTACTGTATGAGCATAGCTTTGATAAGGAAGCCACAGCTCCAGCATAAGGTTACGTAATCTCCAGTGTCGATTTATTATGACCTTGGACTCCCTCGATCTCCAATTCTACAGTCATTATAATTCATAAACTGTTGTATACCTGCGCTTGCAAATCCTCAGTCCTGTTCATCTATCAGAGATCAAATCTATCATACCCTTCAAGTGTATGTATGCACCATTATCGCATATCTATAGCCGTCTAAGCAAAACACCCTCTTCTTCGTCTGCATCCGTCTCATCGTCAATCGTGAACACGCTCTCGTTATCTCCAGGAACCACAACAGGTACAATTCCTATCTCCATATCCCCGCTGTCGCTTTTCTTCTCTTCCCTCTTCGTGAGAGCAACCCAAAGCGCGCTACCAACAATAAGCCCACATCCCGTAAGACTTATCCAACCCATTGTATGTCCAAACACCCAACGGTCAAACCCTGCTGCGAAGAGCATATGCGTATACATCATTGCAGTGGCACGGTTGCTCTTCTCGATAGCTAAACCGGCTGTCATGAGCATCTGCATTATTAACCCACTAGCCCCGACAACAATGAGGAGAGCCCATCTCCGTATGGTATGTGGCAGTTCAAGGCGTAGCGCAGGCTGCTCGTAATCGAGAGCAGGGGCTACTGAAAGGACGGTGGTCGTTACAATTACACACCATGTACCGAAGTAGTTGACCGATACCAGAGGATGGGCCCGCTTCCCGATACATCTAAGCGACGTAATAGCTCCAGCCGCCCCGAGAACGCCAAGTAACGCGAAGCCGATGGCTTTCAGGCGCTCGGCACTTGTTGAGATATGTTCTCCGCCAGGGTAAGAGATTGCTTCTGCTGTGGCATTAAAAACGGCTTCTGCCGTTATAACGCTCGGAGCGTCTTGTGAGGAAGAAGCCCCGGAAAAGAGGGATAACGGCCGGGTGATAAGCACCACTCCTCCCAGAGCTATAAACGACGCAAGTTGCTCCCTCCGCGTGAAGGTGTCATGGATCAATATATGACACATGTAACCAGCGATATTAGGTGCCAGGAAGCTGATGACGGTTGCTTCAGCTAACGGTATGTACTTGACGGAGTACCACATACCGTATATGCCGAAGAAACCGGTGAAGCCTCTCAATACCAGCAACCACCTGACATCTTTTGGCCCCAATATTCCATGTGGGATCCTCTTCCGCCATATGTATAGGGAGGAGAATATGGTCGTCATCACCTGCCTTACGAAAAGCAATTGTATGGGATGCATAGGTTTTTCATCAACCTCGAGCATGCGGGCAGCGAGGTTCATCAATGCTCCGAAGAACTGTGCCGTGAACATCAACAGCGGTGCTTTGTTATTCTTCCATGTTGACCTGAACCATCCTCCAAGCCCTGGATCGTGCGCCCTCGGGGGTTTCAGGGGAGGTCTGGGCGACGGGCCTCTTGAACCGACCGGAACGGCCAATTCATCTGAAGAGAGCGAATCTGGATCAATATCTACAACGGTAGAAACTTCCGACTCGAACGTATTCTTCTTATCGGATTTATCGATCGCAGTAGGGAGGTAGGGGGGAATGGTTCCATCTTCATCGTTATCGAAGACGTATTTAGTCTCGGTAGTAGACACAGAAGGCGGCATTGTCATTGATGACTTAGAGGCGCTCAAACTAGTCTCAGCCGTATGAGCTCCATACACAGCCACGAAAATTCGAGATGCAACGATACAAACAGAGCATGAGACAGATTCACGGTATAGTATATCTTTAATTTCTCTACTAAGAGGGTTTCTAAGTAGACTATTCAATGTGAAAGAAGATAAAGCAACCCACATCGGCCAAAGCTGGACCTCTCATAAGCGGGGGAATGGCAAACAATTATTAATAACAATAATTTTGCTTTGCTCCTTTGGACCATACCCGATCCCATGCAACCACAACCTACAGAAGTAGCCTGATGCCGCCGAAAGCTTGTGTGGGGACTAACCGACTTTTCCGTGAACGGGATACGACAGTTTCATCGAAAGTGGAAAGACTAAATATGCATCTCGAAGAACAGGCGCTATCGAAGACCCAAAAGTCCGTCTTGCGGCTGTCGGGAGACCTAAAGAGGATCTTCTGTCACAGTTGGATATGCAGGCCGAGGGTATGGTCACCTTTGTCCACCCCGATGTCGCGGAACTGTCAACGAATCGGTGGCTACCCCGCGTGGTCCGCAAAGCCGAAATAGTAATCGCGCCATCCGGGGTTGTAGGTCTAGGGACGATCGCTGGGTCGGTAAGGTTGCAAGATTTTCAAGGCCCGATGCAACGAAATGTCAATTAACCCAATCGTCTCAACAAACGACGAGGGTAAATGCCGAAAGTTTGAATAGAAACATGACGGATCTCCATACTATTAAACGTTAAAGGGACAGCTGACTTGAAGCAGATTATCACCTAGTCGGTTAGCTCAGGAACAAGTTCAAGAACATGCTTTGGGGAGTAGGCATAATCTCGCTCGCTAAATCTACCCCATTGTCACTGGCTACGTTTGACTCTTCGACTATAAGGTTGCAAGCGGGTTCGGCTATATCAAGGTAAATCCGATATATTCTTCCAGCTCATCCAAAGCATTGCCGAGTGTTAATATATTCAATCTGTTGGAGGCGTCCCTAAACGGGAATACGAGGGAAATGCTCGATTCAATCAATCGATATGCAAGGGACCCGACATCCCACCGATTATTGAACCGATCTTGTTGCATTATGTAAGTAAATAGAGTTATCTTTGAGTACCTATCTAGACTGCCATTACATCTTCTGAGGAGGCTTATGCTAGAGCTATCGTAGAAATACATTTAATTGGAATGACATTATTAGCTTCTAGTCTTCATTGAATATCCAAAGAAATCAGCATTATGCTAAGTTAGATAATAGACACTATTGCGTTTACTACATATAAATATATGAAGGTGATAAATATCAAGTGACACTACGAGTAGGGAGTCCTTCATATAGCCTCTAAGGGCCGGATTAGAAGGATGTGCTGGTTTTATTCTGTATCTTTGTCCAGTCTAATGTACTTTCATATTATCTATAGCATTGAGAAGTAGGTACTGCAGTTTATTGAAAGCCATCAATTCTAAGATTTAACGCTGCCGTGCCCCTATTCCCAGTCCAGCGCGTTGAAGTGATCGAGGCCACCGATCAGAGTCAGAGACGCGATTTAAATTCCTTGTCGAAACGCATTATATCAACTGTGAAAAATGTTGGCGAAGAAGAAATTTAAAAGAGGGAGAAAAACTGGGTGGTATGCTCGAACCGACAAACTCCAAAATGTATCGCGACACCAGAACACCAAGGCACAAAAAGGAGTCAAAAAAAACTTTTAAAGGCCCAGCCCGAGGTATTATTTATCGGCTCCTCGGCTACTGCGCCCCCGCTATTGGGTATTTCTTTGCCACTCCATTTCAGGCCCCAGAGATTCCATAGTACTGATAGTACTGTATTCTTTCTTCTTCTATTTTTTTTCCTTTTTTTTTTTTTTTTTTTTTTTTGTAAATGGTAATCCTGAGAGTCGAACCCTGGACCACCCCATTTCAGGGGGGTCTTTTATGGGGGTAAGACGAGGTGTCTGAGGCACTAACCAACTAGACCATTGCCAGCAAGGCCGTTGATCTGAATGCCGCCGATGGAAAATTGTCACTGTATTGGGCTATTTAAGCTTTGTCCCGGGAAGGGTGTGACTCCTGCTGCTGCCTGGGCTGCTTGACAGTGCAAGCTTTGGCCACCAGAAGCTACGACAGTGACGGAGGATACGCGGTAGGTACGCGTCGAGATAGTTCCGGTCAGGTGGTCTAGGTGTTCATGTACGTGACTGTATCGCTAAACTACACTGTGACTCGCACTCAGTCCACGTACTATCTAAAGAACCCCTATTTCCTGGACCTCATATCCCCATATCCTAAATCCCACATCCCATCCCATACACCCAACCCCTAATCAGCTACCTAATCAGACCAACTCGCAATCGCCGTCCCATTCAGGGGCACGCAAAGCCCGACTACCGTCCCGAAAGGCACCGCCCTGCCTTTGCAATCTGCTTCCGTCCACCCCGTCAAAGTGAGCTCCTTCGGCCGCTCATTGTAATCCACGCGCGCCGACCCGGCGCCCGGGATCGCGAAGTTCTGGCACGAACCCCGGCTGTACAGGAACGACTTGAAGGCGCCGGTTCTGTTGCAGTTGGCGTTTGTAGTGAAGAGTTCCGCGGAGAAGATGGCCGAGTGGTCGGGTACCAGAGTTGAGGTTGCGCTTGCGGTTGTGGCTGCGGCTGCGAAGGAGGTGAAGATGGGGATGAAGAGAGCGACGGAGGGATGCATCTCAACTATTGGTTGTTGGTGCTGATTAAGTAGTTGATGTTGTTGCTCGAGATGCGAAACTGATGCCAGAGTCGGAACTCGGGTTGTCTGATAGAGAAGGGAGGTGACAGTATAGATGTTGACTTGAAGTATTGAGATAGCTACATTACGGCCGCAGAGAACTCCTGATTTATAAGATTTATAAGACTAGTACGGATGTCTTTCCTAGAAGAGGGCATACTACCCAAATAAATCTAGGTCATGGCAAGGTTATACAAGTCAGTCTCGGTCAAACCGTCCTGTCTTAGCCAGACTGAAGACAAGTCGCAAGCAACTCGACTTGGGGCTTTTATTAAAGGCCTAGAATCCCATTGTTTAACATCGTTGATTTCTGGTAGAAAGAACTAAGACAAAAGTTCCCTGCTTCGAAGGGGTGTTTTGTGTTCCTACAGTCAGCATTCAAAGCAACATTCTACCTTCTAGATACGGTTTGCCCCAGAGCCAAGGCCAGACAAGCTCATGGTTCACAATCCTTCATCTCGACGGGTGAGGCCATTTGTTTGATCCTCGGGCCGCTTCCCCATCTCGATCTTAGCCTTACACGATAGATACTGCTGATCAAATAAGCAAAGGGGCACGCAAAGAGAGCATTCAGGCTACGTAACACCATATAGCTTGACAGAAAGGAGTTAATTTCAATTGCAAGTGTATCAATCTCAAAGAATAAGAGTCCAACCTGAACCATCGTGACTCTGGAACGCCACCTGGTATTCCGTTCCCATAACGCCTCTGCTATGCATGCAAATCTGTGGTTTCGTCATCGTCGCAGTTTGCGATAGACCACCCCGTCGTGTCCCAATAGCAACAGCAAGCACAACCTCTCTCAAATCCCTCAACGGCCTTCTCACTTTGCCGCCCTCTTCCTCTTCTTCCCACCCGTACCCTTGGACGAAGTATCGCGCGTAACAACCAGATCCTCATCCGCCTCATCCAAACCCAGCAGCTCATCTTCCGCCGCATCTTTACGGGCGGCGCCGTCCTTCGCGGCGTGCTCCTTGGCGATGTCGTCGTCGTTCTGGTTGAAGGTGCGGCGCGCGTCCTTGATCTCCTGGCGCTTCTCGATCATGGCCTTGACGCGGCCGAGGTACTGCGGGCTGCGGCGCAGCGCGAACTCGAAGTCGTCGAACTTGAGCTTCTGCCGGCCCGCCACCTGAGCGTGCCGGCTCGCCTCGAAGCACACGCCCTCCAGGAACTCCGTCACGATCTCGTCCAGCACGCGAACCGTCTCTTGAAGCGGTTCCTTCACGTCGCCGTACGCGTATAGGAGTTGACCAACTAAGGGCAGACGGGTATTGTTAGGTTTGTTTATTTGAGGTTGGGTTGGTTTCTAGGGCTATGAGATGGGATGGGATGGAATGGAGTGCGCGTACTCTCTTTGGGACTGAAGGTCTCTTTGCCGACATTCTTGCCGGCGCGAGCTCGAGGCTCCATGGCGAACGGTGAACGCGGATGGTTTTTATTGATTTAATAGTGTCGCTGTGATTAATTGACTCGTATCGAATATATCAGTTCCGATATATGTGAAGATTATGGCGCACTCGATTTCGAAATACGATTGTGGCAGTCGAAGTCGACGTTGAAGTTTGACCGAGAATGTGAGGTGAAGATGTAAGGCTGAAGAAGTCGCAACTCTGACCTCGAGGTTTGGTTCTAGCTAGTGGGGTTGGTTTAGTGTAGAACACCCCGGTCTGTGTAACGTCTTAGCTGGAATTTAGCTTGCCGTACCCACTCCGTACCCCTGCTTTTCACGTGCGGGTTATCATCGGAGAAATCATTCTTACGTAACTAGGTAAATCTGGCGACAGTTGAATCAACATTCGAGTGACGCATCTCGTAGCTTGACAACCTCACATATCTACATAAATCGATTCAAGGTCACTCCACTTTCGCGTATTTGACACAGGCATCCTTCTCTTAATAGCAGATAAAAGTCGCCAAGATGGTAGATCCAGCCCCAAGCTAACCTATTCACTACGTTCGGGTCGATAGCTAATAGTCAATCATAGTCTGCGCTATTCAACTTCCAATCCCTCCTGCTCGTCATCCTCCTCCTTATCTGCACATGCGCCTACGTACACCAGATATTCCCGACGATTTTGGACAAAAATAAGCAAGGGTAGGTCGTCTACCGCCCAAATGATATAATGATTATACTGCGACGAAGACTAAACGTAAGAATTACAGTTTTATGGGCATCTTCTGGAAGGCGGCTAGAGTAGGGGAGAGGCTAAGTCCATATATAAGTTTATGCTGCGTTTTCATGGCGGTAAGGGAGACATCATAGATCATATCTCTTTATACACTCCCTGAACCTGGCTAATGGCGACTAGGTCTCGATGGTGGTTGGCAACTAGATCGATTGATTGCCTTTCAAGTGTTTCGCATAAGCCTAATGGAGTTCGGTTCGATTCATGGAGTAAAAGGGGCAACGAGGAACTGGGTGAGGCAAGCGCGGTAATACATTGTGAATAAAAGGGATACCTACCTTTCATACGATAATGATTCCGACTATATATCTGTCGAGTCACTCACGAGCATCCATCGGTTCTGCAACGGCAAACAATCAGTCTGTCCACGTCTCGTCATTCCGCGCCAATGGTTGATCCTGTCATGGTATGTTTGTGTGGCATCAGTTGTGTACCCCCTATCGTCAAATGGCATACTACAAGCGAAGATGGCTGGTGTACAAGTTTACCTAGCCGATCCGATGGACTCGGCCATTAGGTTCATTTAGCCCGGCCATGTACCGAATGAGGTTTCTAGGTGGTGAAGATTACGACGGCAGCATCAAGGATACCCACCAATATGTCAGGGCTAGTCATCGCCCATCCATCTATAATTGCAAAGTTGATAGAAATATCCATTACTTTCCTCCTAGACTTACATGACTAGGTGGCAAACCCCCTATTTCTAAATCCCGAAAGCACGCTCCTCCTACATAGCTCCTGTCAGCTTTAATCCGAGCACTACAGATTGCTTGGGCCGGTGAAAATTTCTATTTGACTTTGGGTAGCATTTCTCCTTTCTTTCTTCCTTTACGGAAGTGACTATCGTTTCTTTCCCCTGAGAGAAGTGTCGTGTTACACTACATTTTTCAAACTTTGCCATTATTTATACAATACTGCTTACCTCATACAACCATCTCCACAACTAAAAGGCGCATTTTATGTCCATGGCCACCCTTACATAGGTTATAGGGGGGCGTTGAATGTATTATATTAGAGGCAATCCCAGTCCATAGTCGTGATAGTATTGGTGGTTGTGTACGGCAGTTCTGAGAATTTGCATATGAAGACACCCAATCGATATGGGTGGGGTGGCATTCATAGGATTGATGGCGAATTGTTTTTGGCCATAGTTAAGTATCATACTAAAAAGAGGCTTGCATGTCTTACTCATGCTATAACTTATATAATGCTGCAATTGTCATTAAAGTCATGTTGTGTTTAACTAGGACTTGGTGATAACTAATATTATGCACGTGGCTGATCTGTCCTGATTGGACTCCCGAACAAGAGGATATTCAGACAAGATTTTGTCGATGGCTGACTGATCTTAGACAGTATACGGTGGTAAATATGTGATGAAGATGTGGCCAAGGCGTGACGACGATATGCTGACGGCAGCTCTTGAAATATTCTTACACCCTCAGCCTTGTATTAACTGCATGTCAGATTACGGTTTTACCACCTTATGGAGATCGACTTTTTGTCTTTGCGACTGAGCAAACCCCTATTCCCGGGCACCGGGGAACAGGCGCATAATTAATAGATGCAAACACGGGGTTGTACTCGATCCTTCGGCCTGTCTCCGGCTCTGTTGGAGGATGACTTGCATATGGCTATAGACTTGTGACGTCGCACTACCTTGGAAATATATGTATTTACCTGAAAAGGGGGATGTTATGTCGTGCTGTCTTGAGTTACAGTGGGCTGCGGAGGAAATTGAAATTGGTCTATCATGCAAATTGATATGAACATGTTCATAGACAATTGCGGTAGCGCCTCGATAGTTTTAGGCGTGATGCATTTACTAGATGCACTATATCGAAACTAAGACATCAACAACTTCGAAAGCGGAGAGCATAAAATTATTGAGATTCTAAAATCTTCGACGTCATGATTAAGCATCTAAAAGAAAAGATGTTAGATTCTGGGGAGTGGATATGTCCGATTTCGAATAGCTGGGAGCGTCTAATACGGATCTAGATAATGGAGGCGGAGATCGTCATTCTCTATTTAAATGGTGGACGGCGATGTGGACGTTCTTAGTTAATCTGTTAGATGAGTAATAAGCAGATTCCCGAGGGCGTTACGGGATGCGAAGCAAGTGTCATTGCCTATCCGGCAATTACGCCGCATCGTAAGCGGGAGCCAGCAGAGCTTAGTGGCGTCTCATCCGCGCCCGCTCCGTTAGCTCCTCCATCTTACCATCTGTCAACTTGGCCTAGAAAACTTCCTAGGTAGGCAGTCCGGAGGAAGGCCCTTCGAAGGAGTCGGTATAGCCGTATCAGCCGCGGTTCTATGTTTTTGCACGGGATTGTCCGAGCAGGAGAGGGTTACTTAGTAGTAGTTACTAGTAAGCTATCCTGAGTCCCTGACTCGCAGACTCGTACGAGGTTCTTGCCATTCACGACTAGTAGTAAGTTGGTAGTTAGCGAATGGGTTAGGGGAGACTTCAGACTCGAACTCTACATGTAATCATGTAGCCATGTAGTCTCCTGGCGAGCTGCAGACTCAATTGATACATCGTCCCCGAGGGCGACAGTTTCAAGACCTTAGTTAGGTACATCGTGCCTCTGATGTTATCGTGCAACTGCTGATGTCGCGGTAACACCAGAGTAGCAAACATGTTACATGCCAGGAACGAAAACTTGACAGGCCAGGTTTCAACGAATAAGATGACACGATAGGGCTCTTGACTTTCCTATGTTGGCCATATGTTCGTAACCGCGCCAACCCGTAAGATCAATCTAGTAAACGGACAGGTCAGTTTGATTTACTACTAATGCTGGAGCGGCTGTCAAGCTGTAAAGTTGCTTTTGGCCATGACTCAAAGAGTCAAGACAACCCCAACACAGCGGTGCGGACGAGGCGGACGCGGCGTTCCAGCTTCTCGGAAGGTGAAGCTGGGTATCCGCAAAGGATGGTGTGGATGTGCTATGGCGGTTATTCTTTTTCTTTTCGTTTCACTCGAGTCTTATCACAGGTCGGTGGCATCTTTAAGGTACGATTCCTGGGTAAGCGGCATGGCGCCGGCGCTGGTAGGCTAGTTGCGTGCGTTTCCAGCAAGCCCGCGCTGCTCGGTACGGAGTAACAATCCTACTTCGATCCAGGGGTACTAGCTAGTACCCTAGTGGCTGCAGATGTCTTGTATTCTTCCGCGATAGTCGCTGCAAGGAGACACCTTTAACTGCTTGAATTCCAGTATCTCCAAGTATCAGAGACCGCTACCTCGTTTCCACTCATTTAGACCGCCGATTCCAGCCCCGTTAGCGGGCGCAAAAGCTGCAGAAGCCGCTCGCCTCACTTTTTCTTAAGCATCCGTATTGAAAATTAATATCGAACGCATGGCCATCCACGCAACAGGTTGAATCGTGAAGGAGCAGAATGTCCCAAACACTCCCAAAATGTCCCAATTGCAACCAACTGGCATTACCCGCCAGAAAGGAAACTGGGACAACATTTCATCCATCCATCTCATACATATTAGTACACCGCTAGGTACATCCTATCAGCTTAGGTGAATCGGAAGTCAACACATTCCTTCCCGGGCCATATGTAGTTCACACCATGATCGTCGTCAGACTCGTGGCAATCTCATGGTCGTTCCTTTGAACTCCAGTCGCTCTCCTCACTCCTCATCCAACGCCCAACGCCTAACATTGAAGGTTTCCGGCCGAAGCACCGCCTTAGGTCTTAAGTATTGCTTATTGCCCTGCTACATATACATATACATATACATATGCCTACTACCTACATATCCGAAAACATGCCCACTAGGTGACTAGTAGCAGCCCATATTATCACCGGCCATCTTGACTCTAGGCTCAATGTTGGGTTGAACCGTACAGCCATGGCACTCACCGACAGGTGCATTGCTTCTACCGCTGCCGCTGCCGCCGCTACACACCACGACTGGTCATCTGGGCGACAGGTCATCAAAACACCTACTGCATTGTCTGGGGATGCCCATCGTGGTATTCGTATTTTGTTAGTTACCAGGCATTTTCCCACATATCCGAGAAATGACAGGGTGTGATTTGCAAAAAAAATAAGAATCGATGGTTGGGCGAGAATCTCCCACATTTACCACGTCTACCACATCGTCCACCTCGTCTGCTTCATCCCTACACCATCACCATCACCACACACCACAAATTACTATAATACCAATGGATCCGTCCAAGAGGTTTGCGCATCCGCTGCATCGATCTGGCTGTGTCCGGTAAAATTCATTGACGAGATCTGATACGGCGACACATTTAGACGTCGAGTGATACCAAGATCAGTGATCCGTCCAGGTTAAAATATTGATATATGTCGTTAGGATGAAGATGAAATAGGCATGAACATTTCGTACGGGAAGTACCTAGCGTTCATGGTTAATGACGAATACCTAGGTACAAGCTGGGTAGCGGCTGGGTTGTAGCTGGGTACGGTAGTAGCACTTGAGATATTGGAATTAGGTTATGCAATTGACCATGCAGGGACGGATTATTACGATTATGATTCCTGAAAGGGTATTGGCTTGTTTCGTTTCGCAAATTGGACCTTCCACGGGGGACCTGGACGGAGCCAGATTAGTCCCGGACTTGACCCAAATCAATGGAACGCAGGTCCAACCCTTTGAAGCCGCAAAGCCTTAAGAGAAACCGCGCTAGCGAAAGGTAACAAGGTAACGAAGTACCTACGTACCTATATAACTGAAAGCAGCACGAGCAGCACGAGCAGGACAAGGTAACTGCCATCCAAGTGTCTGCAATGCTGCAGCTAGTGAAAAACTCGCCTAATCTTAGGGCGACACCCCCCTGAGTAGCCTGAGCCACTATCTCTGCCACTTTCCAATTCCCTGGTCTAAGGGATTGGGGATTGGGGATTGGAGATTAGAATTTAGGGGAATTTATCCCCTGAGCGAAACCAGTCGAAACGAGATTTTCTCTTCTTCTTCTCCTTCTTTTGCCTGTTCCATCCAAAAATCCACTACGTCCACCACATCCACTGCTTCCTTTTCCGTTCTAAAAATCTTCGCTTGCTGGCTTGGGACAAAAGTCGTCACCACGGACCATGTCTGGCACGTCCATTTTAGAGGTCCCCGGACGCTAATTTAAGACCGTCATCGGAGTCTTTTCCAAAGTCGGTGTCAGCTAGGCACAGCAATGTGCAGATCGGTTGGTTGACTAAATGCTTTTGGAGGGATCTCATTGTTACCCATCCCTTCCCAGATCCCCAATTTGAACCATTATGATGATATTATGTTCTATCCAAAGAGGACTGGACGATAAAAAAAAAAAAAAAAAAAAAGAGGAATCCCGCCTATGCAAGCCAAGACACACCGGTCCCAGGCCTGACTAAAGAACAAGGGCAACGCCTCGTGTGGTGTGCTATGTATTATGTATGCGTGCGTGCGTACTATGTATGCGCGTTTGCGTGTCTGTTGTACTAATGTATTGTTATTATCATTTTTGCTCTGCTGGCGGTCTTTTTTTTTTTTTTTTTTTCACTCTCTCTATTGCTGATCGCAAAGTTCTCGTCCCTTTGCGGCCCTCGGAGGCCATGACTCCTGAGTCGTGGACCGAAGTAGACCAATCCATCTACGTCCGGTCTACTGGTTTACCAATGGTTTACTGGTCTATTATCTGCTAGATACTCTCATTCTTTTACGAGAAGGTACGAGAGCCTAGCTTTTTTTTTTTTAAATCGTTTTATTATCGTCCTACTACGATGGTGGCGATCTACCCATCCCTGGGGCTCTTACTGCATACTACATGCTTAGGGGCCCCCCTTGGATCACTTGGATCGTTTTGAAGTCCCCACGCCGCCACCGCTGGATGAGGAATTTCTTATTGATACTAGGCACTATCGTCTCAGCCAGCAGGAAGGAGGCGTCCAAAAGGTAACCAAAAAGTCTCGCCTTCAGCAGGCCTAGGAGCTGTACGTTCCAGCCATATGTTTAAGAGAGAACATAGCAATCTAAGCAACGGCTGGGCATAAGCAGAGGCACGTCTAGCATCTTAGCACCTAAAGCAACTGGCAGCACGCTGCACGCTGCACGCGTAGTAACAGCTACCTGAACTACCATCATCCATGATGTGAGCCCATGAGCCACACACGAACGATGCACTTACACACTACGCACTACGCACCACGCACCACGAACCATAGCCATGTTCTATGAGCCGCGGAAGGATGTGGTGTGGATGCAATAGCGCATTGATGAGTATCAGTGCTTCACATTTTCTCATTTCCCCCGGAACCATGTCTATCCATTGTCCACTACACACCCCTTACCCGCCTGGACCCGTCGACCGTGGCAGCGTGGATACATGCTATGGTACTATTACTTTCTCTTCCAAGTTAATAATAACAATAATCTACTTTCCCGTGATTACTGCTTTTAGTTTCTTAAGTCCACCCTTGTCCCTTTTTTGTTTTCCGTTTTCCAACTTTCCCTTCCCGCCAACAACAACCTACTTACATAGATATTATTATTATTGATCGCCTCGTTCCTGTCCTCTCGCGATATCTTCTTCCTTTCCTTCCCCTTTGTTCGGCCCTTCCTACTCCATACACCCACCCTTTGGGAAGAATTCATAATAAAATACATACATACCTACATATATACATACATATAATACGCATACAAGAAAAGAAAAAAATAAAATAAGGAACCAAGGTACATACATTCCCAACTCTGCTCCTTGTCCTGAATCGTTCCTCCAAGGATTCCTACTGCAAACATACATATTCTTCCCTGACCGTAGCTGCTAGTTGCCAGTCCTTTTCAGGGTTGGCTTGCAGCATCCTCTCAAATCATAGGCGGCCAAGTAAGACCTCCAAAACCCACACGCTTTCCCACAGATGCAACAAACACCACTCCTTCACACCTCTCGATTCCCTTGTCTCGAAGTACACAACAGGCGAGCTAGGGGTACATCTGCAGCCATCCGCTTTCACGAGACCATTCCGTCCAACATCGGAGCTGTTTGCCAAATCTCTGAAATATAGGTCCCATCCGCTGACCAACTGCCCGACTAGTACTCATATTCTCCCTCACTTGGCCATCAACCCAAATTTCGTCGAGACCGTGACTTGAACTCTTGCGCAGGATCAAAGGAAACTAGGTTTTACCAGCCAGTAGATCAGTCCTAGGCCTCGAACGATTAGTATAGGAACGCCGTGACAAGTCGAAATCACGGTAGAGAAGATGGGGGATCAAGGAGCTGGTGGAATCGAGAGTCGAGGCGTTGAGAGCAACACAACGAGACGAATGTCTGAACCACGACCAAACTCGCACGATGACCAAATCCAGCAAAAATCAGCCGAGACGAAGGCACCCAATTCGGAGAGCGAGGAGCAGAAGTATGCACAAACCGGACCTAGACATTTAGTGCCTGTTCACCCCGGAAACCCGACGACAAGTGGTGGGCTTTCGCGGAATCCGTCCACAAGCTCCAATGTGTCCAGAGACTCCCGTACTGTATTTGAGTTTCCTCAAAGACCTCGAGCTTCAAGACCATTGGAACCGCCTGTAACGAAAGCCACTTTGAGCGAACTGGATGTAAATAAGATTATCCATAACCCAAAGTTACGGCACGATATAAATTTCGACCCGGACCTTCATTTCAGACCCAATGTAGATGGAGAAAAGGGCAGACGAAAGCAGGAGAAGGCTAATCAATTTTGGAACACGCTGACGGAACAATTGCAACTATTTATCATGGACCGAGACGAATTCATGAATAGATTCGGACAGGGCGAAGAATGGTGCCTCCCGCAGTTACTAAAGTCGGTTAAAGAGATCATACAGACGTTAGTGCCGCAGAGGGATCGTATGTACCTGGATGAAGGACTCAACGTGGATTTGATCATGCAACAATTCAGCAAGGGAATGGCAGACTTGGAAAAGCTAGCTTCGTGGTTGTCTGGAGTGCTCAAATCTCATTGCGCCCCTATGAGGGACGAGTGGGTGGACGAGATGTACAACCAGCTAACGAACGGTAACAAGACTAATGATATGGAGGAATTGGTACAAGGAATGCGAAGTCTCCTGAGCGTTCTAGAAGCCATGAAACTCGATGTTGCCAACCACCAAATTAGATGTCTGCGGCCGATTCTGATAGAGGACACGGTCCACTTTGAGCAACGTTTCTTCCTGAAGAAAATCCGAGACCGCAAGATGGACCCGGGTCCGTCTCAGGCGTGGTACTTGACGGTGAGTCAGTACTATTCTAGAGATCCCGCGTCTGTACAAGCTTTTGGGGAAATGGGCGTGTTCTTCGAGGCGCTATGCAAGATGATACTTCCCTCGACCGATCCGTACTCTCACCCGGACACGTTCGTATTCGATGAAGAGCGGATGGCTAAGCTACGATCTGATATGCTTGATGCAATCAACCTGGAAATCTGCATGCGTCTATATGAAAACTTGGAGAGACGGTACAGACATTGCGATTCAATGTCTAGTGTCAGTGCTATCCCTACGCCTTTCCTATCAACACCATTTTCAGACGCTTCCGGCTTCTTGAGCACGGAAGACGAAGACTCGGCACATTCAAGGCCATCCAGCCTAGTATTCAGCTCTGCCGGATCAGCTCATTCCTCACCTCGCGCCTCACTCGTTCTACCCACCCAGCCAGCCACAAACCGCTTAGAAGACCAGCAATCCAAATCGAAAGACCTCTACAACTCGCTTGTTGCTTTGCTTCAGACCTCTTCCGCAAGCTCACGATCAGTATCTCGGTGGAAGGCTATGAAGGATTCTTTGGCCCTCCAAATTTTCCGGTACACGAACGCTCCAGCCCAAGATCTTCTACAATTCGAAGATGAGCTTGATAACCACCTATCCGAACTCTCCTCCCCACTCTTCCAGCAGGTAGAGCAGTACTACCACTATCACCTACTTGTGGAAACTCGACAGCGTGTCAAGGACTTCAAGGGACTTACCGGTGCTGCCCTATTCTCGGTCGCTACTGGCGGACGTTTACATGGCCCCAACCGCGCTTTTGACGGCCCCCGCGAGAACACGAGTCGAGAGCGTACTTCTCTAGAGAACGCCATCCGGGAAGCGCGGGAAGAAGGCGGTGTTGAGGATATGGCCACGCGGTTAGCCCACATGGGTCTGCTTCATTGGAGAGTCTGGTCGCACTTGGTCTACGCCGGGGACCTCGACAGCATCATGGCCATACCTGATATGCCGATGGCGATCTAATTATTGACGTGTCACGCATGAGATCCTCTTCGATTCTTGGAAGTCCCCGATTTTCTCGTTCACATGGAAACAGGCCTTACACTTTTAATCATCTCATCACGTTCCTCCTTCCTGCTTGCGTTTCGGGCGATACCTCTATGGCGAGTCGACATTATTAATACCCATTAAACTCCGCTTAATCACATGGCATTGGCCCTTCATCGCTCGGGTCACTTTTTTCCTTTCTCCAATAACTCTGGGTCGGCGTCGTCTTTTTCTGGTGTTTGTTTAGGAGTAACAGGCTTCACATCTGGTTCTGGCGGGGTCCGCTCACACAGGCATGGATGAGGCATAGTCAAGTTTTTAGATTTGCAACCTCCCTTTTTTTACGTACATTTCATACTCTCTTCTGGTTGCAACGTCTACATTCGGCGAAAGGGTCTGCATTCAAAACACATACCCGGTCTACATTTTCACAGGCGTTTGTGTCTTATTCTTCGGCGGCAGGCGAGGCGAGAGAGATTGATCATTACTTTTGCATCATACATAAGAATTACAGGATAGCTTCTTCTTTCTTCGCCCACGTCATTATTCTGGAGAGCTAAGCAAATGAGGCGGACTAGGTTTTATCATGAGGAAGTGACTTTTTATTTTACGCCCTTTGGGGCGTGGCAGATCATAGTAGACACGATGGTTGCGGTGATGACGGGACGAACCATAAGTCTAAGAAAGAAATTCTTCGCCGCAAGGTTGGTGTGTACAGACGTTATTCGCTTTTCTCGGTGGAGCGGGTCGAAAACGAAGATGCAGAACGGAGCCAACGAGACAATATTACCAGACCCAAAATCCGTCTAATAGTTTTTTGTCGTAATGGAGATGATCATTGGTGCCTCTCGTGTCTTAGGTACATACGATTTTTTTTACCGCCTTACGAGGGCGGCGAGGGTCCACTCCTAGTGCTGGCATGATATAGTGGCAGTGATGAATCCTAATGTGTAATAAACCCCGATGTGGCTTTTTGAACAACACGGACGTACATACATACGTAAGTTTCGTTGGTGACGATGATTTCTAAGCCTTTTCGCCCTGGGATTGGGTTGGCCGAGAAGCGACCCAGCATGAAAGATAATCCATGTGATTTTTTAACTCCTCGCACACCCCCTTTTTTTTCTAGAATAGTAAAAACGCCGTCAAATTGTGCGAAGAGAGAAAAACCGAGAAAAAAATTTCCAAATCCGTCCATCCCGCAGGTTTTCAGCCAACCACGTCCCGCGCGTCCCTGAAGATCGCTTTCTCTAAGCCACCAAAGCCCGCCAGCCCAATCAAAGGGGTGGTGGGCGCATAATATTGGGGAACCTACCTTGCTTCGCAAAGCTGAAAAAAAGAAAAAAGATTTTTAGAACTAAAAATAAACTCTTTCCACGAGGAACAATGCGCCCGGGATCTTGGACCTTCTCCTACCCCCGGTCTCCTCAGCTGAGGCAAGGTGTAGTGTAGGTATGCGTATGTGTGTTTGCAGCCCGCGGATCCTATCCGTCCGCTCGGACGGTGGATTCGTCGGTGCCTTCGTATTATAAAATCACAACGGGCTCGCATGGTCTTAGATACGTCTACTGTTGCATTGGCGACTTTTAGAGTAGGTAAGGTATGTATCATACAGGGCAGGATGATCCATATGCACGCCAACTTCGTCAAAAAAATGCAGGACATGACTAACTCGATGCGGAATGCTATAACTTACAGTACATGCATCACTCCTCAAGTAAATTGATACCTAAAGTGCGTGCCTTGTATGCAAATTTGATACAACCAACGGCATACCCGAAATCCTCAATATGAGAAACTGTGTAGTACGTAAGGGAGTATAATCGGATGTAACCAATTTCTCATCTAAGATGTCCAGCCAGCTTAAGCTTATCGTGGCCAATTATGCGAGTAAAGTCATTCGGTAGAGTAATTGGTGCGTATACTTAAATCTTATAGGTACTTAGTGTACTATAGTAAGTTGAGAAAAAAAAGCACATTTCGATGTCGTATAGTCGCCATAATAGGTGTCGGTGTCGACGTAGCATGCGGCCCTTATGCAAGATAACGGCGACGAAAATGGACAGCTATAAATTGCATTTCCATATAACTAGCTCTTATACAAGTAAGTATGTCTCACCTGCCGGCGTCTCCTTTGGTCCAAGTTCCTTGCTCGGTCTGTCAAGCAATAGCTGTACCTATCTTCCTTCTGCGGCATAGGTAAGACAGGCTATAGTAGTCGATGAATCATCACTCCTGCAACTAATTAAACCAAAAGATTTAGTGAGCATTGCTGATAACATCATGCAGAACACAACGTCCGTCATATTCTAGGTTCGACCAACCGGCGGTCAAAGTTCTAATTTAGGGGGGCGCCGGGATGGTGGTCAGATTTGCCACGAGCCGCAACCCGGCATATATGGGGTGCATATCTGACGTATAACCGCCGCTAAAACGCCTAACAGGTGCGGCTAGGGAGGGATGATGGCGCGTTTAAAGAGCTTTTTATACGACCAACGGCATTCCTTATAGCCTACCTATATGCTCGCCGTAAATGAAGATTAATTGTCGTCATGAGGATCGCTCCGACATTCACCAGGCTGTGTGTTGGCGGCCCCATGATGAAATAAACAAAAATAAAAAATAAAAAAATTAGGGAACTTGGGAATAGGGGCTGAATAGTACTACGACACACCTCATTTCGAAGTCCAGGTCTGTTAAGCAATATAGGAGTGTGTATAGTCATTATACATACCACGGTAAGACAGTATACTCATAAATATATTATTTGCCATTATTTATGTCACATAAGCCATAATAGAGCATTATAAGCGTCCCCGAATCCGCAAGATAGCCTCCTAATGTAACCAACTAGGTAACCATATCCCCCAGCCCCCTAGCCCAAGCCACCTAGACTACCAACTAACAAATATCAAACATAGCAACACTAGGATCATGATCCGACGCCATCCCATCATACTCAACCCAAGTATTAACATGAACGTGTTCGAACCCCTTTAAACTCGCCGCCAGCGCCGGGCTCACAAACACGTGGTCCAGCTCCTGCGAGTTCATATCGTACAGGTACGTGTACCTCTCCTCTGGCGCGATCCCGGCCGCCGCGTCGAGGTCCGCGAGCCCCGAAAGGCGCGCGAAGTCCGCGACGGGAGCCGCGAACGCGAATTCGTTGAAGTCGCCTAGCGCCGCTACGCGGGCCGACGGGTCGGCGGCGAGGAGGGTGGCGATGAAGGACTGCGCGTTGGTGAGATTAGTAGTTGACCACGTACTTGCGTCTAATTCATAAAAAAAATCTCTTTTTTCTGTGTGTGTAAGGAGTAGAAGGGGTGGGAAAAAAATGGAAAAGGGGGGCGGAGTATTGCGAGAACTCACCGCCGTAACCTCAGCCTGCATCTGCCTCGTCCCCACACCCCCGTTAACAGGCGGCCTCGCGTCGCCGTGCAGCGACGAGCTGCCGCCCTTCGAAGTCCAGTGCACATTCACCGTGAACAGCGGGCGCCCCTTCCCTCCTCCTCCTCCTCCCACGAGCTCCCACGCCGCGGCCAGCGGCTTCCTGCTATCCGTCCACGCCGCGTTGCCGGGGTCCACGTATCCCGGGTTATACCTAAGCTCGGGGCCGGGCAGGACCTCGTTCGCCGTCGTCGCGTTGCCCTTTTCCGCCGGGTTGCGCAGCTGCAGCACGTCCGCGCGGTACAGGTACGCGACGCGGATATTGCCGCCGGGCGCGCCGCCCGACTCGTCGTTGAGCGGGCTGATGTACGTGTAATTGTAGCTCACGCCGGTACTATTGCTGAAATCCCGGATGGCCGCCACCAGCGCGTCGAGGGTCTGGTCCGCGTCCACGGTGCCGTCGTCCGTTTCGCCGTTGTCGTCCTGGATCTCCTGGACGGCGACGAGGTCCGGCGTCCGCAGATACTCGACGATGTGCTTCGCGATGGCTTCGACGTGCGCGGTGTCCCCCGCGTAGAAGTTCTCGATGTTGTAGCTGCCGACCGTGACGCCCGCACACGTCCCGTCGCTGACGAGGGAAGTCGGTGGGGGTACCGCGGGGGCTAGGGATTGGACGACGGATATGTTCGTTAGAGGTAAGATGGTGTAGAACCCGAAGACTTGGTAGACGACACCTGTAATAGTTTCGAGGTGGTCACCCAGCCGTGTATCCGTCGGGTTGTCCGAGCCGTCGAGCGGGCTGCCGATTATTATGGCCTCTGGGTTGCCGTCTCCAGGGGAGACGGTGAGACCAGTCCGGTCATTATCTCCCGTTGTGCTCCAGTCCCCAACGACCCATGTGTCACCGTACTGGTTTGGCCTCCCTACTGCACGAGGGTTCTCAATCGTCACCAATTCACCCATCAGACTCTCCCAGAAGTCCAAGCCGTATAATTCCGGTTCCAGTTGAGGGTTCTCGACTGAGATCAGACTTTGGTTGTTCGGTACGGCAAATACATCACCCTTATCCAGACCAGAATATTGTCCGGTGGGCGGACAAAGGCCCTTAGTGCCGATTACGATCGGATTGACATCTTTTCCGTGCTCTAGAACCGCCACTACTTTTGGCGACGCGAGCTCTGTCAAGTACAGGTAATCCTTGCTGGAACGGTATTCGTTCACTTTACCGTCGACGACGATGACATCCCCGACGCTGATGCTGGTGTTCTTGGCGAGCGCAGAACCGTACACATATAGGCCGTCTGAGACGCGCTTATCTTGACCTGGGTTAACAGATCGAAGCCAGATGCCGTCAGGCCCCTTTGCTGTGACAATTCCCGTCACGTTGCTCACATTTTGTCCATTAAGCGCCGATAAGAAGCGGTCGCCATTGATATGGGCAATTGACTGGGCCGAAACACCAGTGATCGTAAGAAGGGTGGCCACAACCCACTGAAGAAGTGCCATCATTACTTTTTGCCTGTGCTGGGGAGGCTCTATCAATAGGATGGTCTTCTCTGGCCTCTTCACCAAGAGCGTGAGTTCCAAATTGACGTAACCAGGAGCCTAATAGCTCTCAATCCAACGGAGAAGGGTGTCTCGTCATATTATATATTCCCTGGGTAGGTATCTAGATAGACAATCTACGTGTGGTTTAACGCGCGGAGATGAAAAGTGGGCATAAGCCTTGAAATCTAGCTATCGTCAACATGCAGGAACGGCGAGATCTAGATTTGAACTTGTCGGCCATAGAAAAGAAATAGGTGTATGACCACCCTATTGGCCTCGTAGCTACGGGATAGGCACAGGGGAGAAGACCAGTCGTATCGTTCAACCCAGTCCACGTTGCATTCTCATGGTCTTGGCGACTTCCAGAAACCGAAGGTGGGAAGCTCGCCCATCGTCTACTAGGTAGTCTCCGATCTTGGCATCGGCGAACCAATCCATTGGCGGCCTTGTCCGGTATCGTTGGCATGGAATATGGACTCAGCTGTAAGTTGGCAGGTGAATTGGAAATGTGGCAAACGTACGTAGTGACAAAAAGAATAAGTTTGAGTAATCGTCTTCTCATTTTCATCTTCAAACACATCCAATTGCTCGCTAAAACTGAACATCCAAAACATAGTAATAAACCCGATTGTCTAACCAAGTCGAGTAGTACAGAGTAATCCAAGAATCTTTTTCCAATCGCCATCCCAATGCAGATAAGTATCTAAAACTGAACCGAACCACTGGCTAAACTTTTATACAATAATAGAAAAGTGGAAAAATATGCCTTTGACAAAAGGATATATGTGGGTATAATATTCAACAATAGAACGAACGACTGGGACGTTGATCTCCTCACCGAGGGCTCAATGGGCTCTTGCCGGGTCCTTGTGCCCTCTTCAATGTTCTTAGCTCGTCCTCGAGCTTTCTCCGCACCATTTGTTCCGCCTGTAAGTGATGTTAGCTGGATCGAGTCACGATAGGAGGACTTGTTGTAGATCAGACATACCCTTAGTTGCTCTTCGTACTTCTTCCTCTCGGCTCTTAACCCTGACCTGTATGAATCGGTTAAGTACGAGGTCTTGCTGGTACCGCCGGGCGACAACGGAATTCGTGCAGGTCCCAGACGCTCCTTGTCGAGTTCGTCTTGGATCTGCTCCTTCTCTTTCCGAAGCCTTGCGATCTCTTGACCTAGGCTTTCCTCGACATCGGTAGTGGCTTCGCGGAGCCGCCTCTCCAATTCTTCGCTCATCATATCCTTCTCGTCCTTGATCTTGGAGCGCTCAGCCTTGACTCGGTCGAGTTCGTTCTCTAGTTCTCCTATCTTCTTCTCGCTCTCGACTGATTGCTTGACGACGTCGGTTAGATCTTTAGCGGTAGCTTTGAGCTCTTTCTCTAGGACATTAACTCTATTCTGCATCTTAGAAGATTCGGAGCTGTTATGCAGAGCAGCGACTTCCGCGGCTCTCTCTTTCCTCGAGCCGTAGGCACCATCGAGTTCTGCTTTAGCAAGAGTAGCTTCCATCTTAAGCTCAGCAACCATGCCTGTCATTTGTGCAAGCTCCTCGTCCTTGGCCCTGAGCTCGTCCTCCTTCTCCTTAACAGCCTTGTCAGTAGCATCTCTGGCGTCGTTGGCCTCTTGTAACTGTGCTGTAATAGCTTCGATGTTAGCTTCAGCCGCTACTAGGCGCTCCTGAATATCCTTAGAGCCAGCTTCGAGTGAAGCAATCTTGGCATTCCTTTCTTTGAGTTGTTCTCGCGCTTCATCCATAGCAGCAGATTCTTCAGTTCGGTCCTTCTGTGACTTTTCGATGTCTTCCAAGGCCATCGAGAGTTGTGAACGGATGTTGTCAGTTTCTTTCTCTGCTTGGTGAAGTAACTCTCTGACCTCTTCGATCTCGTCCATCTTGTCCCTTAGTGCTTGATCTTTCTCCGAGTCAGACCTACTGTTAAGCTCACGTTGCTGCTTGATTTGGCGCTTCAAGACACATTTCTGTTCTTGCAGCTTGGTGGCTTGCCTATACAGCCATTGGATCTTGGTCTCGAATGCTAGCAATGAGTACGGTTCGTTGACATCAAAAGATTCGCCATCAGACATTTCATCCTCGTCTGGGTCTAATCCCTTCTCCATGCGAGCCTTTTGCCGCTCTTGCCTGCGTTGTTTTATGGCAGAGAAGCCAGTTTGGATCATGTTCCAGAGTCCCGTAAGAACCGCTTCGGATTGTGGACCTTGGTTTCTGCTGGCGCCTTGCCGCAGCTCATCCTCAATTAGCTGCAATGAATCCCGCAAATAACCAAGCTGATCATCAACACCAAGATCAACATCCGGTGGTGGTGGATAATTTATATTGGCCTCCAGCAGTACACCTTGAATCTGGGCGTTAACGGTTTGTAGCTTTCCTGCCATCTGCACGCTATTGCCGCGATCTTCAGCAATGGCAGCCAACCCATTTTCAAGGTAATCTAGATGGCTTCCGATCATCTCACCAGGCTCCAGTTGGCCAGACGGTACAGCCATATAATTACCATTCCTTGCAGGGTCTGCGCCCACTACAATTTCGCGCAGTTGGCGGTTGAAGTTCTCCAGTTTACTTTCTGTGTCCGAAATCAACTTCCATTGAGTCGAACCTGATCCCCTGAGCAAGGATTCAGCTTGGGCCCGAAGTTCCCGGTTCTCTTCGCGCAACCGCTCACTTTCTTCAGTAAGCTGTTTATTTTGTCCTCGAATAGGCGACTTCATGGGGATCTCAATGGCGCTCTGTTGAAACTGATTGTTGAATCTATCAGACTGGTCAAAAGACCGATATAAACTTGCTTCGTCGAAGGTGAACCCGTCTTCTAAAAAGTCCATGCTGAGGCTATCACGGCCATTCGATGTTGTATACATGCTCTCGGGACTAGCAGGAACGCCGTTAACAAGAGGAACCCTTGGAGATGGATTGGTCGATTTCTTCGCTGTTTTATGCGTAAGTTGTAGGATGCCAGCGGTATGTTCCAGGAGTCTCCTCTGGGGCTCTATGACGCGCTTCTCCAATGTCCATAACTCAGAAGCCAAATCCTCACATTTCCTCTGAATCGTGGTAAGCTCGTGCTCCGCTTCCTTCGCCGCATCACTCGACCCACTATGTCGGTGACCCAGAAGACTCCTTCTCTTCGTATCGGGTCTCGTTGGAGAGTACAACTTGGACATCGATATGGCGGCATCGCGATATTTAGACTGGATTGCAAGATTCGCCCGAGTCTGCTCGATCCGCTGGTTTAAGATCTGGCACTGTTTCTTCAAGTCATCTACTTCCTCCTGAGATAGAATCTCATATTCCTTGCTATCGAGTAAGGCGGTTTCGGTGAGTAAGTGTACCTGGACAGGATCTTTTAGGTCGACTAGCACCGAACTTTGGACGCGCCCCGGATTCATCTGGCAGACTATGAGTATACGCTACCCGTGGACGCGATAGTAACTGGTATGAAAGCTAGGTAAGAGCTTACCGGGTTAAATCGCCGTGGATCTTTTTCGAAGTCATTCAGACTGTCTTGCCTATATGACTCCACTAGCGCCGGACCCTTCGGCGCAAGCCTAGGAGTCAACCTAGGGCGCAGAGGTGGCGGCGCCGCCGATTCGAAGTCATTTTGACTTCGACTTGAAAACCCGTTCATTCTTGTCACTTGCGAGTCGACGCGCCAATAATCAAATACATTATACTATAAAACGGTTGCGCAAAAGCCCTGGGGGTATTCGAAATACGCCTGGGCCACTTATATTGCTCGAGTCAGGAGTCGGCGCAGGATTTCGTCGTTACGAATTCAAAATGTTCAAGAAATCAAGGCGAAGTCGTAAAGAGTCGGATACAAAAGGATTATTCAAAATCAAAAACAACTTCACGAGAAGAGAAAAAAAGGGCATCCAAGAAAGGTAACAATGGGACGATTGCGCAAGAGAGATGCAGTCAGAGCCCAAAATAAAACGTGGACGTGTGAGTTGGGTAAGGTTGGTGATTGGGATTAAAAAGGAGTTTTAGTAGATTGAAGATCTACGGAAGGACATGGTATTATGACCTAAAAATGATTAGTGGCGTACTTTCCCAAGCAATGGAAAGCACGCGCTTTCACGTTAGGGCGGCAGCGCTAAACCATGGTAGGTAATCAACGTGAGATTCGCCCTTTCCTCGTGGCTGGGACGGGCTGGGGGAATCAAACCGATGTACGTGTACCCGGTACGTAGCCGCCGCGAATAGCATCCGGTCTTAGTGTACCATGAACACCTAAGATATGAGTCTATTCGGTTTAACAAGCACTTTCCTAGGGCTGATGGATTTATATATATCAATAGAAATATGAATAGACATACTTAGTATGTATTAAATAGTTACTCTCACTAATAAGATTTGTTTGATTGTTACAACATTTATTTGTAACGCGATTAATTATTATTGTCTGAGGTGTGTATACTATGTAGCCTGGAGGTGTATGTACTTACTAGATAGGAATTAGATAAGAGATACGTCTTACGCACGTATGTACATACAATTTGCTGCAGTATGCTGCACTTTAAAATAAAGTCGATCATTACCCCTGCAGTAGCCCGCCCACCTCTCGTTGCTCTCGGGCTCTTCGATGTTCTACAATAATATATATCTCGCTGTACCGCGAGGTGTTAATACCGATACGATGCTGCCGATCGAAATTGTGCCTGAGAATTGTGCTCATGAGTTAAATGAAGTATGTTAACTTATAGGAACCGTAATTTCGGGCCTTCGCATCTTGAGATATTGGTAGGGCTTCCCTCAAATCCCAAACTGTGCCCCTACTATTATCTACAAATTGAGAAGCTAACAGAAGTAGTTCTACACTGTAAGCGATGCCCTCGTTGCACAAGTGGACGGTTCCTGTAATCTGTTAACTTAATGTCCTAAATAAAACATCGGGATGTTATCCATCTTGTTATACCTTCTCCAGGCAAAAGCACCAAATCCATAGATCAGTCTGTGCCATCCTCGCCCAAGCATACATGGATATTATTTTAATCATTGGAGTGTATTCAGCCGCAACGACTTTTGCGGGGTGAATACCGAACCTTAGAATTAAGGGCGATGCAATTATAGACTGTTGACGACGTTTGATATAGTTAGGGGGGAAGAGTAATGGTTAGAATTAGAGCACTCTTTCCCCTTTATGAATTGAAGTACCTAGTTAGTTACCAAGCAATTTTAGAATGCGTTTTGAAACTGATCCATAACTTGTTGGCCCATGGTCCTACGCCTTCCACTTTCACCTTCACCTTGGCTCTGGACTCCGGTTGCTGCCGCCGTAGATGCGCCTTCTCCCTCAAGCCTTCTACGCAATCCCTCAAATTCTTGGCTTCTCCTCTGTGTTCGCATTCCCACAACCCATCCGGGAAGTCGCCAGCGTATCAACGATCGCGGCAGAGCCTCCGTTCTCCATGATAAGCCTACCAACCAACCGATGAGCGCCCCAAGCAGAGATCCGGGCCACTGGAAGAGAGCTAGTTGGAATGCGAGCAGGTATCGGTACGATTTGTCTGAGAGTGTGATACCCTGCGCCTGGTCATCCGTTGAGGCGGATATAGAGGTCACGACTTTGTACTTATATATCGGCGGTATCATAGAATGATACTGGGCTAGGATCGCGAATATTATGGGCGTCGGTCCAGCTGGGAGGTAGTTGAAGAGGCCTAGAGTAAGCGGCCGTAGGAATAGAGTCAATATTGTGGGGGTTAGGATGCTCGTGAGTACCAAGGTGATGAAGACGAATGTCTGTACCAAATGCGTCATTAGCTGAATATGCCTTCATTCGACAATATTGTGCCCTTACAGCGAATTTCCTCGAGCCCCACATCCTCTCAACTGCTCTCATGTTGTAAAGAGTCATAGCAGCAAATAGCACCTCGGAGGAATTGGTGTAGCATAGTTGATAAATGAGAGCTCTCCATGTTTGGTGGAATCGCCAAAGATGTAGGTCAACTAGGATGTAGAAATAGTGCTTAATATCCAGCAAGCTGACTGCGATGGATATTCCAACAAGTCCGTAGACGAGGCTGCGTGTCACCGGCGCATTTGTGAAGGACATTATGCTAGTGATCTCGATGGGGGGTATTTGCGACGGTTACCGGCGCATCGCAGGTCATCAACAGCTGATACAGCACTGCCTCGACCTGTGAAGCTTGATCGCAAGCTATTCGGGTACGTGTGTAGATGCTGAAGACAATGTTTTGTTGGTCTGTTAATCGTTAACATCATTACAGACGAGACAACCGAGTAGATATGTACATACTTGCACATGCAAGTATCTCCGTTACTTTCATTTGATGGTCATTGACAAGGTGTCATCAAGTAGGTAGGTATTACCGGTTGTTGCATATAGAATTCACTTATCCGAGCGTCCTAGTCCGTTATTAAATCGTTAAGAAGATATCGACAAGGGTAAGTTACTGTACTATCTTTTAGTGACAGCTGAAACTTTAAAATTCCCAGCTAACCTTATCGATTACACAACGGATGAACTGGCCACAGCCCGAGCTTCATCATATGGACCCACGCCGCGCCAAGATATCTGATTCCCGTCGCGAATTCAATTCACAGAGGCTGAGTAGCCACCACCGTCGTCATCACCCTACGATGCAAAAAAAACATAGCCTTCGTTAATACGTTCCTTTCAGTTTATTTGTTTTTCTGATACCCCACAACCGTCAATGAGCTTCCCAACCCACGTCTAATCCGCGTTTGTTCTTCCAACTTTCAATCCCCACCATGTCCGACCTCTACCTTTCACATGTCAGGAACTGGATCCTGAAATCTCCGCCGGCGGAATGGGTAATTAGAAGTGGACGAGAGCTGCTTATTGGCACTCTGAAGCAGGGACCGATCCCACGACATGTCGCGTTCGAGATGGACGGCAACAGACGTTTCGCTAAAAATCACAAGATCGAGACTATCGAAGGCCATCACCTAGGCTTCGAGGCACTTGCAAGGGTTCTCGAGATTTGCTATAAGTGTGGTGTCAAGGTTGTTACCGTCTATGCTTTCAGTATCGAGAACTTCAACCGACCTCGACATGAAGTCAATGGCTTGATGTCAATGGCCAAGGTGAAGCTGGAACAACTTATTCAGCACGGCGAACTTCTCGACCGTTACGGCGCTTGCGTTCGGGTATTGGGAGAACGGGACCTGATCCCAGATGATGTGTTACCTTTTGTCGATCGAGCCATCAATATGACAAAGCATAACAAGGAGTAAGCTTCATCCACATTATTAATCGCCTAGCATTTTATTGACTATTACTAACTCCATAATAAAGTGCTACACTCAACATCTGCTTCCCTTACACTTCAAGAGCCGAGATGACCAGTGCTATCAAGGCTACGGTCGACGAATACACAAATCCGCCTCGACCTGCAAGCACGCCGTTCTCGCAAACACGGATCACTCAGAAGATTCGATCTAACAGATCCAAGAAGTCAGGCTCGTCTTCGCCCAGAGATTCTTCCCCAGATGGTAACGGAAAATCGGATGTGGATGATTCAATGTCTTCGACTACTGCTCTGGATCCCGAATCACCACCTCTCGCATCTACACAAGTAAAGCCAGTCAAGTTCCTGAACCCCGAGAACATCACAGCCGAGACTATCAATAGTCATACTTACACTGCAGAGTGCCCGCCATTGGATATGTTCATCCGGACCAGTGGCGTTACGAGACTGAGCGATTTCATGTTGTGGCAGTGCCACGAGAATACTCAGATCTTCTTCTTGAAGTGTCTATGGCCCGAGTTTGATCTATGGCATTTCGTCCCTATCCTTCTCGAGTGGCAATGGCGACAAAAGAAGCTCTCGGAGAAGGAGGCCACACGCAAATGAATGATCATACGGCACAGCTTTGTATTATTCTGGATTGGCGTTGAGGCGTAATGTTAGAAATTACGCTCTTGGCAACGGTAGTGCATTTTCCTCGGGTACTTGAATCAAGCTTGGGACTGATGCACGATAAATGAATTAATTTCTGATATAAAAGGAAAACTTTCTTATATGTGGGATTACGTGATTGCATCAATGTGCCGTACCACTTATATAATAGTTGATGTTTCTAAAGACGGTCAATGCTAGCCGTTCTATCTACCACATTCTATTCTAATACATCCATCCATTTTAAGACAACTGACCTCTGACTGGTGAGAACCTACATATGTAGGTACACAGATGTGCAGTTTGTGACACCAGTTCATTATGGCGTACATGCATTATCGCTTGCAGTAGAGTCGAGTCAGCATCTAATTATACAATAGGAGAATACGGATTAGGTAACATGTGGATTCTACTAATGCCGAGGTGAGAACAGAGTTTTGTATGGCAGGTCCAATGTGGTATGTAGGTATGTATGAGGTATGTAGGTATTACGGCGTCATTGTTTTTTTCTCTTATCTCTTATCGTGTCAAAGGCGGATTAACTCTCGGATCAATGGCGGCTTGACCTGGTCACAAGTGGATATGTGTGGATATTAAGTTGCCCAATCAAGCCAATGGAAACGCCGCTTCTAATGTGTAGCGCAAGCCCACATTACCAAGAAACCTTATGTGCCCGCCGATACAAGCCCGCGCGCAATTGGGGACCCTGTGCAACAGGCTTAGCAGTAAAGTCAGTGAAAGTGCTGCTAATAAACGAACCTTGTTCAACTTTACGTCCACTCGCCAACTCGTCCACCAGTCTACCATTCTACCTGTTCGCCTGCCCTTCCACCTATGTTTTGCGCCTCTCGTCTACGAAGCTCTTTTCGCGTTGCTTTACATACCATTTCTATTGGTATTGTCTATTCTGTATCGCAAAATGACATGAACTTCATTATTTGAAGCTTCTTGTCAACCTGAACTTACCACTTCCGTAAAGTCGCCGATATTTTTGTTCAACGAGCAACCAGCAACCCACCTATCGTCCTCGTCCTGCGCCTTCATTTTCAACCCAACCCACCCATTTCACAATCATAGTCACTGTGTGTAAGGCCAGCATGAAGACTGCGAAGCCCCCTCAAGGGGAACCTGGTCCCTCAAATCGAAGAGCTCAACCTGTTCGCCAGACTCGAGCAAATCCTCCGCGAGCATCATCTGGCTCAACCCGCACCTTTGCCAATAGAGATTCGCTCGGTGGCGGCCATGGTCACGAGCAACCCATCGACGTCTTCCCTGCAATCACATACTTCACCGATGCTATAACATCTCTTCCCAAAGACCTCGTCCGACATTTCACACTTTTAAAGGAGGTCGACGCTAAGATCTTCGCTCCCGAAGAGACACTCTTTCAGCTCGTCGAGGCCGTTCTTAAATCGAGCCCCCCCGAGCCTAGGAATGCCAACGATGCATCCAGCAGCATTGCCGCAGCTTCGACGCCAATGAGCGCTCAGAACAGCTCAAGCGGTTTCCCTGCAAATGGCAATCCTGCTGGATCGACCGACGATAACTACAATTCTACTGTATTTGATCCAAGTAATCTTCCGCGACGACAATTGTTTCGTCAAACTGCCTTTAAAGTCCAAGAAATGCTTGTCTCGCTAGAAGAGAAGAACCACGTAATAACGACCGCGAATGAGGCGCTTTCTAAACAACTGTCTCGGATCAATGATGTATGGCCACACCTGGAAGCCGAGTTCAGTGACGAGGCGAAATGGGGCAGCACTACACACTGGGCGTATCCAGAGAACCGAATAAATCGAGCAAATCAAGCCGAGCGATCGCGACGAGATGGCGCGGCTACAATCACCGCCGCAGCCCAGCAGCTCGCGGAAGAAGCCGCGGCGCGGAGCGATGCTAGAAAGCAAGCTATCATAGCTAAGAAGGGACTTAAGAATCAACACCAAGACTCGGATTTAGATGATCACGAGAACAAGCACAAGAGCGAATCAACTAAAAAGGCGCCCAACCATGGTAGCAAATCTCGCAAAAATGCCGACGCAGCTGCACCCGTCGGATTGGGTATTACTTCAGGTGCTCCCACTACTGCCACTACTAACGGGAACCCTCCATCAAAGAGACGAAAAGTTGAGAATAGCAAGCCGACCAACGGAGGGCAACCTATGGAGCGCGCGATGAGTTCAGTCTTTGGCACAAATGCCGGGAAGGCCAAGAATGCTAGCCCAAGAGCAACACCCGCCCCTGAGCAACCAAAGAAGCGTAAAGCTCTCCCGACCGTTAACGGCGCCTCGAAGAAGAGGTGAGCATATCTTTTACTATTAGTTTTGTCGGATCTCTCGTTGTTAACTTTCCTCTCCGCAGTAAAACAAATGTCGCAGCCGCTGCGCTCTCGCCCTCGATTGCGCCATCCCCGATTCAACCCAACTTCGACCCGAAGGTCGTTGCTCGTGGCTCGCCCGCCCCTTCTACAACCTCTGCGCGCCCTGCCTCATCTCGGGCGAGACAAAACTCCATACAGTCCAACGTGGAAAACGGTCGGCAACGGCCAACTTCATCCGCGTCAAACAGACCCAACGGGGTAGCGGCTGCAACTCCAGAGCTCACGACAGTGCAGAACGGCACCCGACCGCCGAATGACGGCAAACCGAATAAGGAACCCACGGCGACTGTCAAGGTGGAAGCCTCTAAAGAAGAGCCGGTGCTTGCCATTGCCAGTGCCAGCAATGCACCGACAAATAACAAAATCATTACGAAGGGAGACGATTCTGAGCCCAAGGGTGACATTGCACAAACCCCGTCAGCTACACCCACAACCGTAGTCACGACCAAGAGCGGACGAGCTAGTAAGCCGTCGACGCCAGCATTAGGGTCGTTCCCAGACCCGCCGCAAAGATCTCGATCATCGAGAAATGCATCGACAGCTAACACAAAAAGAAGTCATAAGAAAGGGGCAGCCCAGCAAGTGGCTGCTCGAGTTGCAGATGAGGATGCCAACAGCGCTCAGGGCGACGACGAGGGCGATGTGGACGCTGATGAGCCATTATACTGTTATTGTAATGGTGTCAGCTATGGAGAAATGGTAGCTTGCGACGCAGATGACTGCGAGCGAGAGTGGTTTCATCTGGATTGTGTTGGCCTTAAAGCAGCTCCGCCATCAAACAGTGGGTTCATCCAGCATTCCAACGTCGAGGTGACTAGCTAATAGTAATAATAGTGAAATGGTATTGCGATAATTGCAAGGACCGTATCAAAACTGGAAAGAAGGTAAATGGCAGGTGACCTGCACCGGTGTCTACATATACACCCCTCTACTTCTACTCCGCTTCAATGGGTATCGAGAACGCCTCCTTAGAATTCACGGAGTTCATGGTGTTCATTTTATCGTCACAATAGGCGGTATTCGGCAGGGTATACCGGGACCTGGGGATGCAATATGAGCTCACGTATAATGGCGTCTCGGTTATTTCGGAACTACAGATCAGCATAGCTAATCATGATTACGGGGTTGTTTGCTTACCACGGTGGTTCCAATCAGGTTCCAACAAGCTCGAGTCCATATCATTGTCAACTTGGGACTGTGCCTAGATGCTTAGGCAAGAAGTCTCATGTGAAGGGGAACATGGGATAGATAGATACTGTTGTTTTTTTGTATATTGGTCAAACTCTTTAATGTTATTAGAGAGTCACTTACTAAGCGAAGCTAAGGGCCGTCATCTTTGCAGAAGACCGGAAATCTCCTAGAAGCGTATGGTCGATTCAAACAATGCCATCTCCGCACAAGACCAAAGGAGATTTGCCCATGTCTATCATTAGACTCAAACACAAGCTAGCAGCCATGTACTTTTGCAATGCAGCTCATAGCTTAATGATCAACAGACATGATGTTACAGAAAACTAGCATCGTCTCCTATTGTAGACCAAATGTGTGTCTACCATTTCCACTTAGACGCGCCTCTTACGTATGTGGTTACCACGCCGTCATGTACCTGTTTCTCCTCTTTCCCCCAAAGATCGGGACATGAGCCGCAAGTTTAAACATGGAGGAGAAAAGATGCGAGATGATTGGCCGTCGCAATTCACTAACAAAACATGAGGCTATTTCCCCGCAAACCACTACGCATGTTCTAGGTAAGCCATGCAGCTATTAGATCGACACATCCGGCCATAGAAGCAAGGGTTAAACATCAAATGTTGCATGGCAAACGAGGCTAATACCTAATATTAATAACCATTTGCCGGACCGGAGAATTTCTTATGAGATAGCTAGTATGTTTGTTCCTAAGATAGGACACCTGATACAGTAGCTTCTGAAAGACCCCCTTCTAAGGTCATGTGAACTTGACTATATTTGACCATGCGAGTAAATCAAGCTAACTTGTGTTCAGGAACGAGTTTCCAGTTCTAGACTAAGTTATCCTAGACATCGTAGCGGGTTGAGTCGGCCAAGGTTCAGGCTAGGCGGTCAAAGGCATGATGGATCATTTACAGTCCTTCTCGCAGCTTCTCCTTTCTTCAACTCGGCTTGGTTAAGACGGACGGTTTTGGTTATAAACCCGGCTTTGTATACCCAAATATGAATGCTTACGAGATATAATCAAAAAGACCAGCAGATCAAATCTTCTGATCGGGAAAGTAATGTCATAGAAAATAACCGAAAAATTCTTAGATGACGATACACCTCTACGTAGTAAGATGATGTGGTGGCTTGCTGCCGCGCTGCGATATCGCAGCAGCTAGCCAGGCACGGATACAAGCATAGCAAGACCAAGTCCGCGGAGTATGGACTTGAGCAGGTTTGGTATGTGTAGACGAGCAAATCATACCAAAGATATTCTCAATCAAAACGCCATAGACGTACGAAGTAGCATAGAGCATGATGTAGCATTTTCAGGTCCATAAGGTGACTTCGCATTAATATACGAGATATAAGTACATTCAGAGGTATGTACGATGCCAGGGTTCATCGAGTACATCTACGTAAATGGTAAGTACGTGCATATATATGTATAATCGAATCCGGGGAATGAGGCAAGGAGGAAAGAACGTCGTCCTATGCCAGCGTGCCAAGACAGTAATGGCGGACCACGAACGGATCCACGGAATAGACTATCGCTAGTCTCGGCTAGACTCAACCTTCCTCGACTTTTAGCCACTCAGCCTAGAGCACCAGTAGGAAAGGTAGGTTCTGCCTCCGCAAGATTCAAAGCTTTGAACTCTTCCAGTCTTCCCACCATTCCGCCAACTTCCCCAGAATAAAAGAAAAAGGAAAGAAAATTTTCCTACATCGCAATGACGATATTTTCCCGTAACAGCAGACCTGGATCTTCTGGTGTTCTCATTACCAAATAGCTATCCAAGCGGAGCTCGTGGCCAAGACACTTTTTTATCGGACTTCGCACCATTTGCCGCCAGTCTCGATGGCAACAAGCGTTAGTGGGTATGGCTCAGGTGACAAAGAAGAATCCATCTCTATGCCATTTTTTCCATTTCTATTACCCAATCCATGAACAATGGAATCATGGGAGGTTTGCTCAAACCCATTCCTGGCCACTTGCGGGCCTTTTGCTCGCAAGCTGATGCTCTATGGCCCCAAGGCTCTAAGGCTCCAAGGTACACGACCTGATAAATTAGACGGTGAAGAACAAAGACCCGGGCGACGGTTGATCTGAGCTCAGGTATTGTATTGTACTATTGGCATTGGCAGCCCAGAAACAAAACAGAAAGTTGTACACGTGCAAATCTGATAGCTCCGTGTTTGGTGTTTTATTATATTCTTCTACCTTAAGACTCACTACTTCCGTACTCCATACTTACCTAACACGTGAAGAATCCGGGCCTCTAGCATTCACCGACGAAGAAGAACGACAACAAGCGCGCCGTCCATTTGCGTATTCCGGTTGACGGGAATCCGAACTGACAGGGACAGGACAGGGACAACAGATCACGTTCATTTAATAGCTATTTAAGCGTTGTCATCATCAGAGATATTCTGGCGGCGAATCCGCGAATCCATCTCATCAATACTTCCCCGCATTGCGCCAACGAAATTTGTTACCTAAGAAATCGGTGTTTTGACTAAGAGAAAAGCCCATCCAGGTCGGCTGGGACCTTAATTTGCAGCTTTTGGTGAAACCCGGTCGCCCTGGTGGTGCCTTAGCAACTTAAGGAAGCTTATTAGGAAGGACGGTTCGCAGCCGTGCCGTTGTCGTACGGGCAAGGAAGGAACATAGCCATTGCGCTATTGAGTCTGCATCTTGCATCTATCGCCTGTGCAACTCGACACCACTGCTACCCTGGCTGGCTCATCTTCCGATTATGGATCGGACAACCCTCTCTCATGTCGTTGGACGCTCAATCCACCAACGCATTACCGGTAACAGCAAACTTAAACAGAGCCCTACTCCCAGCATCTCTGACAATATGGACCAACCTGGAAGCTCAACTCCTCCGGACAAGTCTACTCGTTCTTCTTTCTCCTCTGTCCGAGAGATCGATTCATCAGACTTAGCCCAGAATTTTACCAGTACCAAAGTATCATCTTACTCCAAATTATCTGAGGAGGCTGTCGACGACCTACCATCACCCCCGGAAATGGCCACTCAGACACAATTCATCCCACCTATCACACAACCCCAGAGCAGATTACATGGCTGTTGGTTTCCTGCCGTCGCCGCCGAGGGCTTCCAGGGCTGGAAGCAAATAGGTGTAGGAGGGAAGCGGGCGAGCAAGAGCTATGGAGATTTGCAGGCTCTGAAGATAGTTTGGTCGACTCCAGTCCTTCCGCTTAAGAAGAAAGATCCCGAAAGGCCAGCTCCAGGACAATCGGCCATCGAAAAGCTCCCCGCGGAATTACTAGGTGAGTCAAGAGTAACGTTGTCATTGCAATCAAGGCCAGTATCTTACAGGTTAAATCCGGAATAGGCCAAATCATTGACCACCTTGTCCTCGATGTTCCGCCGAACGGAGTCTCCGCTCGAAATGTGGATTTGATGTCCCTGTTACTTACATCCAGAACACTCCACTCGGCAACGCTAAACGCACTTTATAAGAACATCACGATCCCGCACTCGAGGATTTACCGGAAATTCCTAACGCACATCTCACAGAACAAGGAGCTCGGAACTATAGTACGACGTCTTGACTTCAGTCACTTCAACCCAACCACGCTGTTCACAACGGCGAGCGAGCGAGCTACTACCCGCAATCTTACCCCCGAAACTTTGATGCAATGCTTGGAGTTGACCCCTTTCCTCCGTGAGTTTTTAGGTCAGGAGTATATTGAGGATGAGATCGACGCAAAGGTTCTACGCAAGCTGTTCTTTGGACTTGATAGACTGCAGGGGATCGACTTCTGTGGTTGCTCATCAACTGCTTTCAAGACTTCATTCCAGTCAATCCTCTTGTCAGACTGGCCGGAAACGCTCTCCATCTCTCGACTATCTTTACACAAGTGTATCACTCTACCCCCATCCGTGTTCGAGACCTTGCTCCCCAGACTGGGCAAGTTGACCCATCTAGATCTCACGGGAACACGCGTGACGAATGAGGCTCTCCAGTCTATTCCGCACAGCGCAAATATCACGCATCTAAATCTATCCAAATGCAGATCACTCACTGCTGATGTTGTCGTTGACTTCCTAGCAAACCATCCGGCGGTAAAGGGGCTTGTATTCCTGAGTCTTGGGGTAGATGCCAGAAGCCACCAGCTCTTCGATGAAGATGACTTAACCAGACTGATCCCAGTCCTCCCCCAAAGTCTACGTTCATTGAGCTTAAAGGGCAGCAAGATGCTTGAATCACACATTGACTTATTACGCCCGCTAACCAAGCATTTGGAAGAGCTTGCGTTGGGTCGACGGCTGAAGATTTCAGATATCGATCGATTATTTGTGCCCGACGATAATAATGACGGACAACTAGACCAACAGCTAGAATGGGTCCCACACACTCTCAGGTACCTAGATCTTTCCGACTATACGACAGTCGAGCTTGATCTCATCACGCTGTTCGGACGAAACACGTCGATTATGAAGAAGTATTCCTCGCCGCTGGAGGTAATCGAAGTAACCGATGAAATGTACTCCCGCCTGGCAAAGTCCCCGGTTGTAAAGCAGCTGGGATGGACTGTTATGGAGAACGGAAGCAGAGCTTGGCTCGTCCGTATTCACAATCCCGAAGATGGGCCTAGGGACTCTGGCCTTCGGTCTTGGAAGATGGGCGCTTCGTTTTGGGGTATGCGTAAAATACCCATTGCTTGTGCGGAAGTTGGAGGCATGTACGGCTCATATATGTTTAAGCGGAAGCTATAAGAGGCGATGCGATCTCCATCCTCTCTCTCCATCCCTCGACTCTCTACTACTTCTCCCCTCAAGGACGTTGCTTATAATCATCATATTTTCTAGAGCAGCACAGAACGAGCCCTTAAGCATTTGGATATCTGTAATTGGCATAGCGATTTGGGTTATTGGACTAACGATTCACGGATGAGATACGATACCAAAAAGTTTGGTTACTATCACTTATACTTACAGGGGGCGAGGATAGCGAAAACTGATATACCACATAGTAATCATAGCGAATAGCGCTGTATATGTCAGATTAGTGACCATTAGCCAGTCTAGCCTGATTTGAAGTGGTATATAGTATGAGAGATATTGTACATATTTTATTATCTATTTGATCTTTTGGGATATAGGAGGCGTAATAAATTTTAATATTAGGCGGCATACTAGTGTTGTATGTGTTCTTTTGTCTCCTTCGTTATCTAGGTGGCCCCATATTCGCAAGTTTAGATTCAAGAAATCCGCCTTAGCGACGTCTTGTGTAAGAATTGAACTCGTGGTTGTAGTAAAACTACGGTTACCTCGCATTAAGCGACGTGGCGTGGCGTCGTGCTCATAGCTATGTTTCCCGGAAAGCTAAGATGAGTTGCATATGATATATGGTCGTGTAGCTTTTTGACCAGCCGCCTTTGCTTCTAAGCTTGCCCACAACACGCGGGCGCGACACCCTGCTAAGCGGCCGAGTAGACTGGCTAGCCGTTGCGCATATTCAGCGTACACCATACACCATATACCGTATACCTACACACTAAACTACGTAATAGTTTGAGGCGTTATTTGGATCTCTTCTTCTGATGTTGAACTTCACATGTGCTCGTTTCTTGTACAGTAAAATTCTTTTGCTTGACAGACAGCCCTTCAATGCCTGATAGAGAGTAGAAACTTTCTTCGCATCGGATTATTATCGTCATCTCGACGTAGGTGATCTTCGGTGGTTCTGTGTGAGCCTGGCCAATCCACAAACCCGGGGGTCGCTAATGGTTCCGTTATATCTCCTACATAACAGACACTCAAGATTTCTCCTATGTCGGTGGACTGTGCAGTACTGGCAACCTATATTCTCATGTTCAATATCAGCTCACAACTGTTGATAAGACTGAAGAGGGAAATAAATAGCTTTTTTGGTGAGAGAAGTTCTTCTTACCGTCCCTGTTGCTGAGTGTACGATATTGTCTTCAATGGAACGGATTAAGCTATCGGCGAGTCCCCTTTCCTTCCAGCATGGTAGTTTAGCTGTGAATTACGTGATTCTCCTGTTCCTCGCTCTTCCCCCTAAGTAATGTAAGAACTGGAAAACATCACCTATCGGTGTGTTGTTATCTCCCCACCAGAAGCAGTTTAAACGGGGGAAGTTATGGAAGACAATAATAGTTATCGAAGGACACGGTCTTTAAAAAATCTCCAAGAATGCAGAAGATTACCGACACCGCGGATTGTTTGATTAGTTCTACTCGGAGACATAGTATGAACTGTCTCTCTCCAGCTCGTTGTGTTTTTGATCTGCTGGAGGCTACTATACGGAGCTCTACTTGATGCTCAATCGAGGATATTGAATACTCGGTGATATAAGATACGAATTCGTGGTAGGCCTGGATGAAGAAAGGGTTGTGAAGGTGTTAAAATATAGTTATACAAGAGTAGTCAGGCAAATATTATGCCCTTGGGACCTTTCATTGTAAATTGTTAGGCTATGGCTAGATGCTAGTCAATAATAAGAACCTTGCAACTATTCTCACCCTAAACTTCGCCGCCGAGAAGTTCAAACTGAGCATCTCGATAGGGGAAACTCGGTGTTGCTTGGTTTATTTATAACTTAAGTTGTAGGTAAGGCAGGTTGGGTTTGTTGGTGAAGGTCAACCCAGCCATATGACAACCAAAAGGTGGCACCCCTTATATGTTGTTCCGCTAGGCTGCTAAGTCACCATCACGTACTCGTTAGGATTCCCAGTATCTTCGTACTCCTACACGCCCTCACAGCTCCAGTAAATTTTAATTAACGTTTAAAAACTCTTTAGCCTCAAGAGTCTTAGAGTTCGGTATGGTTTCCCGGTTCCATGGGTTTAGTGAAGCCGTCCGCCGTATTCTTGTCTGTATACATATATCCAACCTCTGGATTTTGTCTTTCAACCTCCTGCCTAATGCAGTGATAATCCTTTCGGATGAGACGCTTTTGCTTGTTCATTGCGGTATCTTCGCATTATGTCTTTGCGATGCTATTGTTGGATAGTAAGGTAATCAGGCTATCCGGCATAAGGTTCAGTCCGGTCAGGAAATTCCGTATCCAAGTACTACCCGCGGCTGCCGTGGCTAAAGCAAAGTATTCAGCTTTCCCGGAGCTTCTTTCTACATAAAACACTCTTGTAGTTTGGATGGTTATAGGACCGGGGTACCGACTATGAAGTATACGATCCCTGACTAATACGCACAGGAGTTTATATGGTAGTTTTACTCCGTTTCGATCGGAGGACCTCCGAGTTATGATATCTTATGATTGTGAGAAGACAGCTCAACTCCTGTTGGTCAAGTTGGCTTAATGAGAAATAGTAGAAAATGGAAAAGGGTGAAGATCGTAAACCGTATGTGTTTATATATAGCTACGTAACGTCCACTATACCCAAAAGCAAGGACATATTGAGATGATGAGTAGTAATGCTCTTTTATATCAACGCAATTGAATATATAAGTGAATTTATAGTTCTTATTCATACTGTTCCATGCTGTGTTGGTGAAGTTTCCAGGCCAGCAAGAGCGTTAATCTAGAAGTAAAACTAGCAAGACACGTCATGCTGACATAATGTTGTCATTGTAGCAGTCATTGCAATGCCTCTTTACTAGCAATTATTTGGTAAAAGAATATAACCTATGCGCCACATAAACGCCTCGTGACTCCAAGCCACACTAGTAGCGCGGCCCCTGCAAAGGCAACGACGTCTAAACCAAGCTCATTCGCTTATTCGTTTCCTCTCTTAGAGCTTTCATTTCGCATTTCCTCGTCACCATCGAGAACCACCAATCTGGCTTTGGAGAGCTCAGTGCGCCCTCACTATGGCTCCTTCAAAGCAGTCCATGTTCCGCTCTGCGGACATGAGCATGGTGCAGCTGTATATATCTAACGAAATCGGGAGGGAATGCGTCAACGCGTTGGGAGAACTTGGACTGGTCCAATTTCGAGATGTACGCCATCCTCATCCCCTACCATCGCCATCTATCCCGCATCCATCCAACGATGCTAACAACCATCTAGCTCAACAGCGAAGTCAGTGCATTCCAGCGAACATTCACTCAAGAGATTCGAAGGCTTGACAATGTTGAGCGCCAACTACGTAAGTGCTGGAGCGTCTTGATCCCCTAGACCACCGTGTCTCATCTAACATACATACCACTAGGCTACTTCCATGCTCAAATGGAAAAGGTGAACATCCCTCTACGAACGTTAGATCTCGAGGTCGAAACGCTTGCTCCTCCCACCACCACCGAGATAGACGAACTTTCCGAGCGAACCCAAAGTCTCGAGCAACGCATCTTTCAGCTGAATGACAGCTACGAGACGCTGAAGAAGCGCGAGGTTGAGCTGACCGAATGGCGATGGGTTCTTCGCGAGGCAGGCGGATTCTTCGATCGCGCTCACGGTAACGTCGAAGAGATTAGGGCATCGACAGAGGACGACGATGCTCCTTTGCTCCAAGACGTGGAACAACATAACCAGGCTGGCGACGTTGAGCGTTCCTTTTCTGGCATGAACATTGGCTTCGTCGCTGGTGTCATAAATCGCGACCGTGTAGCTGCCTTCGAGCGTATACTGTGGAGGACGTTACGTGGAAACCTTTACATGAACCAGTCCGAGATTCCCGAACCTCTGGTTGACCCGACGAACAATGAGTCTATCAACAAGAACGTATTTGTCATTTTTGCTCATGGAAAGGAGATCCTAGCCAAGATTCGAAAGATCTCGGAATCTATGGGAGCTGATATCTATAGCGTTGATGAGAACGGTGATCTTCGCCGAGACCAGATGCACGAGGTTAATGCCCGCCTCAACGATGTTCAAAATGTATTGCACAACACGCAGCAGACCCTCGAAGCTGAGCTGACCCAAATTGCTCAATCTCTGGCGGCTTGGATGATTCTCATTACGAAGGAGAAGGCTGCCTATCAAACCCTCAATCTCTTCTCGTTCGATCGACAGAGGCGAACTCTTATCGCTGAGGGATGGTGTCCTACAAACGACCTACCCCTTATTCGCACTACACTTCAGGACGTGACAAACCGCGCAGGCCTATCCGTTCCGTCCATTATCAATGAGATTAGAACAAACAAGACTCCTCCCACCTACCTGAAAACCAACAAGTTTACAGAGGCCTTCCAAACCATCATCAATGCTTACGGTACGGCGACTTACCAAGAGGTCAACCCTGCTCTACCCGCAATCGTTACCTTCCCTTTCTTGTTCGCCGTCATGTTCGGAGATTTTGGTCATGCTAGTATCATGTTCGCTGCCTCCGTGGCCATGATCTACTGGGAGAAGCCTTTGAAAAAGGTCACCTTCGAACTGTTCGCCATGATTTACTACGGTCGATATATTGCCCTAGTCATGGCCACCTTCTCTTTATTTACCGGTCTCATCTACAACGATGTCTTCTCCAAGACATTTACCTTCTTCGACAGTGCTTGGGAATGGGAGGTTCCCGAAGGATGGCAGCAGGGACAGCCTCTCATTGCCAAACTCAAGGGCGATTACCGATATCCGTTTGGTCTTGATTGGTTTTGGCACGGCACGGAAAATGACCTGTTGTTTACCAACAGTTACAAGATGAAGATGTCTATCATTCTTGGATGGGCACACATGACATATTCCCTCTGCCTGTCCTACTTCAACGCGAGGCATTTCAAGAAGCCCATCGATATCTGGGGTAACTTTATCCCGGGTATGATCTTCTTCCAAGCTATCTTTGGCTACCTTGTCATTTGCATCATCTACAAGTGGTCTGTGGATTGGTTTGGCATCGGAGAGCAACCCCCCGGACTCTTGAACATGTTGATCTACATGTTCTTGCAACCCGGCACGTTGGATGTCCCATTGTACCCAGGCCAGAAGAATGTGCAAGTCATATTACTGCTCCTCGCCTTCGTCCAAGTCCCCATCCTGTTGTTCTTGAAGCCATTCTACCTGCGATGGGAGCACAACAAGGCTCGCGCTCAAGGCTATCGTGGAATAGGCGAACCTTCGAGAGTCTCGGCGCTTGACGACGAAGATGGTGACGGACACATCCAAGGCAACGGTCGCGTTAGTGTGGACACGGATGACGGTGAAGGTGTCGCTATGATCGCACACGGTGGTGATGATGAGGAACACGAAGAGTTCGAATTCAGTGAAATTATGATCCACCAGGTCATTCACACGATTGGTAAGTTTATGCTGATATGCTGTCTCCATATTATGACGCGTGCTAATCTATTGGATAGAATTCTGCCTCAACTGTGTCTCCCATACCGCCTCCTACCTACGTCTCTGGGCCTTGTCGCTTGCTCATCAGCAGCTGAGTGTGGTTCTGTGGGACATGACGCTTGGTCCATCACTAGCCAAACCAGGCGTCCTTGGTGTTTTCATGACTGTCGTCGCTTTCTATCTATGGTTTTTCCTTTCGTGCGCTATCCTTATTTGTATGGAGGGTTGCAGTGCCATGGTAAGTTTTATCCTTTTCCACAGTAAACATAAAATAGCACCGACTAACAGTATTTCTAGTTGCATTCCCTCCGTCTGCAGTGGGTCGAGGCGCAATCCAAGTACGCCGAGTTCGCTGGTCACATGTTTACACCATTTTCTTTTATCACGTTGCTAGAAGAGGATGACGGCTTAGCCGAGTTTAGAGGTTAATCAGCATGCCAGCATGGGAACGGGACATCAAGAGTGGTTGTATGAGTAAACTTGTATTATGCAAATCCGTAGCTGTAGATCTAGGTAACCTGCAATCAATACTACTGTAGCTTTTAATTAGGAGCCAAAAGATGAGATGACGTGTGAAAATGATGCCTTCTAGTGTTACCTACTTCGCTTGATAAAAAGCCGGGTTTGTCGGATCTACGAGGCAAGACCTGCTTTTCTCGCGAGATTTGCTGATGGCTCTGTGGTGCGAGGAGCTTGTACCTCACTATTTTCAGCCTCTACATATTTGAGCTACGAGGAGGTGTTGGTGTCTAAGATGCCGCTTGAAAATTCGCACGTGGTACTGATGGTAGTTGTGGGTAGTTTAATTAGTATCTATATTGGTATGTGATGACAAGGTGCTCGTACTATTCAAATATGGGAATGTGGTGGATGTGGTGGGTGCGGAATTAACATTATGGGCGACTTGGGTGATAGCATGTTGGTGTGGCCATGGAGCAAACATCGCGATTGTAACAACCATACGTGGATAGGCAGTGCAATTCAATAAGATAGGAAAGACATGCTTCAAGATAAAGGCGATTGAAAGGCATTCTTCCTCACATCCCCAGGCAAGCTGGAGATAGCAATGAAAAAATGAAGAGGGTTCGCGTCACCTGGAGGCAGTGTGATACCAGGGACACGGTGGGAGCGACCATGCGCAAGCACAGAGGGTGCGCTCCCGAGGTCTAAAAATTAGAATAATCACGATTGAGTCCAAGTAGGACTCTTTCAGAGATTAAACTGAAAAGAACAGATACTACACTTGATCTAAGCCAAAAGGCAAAGAGAGCTGGAGAAGAAAGGAAAAAAAGTTGAAAATGGGAGAGGGGTACCCGAGTATTTATACCTTTCCGAAGGAGGGTTGGAGGGCGGTGGAGCTGGGCAGAATCAGCGCAGGGTGGCAGAATTTTGGCGCTAGTCCTGATTTGGATGTGAGGTGCAGCGGTTGGATTTTTTCTGATTGGCTGAAAATTCAGGGCGGAAAGTAAGGTGTGACTCAATATTGGCAAGCACGTACCACTTCAGGCTCCACAGAGCCGCATTTTAGGTTCATATAGCACAGTATCCTCAGCATTTTAGCAAAATCACAGTGAAAATTTTACTGATTTGAAAGGAAGCTAAGCTATTCTCGGATGAATTTTGAATAATGAGAATTCTCAAGGGCCAATAACATCGCAAAGAAATAAAGAGGTTCGAAGAAAAATAAAATACCTAGGTACTTGCGTAAATTTCTGTGTAGTATTTTCTGACCAATGAACGGCTGCAAACAAGCCCCACTACCACAAGGAAAATTCTTCCGCCGAACACCCTGGCTGATTGCAACCTGCGCACGGACCCTCCAGCCCTCCTTCGAAAACCTATAAATACTCAGGTCCCCCTCCCACCTTTGGAATTTTCTTTTCCTTTCTTCTTCATGTCGACAATACTTCAGAGAATCATTTCTATAGTATTCGTCCCACTCTGTGTTCCCTACAGGAGCCACAGATCCCACCCTGGTTGATGAACGATATCCCCGTTGCCCTAGAGTGAAAATCAATTTTTACGGGAGCACTGAGGCCTCTGGTCGCTTTGCTCCTTACTTTCGATCTGCCCGCAAGGGTGGCGGCAATTTTTCTGGCGACAGATCTTTTGCTGTATAGAGAGTGGTGATGATCTCAACCCCGATTTGTCGCGGTCTTGCCTTCGGGCGCGCGGCCGGGGTGGGCGATGGTCGGACGTCTGACAGGCTTTATTCTATCTTTTCATTGCTTTCGCGCGCTTGACGCGCGAGGTGAGGAAGAGCCTCTGTTTGAATGGTTGATAGTAGCCGTACGTAATATCGCTATCGCCTTGTGAAGCACCTGTGATAACATGTCTTTCGCAACCATGTTGTCGGCGCCTACATGTTTGACACTATGCTTGCCACTGATCTCTGGCGCCTTCGCGATATTCCAGCGGCTCCCTTAATTCATATTACGTGTACTACAAAATATAGAAGCATCCTGATACGATGTTAAAATATCACGAATAAATACATAGAGCCCAACTATCCTTTCGTGATTCCCTGATTCATTAAATCCGGTCTAGAATTATCTTGAAGGGCCCTCAATATCTCGTAATTTATCAATTTCCGCTGCATGAATTCCCATTCCTATCCGATTTCCGGATTTCCCTGAAACGCTTTGGTATCAACAACGAACAGTAGGCTGGTTAATGGATTGTGTATTATGTGTATACACTACATTTTCATAGGACCTAAACTGTATGAACTGAAATACCACGAATTTCGTATGAGTTGAGACGATAGGTCAACTAGCAAACAACCCATTAGTCGACCATGCCTCGACTCCGCGTCAGAGCAAAGTCCCCTACCATTCACAAAAGCCCAAGCCATCTACGCATACACATACACGTATACATTCAACGCCCAAGCCAGTCTTCATCTCATACAGTATAGGATCTATTAATGATGCGTATCGTATCTTATTTACCCACTCTACTCCGCCTCGCCATGCCCTTGTGTAATGCCTAGACTATAGAGAGAAGCAGCCCAGCGGCTGCCATGATAAGAAAAAAAAAGACCTAAAACTTGGACCAAAAGGGACTAACAAGAAACCTCCGTACTCCGATATAATTAACACCTGATTATGCAGTTGACCGCGACGAAAAAAGGGTCCTAGGGGATATCACAATTACGTAGAAAAATCGCGATCTGAAAATCCGCGATCACATCGCGGTCGTGTTACAAAATTAAGGGAGAAACTCGTCAACCAAGTTGCGACGAGCTTTTTTTTTTTTTTTTTTTCAAAAATCCACGCCTGCCTCGTATGCTCGTCCGCCGGTCCCACGTCCAATCGTCTTGTAACTCTGCCAGACGCCGTCGGGCCCAAGCGTGTCAAACCGACTCACGCCCATCTGACCCATCTTGGCATCCGTGTAGCCAGAGAAGTAGAATCCAATCACAACCACCAAATACGTCAAGATCAGGATGCTGCCCTTGAAGTAGTTGCTCTTCCCCTCGCCGTACATATAGCTTAGCAGGAACACACACAATATAACGGTTACCATATCCCACTGCGGAAATAGGAGACTGAAGGTATAGTGCGTGGGATCTGAGTCGCCTATTGGTTGCAGAGGGTAGACTGCTGAGAAGAAGACTAGAGCGGGGATCTGAAGAAGGCAGACCTGTAGGGCATATGCTGAACCGATTTCCATTGATAACGCTATGTTTCCATTCATGGCGAAAGAAATGGCGTTCTATGACAAGGTTAGTTACAAGCTCATGGTAAAATTAAAGGACCAATACTTACCAGAAATTCGGTGGTGTTGGGTACCAAAGCGAATAGTGTGATACCAAGGAATTTTGGATCGATTGCATAGTTGTCCAGGACGACATCCACGGTGTCCACCAAGATCTCCGCAACGATTGCGTAGAGCACGGTGGCACCCATCAGAATAACTGAACTCTTCGTCCGGCTCCAGTTGGGCGCATCATGTCCACCGTGGGAAGCTTGGGCGTGCTCACCAACTTCCTCCGCCTCCACAGGAAAAGTGGATGTGCGAATGGGGGTAGGACGTGCCGCCGAAGTGCTAGCTCCTGCGTTGGATGGTTGGCTTGAGAAGCGACGTGTTCCTCGAGCATCGCGGGCCGCAATAGCTGCTGCTGTAGCGGCTACCTCGGTGACGCTACGGACAAGGCTGCTGTTCTCTGCATCGGAAAACCCAGGAATATGAACATTCGAACCAATGCTATCCGGAGTCATGTCGTCCTTCGGGGGAACCTTGTGCGGCGTTTGAACACCACCATTTATCGGAAACCCCTCCGATGCCTGACGTGAGTGGCGACTCTCTTCTAGTCCGACTTGTCTTAACGATTGACCCAAAATGCGCTTGTATAGATTGCTGTCTCGAATATCGGCACCAGTTGAGTCAGCCAGGTTCCGTACTTCGGACATCCGTGCCGCATGGTGCTGAATCTCCTCGTGCTTCTTCTCATCAATTTCGGTATTCCAAATGACAGCGGCATGCGTTCTAAGAGTAAACCACAGACCGATAACGTACGAAAGGAAAAGACAGATGGCAGCCCCGTAGCAGAACGGACGTACTGCCTCGATGTAGAAACGGTCATCGAGAGCTGGTACTTGGGAATAGTAGCAACGGCGACAATCACGTTCTCCGGTCCACATGAAATCAGTGCAGCTCTGGCATCGAAGCTCGTGAGTGCCATAAATTTGGTAGAAAAGGGTCGGTCCAAACGCAGCAACAGTGGCAAATATAAGCATAGTTGAAGTGACGCCGGCAGACTTGGCATTGAATCGTTGGGTTTTGCGTTTGATGGCGCCGAAACACATTGACAATCCAGGCAGGAAGAGAATACCGGCGAAGATACTCCCGATGATGCTGCCCTCCACCAACTGGCCCTTGCCATCCTTGAGCGCAACGCAGTAGAGGAAGACCTCTACGATCGTCGAGAAGAAAGCATTGATTGCTGCACCAAGACCCATGGAAGACTGGGCTGAAATAGATGCGACAGCTTGACCAATGAAGTATGCCAGGGGGATAATGGAGAACAAACCGGCCACGAACAAGAAACCTGGAGAAGTTATGAAGCTGTCAATGTGGAGGACGGAATCAAGCACAAGCCAGTCAAAGATAACAAAGATGACGACGGCCATCAGGTTGATGAGGAATATGTTGGTGCCATCGACAGTATACTTCCAATACTTTGGGCCAACAGCTCGGTACGTGCAAAGGAGAATGGATGAATGCGGGCCATCTGAAGTCCTGGCGATGCTGATATCGGACTCGAAAGATAAAGCCAGTGGATGCCTTCTAAGGTGATCAAAAAGGAGGTTGGTAACTTTGCCCATCGGAATCCAAAACACCAGAAACCAACAGATGGCGGAGGTGATAAGGAGAGAAGGCGTGATAAGGCCCCAGAAGAAGACGAAGAAGATAACTCGACCGATATTCCATTGTCCTCGACCGAAAAGACGTCTCTTCAGTGGTCGTCCCGGGTCAATCGAGTGTTCGTAGCGGCCTGAACGTGGAAGCAGACTATCCGTCTCGCTAGGTTCAGAATCGATGCTTCTTCTTGATCGACCTATAATCGAACGGTTTCGCTCAGGACCAAAGAAAAGCCGGCCATATTCCAGGTCACCACTTTGCCACTGCTCGTACTCACTGATGCTCCGACCCTCACCTTGATCTTCGTCCAAATATGCTTCATCTTGCTCGAGTCGCACGAACTTCCCGAATGGATAGAAGAGATAGCCAGCCAAACCCCATAATACGCGGCCGTATTCTCTCCCACTAGGAGCTGCTGCGAAGATGAAGCAGGCTGCCGCGCCAAGAGCTGCAAAGGAAGCCATCCACCAACCAAATGCTAATGTCCATATGATATTAAATAAGACTAGCCAACGACTAACCCGACCACCAGGAGAAGAATGAATATCACCCTCAGCAGTCTTCTGAACCGATCGGTCTTTCTTGTACAACGCAGGCTTCCATATCCTGATACCAAACGGGTGTGTCTCGTTGATGGCTTGTTGACGGTCCTTCAGGGTAAAACTCTCGGCGTCGCTGACATCATCGTCCTCGTCTCCAATAATACTAGAGTCGTCGGGAGGTCCATCTTGCGCAGCATCTCCGTCGTGCGACTGTGATGGTAGGTGTATTTCTTCCTCATCTTCCTCCTCTTCTACCAGCTCATCAATACCTTCCTCATCGGGACCGGCACTACGGCTCGAGTGTACTCGAGACAAAGTTGGCGGGGCCATGCTTCGTCGTCTTAGTGCAGAAGGTGGTCTTGCCGACTCACCACTGTAAGGTGGTATAGGAGAGAAGGGCGGTTGTCGTCCAACGGTGTCATTCTCAATCTCGTTCACGTCATCGTCCGTTGAGAACACCTCACCTCGATGAGGAGCTATCGTGTTCGATGAGGCTCTGCGTGGCATAGCGGGCTTTCTAGGGCGCTGTCGGCCACGGTCCGGACCTAATAGGGGGGAACGGGGTTGCTGACTTCCAGTTCTTGAATGCGATCGGTCGTGAGCAGTGGATTCTCCCAAATACTGCGCGCCGCTGCTTGCGGGCGGCGGTGTTTGAAGTGTGCCTGGCCATAGAGACAGGTTTAGTCAAAGTCTACTTCTAATGAGGGGCTAGAGGAGCTTGGTATGACATCGATCGACTCCCACGAGAGTGGGAATTAGGTTTAGGGACGCGGCTATGTGGAGGGAAAGGGTATTTAGATCACGGCAACGCACCATAGGATTGCTCTGTTCTTCTCCGCACAGTCTCACTAGACTGATAGCTTTCTGGAGCCATCTCCACGCTTCTAATTTCCCTAACTTCGCGTCGAACAGGTTGCTGTCGCGTATCGGATGGCGAGGGAGGTGCAGTAGAGCTACTGCTATCTTGCGAAGGGGGATCCATCGCTAGCAAGATATGCGAGGCCTTCGCTGCCAACGAAGAAGGCGTAATTATTAAACTAGCTGTGGGACATGAAAAGTTGTTTTTCTGGAACTAAGACAAAGGCAGTTCAGCTGGATAAGGGAAGACAGTATCCGAATTTAGCTTCAACTCTGGCAACCGACCAAAGACAAATGACGAGGAGAGCCAGGCGATGTTTCGATGGAGCCTTTGGAGGGGATCCTGTAAGGAATGTATGGTATGCCTTTCGGCTGCAGATCTAGCGTGCTGTATGTTGCTGCAGCATGTCTCGCTGGCGAATCGCGAGACAGAGATCTTCGGATGATAAACAACTTTGGATGGACAAAACAAGCAGCTTGATCACAGGAATTTTTAGGTAAAGAAAGATAAGAAACTTGAACAGGGAAGGAATGAAAAGAGGGATGGATGATTAGGACCAGGACCAAGACCAAATTATTCCGATATTTCCAATACTCCAATAGGTGCCTAGGTGCGTATGTAGGGTTAAACAGAAAGGACTGTAATTAAAAAGCTGAAAGCCAGCTTACGACTACCGACAACCGTTAAGTCAGATCTCATGCAACACACGAAAACATGGCTTAGGTGCTATCACGGACGCAGCACATGGCTGACGGATAGTGCTTAGGATGGGTGGATGGACGGGTTGGATGGTGGAGTGAAGTTCCAGACCAGTAAATCCAGTAAATCTAGTTCCGAGTCGTGATTAATCCTCGTGATTATTTCCAGTGTGAGTGGACGATGGTTAGCGTTCCCCGATTAAACCCATCCCGCCTAGAAATTCGCTGATTACATACGTCTTTACAGGGAAGTTGCAAGGAACTTACAGGCAGCAGAAGCAGCTATGGAGCCCTATGGCGTATGAAGGTGTGCTATCCTTTCCCCAAACTGGCCCCAAAGATGGGTCGATGCTGCAGCATTCTTTCAACCCCTGTTTAGAGACTTTGATTTCGTACTACCATGTACATGTATTACTTTGGAGAGACAAAGCCCGGCAGTCGCGCCTGTTAAGAAACATGCTAAATCGCAACTACTCTTAAGCTATCGACGCCTTTTTGATAGGAGGAACTACTAGGTGTATTCGATGTCTATAATTCAATACATATCTTTTAGCAATATTGGCACTCAGTTTGGTACTAACAAGATTATTGTGTTGTATGTACAGCTGCGGTCTTCGGTGATTGACTGAATATCAAATGTAATTGTCATCTGAACAGGCTTTTGTACAGATTACTTGCTTGAAAGGTTTCTGGAAAGCTCTCTGTAATATTATAGTACCCTACGTAATTAATGCATGTGAACCTGCAAGCTTACCTCAATGCAACATGCTTGTGCATTTTGTTCATATCGAAATTTAGATAAGTCGGTTGAGACGGCCCCGAACCGTCACTACGTACTTCAAGCGGAAATTCAGTATTGCCGTAGTTCCGGAACGCGTTGTGCAGCACCTGCCTGCGCCAGATCTAAGCTTTACCTGACCTACCCTTGTCCGAGCCATCATTGGCGCATCTTTAGCCTCACCATCGCTTTCGTCGCCTTATCCCAACACCAACTACAATCTACAATTTCATCATCCTCACCATTCATAATATACACTTCCTCCACTCCATAATCATCGCAAAAATCACCTTACCAATTCCCGGGAGCTTGAATTACGCCACACACGATAACATATTCCCGCAGGGGCCCTAGCAACCATGGCGCTCGACAACTACTACCACAACAAGATCGAGGCGATGAAGCTCGAGATCCTTAAGGGCCAAGCCGTTCTTCGACGTCTGGAGGCTCAGCGTAATGACTACAACTCGAGAGTGCGGTTGTTGAGAGAAGAATTAGGTCTTCTGCAGCAACCCGGATCGTATGTTGGTGAAGTGGTCAAGGTGATGGGAACGAAGAAAGTATTAGTGAAGGTACATCCAGAAGGCAAATATGGTATGTTGGCTTGAACTCGCTTTACCCCCTCGCCGGAGCTGACTATTCGCAGTCGTCGACGTTTCCGACTCCGTAGATATAGCAAAACTTACCGTGGGCAAACGAGTAACGCTCCTATCCGACTCCTACAAACTCGAGAAGATCCTTCCGTCCTCCGTCGACCCCCTCGTATCCCTCATGATGGTGGAGAAGGTGCCCGACAGCACGTACGACATGATCGGTGGTCTAGATCAGCAAATCAAAGAGATCAAGGAAGTTATCGAGCTCGGCCTGAAGCACCCCGAACTCTTCGAGTCTCTCGGTATCGCCCAACCAAAAGGTGTCCTTCTCTACGGTCCTCCCGGTACCGGAAAAACGTTACTAGCCCGAGCCGTCGCACACCACACCGACTGCAAGTTCATCCGAGTATCCGGCTCCGAGCTCGTGCAAAAGTACATCGGCGAGGGCTCCCGCATGGTGCGCGAGCTCTTCGTCATGGCGCGCGAGCACGCGCCCTCGATCATCTTCATGGACGAGATCGACTCGATCGGGTCCTCGCGCGTGGAAGGGTCGTCGGGCGGCGACTCGGAGGTGCAGCGGACGATGCTCGAGCTGCTCAACCAGCTCGACGGCTTCGAGCCGACCAAGAACATCAAGGTGATCATGGCGACGAACCGGCTCGACATCCTCGACCCGGCGCTGCTGCGCCCGGGCCGCATCGACCGCAAGATCGAGTTCCCCCCGCCGTCCGTCGAGGCCCGCGCCGACATCCTGCGCATCCACAGCCGCAAGATGAACCTCACCCGCGGCATCAACCTGACCAAGATCGCCGAGAAGATGAACGGCTGCTCCGGCGCCGAGCTCAAGGGCGTCTGCACCGAGGCCGGCATGTACGCCCTGCGCGAGCGCAGGGTCCACGTCACCCAGGAGGACTTCGAGCTGGCCACCGCCAAGATCCTGAACAAGCACGACGACAAGGAGGTCTCGCTCCAGAAGTTCTGGAAATAAAAGCTTGCCGCTTTTTGCTTTGGGACACGGGGTGTATGTGTGGGTGTGTCTGGTTCCGTCTTCCGGAATGCTGCGTCGCAACGGGCTTGGGCTTCGGTGTGGTGCCGGGGGCTGGGATCGATATGGCGACGGCTTTGCGGGGTCAGAGTCCAAGACACGACTATTTTATAAAGTGTACATTAATCCTAGAAGCGGCGCGAGACGGGCAAAGCTAATACATTGAGGTCTTGCCATTTCTAGGCAAATATGTGGATGTTATGTGACTGTTCTTATTCCGTGATGCTGTCATGTTGTGGCTGTGATTATGATGTTTTAGATGAATCTACCAGGTTTCTCCTCGTGATTAAGGGTAATTGCCTGGACAGCTTTCACCCTTTCGGGGGTGATGCAGAGGCAGAAAACCACATCAACAAGATTTAAGCCCATGAACAGGAACGGAGAATTTCAAAATCATCACTGTTGACGGCATGAGAAATTTATATGCAGAGTATCGATTTGTGTATCTGTTCATCTCTGCTTCGTATCAACGAGTCGATGTATGTAGTCGGTACTCGCCATTACGAATTACGGTATCAACTATTTAGTAGCAGCGCCCATCCACCAACACCCTTCTCCCAAACCGCCGATAATATACAAAATCCCTGCCGCCGACGTGGCTACTGCTTTTAGGCACTCTTATAAGTTAACCCCTTGTGTCTCCCCTTACCGTATGTATCCCTTACTCTACGAATCCAATTGTGTGCTATGCTTTCGTCTCGCTCCAAAAACGAAAATCGAATATGCCATGCCGTGATGCCAAGAACGCCTATAATAACTCCGATTCCTTACTAACACCGTTGCCGCCTTACCTGGCTAGACGGTCTAGCCAATGATATGAACCTTCCGACCATGTCAGAATGCTGTGTCGATGCCAAATGCGAATTTATGCAGTTCTTTTCCATGAGCCCTCCCCAGATTCACCATCCCTACCCGATAAACTGAAGTCGACCTTTAATTCGTGTTTAAGCGAGAGGGCTCCGCCGTTCTCTTCATCTCCGGACCTCTAGAATCTCGCTCCGCGGGCGTCCCCTACCACCGGCCAAACGATTGTTCCTCTCCTGGATTCTCCAGACCCACTCCACCACGGTCTCGTAGCAGAGGACAAATTGCCGCAAGCTTTGGACCATGCTTAGCCGCTGTCGTCTGAAATCTTCCACGGTTGTCTCAACTAAGTCAAGGTCCGCATTCTCGAGCCACCCAGTTTCTATTTCACCATGTCTAGATTCCTCTAGCCTGAGCTTAAGGCCATTGGGGCCGGCACTTCTTCGACGAACAGGAGAACTCTCAGTCATGCTCACGTCTCCGTCGGCATCTGGCCGATGCATCGCTGCTAGACGCTGTCGCTTTAGCATGTCTATTACGCTGTCGACTGTGCAGAAGGTACCAGTTCGACCACACCCAGCAGAGCAATGCACAAGCATCGGTCGAGCGTTCGCATTAGATTCAGGCTCTTCATACCAGCCCATGGCTGCCGGATTCTCGGTGGCAACTGATGCGGCGATCGAGTTCGCGTTAACAGGCAGCGCTGCGCGTTGCATCACGTTGGCCAGTTCGACAAGGGCTAATAGATGGGATGGCTGGGCCGGCGCACCGAAATCGGGCCATGAGGCGTAATGAAGTTGAGTGACCTCACGCATAGGGGAGAACGGATGCGAGGAATGTGACAGCGCGAACTTCCTAACGATGACGTAAGGGGTCTCAGGCTGGGGCTGAGAAGGCTGTACGTTCTGGGCAGATTCGAACGTAGTGGTAGTATTAGCACGGCGTCGCGCATACTCCGACGTGTTGCTTGTCGATGACGCAGCCCCAGGCGTTGACCGATGCTTGTCAATATCAAGCGACACCTTCTTTTCGGATAACGGCTTGAGCCTAATGGATCCGAATTCCCTATTCTGCCAATATGGATGGCACTTAAGTTGACCGCCTTCCGACTCCGCCGTTAACATGACTATGACGCGAACATCTTGATCCCATATAACCGACCAAAAGTCCTAAAAAGAGGATAGTTAGTCTCAGACACCGCAAGGGGTGACACGGTAGATGGACTTACGTCGAAGGTGGCTGGCAGGGGCCCTTGTGACGCAATATAACGCTTATAACTTCGCGAGGCTTGAACGTGGCTTGCATTGATGTAATCGCAAACGCCCTCGGGTCGACCGGTCAAGTGGACACGAGCATGTTCAAAGGGAAGAATGTCCTTGTAACGGTTTTTGCCACCCTTTTCCACTCCAGAGAGGCAGACTTTACCGGTGTGAAGACCTGGAGTCGCAGATGTGTTGAAGGATGCGTAGGCTTCCTTCATGCGAGATTGTTCTCTGCGCTCGATTTGCAGGAACCGTTCAGAAGCTTTCTTGCCATGATCTGATGACTTGGTCACATCTTGAAGCCAATGGGGGAGTGTGCTAGAATCCAAACTAGATGGCACTGAAATATCCATCTGACCGACACCGTCCGCGAGATCCATGTTTTGCCGAATATTACTGAAGAATGGATTAGGGTTATTAGCGTTGGACGGAAGCATTACGCCGCCGATCACGGGTGCAAAGCTCGGTCGCCCGCCTTCCGGAGAAACAGAGGTACCTGGCCGTTGCGACGCTGACTGGTGATCGACGAATGTAGGATGCTCAGTCGCAAAGGCATCAAAACCACCTCGTAGGAGAAAGGGTCTTCCAGAAAAGCCCTCGTTTGAAAACTTTTTGAACATGTTCATAGCCGATACTGCATCCCGCTTCTCTGATGAGTGGCCATCGTACACTATGAGGTACTTGACGTTCGGCCACTGCGCAAACTTCTGTTGATCCTCTTCAGTCTGGAGGGTTTGCTGTAATTTCTCTAGGTTGAACGTAGCTCGCTTCAAGAGAGTCGTCGGTATACAAAGATTCAAAGCACCGCGAATCCGCGACCGCGCGTAGTGAGTTGATACACGGATGTCTAGCAAAAGGAACTCATTTTCGGGCACGTTCGTAAGCATATCTTTGAGTTGATCTGGTTGAATGAGTCCAGGACCGGTTTCAAGTGCTGTCGGCAGCGTTTCGGCACGGGGTTTCATGGATTCCAATGACTGTTCGAACTTCTCCTGGGGTAAAGACAGTCGAGGATGCCGATCCTCAGCCTTTGATAAAGTCGTCCTTCGTAAGGCCTCAAAGGGAGAGTCAGCGCGAGCAGGAGACTCGAACCGTGGCAGGTTGCTAAAAGAGGGCGGATTCAGCGACACCTCCGAGTTCCTCTTCGAGTCTGATGATACATACGCAGAGTCGTGTAAGCTATCTGTGTCAATGTCCATCCGACCATCGTGGACCCTGCCGTTTAAAGACCTGGAGCTAGATAAATCCGAGGAGTTATCACTCTGATTGGTGGACAAACGCGGGGGCCTAGGTCTTGAAGACAAAGGTGACTGAAGCGGAGCGAAATGAGAGCTGCCTAGGTTGAAACCCTTAGATCGGTTCGCATCGACTTGACGTCTGAAAGCTTCAAACTCTGGGTTGGCATCGAGAGGCACCTGCTTTGGTATCGCAGCACCAAAGGACTTGACGGATGAGCTTGGGGGACTCCAGTGATCGAGAGGAGCAGCAGCTGAATCTCGAACATCACCGTTTGGATGGTCAACGTTTAGGCCGAAATAATTGGGACTTGGTGAACGAATATCCGTCATGACGGGAGATAGTTTAGCACTAGGAGGATAAGGTTGGCCGACAGAATGAGGCATGCGGGGAGACGCCATGGGTGTCGTAGTTCTATTAGCCCTAAAAGCTTGCATGTTCGTCTGGGCACGCCGGGAAGGATGAGAGTGGGAATGTGATGAGACCAGAGGTGGTCTCGTAGACGTCTTCATTGTGTAATGTTGAGTGGTAGTGGTAGAAGTTGTGGTCGTTGCTAGGCGGTCGTTGTTTCTCGTCGAGTCTGGGGCCATTTTCGATTTCATCCTACGGATGACGTCGTTTCTATGAGAGGTCCAACTTTTTCTTCCCATTTCAGTATCCGCCCCTTATAAAATCGACATGACGACCGGTATTAGATTCATATACGTTCTTTCTAGTTTTTTTTTAAGAAATAGGTTGTTTGTAGATTTGTGATGGCGTTGGTGGCACGATTATCTAAGTCTCTCCCTGCGTCGTGTGGCTGAGGCGTGGGAAACCGAAGCTGGATAAGTAAGACACAGAAGATGTTCGAAGGCGGCAGCAACATCCGCATGCGCAGTAACGTGCAGACAATGCGAGTGGAGGGCGAAGGACAGAAACAGGGTCTAGTTCTAGGAAGACGGATGGCAATAGAGCTACCAAAAGGAGGGCGAGTGGAGGGGAATGACGGTTGTCAGAAGAAACAACCTTTTCTCCTTTCGTTACGCTGCTCAGGCTAGAGGGACCCTTTTGCTTTTCTGCGTGTGGTCCGGTCAATGGTTGTAATAGCGGTAGTAGTTAGCAGTAGTGGTGTGTATGAGTGTGTGCGTGTGGAATGGGCGATGAGGCCTGGACCACCGGCGATCTCTGCTTAGACGTAAGTAGACGCAACTTGGTCGCACTCAAAATAGGACAAAAGAGTGCCCTGGCCCTGAAGGGTGTAAGTAAATGGACGTGAGGTCTTGTAAGTATGGGTGTAAATAGAATGACAGGATGGGGGGCAGCGCTGTTCGGATTGCCTGACTTGATCAAGCAAGGCGAATGTCTCGTGCAGGCCAAGGTACTTTGACAGGACTTGACAGAACCAAGGTAGGTAATAAGGTAAGGTGGACTGGCTAGGTACTAGGTAGATTTCGGGGGGGTATTAAGTGTCATAGAGGGACGAGACTACGGAAGTTTCTGGACCCTAATAGGGCAAGAGGAATTGTCGACTGAGGTAATGATCAGCAATTCAATGGCGCTACTTTGCGACGGCGGCAAGGGTTGAAAGTGGTGGATTAAGTAGGCTGGGTGGACTAGGGACAACTGGGACAACTGGGACACAACACCGTGAGGCGTGGAGACGGAGATAATATAAACCATAGGCCGCGTCTTCATCGTCAAGCGCAAGGGGAAAACTAACTGGTTACTCACTGGTACTGAAGTGGAATACCCACTCTTCAAAAAAGGACCCCCAAAGGACCCAAGGACCCAACACTAAGAGGTGGCTTTTGACGATCACGAAATATAAGCCCCATTGAGCCTCCGGTCAGTCCAATGTGCCTCCAGCGTCGTGTTACCTTCTAGTCAAGTGCTGGTTCCAATTTCAATATTGAACGTTGTTACGAGGTATTCTGGTTCAATGGTTCAGTGGTTCAACGTTGTTAAAGTCTGATAATGTAGGTGACTAATTCGGTTGGCGCCGTAGGATCAGATTGGAGAAAAGTGAAACCCGAGAAAATAAAAAGGGTTCAAAGGCTCGATGACGAAATGGCCAAAAAAAAAAGTTGGGGTGAATGGATAAGGGGGATAAGGGGATAAGGAAGGGGACCCTTGAACGCTGATGACTCGGTGGAACTTTTTCCTTTGTTAAATAACACACGACATGAGGCAAATGAGGCAAATGACATAATGATATCTTCTTACCTCATTAACATACAGACTTCTTTGTTCCTGCCTACTGAGTATGTGCTTCAAACTTTATAATTCGCTACCTACGCGTCTACCATGTAATAGTGCAACCGTTATTCTATGAGTCTATACATTCTATCCAACCTGTTCTGCCCGTCCAAGATTCAATGATCTCAGCTAAGGCTTTTACCATCTCGCATTTGATATTTGTAAAGTTGTTTGGTTCAATGCGCTTAAGGCATATGTGGTAGGTACAGACAAGTATAGCACATTTGTATACCTGGCAATTGCCCATATTAGATAAGCCGTGAGCGCAATGTTAAACTTGAAAAGTACATCGATAGTACATTCGTACATATTCTAATGCGGTCCCGAGGTGGTGCATCATACACACGTCATAGTTGGGCTTGGCTGATTTATGGAAGACAGGGAGTTGCAAGCAACGAAGCGACATCGAAGCTAGAAGCACAGGCCACATTAATCCCCCCCTCCCCCCTTTTTCCTAGAAATAATGACCTACTATGCACTACTATGCAGTATTATGGACCTCTTGGGCGCTAGACTTTTCATGGAAGTCAATCCCCAGGGCTTGGAAGCTGGTTACTTGCTTTGGAATCTTCTCTTTTTTTCTTCTTTAGGGGTCTAAAGCAAGGTCAACTATGTACCAGTCCCGTCTTGGTGTGTCGCAATAACTATTCTAGACCTTTTCCCCTCATCTACGATTGACACAATTGAACAAAGATCATCCGACTCTGCTTCGTGCTACGTCGAAAATCGCTTCTGACAATGGCCGTTCTCGTCTTTTTTAATTGCCCGAGAATTCTGGACTTCTAGTCATTTTGGACCGGTCAACCGGCGCAATCATGGTTAGTGAGGCCATTTGCTATTAGCCGGGCCAAGGTAGTAATGCGTTCGTCGTCCGCATTTTAAATCCGCACTTAAAACGCCAAAACGCAGTGAGGCTGAGATGGTCCCGTCCTCGACGGTTTCGAGTCTCTCAAGGGTTTACCTACTCCAGCAGCCTAGTGGCGTTACTCTATCTCGCCTAATCATTAAACATGCAATTCGGCATATCCATGGATTGGAAGTATGGAAGTAGTATCCTTGCAGATACCTACTTGCCTTGATATTTTGGGTTTTCACATCAAGGACGAAGCCCTAGTACGCGAACAAAGATGGAGAAATTTGTTTAGTCCGGAAACAAGTCATTTTTTTCGGATTTCAGATATTGCCATTGCTATCGCGCAAGTTCTAGATGGATCTAACCCCCTGATGCTCCGTCCCAAGTTTAACCCACGCTGCCTTATGTACCTAAGGTTGGCTATGATCGGTACAGACGTCTTAAATGAGGAACTTAAAAAGATCGTCACTTGCCCAACAATATGGTTACAAGCGACGGGACATACGATACCGAATATATCCCGTGGCCATTCTCACGGGGTTCACACAAATCAAGAAGATGTGCGATCGGTGGGACGGTTATAATAAACCACGCTATGGATGGCACAAGATGGACCAGTTGCTAGCATAGGGCGCGTTAGTTAGGCACAGAGCGCCAGCCTACCTAGTACAGCGTTAATGACTAACAGCTCATAGAAGTCTCCTGATCTTGTCATCGAGTGGTGACAGACACACAAGACATCGATTTTTCAACTGTCGCATCTTACGCTAAAGAAGGGACATCTCTAAGGAGATGGGAATTTCAACCCTTCACACCCTTTATAGCTCATCTTATCACCCCATTTCTACGTCATTGTGCTTCGCAATATGTTGTACCACCAACTTCCCACGAGGCCCAGCTCTTCCCGCTCAAACGGCCGTTTATTGTTGAGCCTTTCTACCGTCGCGCGGTTGTTGAGCTTTGGCATATGAGCAGATGACCTCGTTCAACAATAACCTTTCTAGACGAGGTCGTGCACGCGAGATGCGATTCCGTGGTGTGTGCAAATATATCTGGCCAAGCCAAATGTTTGGACCGTATAGTGGCGTGGGATGCAGATCAGCTTGCACAACCTCCCCGCATCAGAAAGGAGCTGCAATCCGAGGGGTCTGGAACCTGAGGGGACGAAGGGGGGGATCAAATCATGTTGAGGCTACGGGCAAACCTAGCTGCCTGTTTCAGCACTCCCCAGCTACGTACTATCCCAGTTTCCCATTTCCGACCTTAGCGGCTGATCCCAAGATCTAGACATGGAGAAATGTAGTATCCCATATTGCGTTATCGCTCCGTTCCGCTTATTTCGATTTCTCACCGCCGTTGTACGGAGTACATCTCTCGTACATTCACACGCATACATCTAGGTAATCCTACCCTGGGGTCACCAATCTACCAATCCATCTATTATTGATTAGTGGAGGATTTACTCCGTCGTAAATTCGCTAGACCTGCGTCCAACGAAAGCGCTACCGCGCTGATCAAGACACAAATCTCCCGTAAGGCTCATCGCGTTACGATCCAGGACGCGCAACCTGTCTCTGCTACATACGCACTTTTATAGATCCGAGACTAGCGATAGCCGCCGCCACGTGTAGATGGCCAACTTTATTAGGACCCTCGGGAACGGTGATCCTCGTGTTCCAGGCACATAACGGTCTAATCGCGAGACTAAGGCGACTCGGCGAGTCATGTCATGTAGCAGTCTCGGAGACGCCAAGGAAACTCTCTCATCACGCTTATTTATTGCCTAAGCCATTTTACCCACCAGCCCGGCCCCTGTTCCTGTGGCCCCCGTCTCCGACAGCTACGCTACGCAGGTAAGCCGCCTACCTGCATTAGGGAAAAAGAATCTAGGCCAGTAGCTCGCCGGCGCTAATGAAGAAAGCAACTGCTGTGACACAGGCACGGTGTGCAAATACCAGATAACAGCTAATAATATCCGTTCACCGATATTATAACTTCTGCAAGGGCGACCTAGTCAATGCTTATTTTTGCCATGAGCATTGAGTTATGTATAGTACCTCCTCCTATAGGCTAGCGAGGCGGATGATGCGCTTGCTATCGTAATCCCTTAAAAATTCTTGCTCTTGTTTAATCTGACTTCAAGTACTGCCTGTGACCTGTTGAAGCTTATATAAGCATTTTGGTTCTGCAGATAATAGGGGTAACAGTTGAAGCCGCAGGCTCCTCTTAGGGCGGAAATCATCAGATAGTGTTTCGTCACGATGAAGGAGAGAAGACTTCACAATCTGTAACTACACCACGGTATCACTTGAAATCAAGATCATTGGGTTTCTCTATTCATGATTCTTAGACGATGACGGCATGACACTGCAGCATTTATGCGAGCTTTCAACATATCCGCCTCTACGGCTGATTGATCAGGCTCGTTTTGAGGTGTTGATGGTAAATGGATTTAACTATTCCCATCTAAGCAGTGTATATGCTTAGAAGGACCTCATCAGCAGCAGCCTGAGAGTTGAATACGGAGGTAAAACCTTAGGCGGGTAAGTTTATGTGAGAGTGAGACAAAGTAGTTGTTGAAGTTTGTTATGATGCTTTCATTTTAGATGTGATACGCAAACAAGCTCTTGTGGACTAGATACTTTACGCCGGTCATGGTTAAACTATTCCTTTGATGCCCCTGATTATGTGGACATTACTGGAGGCTTTAAACCAGTTCGATCTCTTCCACAGGCGACGTTTTGGTCTGGCCTTCGTGGGTTTCCTGGATTTTCGTATGGTGCTCGCCCTCCTATCACCAAGCACTTGAGCGATTGGTTCTTCCATTGCTTCCAGCCACACGACGTGCGGGTATTGCACTCGAGTTTAGGACGATGTGACATTTATTTTTATCAAGAAAACTGTCTTATGATCATTAATTTTACGGTGTTAACCTGTGTTCAAGTCGGAGTTGGATATATGATCATTAAGTCGATGACCTATAAGGTAAATAATGGTCCCCTTTTCTTCTCGGTACTGTTGTTAGAGTCATGACTACCTATATTTACGCTACTGCCATCTGATATGCATTTGAGGGGTCTATTTCATGTATATGTAGGTAAAAGGGGCCCCTAAGGGGTTGTAAAGGTACAATCGTGATTCGAAGATATAATAAAACAAGAAAATTGCACCATCTTCTCTTTTCCTATGAAGTTTCCACTACCATGATGGTATTAATGACTAGCTTCTTATATAATTCATGATACTTTTCTCAGGGCGGCAGGCTTATTCAGTATGGGAGAAACCACCGAATTAGATAGCATTACCGATGTTGCCCCTGAGATCACTATGTCGCTGTTTGATTACCCCAGGACATATGTGCAAATGCAGTAGAAAGTTGCCAACGAATATTCCTAGGTGCTTCAACAAGAGCTACGCATATCATGAAAGATACTATGAGTTTAACAACTTCATCAAAAGACATATAGCTAGATAACGATAGACCTCTTCAGGTCAGCAGAGTCGTTGAACAGTGTCTCAACAAATTGAACACAAGGTCCAGCAGTCTATTCGTACATTAAACACATAATGAGTGCCGTATCGTTGCTAGCTAAAAGACACAACTTCTAACGTACTCGCAGCTATGCCATTTACCCATGAAACCGACCGAACTCCGAGCTATGCTAAAAAGGCAAGCTTGTATATGGGTATCAACATAACTTGAGCCTACTCCTCATTTGCTCCCGTATACCGTGTCATCGTAATGAAGCCATATTCTTCTTCATAGGTCCATCTCCCAATTCTGTACTCCTCTGCTAGGCTCTTGTTTGGACTTCTCAAGTTCAGTCTCCACGTCCCAAGCATTAAGGAAATCGTCTAAGTTATTCATAACGTCCGCTACATCGTCGACACCTTGACTCTCCTTTCTCCATGGCGATTGTTTTCCACTGGGTATCTCCTGATTGGGATTCTTCTTGATTTCTTCGATAGGACTACCGCGTGCGCGGGGAATATACGCATCTGCTGCCTGAAAAGCTTCAGCCATCGCACCAACCGACGGGCTTACGGACATCTGCTGCGAGGAGCTTGGGAGTAATGGCCGGGATCGACGCCGGACCTTCTCACCACTAGCGCGCCGCTTCATGATATCGAAATGGTTATGGAAGAGCTCGCCCATATCCTCGTCCCCGGTATTGACTATTGCTTTGGGTGGAGGTGATGCGGCTTTTCCGACCTTAAGTGGTCGTCGGGTTTCGGTATCGTCCCCATCATCAGAAAATAGAGCGAACGTCACTCGCCGGGTTGACCGCTCGCTATCTGAGGCGACAGGAAAAGTGCCCTGTGGATGGCCAGTAGACGAGGAGCGCATGATAGACTGTTGACCTTGGCGTTTTGGCGACGGACTATTGAACATAGCGAATGACTTGATCGATCTTTCCAGGTCAGGGGTTCGTATATGAGATACAGGCATTCGGGGAGGTGTAATCGGGTTCTCTTTTAAAGGCTCCAGACATTGGTTATCTGGATCAACAGTGGCCATTGATAGTTGGGAGTGCGGCTGCAGTGGTTTCTCGTTAGAAATCGCTGGAGCAGGCGAAAGGGGCGAGTATTTGGGATATGGCTTGAGGCCCGTGCTTGACTCGGCCCAAGGACTTTGATGTACTTGAGAAGTCGTTGCGATAGGATGCGTGCGTGTAGATATAGCCTCCACATCTGTTAAGTGATGCCCATGTTGTTCTATATTCAAGGGCTCCAGTAGCTTCCCACCCCACGGACTCTGCTGTGATGGTCTGATTACAGGGGTTCCATGACCACTAGGTTGAGAACTGAATAGAGTGAAATGAGATGGACAAGGAGAAGGTGAGGGTATATCATCCACCGGCTCTGACTTAATATGTTCGATCGTTAGATCTGCCCCTGGAGCTAATTCGGTAACCCATGGACTTCGTGGCGGGCTAGTTTCCGAATGTTCTAACTGAGACGTCTCAGTTGGGTTATTTCGATCAAAAACCTCTTTAGTCTTGATTTCTATGGTGCTCGCCTTGCTCTCACCAACCACATTCGACTCTACCGCAGATTTGTCCGGAATCTCAGCAACACCCCATTCCAGCCGTGACTGTGGTACTACGACTAAGGTGGATTCAGTATCAGATTCATCCCCTTGTGTTGCCTGTTTCATCGTGATTTCCGGTGGCTCATTTGGCTCGATTGTTGCTATGACGTCTGGAATTGGCCTTTTGAATACGTGATGACTCGTGGATAATTGATTAGCATCATATAATGTACTTCCATCAATGCCCATTGGATCACCAGCAGATCCTCCATTTACCACCGGTTGGTTTTCTGTTGGATATCTTTTGACCTCGTCAAGAATTCTCGAGAGTGTAGCCACTTTCTCTTCATGTAGCGCTTGCGATGTACGAAGATCGTCGTGGGTTGGGTTTTGTTCGTCATTTCGTATAACCTCACTCTTTATGTGAAGCGTAATAGCGCTTTCCGGTGGAATCAAAACGTTATTTGAACCATTATCCGTTGAATTTGAGTTCTCAACTGGTGCTTGCTGATCCTTAGACGCTCTTATTTTCGAACGTGAAGGGATTGAGAAGTACTCCTTGCTGCCCTCACTGACACTACCTTCCTCCTGACAGTACATTGGATCAGGAAGACTTCTGGCTCGTTGGCTTCTTGCTTCTCGCTCTCTGGAAACTTGCTGTCTCAACATTGGACTTGATTGTGGGAGTTGATGCGGCTTTTTGGTTTCATGAACTGCGATATTTACCGCATCTTCGTGGACTGGAGGTGAGGGGGTTCTAGTCTGAGTCGGTTTAGGACAGGAGTCTGTAATTGTATCTTCCACATCCAAAGTCTGCTTCGCGGGTCGAGTTCGGTAATGGAAACTCTCGTCTATATAACTCTCAGAGCCTATATCATCTGCTTCTTGGCTCTGACGGAACTGCCCATTTCTTAGGTATTCGCAGGCTTGTTTCGCGTAATCCTGTGTTTCGGCATTTGGAACCCATTTGGGGGTTTGATCGCTGGTGGGAGATGGTTGGTGGTTTATGCCATCAACCGTGATACTTATGGATCGGATATTCGACTTCTGGATAGCTGCGTCGTATATTTCAGATGGAATGGCTTGTGGTGACATCGTCTCATGCCTTATGGAATCCTTATATTGTCCTCCTTTAGGAGCTTCTGAAACACTCTGGTTAGCGGTGGAAGATGGAGTTGCCAATTCGAAGCTTTGGCTGGCCATCGTCCCGGGAATGGTGGGCTTCAAAGTCTGGCCAGTGTTTGTAGGTACTGAGCTACGTCGAGTCTGTGCCTGCGCGGCTAGTAGTGGCGTGGGAGTAGACGTCGTAATTGTACCTTGCGGGGTGCCGAGTCTCTTCCGTTTTGACTGCTTCTTCAACCAATCCTTCCCGGCTGGTCGTTTCTTGTTAGAACCATCGGATTCTTCGGTATAGGCTTGGTTAGGCGCCCAGAAAGCATCCTTCTCTAGTACAGTTCCTCGAGATACATCCTTCGCCCAAGCCTGTATCCGACTGCGTTTGTCCGTTTCTGGAGGGCTACCCGCAAGTGGCAATTCGCGATTGCTTTCGGGACTAGGCAGGTGACAGCGCATTGAGTTACTTGTACTAGGTATAATATTGTTTCGTTCGAGATGTCTGCGCAAGCGTTTTTTGACTGCTGGGAGAGGCTTCGGCGTAGGTTGAGATGTGGGGATGGTATCTTTCATGACAGGTTGTTTCGGCAGCCAAGGATTGTTCCATCCTGACGCCTTTTCGAAAGGACCATGGAGAGAAGCAGAGAAGATTCGTGGGGGCTTGCCCTGTAAAAATCGGAGTCCCTGAGTCTCGTATCTTAGTCTCTTTGCGATCTTTGCCTCATCATCAAGTTCCTCATCCGATCCATAACAGATGATGTCGTCTGGGTCTGATGGGGGAGGTGCGGCGCAATATATAGGTTCGTCGCCGAGGCGGTCTCGTCTCCAGGCCTCGGCCTCGATATCCATGTTATCTTCATCCATGATTTCGCTATAAAGAATGGCGTCCCGTCAATTCCATATCCTCGTTCGGAGTTCAACAGGGTTAGCCGGAGGTTCTATATTTGACGTTGGTGAGGTTTCGAGAGTGGACAATGCCTAGGATTTAGGCATCACTGAGAGGAAGTCAAAAGAGATTTGGTTATTCAGATTGATTAGTCTAATGTTGCGTTCCGGTCGTTGCTAGGTGGCATGAAATCCCCACTCTCCTAAAATAATATGTACAGTAGGTACCGATCTTAGTAGAGATTTGGAAAACCTTATCGCGATTAGACGCGACTGAGCGCGTTAATTGAAATTAGCGCCTTTTTCCAGGTTGGATGTGGCACAGTGTGGCTTGCAACACGTTAATTGTGTTAGGTGTGGCGAATAAATGGGTAATTGGTTGCTACAGAAACCGGAAGATGCCAGTACCGTTCCTTCCGAAGGATTTGACCAATAATTCAACCGTGCGGGACGGTGTGAGCTAAGTAACGGTAACGGTACACCGCCTGCACAACACCACGGGCCATATTACATCCACAGTACATACCTAGGAAGATACCTGCCCTTTTCACCTTAACAACCCTTACCAACCTCCCTGGGACCCCTAGGACATGATCAGAGCTTCACGAAATATCCTTCCAAGGAATATTCCATAACTTAACGAATGCTTGAACGATCCTGTTATATTCAATCACCATCCAATTACCTTCCACGCTTCCTCTATTGGTTAGTGCCGCACCTTAGAGCACCGCAGACGCGACCAATTGCCCCACGCATTATTGTCAACACAACACCACTTAGGACACAGCACGTCATCAAATCGTGACCCTCCAACTACACAACTACATACTACAACACTTCCGTTGACGGAGCTGCTATTCTAATTGCCTCAAACCCTTCACTATACTTCAATTACCTAGCTCCATGAATGCGTGCTGTTGTCGTTGATATTCGCCGTATCTAATCTTTACAGCTGCCCGCCATGGCTCATGCCTGGTTGGACTCACTCTCTGAGGACTGGGTGTCCCAGCCCAGATCCGACACTTCACAGGTCCAATTGCCCGCTACGCCGAGTGCACGGCCAAGTACGAGTCGCAAAAGCCCGCGCGGCGCCCTGAGTCGCATACCAAGATATAATCCTGGGAGTTCCTCAGCAAAGAAACCGCAGCAACTTGCGCATGACAGTAGCGCCATTAATGTCTTAAGCGAGCGAAGCACAAACGATATTAACATCCGGGGATCGCAACGTGGTTCCTCAAAATCTTCACAAGAGACTAAGGCCTCTCCAAGGGAACGACGTTATATTAGTCGATCGGCATCTGCTTCTACTACCGCATCTGTCGTCCATAATACCGTCCAACATAAGAAATCCCAGAGTACCTCCGCACCTTCTAAAGGTAGAGATAGTATACCGGAATGGAAGAAACGATTAGTCTATGGGGAGCTGAATTATGGAGAATCAAAAGATCTGTTTAGCTCAGCCGGAACGGGTTTGGAAAACATCTTTCGACCGCCAATGGCAGCAGAATCTACTGGAGACGAGACAACGACGAATGAAGGTGCCAACGATATGACACTACCATCCAGCCCTCCGCCTTATTCAAGATCCAAGCAGCATCAAGAGCAAGAGCGCGAAGATGAAACCTTCGAGGAATCTGCCAATGACTCTCAGATTCGGCATTCACCTCCACCTCCTAAGAAGATAGTGTTTCGAAGGACAGACGAGGACGCTCAGGAGTCAAGCAGATATGGCCAGTCTACGTTGGATGAGAGTTATGATGGACAAGACGAAAGGACAAATGAGCCTGAAGAAGAGTCTAGTATCCCCCTTAGTCCTAACAACCGGTTTGATGAATCGCGTAAAGTTAGTGGGCAAAGCGTGATCAAGAACGAGGACCTTAGCCCAATTCTGATAACGCGCCTCACTAAAGACGGAACAGTGAGCTTTGCCCCGGCCGAACTTCCCGCGGAACAATTACGGATTCGCCTTGAGACGCTTAGGAGAAACCAGATGGTGTTGGACTCGGAGGAACCTAGTAGCTTTCTTGAGCTAGAACCGGTCCCTGTTACCAACGAGAGCCAGAAAATCGATACAACTGATGAATTTGTCAAGAATGGCGGCTTTCTGAATGTTCAACGAGGTGGACGTTCGGGAGAAGGATCTTTTCGTCGACGTCCTCTCAGCCCTCCTCTGAACCTTGACACTTCAGATATGCTTCCAGAGTCATCCCTCCAAGCCAGCACCCCGAAGCAGTTCCCAAGCGTCAGGCTAGAGCGTATTGCGTCAGGCAGCTGGCGCGGAAATTCGGGATCTCCTGATATACCCCGCGCACCATTCCCCAGCCCCGAGAAGCGACTCGAACCTCCTTCGGGCCAGAGCGGTAGCCCTCTAAAGTTATTTGGACCATATGACACATTCACCAATCAAACTCTTCTCCGACGCATAAGCCAGTTTGAGGACCAACTGACCGAGAGCCCTTCACGTTCGAATATAGACAATACTGCCGCTTTACCAACACAAGAATCACCTTCTAAATCCGACGTGAACAAAGGGTTTGTGGCCGAGTCTAGTCCAAAGAAAACAGCGCATTTTAGTTCCAACTATCCTGACAACATCGACGACATTAGCACTTTCGGGGCAGGAGAACTGGATGGCTACGAGTTCAGCGAAGACATTACCCAGAACTCAATTTCTCAATCGCAACTAACCAACAAGGAGAATGTGATGCCTGCAGACGACTCGTTGCCACCGAGTCAGTTTGTCAAGTTTCAGCTTCATGAGGATTTATCTTCGGAGGGAGTATCCCTTCTCGTCCCGCGACGACGTCACAAACTACAGATCAACGGTTTCCCTCCGCGACGCTTCATGGGATTATCTAGAGTTCCCAATACTTCTGGACCCCAGAGCTCTTCGCATCCGATCGGACCCAGTGGCGTTGTTGAGGCAACACCAAAGAGGGATGGCTCTGATGGGAAGAGGCCGCGGACCTCGCCATCTAAAGATCCTACTCCGAAAAGGAGAAGGACGCTTCACCGATCGGATATTGCATACGGATTGGAAGACCAGTTCGTGGCGATTGATACCGTACAATCTTCACATCGAACTATGCAGTCAGTTATCGGGAAGAAGCGACCAGCCTCCGGTGAATCTGACTTGCAACAAACCGCGAGCCCGAATATTTTGGCAACAAGACCAATTCTCCGACCTCGATCACCAACTCCTGGTCAGAGATCATCGGTAGCGCACGAGCAGCAGTCACTCGACGACCTTAGTTATAATTCGGGTCATCAAAATAGCACGTCGGAAACGAGTGCTCAAGGGTATGCTGTGAATGGATCGGGTAGGACCTCCTTGAAGACGCAGGACTACTACGATGTTGCAGAGGAAATTATGACTATGATTCGTAATAAGGCACGGCCTAGGAATGATCTAAGCAGCGTAGAAGAATCTGAGGCTGAGAGTGGCGAGCAACAGCACAGCTCGCTTGCATATGGCGGAGACGAGAGCTCGTTCCAGTCTACGAAAGAGCCATTTTCACGACCACCCAGTCGGGAAGGACCTCCTCTTTTTAGAGCGCCAACACGCCAGGAAGATCCAGAGCTTATCAATCAACTAAAAAAGTATGAAGAGGGTAGCGATTTGGGCGAGATCATTACGAATTCGATGTATTCGATGGGACGCATTAGGGAGGCTATCAATGAGGCTAACAGCCTCAGTGAGTCCATCCGCCAGAGTTTCCTTTCTGACAGGTCGTGGGATAGCTTCCACGAAGATCCGGAGGTGGTCAGCGACCTTTCCAATGTAAGGATCTCGCGTAACCCTGACATCCCTGAGCCTGGCGAAAATGCTGTCGAATATCCCACAAATGGATCGAGGTCTTCTGGACATTCCGTTCATACTGCCTCCTCTAGAGGATCAGAGTCAAAGAAACTCATCTTGCCAGATGTCGTTAAACCTTTTATCGGTAACAAGGTGGGAAACATGGTATTCGATAAGGAGAAGAAAGTATGGCACAAGATTAAGAAGCCAAAGCCTACGGCGGAAGACAGAAATTTTCTTCCATCCGAAGATAGCGAGGACCCGTTCGCTAGTATTCCGGATTTGTCGGTGGACACTGCTCGAGAGAAGCAGAATCTCAAGTTAGCCGTGACACCAAATCTAGGGCACAACGAGCAGGCTCAAGACGAGGTACCGCAAAGTCCTTCTTCTGCGAAGTCGTCTACCACGGCGCATGAGTCCATCAATTCCCAAAACATGATGGGCAATCTAAAAGAGGTATACGCAAAAATGGAGACAGCAGTGGAAGATGACAAGGAAATCGAGCATGAAATATCAATCCATGAAGATCGGATGCAAAGATCCAGTCCATCGCGACGAAGAAATCTCACGATTTCATTTTCGTCCCCGATTGCTTCGATCATCCAAGATGTTGCTCATCATTCGGATGACGGCAATGGCGGTCAAGAAAATGGAACTGTGGAACACGTGGCCCCCACCGATTCGCTGGGGCGTGGACGACGGTCTAAATCGCCAAAATCCGCCAGCAGTTCAATTAGAAATTCCCGGTCGCGAAGCCGTTCTACAAGAAACTTATCGGTAAAAGGCCAGGATTTTATCCCTAGGCCGGTGTCCCGGATTGATGAACAGGACGAAGACGCAAGTGGAGAAAACGCGGCGTCGGAAGAGCGGCAGCTCAGCATTCGCGCAGATTCGAGCGTCGTGTATCCGGACAATGAAGACAAGCGGAACACAAGCTTGAGCGTCGTGGTAACGCCAGCGCCCGCAAAATCCCAGCCGATTTCTGCAACGCCAATCATCGGGCAGTATGTTGGCACTTTGTCCTTGAGCCCACTGTCCGATTTTACAATGCACCAAGCGGACCAGTCCTGCGGATTAGAAGTCAGCTATGTCGTCGGGGATCATTATCTCGTTACGGGAGATGGTTCCAAGAAGATTATGTCCAAGGCCATCCAGAATCTTGTCGAGAAGATCACCGAAGTCGAGCCATTTGAGCCTGATTGGGATTCCATGCAAGAGCTAGACATTAATGATAAGCACTTGACGACGCTTCACATGCTTGATGAGTTCTGTACGAACGTTGTTACTCTCAACGCATCCAACAACTTTATCGAACACCTTGACGGCGTGCCTGAAGCCGTTCGCAACTTGCGCATTACCAATAACCACCTTTCCGAACTAACAGCATGGGGTCATTTGATGAATCTACAATACGTAGATGTGTCCAACAATCAGATCAGCAGCCTGCATGCCTTTAAAGATCTAGTCCACCTCCGAAATCTTCGCGCCGATAACAATCAGATCACCAGCTTGGACGGTATCAAGATGCATGATAGCTTGCAAGTTCTCCGTGCAAGAGGCAACCTTATTGATGAAGTTAACTTCGATGGCACAAAGCTACAGCGGTTGACCGAATTAGATCTAGAGAACAATCAAATTACCTCGATACAGGGAGTTGAGCAACTCACGTGCCTAGCCACCCTTAACCTGCAGCATAATGGCCTATCATATTTCGCTCCGAGTGCGGATGTCTCGGTCCCGAACCTCAGGTACCTGACGCTCTCTAACAACGAGCTCACGACCTTCGATGTCGCGTCATTCCCTTCGCTGCGCCTCCTACATATAGACCGCAACCAACTAGTCACAATAACTGGGTTTTCACGATGCCGTCGCCTCGATAGTCTCTCGCTGCGCGAACAGCGAGGCGACGAGCCACTAGACCCATCATTCCTAGACGCCGCTTACGAAGTGCGGAAGCTGTTCCTCTCGGGCAACCTGCTCGGGACCTTCAACCCGTCGGTTGACTTCCTCAACCTGCAGTACCTTGAGCTGGCCAACTGCGGGCTGCAGGTCCTGCCGCCCGACCTCGGGCAGCTGATGCCGAACCTCCGGGTTCTCAACCTCAACATGAACGCCATCGACGACGTCACGGCCTTGCGCTACATACCGAGATTAAAGAAACTTCTCGCGGCGGGCAACCGACTGGCCGACGCGGGACAGGTAGCCGACGTCCTGGCGGGCTTCCCGCACCTGCAGAGGCTGGACCTGCGAGACAACCCGGCGACGCTCGGGTTCTACGGGCCGGCGGCGGTCATGGCGCTCGCGTCGCCGAAGGGGGGCGAGGGTAACGGCTTCAACCTCCAGGACGCGGACGCGGCGCGCGACGAGCGGTTCGCCAGCCGGTCGGACATGGGCACGCGCATGCGCCGCCGGTTCTACGAGCTCGTGGTGCTCGACCGGTGCCGCCGGCTTAAGATGCTGGACGGTTTACCTGTTGACGCCTCGGCCAAGGGACAGGCCGGGCTACGGAGGGGAAAGGTCTGGGACGCGCTCGTTAAGAGCGGAGTTGTCAAGAAGGAGGAGGGAACTTGCGAGCAGGCGCAGGCGGAGCTCGAGGCTGGGGCGGATGCTGCTAAGGAGTTGGACTGGCAGTAGGGCTGCGAGGACAGCTTTGCTTGATGCTGATGCTGATGTGGTTTGCCCGACTCGCTTTCTTATGGTAGTTGGGAAGGGAAGGGTACGAGAGGAGAGGAGAGGAGAGGGGCGATTCAGTTCTTGCTGGCTGTTTTAGATACCTGATCTTTGTGGGGGACAGGGCGCTTCACTCTGGGATGATGGGCCGGAGTGTTGAGCTGAGCTGAGTTACGATGGTTGGTCTTCCATCTATCAGTTACGCAGTCGACTACGGAACGGGGAACAGGCAGGGCAGGGGCCAGAGGCCTTAACAAAAAGCAAAAACCGGGGTGTTCTAGTTTGGGCGTTTTTAAACCTTATTTTTCCTTTCCTTTTGTTCTGGGATTCGTCGGGGGGCGGGTTTTTTTTGACTTGAAAAAAAAGAAACCCCCTGGTTTCGATCCCGGAGTGTAGGACTAAGCTCTCTGAGTCTCTGACTTTTGACTTTTGACCTTGGGGCAAGGGGAAAGGGGAAAGGGAAAGCATGCATGGCGTGGCATTTACTGTCGGTGTTCAGCAAGTCGCGTGTGGGTTACGGATACGCGCGCGGTTTTTCTTCCTTTTAACTAGTAATGAGAGATGAAACAACGGTTTATTACTTCTAAAACTGTCTATTGATACTTTTTTACTACTTGCTTGATGTTAGGAACCTTTAGGTCCTGTGAAAAGTTATTAAGATAGGTAATCTTTGGTCTAGCGTAGATGATATTCTTGATTTGTTGTTACATATTGGTGTGTATGCTTGGAGTTTGACATCTGTACATATGGATCAAATGGAGTTCACCTAGGTAAGCAGTATAAGTGCTCCCTTTACTAATTCCCTGCACACTAGCAAGCCACATCTGACCTTGCTAGTTTCTAAATTTAACTACCAACCGAGCAGATTTTGGGAAGTAACCTCGAAAGTTAAAAGGGATCTTCGCAATGGACGTCCGGATATCGCGGAGCGCCGGGCTTAAGTCAGCAGCAAACAAGCATGGCTAGCGACTATTCCCGTTTATCGTGGCGGCGCCTCAATCCAACGGCGGAGTATAAGGTCCGGGAATCCCCGCCGCTAGGCAGTAGGAACGTTGGTAAGACGTTTGAAAAAAAAACCTGCGTCTTTTGCGAAATTTCGGCCGAGGCCGTCGAATAATCTACATGAGATACTACAGGGCAACAAAATATTCCCGATGGTAGTTAAGACGTATTAGTACTAGATGAGAACAAAGGGCAGCGGCCTATTAATTCCATTCTAGGGTCTGCTGACAAAATATGTATGTACGTACGTATGCCACGCGACGGTGGCGTGGCTATTTCGAGGTGAGGTAAAATGGAAAACGCCGAAAGCGATGCTGGGTATATGCCTAAATGCCGAGAACTCGCATCCTCCTTGAAAGCCCTAGAGGGTATTGTCGTGAACTGTCCCAGCCCAATCTTCCTTTCCCAGACGAGTGCCCTACTCCCTAAGCGCCGTGGTCTTTTTTTCCCGCCCAGTCCATTATCCTACATCGGTTCCGTGGTTACGGGTTACCGGTATTGTTAACCGTCCTCTCATTCCCGAACCCTAAAACGCGTTGGAGGCTCTTTTTAAATGCCTTTCCTGTAGCTTGAGTCTCTGGGTGCGACGTGCTTTCCGCTAGAGTGCTAGGATCACCTACTACACTCTGCCTCCGCCCTAAAAAACTGAAGCTCATCCTCTTGGATGCATTAGGCTTGCTATCCGTGCTGCCTTCCTTCTTCCTCCTGCGTACTGCTACTACGGGAGGAGGTTCGGCTGCTCGAGGAGGCCATTCACCGTCTCGTTTCCAGCCGACGACGCAGGCGCGGATCACATCACTTAAGTTGACGGGACATGATGGTGTTGCAGATTGTATCACAATCTTGTCGTAGATGGTAGAATATGCGGCCGGGGTGATAGAGGCACGCATAGGAGTGGCCGGAGGTAGAATAGGCTGCGGTATGGGAATGAGAGTCTCTACTGGATAAGTAGAGGTATCGTCTTTCGTTTTTGCCTCTTTGAATTCCACATCAGATGATGCCACAACGGTTGTATCACCAGACGTACGTGTTGCACTAGGGCTTAAGGGTGAAGCTACACCCGTCGACTCTGTAGGTGATGAAGGTAATGGTGAAGTTGAAAGATGCCACCAGGATAGACGCTTAGAAGCGGGGGAAGTGACTGTCGGAGAGGGCGGCTTTGGACGAATGCGAGCCGCCTTCGCACCTGTCCAGGCATCTCGTCGAGCGTTAAAGCAAGCTAGTCCATCGTTCCACTCCATCTCAGAACGCACCGCTCTCCTCCGTTTTGCGCTCTTAGCCAAAGCTTCCGCTTTCACCAAAGCGCCAATGGCATCCGGAGTGTCGAAGCGATAAGCCGAAGGTGATACCAGGTCATCATCGTCGTCGTCAGGCATATCTGACAGCCACTCGGACCGAGGGCGAAAATGAACAAGATCCTCCGAGACCGTGCTGTATGTCGAGGCAGCGTCATCTTCAGAATCCGTTTCTTCTACGATAAGATCATCCTGGTGAGCATTGACCGTAGCTCCGATCTCTTCCTCTTTCGAAATTGGCTTTGCAGACGGACGCGACCATTTGAAATTCCAGTCATTCCGCACCTTGGCTGCTAGAACACGTTTGATAGCATCCTTCTGCTTGGTTTTATCCCGGCTTGTAAGATCGGGGTCATAATCCGGGACCGTAGGCGCAACCTGTGAGTGGCGCCGCAGCTTGGCCAGCGGTGACTTAGTCGATTTGTACAGATCTGAGAACAACATCTTGGGTGAAGAGACGGAAAGTCTTCTCATTGCGCCAGCCTCGGTTGGTGTTATAGCTTGATCAACCTGGCCATCTACCTGTGCCTGTGTGGGGTGCGGGGCATCAACGTGACTGGCCGTGGTGGTGTTCCGGGTGGTGCCATGTAAGGTTGGCAAGGTTGGCAGATTCGCTAAGGACCGCATCAGTTAGGTTACTATGGTTACTATACCAGATATTAAATGCCCAGGCTGCGGGTGGCGTTGTGCACCGACTCTTTTGAGAAAACGGTCGTAAATGTGAGGATGAAGTGATCAAGTAGTACAGCGTATAATACCAATGGCAACAGATAGAAGAAGGATGGAAATGTTGATTCAAGTCACTTGACACCAAGATGAGACTGGGTGAGTCCGGTACCCTGTAGTGAAGAAGGTAACTGAACAAAACAAATTTTAATCACTGCCCACCCCTGAACTACTACATCACCTAAGGTTTCCGACCAAGGGTCACATCCCCATGGCGGCGCGGAATGGAGATTATTTAAAAAGGTTAGGAAAGTCACAAACGGAAGTAAGTACTAGCAGAAACACAGAAAAGTCAAACTTGACTTACACATGCATTGATTGTCCGAAGTGACAGGGCTCGGCATTATCGCATTATTGTTTCCAGCTCCAGCTCCCGAAGGCTGAGAATCAAGAGGTACAGAGTCATGCTCTGCCCTTATTGGACTCTGACCATCGATCGCTGACGGAGATTCCGCCGGAGCTGACGAATTCAATTCTGAGACAGTCATCCTGAAGGAACGGCGGACAGGAGAAGAGAGAAAAAAGCCTCGTCGACTCCAACTGATGAGAGGCTGGAATGGGTGAAATGTTCGTGGCTACTAAGCGGCTGTTTCAATTGAATTGCCTATGCATTGGCCGACTAGGTGTAACGAGCATAAAAGAGAGATGCAGATCTGTGCGATGTACGAATGTGGTTCGCTGGGGATGGTCAGCCGAGGATCGTGGGAGTCAGCGGTGTCGTGTGACCGAATCTGCTCTTTTCCCTTGCCCTTTTGCCTCGTTTTTTCTCTAGCGTTTCACCGAATCAGTCGAGTCCTATCTGGTCCACCTAAGCATCCCGTACAATGCCGGGGGCGTAGCGATATAACCCTCTCGTGTATGCCGGTAGTAGGTGTAGCAACGGGTGTAGCCAAGGTAGTAAGGTTCAAACGTTCACTCTGAACTGCCTAATACAATGTAATATTAAAATACATTGGCGGCCACGCACTACCGAAGGCTAGCTGCAGGTCCGGGATTGCAGCGGCTCGACCAGGGAACTGTGGATCTTCCTTGGAGCGAGGTGGTATGTACTATTACTGCGTAAGGACACCAATGTTGCGAATGTGCCGAAAGGCTGTATACAAACAGACCCTAAGGTGTGTATGGGCCGTTATTAGTGTCGAGTAAAAGATGAGATATGAAATAATGCATGTAGTAATAGCGAAGTCATGGCGATGCGTCATCGAAGGCCCTGAATGAGGAGAACAAATGGAATTGTAATAAATAAGTATTGGAATGATGCAGGCAAGCGCCGGTCTGCTCCACAACGATGAGCTTGACGTTGCATTTTGCCTCAAAAGGGAACTGGAGGGAACTGGGGAATTGGAATCATGATGAGATGGTTCTGCTGTCAAGCGTATCACAAATCTGCAGCGATTTCTCTCCCACAGTTTCCACTTTCCAAAAAGCATTGGCCATCTGTCGATCACCAGCCACGGCACATGATACTACTACTACTGCCAGGTCTCTGCTGTGATTGGCTCGCTTATCTAGACGAAAGGGGCAACCGATAATGCGTACCTTTGTACCTCCTTAGGTAATCATTAGCCAAAGGAAGTTCCGAGGTCTGGTTTGATTTTACTCTCTTCTTTGAGTTCAAGAGTAGAGAAATGCTTAGTCATCACCCCCTGGATTAACCCCTTTATTACGTATGTAAGGTCTTCAGTCATAGTTACCAAGCACCCTTCACTATAATCATGGGTAACAGGAAACTTAGCACAGAATACACAGCAATATCAAGTTGGTCGTTGAATTCATTGGTCTGATTGCTATAGTAAAACCCAATCATCTGTGCCTAAAGTGACCATAGCAAACGGTCGACCATCCATGGGCCACGATGACAGCCAATTCTTCTCCAGAAACTTTAGTGTTGAAGAAGCTTAGCCGTCCCAATTACTGGTAAAAACTCTCCGTACCCTCTTTGATATCATGTCCTCGAGTGACAATAGCCTAGCGATTCACTAGGCCGGGGAACAGGTCAAGCATCATGTTGCCGGTGTAAGCGTCCCCCATGCACATGGAAGTCGCCAGATGGAGAGGGAGATCATCTTCAGTCGGGGGCTCGGTACGGTGGCGGCCGGTGTTCATGAAGTCCACAAAGTCAGGGTCGATCATCTCAAGAGGCTGCGGCATGTAGACGTCAGACTGTGCGTGCTCGCGGAAGGGTGGGCGGCCCCGGTCCGACCAAGAATCATCATCCGACGAAGAATCATCCTCCGACGAAGAATCGTCATCAGACTGGGAAGTATCATCCGACTGGGAAGCGTCAGAGCTAGCTCCGTCAGAGGATCCGTCATTAGCACGCTCTCGCTCGACATCCTCTAGCATCTTTCGCTGACCACGTAGCCGTCGCTCACGTGCGTCCTTCCCAAGGCGGTCGATTCGAGCATGTCTGTCAGGGCTTTCTTCGTTTATCACTTCGTAGAGAGTGGCAAGACGACGACGGAATCGCACGATCGCGGAATCCCCTTGTCTAGTACACACCAAATGAGTCAGAGTAGTCGGGAGTACAGGGCGACGACTGAATCGTACGGTCGTGTTGTTTTGGAGGACCTTGGTGCACACCCAGAAATAACGAGTAGGCTCAATGATGGGACGACGACGGAATCGTAGGATATTGCTGTCCCCTAGCTGGTTGCACGTCCAGGAAGGACGATTAGCTCCCACGGAATCTTGTGATGGCTCAGAAGCTCGTGGTGAAGAAGCTGCTCGTTGACGAGCCGGTGTCGCCTCCGAGAGCTCGCTCTGTTCGTTGTCGATTTCCATACTGATGTTCGAGAAGAACCTACCCAGACCATTAGCCTATTGACGAAATTTCTTAGGTTTGATTATCATGAGAAGCACGCGAGGAATCATAATTGGCAAAAGTAATAGTTGCTTCTTATGACAACGACGATAAATATCGGAAGGGAATGACAATGAGATTAAAAGAGGAAGCGGCGTGCTCAGCTGGGAGGACAACATCACGGGGATAGAAAATTGAAGGGAGATAACTGTTACTTACCTTTGCTACCGAAAGCAGCAATATTGATCTTGAGGTTCTCAGCGAGAAGATGACCGGCAAGAGAGTGGTGGCCGGTGAAGTTCTCAGCTGCGGTGAAATGTTTACGTGTAAAACATCAGGACGTAAAAATAGGTGAGAATTTGATTAGGCATGGTATAACTGGTAGCCATGTGTTCTAGCTTGCGGTTTACCACTAGATGCTCGGCAGGAAGGTTGTAGATGTCGCAGTAGACGGTGGCATAGAGAAGGTAATTCGAAGAAGACGATTAAGAAGGAGAGTCCTAGTTGACGATATAAGTCTACATAGACGATGGCTGTCAGAATAAAATAGACACTAGATTGCTCGGCTCTGGGTGGTGAATTAATGATAAAAATGGAAAGTCTAGAGAAGTGGAGGCAATGTGATTTTCTTGTTCTCCGTCTGTCTTTGCCAGGGTATCAGTAAAAGCGTTATTACCATATTGGAGGAGTATGATGAATAATTAAGTAGTTCCAAGCTACTCAATATATTCAAAGTCCATTCTCATTGTTAGACATCACACTATAGTAAGAATCCACCTCATGAGTAGATTAAGATAGACTACACAATATACATCATCAATAAAAACAGAATAGCTAAATAACGTTAACACTCTTAACAAAACATGGCCAACGTCATTGCCTAGGTATATTAGAAGTGTAAATATTGTTGAATGGGAACTGTTAGTTCTAACCTAATGGCCTCAGAGTTGGACGCTTGTTTATAATATCCTTCTCTATTGTATCCTCCTAGGTTCTTTCCTTGTAGTTCTTTGTTGTTTGAATAACCATAGCTTAGCAATCATGTTTACTGGTTCAAAAATTTTTACGATGTACAACTTCCCGGGTTGAACTAATTGCATAGGATAACATCTAGAAGTAATATCTAGGTTACGATGTTTATAAATCTCCTCAGCGATATATATGGAATTACGAAAGACTGAAACATAAGTAATTATAGCCCCCAACATGAAATTGTTTAGTAGACCAGAAATTACAGGAATGTGGCGGCGGTATATTCATATCTACAGCGTTTAGCTCTTACCATGTTTTCCAGTTCCACGAAAGGATACCGAGACTACTACTTACCATAATTCGGGCGGTTATCATTTTCGGCGTCGTATTATTTGCAATTACTTAACATTAGGAATTCAAATTTGGAAATGGTTGTTCAGCTGGTATAGTACCTATTCCTGGAGACCATTGATACCATATGTTAGATACATTTATATCACAGATTATGAACATCTCTAGTGAAATAGGGGGTAGCTTACGTAATCAATATTGGAGGGTAGCGAGAACGGACCCTGACTCATATACATCATTCAAAGATTTGAGGAATGAGGAGAAATTCCGACGCTAGGATATTTCAAACATTCAAGAATGGTCACTTGTTCATGCAATCGTCTGTTGTTCGCAGTCGGAAACTTGGTGCTTCTGCAATTGCTAATAACTAGGTAGCGAGTAACATAAAACTCAAGCAAGCCTAGCAAGCCTAGCAAGCCCTGGACCTTTAAGTCGTATGTATGTACACTCCTCCAAGTAGTAAGGTCCAAGTCCAAGTCCAAGTCTTAGGCCTTCCCAACTCCATGTAAGATAGGTAGCCTTCCCTGCAAGTGTAACTTGTTACAAACATCCACCTGATGACCCCTAGATGGTCATGAAAGCCCAAGCGTAGTCGAGAATGAGGTATAGTTCCTCCTTCTCTTCCTCCTCATTAAATGCCTCTTCCAACTCGTCCGCTAATTCCTCCTCAATCTGCGGCTTGGGTGTCTTTTTGACCCGCTTTGCCTTCGGGGGCTGAGGGGTAGCAGCCGGGGACCCATCGCGGGACGAGAGGACGATTGGGCTCGCCTCCCGTGAGGAGATCGCGATGGGCTCCTCTGCGGTGCCCCTCTTTCGCTTCTTGGTGGGCTCATTGGTGGGCTGGACACCCTCTGACGAAGCTTTGGACACAGGGACTTCGTCTTCCACAACAGGCTGAGTAGGCGACGATGCGGGCGTCGGAAGGTGAGATTTGATGGTGTTGTCAACCTTCTCGACCACTGAAGCCTTTTGACTTTCGGCGACAGTGTTGTCGATGTCATTCATGAGCTCTTCTCCCAGCTCTTTCGTAAGCTCTTCTTCCAGCTCCTTCGCAAGCTGGTCTTCGAGCTCCTTCGTAAGCTCATCCTCGAGTTCCTTCGCGAACTCGTCCCCAGAGTCCTCCACGAGCTCTTGCTCAGCTTCCTTTTCAGCGTCCCCTTTATTGTTCTTTGCTACGGGCTTCTCGACGTCTTTTGTAGATTGACGGCCGATCGAGCTCACCGTGCCGTTGATTCCACTGGTGGCAGGGGCATTACTTGCACTTGTTTGAGTGCTGGCCGCCTAAGAAGACAGTTAGCCCTATACAAATTTGGTAGACTTTGGCTGGAGCTAGACTTGGTAGGTCGCTTCGTGAGGGAGTTGTAAACGGGTATTTACCTGATCCATCCAGGAATATTTTTTCCCGCCTAGCCTGCCAACGGCCATATTGAGGGCGGCCTTCTTGTCCTTTTCCGTGGCGTCTGTACGCCAGGAAGTTCGCAAGCGCTTGCGTTCCGCGCGTCTCTCTCGCTCGCCGTCTTCCGTGAAGGAGGTTGTCTTGCGAGGCATGATGACGAGTTGATTAAATTAAGATGATGATAGAGACGTAGTAATAGCGGTTGTTGAATGTGTGAGGTACGATGATTAAATGATCAAGGTCAATAGATTGGTTTAGTTTGTTTAATGGTAACCTCGAAAGTGAAAAATATGAAGTTCACAGGTTTGGTATTAAGAAATTGTCAAAGTTGGTAGACTGGTTTCTTAATTTGATGACCTTGCAAATAGAAGTAGAAGTTGGTAGGTCTGGTAAAAAAGTACTGTAAGGTGATAAGGTCAGGTCGAAGTATGTGGGTCCGGTTGGTAGGAGCAAAAGTGATAAAAAGGTACCTACGGGACGAGAGAAAGCTTTGGCCGTGGCAGAAAACCCATGGCAACAGGTAACGGTAGTGGTCAAGTCATACGTTATGGTGACTCAAACTTGCAGCCGTCCGTTACTGTGGTCAGGGACGAGTGGTTGCTGCCCGGGTAACGGGGCAGGCTAGTATATTCATCACCCGGGTGAGGTGAGGTAGTCGCCAATATTGTTGTCGTCCCGGAACATTTGGCCCGAATTTGGTGCAGCTGCCTGTCACCACGGTGAGTGTCAGTGGAAACCGAACGCGTTTGTGGATGGCTTCCAGCCATATTTATACAGAGGTCGGGGTTACTTACAAAGCCTGTATTTATTAAACATAGAGGCTCTTATCGATGCCTTATATTCCCGCCGAGTTAATTGTTAGATAATTAGAAAATTAAGTACCCGGCATATACATCACCACTAGGTCGTATAACTAGTGATGATGCCGGTGATTATTTAAATGAACTTTGTTATTCTATATACCCCAAGCACATAAGTACCTAGCTATATAGTTCTTTGTACATGTTCATCGATCTACAGAAATACCGTGGGTTTTGCCAGATATATATCCTCCAAGACCGCTAAGGGGCCAAGTTGTCACTGCTTGTTAGCAAACGAACTAACTCACTGCCAAAGTAGGTATAACAACAGTAGCAAAATAAAAACAAGAATATCATGACATAATGTAAGTACCCACAGTAGTCTAGTGACTAAACAAGAACCGTATCGTCAACTTTATTATATGCTATTCTTCGAGAAATCCAGTCACAGGAGCTTCGGCCAAGTGATAGATTAGTCATGACTACAGTACAAACTACCAATTTCAAATATTAAGCTCCTCTGTGAGGTCATTTGCTCAGTGAGCAATTAATTAAGCTTTTGTACCTATAGAAATATCCCGTGACACACTGGAAGCCGACAAGGGCGAATAAGCATTGGTCGTTGGAGATGCCTTGGGATGAAAATTGTAGTATACTGATATACTACCTAGTAGGTACTATATATAGATTGGTCCAAGCACACGATGGGAAACCTTAAATAAGTGGAACAGATAAGATAGAATATAACGGGCAATGGATAACCAGAAGCAATAAGCCAATCATAAATTCAACTCAAGGAATTTATTCTGGACGGGAGCTTGGACCTACCCCTATTCTACGAGCATTGACCTTAGACCTGAGATTTACGGGAAAAAACCAGACGGTATTTCTATATGTCCATTTACCACTGCGCTAGTTAGTCAATTGGTGCTTATAGGCAGTTCGTGGATCAAGCTTGAATTGTAGCAGCGAAGTATGTTGTATGAAGAAAAATTCGGTGCCGGGCAACCGACGCGTTATGTGCGTTGCTATGACACCGACATAACACCTTGAAATATTATGCTACGCCATCGAGAACAAGGCATCCAATTTTATGTAAGGTACCTCAGCCATCTCTAAACTGAATTATTGCTACCGATGAGGTATGTGATCTAAACTACAGTATCAAGATGTGCTGCCCCAAACTCCATGAATTGCAGGAAAACGAATGACCGTAGTACATACCCATTAGAATACAAATCTTCGGGTATCAAATGAACCGCAGACGATATCTGATAGCTTAGACAGGATCACATGAGCGTGAAGAATGGAAGTGCCCTCTTATGGAGGAGCCATTGCTTGGTTGCTCATCTTAATGTGCATCCTTATCCCCACCCTTATGTCCTTGATGACTGTCTTGACGCTCGTCATGATGGTCATCGTTCTATGACACTTCCTCCACCATCTTTCCACGTCCAAGACCACCCCGAACAAAGACCTGACCGGACGGCCCAGAAAGCATCTCGTCAGGGACACCTACTCGGCTACCATCCTTGTTGCTAATCCATCTAACAAATGCGGGATTTGGCTTCTGAGCGTCTATATCAGGGGTTTGGTCCCCAGCAAGCAATGACTTGCGGTTAGTCTTTGGAGCCTGCTTCTTGAGAAGCTTATTTATGGTCTCCATCTATTATTCGACGTATCAGCCTTGTGCTCTATGGGTCTTGATACAGGTGCCGAGGGAGAATGGGCGACATACCTTGACTTCTTCGTTACGCTTCTCACTCAGGTTGCGTCGTCGACGGGCCATCTCAGCGCGGCGCATAGAAAGCTCCTCAGCAGTAAAATGCTTCTTTGCTTGCACCTCTGTGATCAAGTCAGCCCAGATTTAATAACATCATGAAAGGGGTACTTGCCATCAGACAGCTTCATCAAGGCATCTCCGTTCTCTTCGAAGCGAGCACGTTGTCGTTTAGTCATTCGAGTAAGATCGGGAGTCTCAGCACGACTTTCATCGCCGCTACCAGCATCGTCGTCTTCTTCCTCGGCGGGATTTGCTGCTTCGATCTCCTCATCCTCACCCTCGGCATCTTCTTCGTCGCCCCCTCCGACCTTGACGGTATCCTGAATCTCGTCGGCCTCGCTTTCTAGTTCACTAAGTTCCTCGTCGTCATCGCTGTCACGTGCCTGTGGGACCGCAGACTTCCCGCTGGATTTAGCAGGGGCTTTTGACTTGCTGGTAGAAGTACTCTTAGTAGGCTTCGAGACTTTGATCACGGGTGCTGGAGGAGGGATGGGATCCACATCCATGTCGTCCTCTTCGCCTTCGGCATCCTCCTCGCCAAGATCATCGTCGTCTCCTTCGGCGTCGATATCCATGGTGTCGTCGACCACGATTTCGCCCTCTGCATCTTCCTCTCCCATGTCAGCCATATCGTCATCATCTCCGTCGGCATCATCGTCGTCGTCATCCTCATCGTCTTCTTCTTCTACTTGAACCTCGTCCTCGGCGTCGTCATCTTCTTCGTCACTAGAGTCTACGACGTAGCTTTTCTTCTGAGAGCGGTTCCGTTTTCCCTCAACTACACCAGAGCTAGGAGCTTGCTGGCGGCTGGATTGGCTGGCTCGGCTAGAAGTTGCTTGACGAAGCTTACTTGCCGGAAGCTTAACTGTAAAATGGATATGCTGGTTAGATTCTGAGGTCGAAGAGGGAGGGCCGCGCGAGACCGATGCCACGGCACTCTTACCCTCGGATCTGCGAGAAGTCCTGGAGGACATGGTTCTCCCTGTACGGCTATTTATGTGGTTGTCACTATCAACCATGTCAGTGATTGCCGTGTTTGCCCTCTGGGCAGCTGCGCGACGTGGACGGGATGCCATTTTCAAAGAGGGTTGTCAAAGCCCAAGGTTTGAAGATTTGTGGTGGGATTGATATGTGAGATAAGTGTGAAACAGGCAGAATATAGGGCTTTTTGATGGTGAAGATGGGAAAAGTAGATTAAATGATGTGAAAAATGACGGAGTCGAAATCGTTGTTAAAAATCAAAAGACAGATGACAGATATATGTAACGTGCTAGGTAAGAAAGAAAGCACGTTTTTTTTGTTGGAGGTGGCGCGCGCGAGGCGGCAAGGGCATGAGCAATCTTAGGAGCTTGTTTCTTGCGAAGTTGGGAAGTTGAAATAAGCTTGCTGCGGCGTCAGACGCCGTGACACGTTGATGCCCCGTGGTGCGCAAACAAGAGGAAAGGAAGAGGCAGGCAAGGTGCCGCTTCCCGCTTGTCGCTTGGATACGGGGATGCGGGTAGGGCTGTAGGATTCGGTAACTTGGTAACTTGGTAGCTTCCAATGTTCCAATGTAGCTTTTGGCTTTTGGGATATGTGATTGCGATTGGCGATTGGCGATTGGATGGAAAACATCTCAACCAGTTGGATTTGTTCATCGAGATATTTGAGGCAACACACCAAGCCGGATTTTTGATGCAGCCAACCCAACAAACAAACAACAGCCCAGAGATTGAATTTTGTTTTCTTTTTTTTTCTTCAGACATGCCTAGGCACGTAAGAAGAAGCACTGGCCTTGCCTGTACATGCATCGCACCGCATTCGCGTCGCATCATCTTTATCCCCGTCCTACCCCTTTTGTCATCTTCTCCCGTCCCGTTCCCCGTTCCCCGTTCACTTGAACATCGCTCCGCACCTCCCTATTAGACGCGGACTTGAAAATTCTCCGTCATCTGCAGACAGCGACGCTATGAATTGTACCACTCCTCTCTCCACTTCTCCTCCTTTTTATTCCCTTCTTCCAGGCAATGATGAACTTGGGACAGGGAAAATGACAGGTGCTGACGAGAGACGGCCCATTATCAGAATTTTTGCAGCTGAGACTTACATGATAGATTGACGGTTCTCGTGCACTCAGCTGTGGCTGACAGGCTAATAAACTAAAGCTAGGACTGCGCTTAGCGACTTGAGCGGTCGACCTATGATTCGGGGCGTATTCCGATTTAGTCTATCATGCAGCCGAGATTTCAAGCTTGGCTATTGGGGGCACGACCTCTGAGGATAAAAAGGTACTGACTTCAACTGTAATCGACCGAAGCTTCTGATCGTCGGTGGTGATGCAGGTGGGTACCGGTCAACGCTTTCAACCTGTGATACAGAAGTGTTGGAGGAACGTCTCGGAATGTTTATGTATACGACCTAAGAAACCGCCGTAAACCTGTGAGTATTAGAGTGTGACGAATGATATCGAGAAGATCCTGGGGCGGTTTAAAATGAGTGGTAGTAAATTATAAGCTAAGACGGAGACAATTATTCGCCAACGAAGCTTCCTTATTATTTCCACAATCGCGAGGAAGGAATTGACGATGAAATGACCGAGTCAAGAGTTCAATGTTGCGATTGAGGCCTGTGTCACGTGCGGAAGTTTACAACAGGTGAAGGTACTACGGGCATTTAAACTTTAACGTGAGGGTGCTGTTAGGTAATACACGTTAGCAGGGGTTGATGAATTGAGCTAAACTTACAGTAGACACCATCTAACCGTATCAGGGCATACATAGTACATATGTACCTGGAGTTCCCTAGTAACGCGGTTCTCGGGAGTCAGGAGGTTGGAATTTAGAGGATGTACCGAGGCAGCTACCCACCTAATATGTATTAAGATAAGATAACTACGTCGCGTTGGAAGGTTTGTTTCTTTACATACATACATACATACATGCTACCTGAAAGCTTCCAATTCTAATTGATGGTTTAACCTTCAACCTTTCATATTCCTCCACTCATATCTCATTTATTGACTAATTTAATCCCATTCTTTTTCTAATTTTTCACCGGGTCTGCCGGTTCTACCAGCCTGTCATTCATTATCAATATGGCCGAGTCGAAAAGGCCCAATGTACCATCGTGGCAAGAACCGCAATCCGAGAAAGACGCTGCACCCGAGACTAGTCATCCCCCGGATGTCGACACGCCAGACGTGACTCTTGAGCAAGCCCGGTTATTTCTACGAGATGAAACGGTTCGAAGTTCGAGCGTAGAAAAGAAAACGGAATTCCTCAAGAGCAAGGGGTTAGACGATACCCAGATCCAGCAATTGTTGGAAGAGGTAGAACAACCCACGCAAACTCCAAATCCATCGCCGACAACCACCAAGTCTACAGGTGGAGGCGAAGTCACAATGCGAACTTCTGAAGCAAAGAAAGACGTCGAGGTATTTGCCCCTACAGCTTCTTCATCGACAAGCGACCCAGTACCAATCATAACCTACCCCGAATTCTTGACTACCTCGACCAAACCGCCACCTTTGATCACCCCTTCCAGCCTCGCCAATATCCTAGCTGTCTCTGGCAGTGTATGGACTCTTCTATACGGCACGGCACGATTCGTTGTTAGCCCGATGGTGGACAGTCTCAACGACGCGCGAGCTGACTATTACGGGCATATAAACGAGAAACTAGAGCAGCTAGTTGAACAACTCGAAGATGTCGTCAGCGAGGTTCCATACAAGAACGGAAAACTGGTATTGAAGTCAAAGCAAAATGAAGATGCTTATGCGGACAACGAAAGCATTTGCAGTGATCCCACCGAGCTCTTCCACCGGGACTTCGGGACGCAGACCTCACCGAAAATGCTGGCCCAAGATTCGGCTGGCACGCCCCAGGTAGACAAGCCCATTGACGCACAAGCCCGCCGTCTCGCCGCTCTGAAGGCATCCCTCCGTGAAGTGAACGACATGCACGTACGCCATGCCGAAGATTCCGCCGACCTCAACGCTCTTCTCCGGGAGATCCGCGATGAGGTCGACAAAGTGGGTGCTCCTCCGATGACCGACTTCGCCACCATCCACGGAGGCATGGGCTACGGACGTAGCTCCGACCCCGACGACGAAGTCAAGAAGACCAGGGACGCCATCCGTAGCGTCAAGGGAATGTTCCTGAGTTCGAGAAGCTTCCCGGCCACGGCAGCGAGATAGGAGAACAAAGCTGCCACATCGAGCGGGAGAGGTGAGCCGGCCAAGAAGCTACCCCGGTTCAAGTCTTCCAGGGTGCGCGCCATGCGGTTCAGTTACCAACCAGGAAGTCTGCGGACCCTGAAACTTGTCGATACTAAGGCGCCCAAGGGCGTCGCCAGTGACACCACCAATTCCACTGGTTCTACTACTAAGCGTAAAGAAAAAAGAAAGGCACCCGTCGCCCCCGCCCCTGCTTCTTCTGCCCTTTCAGCAGCCCCAGAATGCCACCTCCCTATCCGCCATAACCAAAACCAAAAGTCGTACAGGCGACCCGTCAGCTTTAGAGGTAGACCGCAGGACATCAACACCCAAGCCTGCACATCCCCGGAACACCGGTCCGTCTTCGACATCAGCCCCCCTCCCCGCAGCGCTCTGGATAAGTATAGGCGCCTCCCATCCTTGCTCAAATCGTACATGCGGCGCGTCGACCCGCGGAAAGGTTACACGCGCATCGGCAAGCGGAAGCGGCACCTCTAGTTCGGCAACGCCGCCGTCGACGCGAGTTCGGCGGAGACCTTGGTGGCGAGGCGCGAGGGGGCGCTGCCTAGGAAGAGACGGTGGAGGCTGTGATTTTAAGTTAAGGGGGTTTTCCGATTTACGCGTCTTCTCTCTCTCTCTGGTTAGCGGGTTTTCCAATTTTGGAGAAGGGGAGGGGAGGGGAGAGGGGTTCTTTAAAGCATTTAAAGGGGTTCCATCAGCGGGTTTTTTGTCATCGTTATGATTGCTACTATTGTGATGTGACGTAACGTAACGTTCTTTTTTGCTTGTTTAGTATGTGTATAGGTGTGTATGGATGGTATACAGCGGTTTTTCTGGTTTCTATGGTATCTTATGGTAATGAAAATGATTACGTGTTACACTCTTGAATACTCTTGGAATATATATGTGCCCTAGGTTATGTTGCTACGCGACTTAAGATGAGACTACGGTCTTAGCGTAGACCAGGTATGTCACCAGGATGTTCCAATACTGGCTTGATTTCAAACATTCACATGGACCAGAAACGAAGATATTCATAATAACTTTTGGCATGTATTGATTTTCATCACTATCGTTGATTCAATGCCCTATGGTTGGTTGGTATCTCGTATCGTACAACCCCCTTTCCTTTTCCTTGCCTAGACGACCTCCCATCCCATTAACGGTGCCAGGGACGAAAAACACTTCCAGAAAGATCGAAGAAAATTAATGAGTAGGTAATGCGGTTTGGCGTAAGCCGAGATACCTGATCTCTCTTGTCTCTTTGTTTCCCCCCTTTTCTTATGTGTTGTAATAATGATGTTGAATACCTAAAATGCAGTCCGAGATGTTATACCATGCCAACTCCGTGCAAACGCCGCTTGATAATGCATATGTACCCTTCTTCTAGGTATCTAATGATATCCGTGCCGTACCCAGGTATATCCTAAGGAATGGGGTTGACCATCGAAAGGAGTGAAGTTCGATGCGTCGTACCTGATTAAGAGAATGAGAAGGATTGTATGATTTATGTATGGGTATTGGTCCGTATGTATGCATGTATGTCGTAATAAAAGGAGGGGAAAAAATCAAATCGCTGATGATAGACAAAGAAAATAGCAAATAAAAATAATCTCGACCGGATTATAGACGAGGCAATGTTGCTAAAAGCAGCATATCCAAGCCTTCACACCCCAACTACTTCGGGTCTCTGAACGGATTCTCGGTGCCGACGCGTCTGGAATTCCAAGGACTCACATAGCTAGGCATACCCGGCTTGTTCTTCTTGTCCTTCTTGTTCGGCTCAGCCTCACGCTCCTACCGCTTGGCATCGCCGTACTGGACGTAGCTGCTGTTGCGGGTATACGGGGGCGCCTCCTCAGTCACCATGACGGGCTCGGTGTGTACCGCGCCGCGGCTAAACGCGTCGTCCCTTCCGAACGGTGAACTCTGGTATCGATCCGGATGCGCGCTGGCATCTCCAGGACCTCCGAACTCTGGCAGGTTCACGTCTCGGGTGGATCCGGTTGCGGCTGGTGTTTGAGCAACGGCATGAGTAGTCATGTCGAAGTTCTCAATACGCATCCTACGTGCGTCCCCAGCGGCGTCGCTATGGCCGATCAGGGTGCGGATCACGCCGATTAAAACGACGATGACGTACACAAGGAGCAGGCCCAGCGAGATCAGCGCGTTTTGGACGATCTGGTTATGTAGCCAGTCTGTGACGTGCGTGACGGCGCCGGTGACCTCGTCGGTCGTGACGCTGCTAGGCGATGCGAGGAATGTCGTGAGGTTCGAGTCGCCGTCAATGGACTTGGCAGCGCCGACAGAGAAAACGTCGTTGGGGAACGTTGGGAAGTTGACGTGAGCATGGTCGTGCACCCAGGTCAGGCCCTTCTCGACGGATTCAACCTTCAATCCAATAAGGCAGCGAACAGTGTTCTGGGCGAGGTCCTTGAACATTGTATCACCAAAGACAGTGGTTAGACCCTTGTCAATCTCGCTCATGAAGGTGTTAAGCGTGTTGTTGACTGCAGTAGTACCATTGACAACTTTTCCAAGGATGTCGTCGTTAATTTCACTGCTGAACGAGTTGATAACGCCGTTCGCATCGTCTGCCCACTTCTGCGAAATATTGCCCAAGGTACCGACGACCTCGTCCGCAAAGTCTCCAACTTGGCTTGCAAGGGCTGGGACCTCCTTCGCGATCACTTGCAGAAGGATCCACTGCAAGAAACAAGAAAGGAAACCGGCCAGTGCGAGAGAGAGGACGAAAAGGGCGGGAAGAGATGTGGCATATGCAATACACCAACGCACAAGGATCTTTCGCTTCGGGCTAAACTTTGATGCAATCCAGTATCCAAAACGGGCTGTTGTAGGGCGTGATGTCATGTAGACAAGATCCATATCATCGTGTGCGTCCGAAGAACAGACTTGAGCGCGGCGCCATCGGCGTATCTCCATGTAGGCCATCGGAACGCAGACAGCAATTGCGGTGAGGATCAGAACCACGATTGCCACGATCTTGGCGGTGTGGGCGATCTCGTACAATGTCGTGAAAAAGTCGTTGATAACCGAGTTGTCGGAACAGAAAGATAGACCTTCCTTCTGGGCGACGGGGAATACGCTGTCATTGAAGGCCCAGTTGCCGTAAGCTTTGTTAAGTTGTTCTTTAATGAGGTTGAACGGAAGCGAGACAGCAGTGGCGGTAAGGTTCTTGACGTCGTCGAAGTCCGGGAGTTCCTGGTTAAGGGTGTTCAAGTCTGAAACAAAACCGGTGGTGTTGATGTTGACGTTTGAGAGCTTGGCAGCCACCGCTGTGATGTCGCCAGCGACTTCTGGTTTAGGTGGCAGATCAACTCGTTTGCTGAAGACGCTTCCGATGCCGCTGATAGCACTCTCGACAGCCCCTCCAGCTGCAGCCGTAGCGGACGCGACAGCTCCTCCGACAGCACTGGTAGCATCATCACCTGCGTTCAGAGCACCGTTGACGATGGAGTACATGGTATCGATTGGCTTTTGAAGATCGTCGGCAGTGCTGTTGATTGCCTGAGCAATACCATCAATAGCATCGTTCATGGCGTCGGTGGTCTTGGTAATAGCCAGCGCCGAGGCGTTTAGTCCTCCATGAACTACCATAGTGATCAAGCAAGCGTAGGTGTCAGTCATCATACCAATGACGAAGAGGATAAGTTGCTCAACACCAGTGAGGATCATGTCGAGAATTGTCATCAAGCCTTGGACGGCGTCGGTGATACCGGTTGCGGTGAGGCGGTTGACTCCAACGGACAAGTAATGAGGCATCGAGGCCATGGCACTACCAATGTCCTCGACTTTCGTACAAGCCGACAGGGCCTTCACCTTAGCATCGTCAAGGTTGCTGTTCAGTTGACCGATAGTGAGGAGGAAATTGACCAATACTAGAAGGAGGAGGACAGTCCATCGGTTAAACCAGATTTGAGAGAGTCGCGAACCGAGTCCAAGGTAGGGAGTAGCACCCTTGGCTGAGCTCTGAGATAGCAGCTCACGAACATTCATCTTGCGGACGTCCTTCGCATCGTAGGCATCGTGTCTTAGCGAGGAGGGCACCTGAGGGAAACCCTCCTTTTCCCGAAATATGGCCATCAGTACGTATCGTCGTATCTATCAAATGAGTGTAGACGTTTTGGCTAAGTGATTTATGCAGTGTTAAAGAAAGTGTATTAGAAAATCAAGTAGAATAGAATTTAATGGGAAGTCCAAGTTTTTCTCAATTTTACCGCGCCAGGCGTAGGTACGAGGATTTTGTGTGGTGTTGTAGGGCGGTCTGTAGGAAAACCAAATGGCAGAAAAGAATATCCTCAAAGGATTTGTATAAAGAGATGCGGCAACAGAACAATTAGTAAAAAGGAAACAAAATGATCTCGTGATTCATTCAATGATCTATTGTTCTTCCGGTCCCATTAATGACGATGAAGTGACAAGGAAACAGAGAAAAAAATTATTGGTTGTGTGTGAATAGGGAAAAGAGGCAGTAGAATACAATGACGGGGGAGTGGTGGATGATAAAAGAGAGGTCGAACATTGTTAAACCTCAACACGCCTCACGAGGACAACGGTGACCCGACGGCCAGTCAAGGGACAAATTACTAGGACAGGTCAGGTTTCAGAATAGAACCCAGTGGTGTCTTTGTTTCGTATTCCACACATAATGAGAGGCTTCTTTGTCCCTTGGGTTCGTTCGTGAAGGTTACGCGCGGTGTGCAGATCTAGCTAAGCGCTGGCGATGATTCTCAGCCAGTCGATTCTTTTGTCCGCGCGCTTTCGCTAAACCGACTCTCTTGGCTGGATTACCTGACTAGGATGTTGACCTCATAGTTAAATCGGAACTATAGATGCCATTAATAATGGAGTTCCTTTCTTGTCAAGGGAGTTTACACTGATGGTCCTCGTTATCAATGGGGGGTCTCTTCTCCATCCTTCGACACGTACGAAGCTACTTAGTGATTCCCAATTTGGCCATACCCAGTCGACCAACTGGAAGGAAACACCCCCAAACACTCTGAGTTCATAGATTGTTTGGTATAGATCTATAGAGAAGCGTGATACCACGGCTTGAGCAACAATGTGATGATCCGTTCATTATAGGGATTTGCTAGGAAGAACTGCAATGCGCCATGGAAACATCAGCACTGCTACCCTAAGCTGACTACCTAGGTAGGCAGTAGGTAAGTAATCTAGATCGGGGCTGCAGATTACTAGGCACCTAATTATCTGCCTCAGGGTCGCATAGAGGGTACATATGCAGCCCTGAAGGAACATGAGGATTCCCGTCAGTAGTTTACGTCATGAGGCTCGTACACCAGTTTGAGACAACTGTCGATTGTTGCACCCGAAGTGCCTCATTCTGAGTGAGGAAAACTCTAAGAATACGCATCTTGAGGACCTATGAAGGTATCGAGCAAGTGAATATGGTCATACTGAAAGAGTTCGTCGTGATTTGATTGTCTTCCCGAATTCGGTGACTGTACGTGAGGAAATTTGTTGAAGAATTGTCCAAGAATAGAAAAATTGAAAGAGCACCGGAGGTAACCGGTTATCCATACAAAGGACAGGGTTCATTCAGGTAATTTTCAACCAATAAGAGCTCGTTATCTCTTAGACGCCCGTCATTGGCTTTTGCCAAGCTATCAATTAATATTCCGGTCTGGGGTATCAAGATTACCGGTAAAACGTCGGTCGGTCTCTCTCCTATTCAACTGACGCGTGTTTTTGATATACAACTTAAGAATTCGCATTTCCATTACGAATGTCATTCGTTGAGCTAAGAGGAAAGACATCAGTGGATGTTTGATTTATCTACCTGCATAGACAACTCATCGAAAATTCGAAACGTCCGTCTGCCGTCATCCGCCATCGGCTAAATAGCGATCTCAGAACAGCGCCAGCGGTGTAAGATGATTGGCTAAAAAGCCACGAGCGGCTACGCCCGTCAAACCCTTGCACTTTGCATGAGAACCATACATTACTCTAGGGTCACTGCAATGCTTGACTATGGCGTCGCGGCAAAAGTCATAGGAACAACCCGATATGACGGCGGTGTGCGGCGCTTGTCATCTTAACTCCGCCTTCGTACAACCAACGCAATGAGCATGATTGTTTGGGGGCCCTTGTTGTATTAAGTATAGGCGCTGGACACTACTAGCCAATGGAACCGTTGGCGCTAATATGCTTCAGACAACCTTAGATAGCAAGTGAGTTAAATTCGACTTTAAATGGACCTCATCCACCTGAAGATTCACCAGGGCCTCTACCGAATAGGTCTCCTACGAGCATGAGACGAGAATTCACGTTAAATCGGTTAAATATGTGGGTGTTTGTCAAGTGTCCCCCGTGGCATGTTCATATTACTACTAACCCGAAATTTTTGAAACCCGATTGTTCACATAGTGGTTTCGATGCGGATGCGGTGGTATCGACTTCAACCTGACCGAAGCTGACTGATATATCATGCCGAGGTTACGCATTCCTTCCAGGTCCTCTTCTTGGAGAGATACTCCCTCAAAGGTTGACCTGGAGTATATCTGTTCCAAGTAGAAGTCCGCCATATGTAAACAGACCAGTCTTCCTTCAACATCAAATTGACCACGTCGCTTCTCAACCAGAAGGTGGCCATCATCTCTTTCGAGACACATTTGAAAGTGCTTAAGATGTGGATCCCGTCAGATCTAATATTCCGCGCCGAGCTTGTCGTGTCTCCGTTCTCATCGTCGAGAAGGAGTTGGTATATGTCACCCATTAGCTCGCCATATTTTCGTTGATTCCAGAAAACCAGCATGAAGTGAGGTTGTTGGAGGCCGTCGGCGCCAACAAGAGGGACCTTTATTGAGTACTCCATAATAATCTCCGGCGGAGGGAGTATCCCACCCGACATCACGGTAGTAAAACGAAAGAGATCGCGCCACTGAGTGACAAGTGTGGTAAATTCCGCATTCCAGGGCTTAACACACATAGTGCGAAGCGGATGGACCCCATCTACTATAGTAGGATTGAGTAGAAATTTCCTAGGGGCTCTAGCTGCCGTTTTGATCTCCCCGCTGCCGAGTGACTTGATAATATCCGATAGCCAATGACCAGGATAGCCTAGTTCGCCCATGAGGGTTAGTAGTCTCATAAACATCGTCATGTTTAGAGGCGCGTAGACCAGGGTAGTCGTAGGACGACGGAATGGCAGGCATATCTTGAGGAAGTGAGCATGTAACCACCTTGAAAGGTCTGTCTTCGACATCAGCCGTTCTAAGGGGGTAGTGTCGCTGTTGCATCTTTCCCAACGATGATAAAACAGCATGCTAAACCTGTCTAGATTCGTTCCACCATTTTCCACCTCAGCTAGCTCAACAGAGAAGTGCTTTCGGATCATAATGGGATCATGCATTAATAAGTATTCTGCGTTGAAGTTTTTGAGGCCTTCCCAGTAACTCGCGTTCAGCAATGCACATGACAGTAATCCTGTCCCAGACCCTTGTTTTAGTAAGGGGGTCGCGTAGAGGAAGCTCGTCAGGGACCCGCCGACGTAATCTCTAAAGATGAAGTTAGCGAGGAACGTCACATCGAAAACTGGTTCACGTACGGTACATTGCTCATATGGATTACATGATACTTGTCGGGCCACTCCGTAGTGGTTCGCGTCCCCTTTGCTGGGCGGTTCAGAACGCCGTAACGAATCCGCTCTAGCACGTCGGCCATGTCACCAAGGATCACTTCCACTGTTAGTCTTCCTTGCAATTGCAGTACACTCATACCAACTCTCTCGAAAAAGTCGGCCGCATGTTGCAAGATGCAGCTTGACGACCGGTTGGACGTTGTCAATTTCGAGAACTGCTTTGTCAGGTCGCCGACAATTTGGAAAGGATCGAGACCCACATGTGGTTGTTCTCCTGGTCTCTTTACAGCTTCCCAGTCCACATCGATGAGTGTGACGTTTACTTTCCAATGCTTATCTAGATATTCGCCAACACGCACTCGAGCACCTTTCTTGTGATTCCGATAGGCTGCAACAAGAGCGGATAGCTCCGGTTCGAATCCCACTAAGATTGCTTCTGGAGGAAATACCACAGAGAAATTCTCGAAATCTTCGTAGTCTGCTTGGCAATCCATATTGAGCAACTTTTCAATAGTTTTTCGGGATGCAACGCGTCGCATTTCGGAAGTGGCGTATTTTGTTGCGGCGCCTGTCTGCCAACTCTTGAGAGACCGCACAATGCCTCTCTGCGGCATAGGGAGATACACGAGATTGAATGGTTGCTGTTCCTTCTCGAGCTTGTCTAACAGCTTGCTGATAGTGTTCTGTAACTTCTCTCGTGCGAAAGGTGGTATTATTGGGGCGCAATACAGATAACCTAGACTTAGTAGTGCTGTATCTTTTGACTCTTGGTTGGTAGTCGCTTCCTGTAACAGGCTAAAGAATATCAAGTCCCTGGCTATGACGGCTGGCTTATGGTCTAGCATCGTTACATGTAGCTTCTGGACTCCCTTGTTTCTTGAAGAGTATCGTATAAGAGTCTGAAAGAGGTGACGGGCGTCGCCGACGCCGCAGAGCATGACGGACAAGACGGGATCCTGATCCGTCGACTTCTCAAGATCGGCTGTATACAGAGATGTTGCATCATCGTGTCCAGGGCCATAATATTCTGGTTCATCCTGACTTTGGGATATCAATTTTAAAACCATAGCACAGTTGTAGGTAGGTATAACTCACATGCGTGGCCTCAAGCGCGGTAACTGCAAGACCGCCTCGCGTAATAAGGCAGGTCGAGTAGAAGGCATAGTAAGCTCTTTCGTTGCCCGAAGTGATTTACGGAGATCCTCAGTTTCTGCGCTGGAACCAAGTTGATCTAGAAGCTTTTCAGCCTCGCGCAATAGGGATAGATGTAGATAAGCTTTAGCTTGCCTAACCAAGAGCCTTTGTCTGGAAACATCGAATTTTGGATCATCGGCATTGAGAAGTCCTAAGGCCTTGGTGGAGAAGTGAATGCAGTGTGCGTATTTACCAGCTTCAAAGCTGGCAATGGATATATTCGACAGTGGATAGGGATCAAGAGGGGCAAATGCTGCGGCCTGCTTGTATGCTTCTATTGCTGTATTGGTTTTGTAAGTAGGTATTCGCACATTGGGGATCTATCATGGCATATGCCTACCTTGGCCAAATTGATGACTTTTGTACAGCTCGTTACCTCGCTTGCGGGCCGCCTCGGCCTGTTGAATGTTTTGGGTGTCCATCATACCTAGGTAGTTATGAAAAGATTACCTGGGTTGTAATCTCCATACGTGCAAGTTATAAATAGAAAATTCGGAAGAAGTTCAGATAGATATTTGGATCCCATATAGAAGCTACCTAGCAGCCTGGGTAGGAGGACCCTTCAAAATCGTTTGTCATAGGGGGATCCACTGTCAGCTGGGGATAAAGTAGGCCACTTGCCAGCCAGCTGGCCAATGCGTTTGCCAATCGGTTATTCAGCTGGCAAAAAGTGACGTAATCTATTGCCAGCTGATATTGGATCTCCCTATGACCAAATATTTTGAAGGCGTCCCTCGTCCCTCCGTACATCAAGCATAATATTGGATTTCGTAACGGCCTTTCTTTCTTGTTTAATTGTGCCGGCTTGGGATGAAGAGAGGCCACAACGCAGCATACCTACCTAGACCAAAGTTCTGTATACAGGCCATGGCACTTGCCTTCAACTGAGAACAGGAGTCTTCGATTACATTCAGTTAGGTGTTCCCAGCAAACACCTCCCTCCCCAAGAACATTATTTGGTATACATTGGACCAATGTGTAACCTTTAGATGCGAGTAGCCTTATCCATGGGTGGGTGACCTACGGATCGCCCTTCCACGCCACACTGTGGGCAGAGGGGCTATTTAGCAAAGATGATTCATCATGCTTCCTCGTTTATACAAACACGATAGAATAAGGAGGTAGGTAGGTACATCGACCGAGCAACCCACATGATGGGCGGCTACATACATGGGCTTCTAGTCATTTCTGCTTAGGCCATCTAGGTGCCTCATCAGGGGAGTGAAATATCCTAAATCAAGTTTGTCAGTCATTGCCTTTGCCGCCATTATAAATTGTAGTTTATAGTTGCAGAGGTGAAGTGAAAATGTTGGTCGGCGACGTGACTGGGTTTATGAGGATGAAATAGATGATCAATGGAGCCCATCAGTTATAGAGTTGATTGGGTGACCATTAACTGATGGTAGAAGAAAGAGATGCTAGAGGAAATCTATCACTGTAGTACCGGATTACTTACGCCCTAAGTCCGAAGTGATGGCATCTTCCAGTATATAGGTACTGGCAACATCCTGCCGCGGTGAAAACAGGAGTGGCCTAGGTCGTACGGACCTCCAGCCGACTGTTGTGGCAACCACTCTCTTCAGGCGCCGAGAAGCATATTGCTGCTACAGCATATGAGGTAATCTCATGCATATCCATGATCCTACGAAGCGACCGATGATAGGACTGAGCAGTTATATAGGTATGTTTTAGAGCTCGTATTGATCGGATTCTGATATCTTAAGCCAAATTCTTGATGACGACTCGGAGGGAGACAGTACCCAAGACATCGGGGCTCTCGAAGACCGAAGCTTCGGAACAGGTTGAGCAGGATGATAGCCCAATGCTTCTGTCATGACTTGCGGATGCCCCTAGATGATGATGAGAACAGTTCACGAATGACTAAGACCTCAAAAACAACTTGAAGCTTCTGGAAGTAGGTAAGCAAAAACCTCTACTGAAATGGATGGACAGTTTAGGTAAGAATAATAGGTACCTAGGTACATTGCAAACTTAAGTGTGTCCTAAAATGTTGCATGGGCACATTCCATTTGGCAATCGCAAACTGTACGGTGTGAAGTTAATCGGGCAGCTGGCGTGCAGCCGTCGTGCAGCTGGTGATTGAAAAGTGGCTCGAGCGTACAGTGTGAAACATTAACCGAGAACAAATAACTGTCTCATGTGGGCCGAAATAGGCTAGAGGCGAGAGCAGAAGAGTTTGCATTAGGTTAGGTCCCTTAGGTATCTTGTCGATATCATCGCAGTGTGACTTAAACTTTTGATTTCCCGCTCAACCTTCGGTTTGCCAACTCTTTTTATTTTCCCTTCCCTTCCTTTTTCCTTTCTTCTTTCAACATCAAGGACTTCACGATTTGACAAAGTAAAAAGGGACACACATTGACGCGGCAAAATTGGTGATCAATTTCTCTCTCTTCACGACAACAATTTAATTGACCTAGTCAAGCCAACTTTTACGTCGCGCATTGAGCATTGATTGATTGAATCTGCCTGCACCTGCATTGATTGACGATTGACGTTTGACGTATACATTTGATCGCTTAACACTGAACGTTGCGTGTCATCAAAGTGTTGCAAAATCTCATTTTGCATGCGCCGACCACCCGTATCCTCTCGTGCTGTGCCTTGAGCTTTGAGCTTTGAAGCAATAGGGTAATAGGGCAATAGGGCTAGGCCTTGTTCATTATCAGCAGTACTTTCATCGCCCAGAAGTGATCTCATCGAGGCATTATTCTACCTTTATTTCTACCATTGTCAGCGCAATGGCAGAGGCGCAACCTAATATCCAGGCGATTCTCGCCGCTCTTGCGGGTATGTCTTACTTTCCACCTCCCGCTTCCTATGTCCGTACATCCGACGACACGATGACACGATGATACGACGGCATCATTTCTTCCTATATCGAGTGCTAATGTCAATGCTAATGTATCCTAACAGCCCAGTCAGGAGCCTCTACTACCCCATCTCAAGGTCAAGCACCCGCACCTTCGCCCTATGCCATCCCCGGCTACCAACAAGGCCCGGCGCCCGGTGCCTACGGGGCAATGCCACCATCAGTATCTAGCCAAACCCCGACATATCCTGGTTATCCCGTGGACTTGAATGCCATCAGACCCGTCACCTCGGGTACAATGAATCTAGGAGATCTCGACCGGCCAGATGCCCGTACTGCTCCTCCCAGACACTTTAGATCTCGTTCGCGCTCCCCGCCGCGTCGTGATGTACGTGACAACGTCAATCCCTATCGGGATGAGAGACGCAATGAACGTGGAGCACATGTCCGTGACTATGGTCGCGATCGTGATCGTTCAGAATCGCCCGATAATAGTGAGATCATTGATGTTGAATCCACTCTAGTTGGTCTGGTCATCGGTCGACAGGGTGAGAATCTGAGACGTATTGAATCCGAGACCTCATGCAGAGTACAGTTCCTGTCATCTACTGGTGAACAAGAAGCGTATCGCCAGTGCAAGATCACTGGTCCTCGACCTAGACGTGCTGAGGCTAAAGCCGCCATCAACAAGACAATCGATGACAGCGGCATGGGCGCCATTGCTCGCGCTGGTCTGGACAGACAGCCTCATGCTCGTCGTGAGGTTCGTACCCCCAACCCCAATGCATTGCGAGATGGGGAGGACTACGAGCAGATTGTTGTTCCTGACCGTACTGTCGGTTTGATCATTGGCCGTGGTGGAGAGACCATTAGAGACCTACAAGAGCGCAGCGGTTGCCATATCAACATTGTAGGAGAAGATCAGAGTAACAACGGTCTGCGCCCAGTAAACTTGATAGGACCAACCAAAGCGACAGCCTTGGCTAAGACCATGATTATGGAGATTGTCGATAGTGACAATCACAGTAACGACAACAATGCCAGCGCCAACAAGCCTCGCCAACAGAGGCCTGACCATCCCCGCGACAATGGTCAAGGCGGTCCTGATAAGGTGAACGATTCCATCTTCGTACCATCTGAGGCTGTTGGAATGATCATAGGCAAGGGTGGCGAGACGATCCGAGAGATGCAGAATACTACCGGCTGCAAGATCAATGTGACTGCCTCATCAGGACCCAATGAAGTACAGCGTGAGATAGGTCTAGTGGGATCTCGTGACGCCATCAACCGTGCTAAGAGAGCTATCGAGGACAAAGTTGACGCAGTTGTGAGTCCTACTGTTCTAGATATCAGCCTAGATAAGTTACTAATACGCTTACAGCGACAGAAGAACAATGGAGCCAGCCAAGGTCGTGGAGGTCGAAACCAGCACCGTCGTGACTGGGACAGCCCTAGCTACCCTCAACAGAGCACTCAGCCAGCTGAACCCGCAGCCAGCGCCGCTAATGGTGCTGCTGATCCCTATGCACCTTGTAAGTCCATATAGTTTTCATGAATCGGTTCCCATTTTGCAGCGTTGAGCAATTGGGCTAACTCTGAATATAGATGGTGGATATCAGCGATACCTAGCCCTTTGGTATCAGAGCCTTGCCCAACAGCAACAAGGAGCTCAGCCTCAGGGCGAACAGCCTCAGCCTTAGAGGACTCGGGCATTTCTTTACTCGTTCTCTGGTCATGAACGTTCCTCCTCTGACTAGACGATACTTTACGATCGTATGACTGATATCTACGAATTGATGCGAACTTCGAGAGTCATGTGTTCAGCAAATCGTCTCCAATGATGACTTCTAACACATGCTCCATATCTTCTCATTATTTTCCCTTCTTCTCCGGCGGCTGTCTCATTCATGATGATAAAGGTCCACTTGGTGTTCTGGACTAGAGATGGCGCCGTCTTTTTCCGCTTTTCAGTTTCTTGGAAGCATCTTCGTCCAGAGACCGACAGCAGGATTTCTGGCGTTTTCGGAGCCCCTAGGCGTCAAGGAACGGACAAAATTCACGCAAATAACTAATGGCCCTACCTCATCCGGATCGATCTCTTTATGACTTTCGCAATTCCTCCTGGTTATCGGTTTTTTTATTCTTCACTTACCGTACCCTCGCCGGACCGCAACTCATAGGCACTTATCGGACAGATCATCGGGAGGTGTATAAAAGGGGGCGGTGGATGTGGTGGTGGCTAATGGTTCGAGGTGGTTGGTTGACGGTGGTAATGAATGATCCTCGGATAGGCTGGCACTTTGGCACAGGAAAAAGAAAGTACTCGGCGTACCGGGAGGGGGCCATGGGGTGAAACGGACCAACGTATGTACGAATAGTAAAGGGTTTCTCACGGCTTAGCCCGCTTCGCTACGGATAGGAACTGCAGGTCAATTTGAACTGCTCCTTCTTCCTGAGATACTGCTTCAGATTTTGCGCTTTATTCGTGATATGCCCGTAGAATGAATAGGTTTAAACACTAGCTCAACCTGGTGGAATACCAGGCACATACTAAATTCCGATGAAATTGAATATCCATATGACATATCATAAGATAAAAACTACTACTGTAGACACATATCATACATCACATCAACCAAGAGCAAGTATGGGTAGATTTATTTTCTATTTCATCTTCTCATCATACTTCGTCTTATCCTCGTTCAGCATGGGGTTGAATTATCTGACTTTTCCTACCTCTTACCTTCGTGGCACCTCATACACTTCGGAATTCCATCCATATAAGTCGCACACGCACACACCTATGTACCAATCTCAACGCCGCCCATGTCCGCTTCTTCTCATCCAATGTTGAATTATGCTACGTTGCCGCTGTTAAAAGAGCCAACTTTAACTTCATCGCCGTATACCCATATACCTACAAGGTAAACACGCCCAAAAAAAAAACCGGACATCAACCGCACCGGGCAGAAATCTCTGTGACCCGCTCCCGCTCTAGTGGATATCACAACTCCTCATCCATGCGTACCCCCATAAATTGGTTGTATAAATGAAAAATCTAGATAGATAAATCATCGCCCCAGACCTCCTTCGCGATCTCCGTCTGAAGCTTGACCTTGGCCCACTGCTCGTCCTCGGTCAGGTCGTTGCCCTCGGATGTCGAGCTGAAGCCACACTGGTGACTGAGGCAGAGCTGCTTCAGCCCCTTAGGGCAGAAGGAGGCGGCCTCGTTCAGCCGCTTGATGATCTCCGCCTTATCCTCCAGATCAGGCTTCTTGCTAGTCATAACACCAAGGATGACCACCTTGTTTCCGGGTAGATGACGGAGCGGAGAGAAGTCGCCTGATCGTGCGTCGTCGTACTCGAGGAAGTAGGCGTCCACATTGAGGTCTTTGAATAGTACTTCAGCTACAGGCTCGTATCCCCCTTGTGCAAACCACTGCGATCGGTGGTTACCTCGGCAGAGATGGATGCCGATAGTCATATCAGCTGGGCGCTTTGAGATGGCGGCATTGATCAGCGCGGCGTATTGGCGCGCAAGAACATTGGCGTCGCCGTGTCGTTTCTCGGCCTCAGAGCGCATCTTGGGATCGCAGAGGTAAGCTAAGTTAGTGTCGTCGAGTTGGACAAAACGTGCTCCGGCCTTGTATAAGTCGTCGATCTCCTCTTGATACACACGAGCGAGGTCTTCGAAGAACGGATCCAGCGTCGGATAGGCCTTCTCATCAATTGTATCGCGAGTATTGCGGAAGTGAACCATTGTCGGCGAAGGGATGCAGACTTTTGGTGTAGCCTTAGCACCCGCAGCCGCGATCTGAGACTCAAGAAACTTGAAGTCGTCCACTTGGATAGATTTCGGGTGGCCAAGCTTGTCTACAACGACTAATCGCGGAGGCATAGTACCCCCAACGCTGACATTGGTCGACTGTAAAGCACCACGAAGCTCTACTCCAGCTAAATGCCGGAGGAAATCAACGTGGAACCATTGTCGCCTAAATTCCCCGTCTGTAATGGACCGTAGTCCAGCATCAAGTTGCTTCTTGACAACGTCGGCGATGTACTTGTCCTCGATCTCCCGTAACTGCTCGGAGCTTAGCTTGCCTTCGGCGGCCTGCTCGCGTGCCTCGAGGACTGGTTTTGGTCGCAAAAAAGAGCCGACCTGATCGGTTCGGTACACACCATTGGGGAGAGACATGTCGTGCAACGTGGGGTTCGACTACAACAGTTCGGTATTTGGAGAATAGCTAGATCAGAAGCAATATATGGTAAACAACGAGAGCTAAATTGCGCTAACCTTGGATCTCAGACTTGATGATGGTACAGAAGACAGGAGAACAAGATAAGGCTCACTAGAAGTCCAAAATTACAAAACTGAAATACTTCCAAGCTAGATTTAAGGAAATCAACACCACAACCGAGCTCGTCTCAGTGAGGGGCGGGCTACTATTTCATTGTGTCATAAAAAGACCCCTGGATTGCTGGATTGATAGTGTACGAGCAACTAGTAGTAGTTAACCCCACACAATTTACTTGCCGTGAAATGCCTATGTCGTGCCGTTTTGTCTCCAACAGGAGTAGCGCGGTGGGCAGGTCGGAACAACGTTATCTTGTTCAGGAGACGGGCTCCGCGCCTAGAGAAACAGAAAATGTGCGGTAGGCTCTAGTACTCCAGTACGAAGGATTATAGTAACATGCTAAGGAGAGGATGTACCATAACTATCCAACAAATGACTTGGTTATACCCGGGCTTTGCTCATCAAAGACCCTGGCTCCGGTATGGAGAGGTATCTGTCCTGCCCGTCTTAGGGCCATTTTGGCATTTTGGCGTTTTGGACCATGTTGGAGCCAACGAATATCAACAACTCGGAGTTTCCTCAGTCGCGGATCAGCTGCGGAGGTAAAGCAAAATAAGCAATACGGCTTCGGTAGTTGAAGAGCTCATCCCATTGGCATTGGAGTCCAAGGTCAGCCGAGTTCAGCGTTATTTTAGTTGTGAAAGGCTCAAATACCTCACAGCAAGGGGATTGAGTACGCGGTAAGAGGGGGGGAATAAGCTCGGCACGGCAGACTGGGCAGCGGACCGAACCAACAGCTCTAAAGCGCTTGTTCTGATTCGCTGCCTTCGCTCAAACGGCTATCACCCCTACTGGTTTGCTCGTTTACGTCGGTGCCGATCACTGAACAGATTCGAGGTCATATAAAGCTGCATATCATATTGTGGATTATCGTCGGTGGATGTTAATAGCTTCAAGAGCAGGATGTTGAAAGATGACGGGATGGACGGATATTTGATGTGGAGAAAGACGAAACCCACCACAGGGGCAGCACAGATGAATCGGTACGTACCGAAATAAAATGTTAAGGTTCGATGTATGCAGTACACTGGTACAACATCCCTTTAAGCCTCGATCGCACTTGAACTGCGCAGTGCTGCGCCCTGCAATTATTGGTTGAATAGCAGCTGCCTGCGCTGGTTCAGATTACTGTACGTGTATTGTACATGTACCCCGTACCTATTATTAGGTACATTACATCTGTACCCTAGAACTTCTAACTGCGACATCAACATCACTTACCCAAACAAGATCGTGAAAGACGACTGCTATCCAACACTTCCATCGCTCGGTCTCTTCCTGTTAGCTCGTTCGTTATTTTTCCTATCTTAGAATCACAGGCGATAGCCGAAGGACTAGGCGCCATGTCGAATCCGAACCAGCTATACCTCTTAGCCGACCACATCAAATTGTCGCTGCTCGAACGGCAACGGGCGCAGAGCCTCAACATCGATGGCGATTCGAAAGACGGCCACATATCTAGGTCATTAGATCAATTCCGAGATGGGCTGGCGGCGTTGGAGACGGAGCAGAAGAGACTAGAAGAAGCAGGCGATGAAGAGTATGTAATAATTAGGATCGGGATCATGATACATGATCTATCTATATCCAAAAGCCATCGTTGATGGGAAGAAGAGCCGCCTTTAACTAACATTTCGGCAGGGGCTCGCTCACAATCACTGACGCCCTACCCGGCTTGCAGAAGCAGTACAACGACCTAACATCCCAATTCCACGGCTTCTCCTCACCCTCCAGCGCATCAACCCTAACGCATCCGAACGACCCGGCCCTATCCCCCGACTTCGAGCACGCGACCACCACCATCACCCCGGGCTCACCCACCGGCGCCCCCTCAGCCCCCGCGACATCATCATCATCAACATCGAACCTCCGTCCCAAAGGCGCGCGCGCGACCTCCAAAACCGTACGGTTCAGCGATAACCCGACGAGCCCCGGCGCCGCCGACCCGGACCTAGAAGCGCAGCTGTTCGGCTCGAACCGGTACCGGGACAACCCTCTGGCGGCGGCCGACGACAGCGCGGGCTACCGGGACGAGGCGACGGGGATGACGAACACGCAGATCCACGCGTACCACCAGCGCATCCTGGACCAGCAGGACGAGCAGCTCGACGTGCTGGGCGCCAGCATCGCGCGCCAGCGCGAGCTCAGCATGCGCATCGGCGACGAGCTCGACGAGCACGTCGCCATGCTCGACGACGTCGACGTCGCCGTCGACCGCCACCAGGGCCGCCTCGACGGCGCCCGCCGCCAGGTCGGCCGCATCGCCCGCTCCGCCGGCGAGAGCAAGCAGATGATCGCCATCATCATCCTCATCATTGTCTTGGTGCTGCTCATCGCGATCCTCAAATAGATAGATACCACACATACACACACACACTGCACTGCATACTACATACCTACATTTTACCTTCGTACAATGAACCAAACGAAGCCAAACTACTTAGTAATTAAAAGGAGGGAAAGGAAAGGAAATGACTTAAGGAGGAGGTGGAAAGATGTGCTGATTTAGCTGGACTCGATCAACTTCCGGCATCCCCGTTGCATTTGGCATGGCTGGGCGTGTGGCATGGCGTTTATCGGAAGACTTTTGCCTATACTTTTTTTCGCCGTCTGCTGTTTTTCTATGTTTATATACAACAGTGGATGGGCCACCACGGACTTGATTTACTTATTATCAACTTCTCTTTAGGTTATGTACTTGATTTATAAATCAGCTTACGGACCTATATAATATACGGTCCTCGATCTTTTTACCAACCAAGCCACGTCACTTTTAGGAGTGTGATAGTCACAAGCGTACGGTCATCACCTAACTGTAAAGCAATATGCTTATATTGGCCCAATAATCCCGTCGTCCATTTTCTCATTTCTTATTTGTACAACATGAATGAAACCGTAGTAGAGCCAGCCTCGAATAAAGCCATAACCTTAACGACCAAGCAATGCTAACTGCGACCCTTCTCGATCTTAGATACCTATTGATGTTGTTTCACTTTGTCGGGCCCGCACCATTCCTATCCATCAGATCAACTCTGAAACCTTAGACCTATCAGCTCATGTCCGACTTCTTTGGTCGATCATACCTCTTAGACCTTACAGCCCGTCTCTCATGCTGGTGCCGGACTTGCTAGTCTCCTCGGCGGCACCCTTGGTCCGGTTCTGCAGGGCCGATATGTCCTCGCTGCCGTCGCCGCGAGCTCGGTCCGCCTTGACGGCCTCCTCGCTGTCGGAGGCGAGCTCGGGCTTCCAGTGGCCCTTGCCGGCCTTCTGCTTCGCTAGGAGATCTTGCTTGTGCTTCTCCGGGTCCGCCGCGTCGGATCCATCTGCGCCGACTCAAACTTCTGTTAGCGTATTCCTAATACCCTCTTTGGAGTGTGTTTTCTTATCCTGTTGATGGATAAGATGAAGGATGACGTATAACTCACGATTGCTCTCCTTGTAGGACAGGTTCGCGGTGGTGCTGGTGAACGTTCGTTGTGCGATGGCTTGTCGGCCAGTAGCAACGCCGGCGACTGATCGTAGGAGCATTCGAGAGGCCATTTTGAGAGTGAAATAAGTTTCCGATGTATTCTTAGAAAGGTATTGGTTCTTTGAGAAAGGTCGTAATAAGTAGGAATCGTTTGTGGCACAATGTTGAAAGGACACGGAGCTTGGAAGGGAGGTATGAAAGGTTTGACTGGGATGACACAGTACTCAGTTTTCAAACAGTTTTTTCGGATCAATTGATACGTTTCAAGGCGAATTGAGGTAATTATCTCGTAGTCATGGGAGATGGAAAGGTTTTGACTGGTTGAGAGCTGAGGAAACAACTGCCTGCTTCATTCATATGTTGAAAGTTATGACGTCACCAGCTTGTAAGGAGCTATCTTAGGTGGGTTAAGCTAATCTAAAGGCAGCTGATTGGCCAGAAGCGGAAGATATACTGCTCCCCTATTGGCCCATTCCATTCTTTCTTCAACTGACGGCAACAGCATCAGCAACGACATCACTTCTCCACCCAATGGTTGCACTTTATTAATAAACTCTATCTTCATTACTTCAAGATCGTCGCTCGTCGTACAAAGTTCAGATTCCAGTTTTCTCCCCCCGGAGCATTAATATCCGTTCCAAGCTTCCTGTCTCCAGTGTTTAAGAAAAGATATTTAGACTATCGTCCTATGAAGACCCTTTACTATCAAAATCTAGCTTATGTTTCGCCGTCGTTTAATGTCACCGGCATTTCAACGGAGAATTTGTCAATCTGTTGTACAGACCATGGCAACGGCTACTTAGCCAATTGGACTGTGCGAGTATGTCATCGTTATAGATGTCTTAAGCCCGTGCAATAAGTCCTTGCCTCCGAGATTCGTGGAATGGACTCAACTGAATATCACCTGTCGGGACAACGGGTAGAGCGAGACTGTCAAGCATCGTTAATGTACCACCTGAGGCAACGAAGCTATGTAATAAATATAATCACTGGATTCCCGTATGACTCGCCCTTAGCCAAGTCTCATGCCATGAATAAGTATAGAGAATATTTACACTTATAGGGATAGACTCAATGATGTCTCGAAAGCACATCTGATGTCCGTAGCTTCAATATGGTTTACATAAGTATACTTATATATCTCAAATCATCTCATAGCACTTAATCTTCGAGCATAATACCGGTTACTCAAGTTCATCAGTTTGAATGATAACAGAGAGTAAAGCTACATTCTAACCACGATCCCAAAGACTTTACCTTCAGATGTCCCTAACGGTTCAAGTATCCTCCGAGAAAGAGATTATATGAAATGTAAAGCACATGCCTTGATACTTCCATAACTCCGTATAGTATGATGAGAATAATTCTTAACAGGCTTCCACGATGTATGGAGGACTTGATGATATTTCTAAGCGAAAAGCTGAATTTTCAGATTACAGTTTAACAACTTATCATGAAACAAGTAGTCATTGGAATTTCTCGAAATATTATACAATATCCTTCCTCTTCGACAGCAAACTTATGGGGGGGGGGGGGGGGGGGGGGGGGGGGGGGGGGGGGGGGGGGGGGGGGGGGGGGGGGGGGGGGGGGGGGGGGGGGGGGGGCGGCGT